ATCAACAAACACGATCGATGAACAAGAAATCGTCCCTCCGAAAAGTCAACATCCAAAAAAATTTCCTTGTCTCCTTTGTGGCCGTGATTTCTCGAATAAATCCAACCTCAACCGTCATCACAGTATCGTTCATGTTGCTATTCGAAATTTCGAATGCGCCCGTTGTCCAAAGAAGTTCAAACTGCGACAAGGACTCAAAACCCATATGCAACGTTGTCATGGCGTCAACACAGATGAGCCAACATTCGTTTTACAAAAACATAACACTCATCATCACTATCATCATCATCATCAACAACCATCTTTTGCTCAATCAAAATAAATCACATCTACAAATCCAAGGTGCTCCTGATGTTTGTCTCATCTTTCTCTTTTCATTTTCTCACTAAATTAGTGTTCGTTGAGTTTCATTTCGGTTTCTTTCTCTTTATTCATCTTTTTTTGTTAATTATTTATGCGATATGAATAAATTTTACTCTAATTTTTATTTAATAAATCAGAAGAATATCGATATTTATTTAAGTAATCCGATCACCAGTAATTATATAGTCTCGTTTTGTTTAGATAGAAACCAGATCGGAAGGAAATCAAACTTTGACATATCTTCGTACGATAGCTCCTTCACGATTCCATTTTTTTTCAATTACCATCGTCGCTTTTTCATGCATAAACGAGTGGGGTTAATAAGCCAAAAAGCGTGCGTAAACGCCGAAACGATTCGCTCATCGTAAATCGATGCGAATCTTTCCTCTGGAAATAACTTTTCCAATGTTCCTCAAATCAACACCAGAAGGGCCGTGTTATTCCGCATAGGAACATTTTACCTACTTTGGACAGCAGGTATGTGTTAGTTTATTCTCAGGACTTCGTCTTTCATTTGTCTTTCTCGAATAAATGATGCAAAAGAAAGAGGTCGATTCATTATCGCTAACCTTTTAGTACATCCCATCAAACTAGGCGGAAATACTTGGAAACAAACTTGATTGCTTCGTCTCGATCAATCGGATCGTCAACTGGATTAATCTGTTACGAAACGGCGAATGTCGCACATTGTTTTTGGTTGATTTTCGAAAGTCTTTATATTAACAACAAAATAAATTTCCACGCCTACACTCTGCGTATGTTGTCTATAGTGCAAAAGAGAGAAAAAATTGAAAGAACAAAGAGGAGACATATAGTCAATCCAAAGAAGAAGAAATAGCTCAGTCCACACGAAAATGACAATCGTAGAAGCGAAGTTTGTTGAGTGTTGAAAATATGATATTTAGTTGATCACTGTTGTACAGCTACATACAAACATCTATATCGTTGCATCAAACTTAAAATAAGACATACAAACAGATATTATGTAATTGCATATAAATAAAAATACATTAAAAAACAAAAGAGAAGAGAAGAGAAGAAAAAAGACATCCACACACACACATACAAACGATAATTGGTGTGCAGCAATGCGTAGCTACGAACCGGAAGATTGCATAGAGAAAACGACAAAATACTGTTATTTATGTATGTGTGATTAATAGAAAAAAGAAGAAAAGAGACAGAAAGAGAGAAAAGGACTTAATGAGTTATTAAAATTCCACCAATTTCCGATGCGATTCTAAGAGAAGACAAAGAATATGATTGATATTCATCGAGGAATTTAGCTCAAGTTCTTTTACCTTGAATGAATTAAAAACTCAGCCAATTGAATTTGTTCCGGTGTGCCAGATATAGTTACATGACGATCTTGTGAACCTTCGTCCAAATCGGCAATTTTGATATTCGCACCCGATGCTTGCCTAGAATGACATTTTGTCGAAATGACAAAGAATTCATCTTCTCTTTACCGAATTTCGGAGATCTTTTGTCCTCCACGACCAATAATACAACCGATAAGATCATTGGCAATGGTAATCTCACGTTGGGATTGCAGCGTCGCACGATTTCCTGGAAGACCATTTGGCATCAGAGGTGCTATAAACAAAACTAAGACGAAATCGAGAGTTTTTCGCTTTCTTACCAGCAGGTAAAGGCACGCCGGGTCCAAGAGAAGCTAATGGAGCAAATGCATTCAACTGAAATACAAATAAATAGAACAAACGTATTTGCTACAATTCGTCTGACTTCATTTGGTGGTAATGGTATAGCAAATTGGCCTTGGACTTGATAAGCTTGTCCATTAGCGAAAATGATTGGAGCATGAACAGGCGATATCATCATTTTGGGTCGATATGGAACTGTTTCACCTTTTGGTGGCGACTAGAAAAGTTGTCAGAGGAAGAAATAAGGAAAAACTAGCAATAAAGTAATACGTACTTCAAGCATAATCTGGCATATTTGTCGAAAACAGGATTGAATTGATTCGAGCTTTCCTGAGATTGTCACAGCGCGTTCAGTTGATGTCGGTAACATTTCCGAAGCGACTTGAACAGATGCACCTGTTGTCTAAACGAAGAATGTACATAATAAAAGCATTTGATTTTTTTTTCAAAGGAAAACTAACCTCTCGAATTTCTTTGATTTTCGCACCGCCTTTACCAATAATCGAACCACATTGACTTGCTGGTACAACAAGTCGCAAAGTTATGGGTGGAATTGTTGTACACGTTTGTTTTAAATCCTAGATGATCCCAACATAGTCTAATTCACAAAAATCGCTCAATAGATATTTACATCTTCGAACTTTTGACAAATCATATCGAATGCTCTTGACAAAGTTTCGATTGTTCCCACCATAGTTACAATTCGCTCAGGAGTTGTCCCATCACTGATATTTATACGAGCACCACTCTAGAACGATTTCAAATAACACCAAACGGTTTCTTCGCAACGGAAAACTGTACTTCTTCTCGAATTGCTTTGATGTTATCACCGCGTTTACCGATGATGCTACCCACTTCCTGTACAGAACGACTTTAAATGATGATTATGACTTGAATTTTCACGTACTTTGCCTTGCATAAGCAAGCGAATGGTAAGAAAGTTGTCCATTTCGCCAGGCGTTTTCGCGTTCGATGGCATAGCTTGCTGTTGTTGGACATTGGCGACGATCGGAGGATTAGCTGCGTTGATTTGGATGATTTGTTGATGATGAAGCGCAGGATTGTCCATCATCATGATTGATCTGGGGAAAAAATGTCAAGGTGGAAAGCGAGGGCAGGTGGTAGGTCGTGAAAATATGTAAAAACCAAAGGGACAAGGAAACCTAGAAAAGAAAGAAAATACTTATTAAAAACCGAGAGAAATTCTTGTATTGTCTTCGCTCTCGAACTAGTGAAAGAACCTTGATTTATTTGATTTGATAGATCGAGTATCTTTTATTCTCTTTCCGGATGAAGTAAAGCTAGAAATGAGTTGTTAGCACCCATCATCGATCGTTCTCGTTTGCCTTTTTTACGGCAATTGCATTCGTTCTCTCTCTTTCCTCTGGCTTAATGGCGTTATATTTTTATTGAAAAACTCGAGAGAAAGAAAAAGAAAAGCGAACGAGCCATCAATATTTTACTACCGAAGCCTGTTGTTGATTGCTTGCATTAATAATTGATTATGACATGAGTGCTGAACGATTAATTTCTGTGCGGAAAAGTGATTTTTTTTCTCCTTTCTTTCTTTCTCTTCGATTTCTTATTTCCTCTTCTTTCTTTTCCTTCGCAATCTTGTTTATCTATTTCATACCTACGAGAGAATTCAATTAACAATCGCTTTTCTTTCTTCTTTGATCGAACAATTAAATTTATCTTTTGGAACAAAAGAAAAAACGCCAATGAACAGACTAGATCTCTTTGACGAAGGGTTCACGCGCTCCGTAGTACTTTAGCAAACATTCTTTCTCTCCTAAGATGATGGATAATGAATATCTCTTCGTTGTTGATCGTGTGTTTGACATCAACAAACATTTGGAAGTGTTTTCCTACAATGTCGAAGAAAATCAATTCCTCGAGACTGTTATTATTGATGTCTTTATTATGATACGAATTCTTCTACAAACATAACTTCTAATTAATAATACTATAACTTAGAATAAACTTAATGACTTTAGCCATATGTTCTTCGTTGACGACACACATACTTACAGATTCATTGGTCTGTCATCAGACATTGAGAGAGAGAGAGAGAAAAGATGATCTCGACTAGTTCTCTTAAGTCATTATTAATGTTGGCAAAGCTTTGTCGATGAATATTTTTTTGAAAAGAAGATCATTCCGGAAAACAATCAGAAAAGGAACATGTCATGCAGAAGGTAAATATCTAAAACTAGCAAACGGATCTATGGGGATCTCAATTAGTTAGTTGCGTGATTGAAGAACATGTGTATCGTTCGAAAGAGTTATGTGCGTGACGTCAATTAGAATCTAGTAAGCTGACTACGTCCTCAGAGAAAAATAATATGGATAGACTAGTTGAAAAATCTTGATGATCACAGCGAGATCGGATTTTCAAACCTATCTACTTCGGTTTTGATCACTAGAATGGAAAATATCAGTGACAATGCGACTTCACGCGATATGTCCGATGCAGATTGCATTATGGATACTGCAAAACTACGTTTGAATAGTCGCTAATCTCTTTTTCTTCTCTCTATTCTCTGTTCAGTGATTTAATGAGAGGCAACGAAAAGAAATTGTAATTGAACAATCGTCTCTCTAACGTTTACAATAGTCAATAAAGGACATCTGATAGACATAAAGAATAGTTTTATTATCCACTATGTCATAGCGACATAAGAACACTCAATCAATGATGTTCAATGAATCTAATAAGATTAGTTAGAACGACAATGGTAGTAAGTCTAACTATTCTATTCTTTATGCAGTTAATAGAAGACGCTATGGAGTGAACATACAGCTTCTAATGAAATGTGCATTCTACTATGATATTAGCACATCCTTTTCTCAATAGAATTGAGACATCGAGACAGGAAATGATCTTTCTAGCAAACACTTTTTTCAAATCTAGTTTCCTGCATCACTTCAAACGGATAAGAACGATGATCGTAGATTCGGTGCATTTCAATCATGTCGTTCGATCGTAATTCGATTGAATCTCGAATTTCCATTTTTATTCTATCGATGATCTCAGATGAGCATGGAAAGTTAGTTGATTACCTGCAGAGAAAAGGAGGGAGTGAAGGACGATTAAAATATAGACTAAAACACTGAATAAGAAAGAATTTGAAGATTATGATTCAGGATGAAAATAGAAGAGGGAGAAAGAAAAGAGACAAGCAAAGAGCGAGATAGAATGGACCGTTAATCAGCATCTCATCTTTTCTTTCTCTTTCTTTGGCTTAGTTTTTCTTCGTCATTCCCGTCTTTTCCTTCTTTCCTAGCAGCTTCGCTATTGTCAGAACAATTTTCACCCTGACATGCACGCACAAACGTCGTCGTTCGCACAAGCAAAAAGAATTATCTTGATACGATCACCATCAACGAACACAAGGCAAAGGCGAGAACTGCTTGTTCCAGCAGAACAAATTGATGCGCGTGTGTAGATTTCGGGTTTAAATCTCATCGACAACCATCTCTTCTTCTCCTTCTCGGAAGTGACAAGAGNGTAAGATTGTCCACTACAACTTGAGTGCTTTGTTTCATTTTCACTTTTGTTTAGAACAGCGGAATTCAAGGCTCCGAATATGAACATCAATGGTGTTCTTGTTACGGATAAGAATGGACTCGTACTTGCAAGTGAGAGGGAAAAGAACGATTATGAAATTAAAAAATCGACCTTTTCTCGTTCTATGAAGATGAGGACGTGAAAAATGATTGTAGTGGACCGATTGCGTTACTTTCCGATATGGCATCAACTCTGTTCGAACGACCTGCGATCGTTTGTTTGGAAAATGGTGATCAGTAAGTGCCGTGATCTTTTTACAAGCAGAATAATGTTTGCTATGTACTTTAGAAAACTAATTATTCGCGAAGCAGGAAAAACTGTTTTCAGCATTTATACGGAAACAACTCGTCGTTAGATTTTATTCTATCTGATACAGTGATTTATTTGTTATTGAAAATTAAAAAAGAAACAGAAAAAGTAGTTCATCGATTTGATTATAATCATCTTAAAAGTATATGTAAACTAGCTGATCATTTCCAAATGTAAAAACAAGATTTAGAATGTGGAGATAATTCCGCTGTGAATTGTATTTTTCTACTGAAAATTCTATCGCAAAAACGAGAATTTGCTGCGTATGACGATTAAAAAGAAATAACTTTCTTGGCGAAATGTATTGTTACAACAGAAGGTGATGATCAGAATAAAGTTCAAAGCCTCAGCGTATATCTACAAGTTAATAATTAGGAGATTTTCTAATATGAAGATTAATACTAACTTGAAGGTGATTTTCTTTTCATGTGTAGACAAAAAATAATGCTTTCACATAGGTTTGTAACCTGAAATTTGGACTCAATTCTTCATTCAACTATTCTTTGCGGCACTCTCCCGCATCTTTTTTCAATACTTGAATAGTGGAATGAATTACACCTGTTCGCACGCAAAATGATTGGCTTTAGAAAGTATATGTATTTCTCTTACTTATGTAAAGTTATGGGTATTTGGAGAGATGCCGAAGTCAGCTCATCCAGATTAGAATTTATGGCGCAGTCACTATTGGTAGTACCCCCTCCCGATATCTGGTGCTTTCACACTACTACTTGTACACGATGTGTTAACAACCATCGAAGATTATTCTTCATATAAACTTTACTTATGTATTTTAATTTCAAATTTCCCAACACTGTCATTATTAGCATTAGTTGTTTCACTAGATGCTAGTGAGACATCAACATTTAGTATATCATTCTGTATAGATCAACAACACAACGAACGCTAGGCGCAACCTTTAGTTGTCTCGGTACATATCTTTCCTTTGGATTTTCGGGAATCTGTCTGATTTGCTTCCAGAAGCACAAAGATGTCTATGGTTATATCGCTCTATGGGCTTTTCTTGGTTTTCCTCTTTCTGCTGTTTTTGTTCTCTTTCTTCCGATTATACTTATATACCGGCGTGTTCTGCCTGTAAAAGATGCGACTCATGATAGGGGATATAAATAAATACGTAGTTTTAGTGATGCATATGTCTATTCTATCCCGAGTCATCATACAATTGTGATTATCCCTATGTAAACTTTTTCTTTTTTGCTTATAGACCATCAAGTCAATAAACATAATTTCAGACTTCGCTGACCTGCTCACTTTTGTTTAGAATTCAATAGAGACCTGCGAGTTGTCATCATTGTAACGTTTGTTGTTGTGGTAACGCTAGGTAAAGCATGCATCCTGTTCTAAAATGTTGTATATTCAAAACTTAGTTGAATATTCGAATTTAGTTTCATCAAATACTGAATCCCATCTTTTTAAAAAGTTTATTCAATTCCAAAATTGATGCAATTGACTCCGGCTGTGAAACTGATTCTCTGATATGCAATTTTATAAAGTAGGATAACTGCTCTGATCTCCATAAAACAGACTTAAAAATCAGAGTTTTCAATGTAAGAATTGCGCTATTTCTATGGATCCCATGTGATCCTTAAGGCTGTTTATCGTCTCTGTTTCTGTTAATCATCAGTGTATGAAAGATGTACAAAGCCTATATGATGTTTTATGGGTACACCCTTCCCAAGAAATACTGCTAACTAGATCCAAACATATCTTCGTCAGTTGTTTCGATTATACAGCTCACTTTGATTATTGTTAGATCGTTTCCTTATTATCTTCGGCTCTATAATGCATTTCGATAATATGTGCAGTCAATTAAAGAATCCAGTTGAGTTCGAAGTCCATATTTTTTTTCTAAATCACGAGAAAAAATAGAACCTACTATTGTGTACGAAGATATTTTGAAATTTCGAAAGATCAGTGAGAATTCTATACAATAGAGAAGAAAGTTTTAACGATTGACGATATGTTGTTGTTTCGATAGAAGGTTGTATATCATGAAAGAAAATATTCTTATCTTTAGATAGAATATGCTGAGTCCGATTTTCATCATACCGAGGATGTACGGGACATCGAAATCGTATAGAGAGAGAGAAAGAATACAGAATTTCAGTTTTGAACCGACAGATTTCTTTTCGAGTAGCGTACGGGCGGAGCGCTGAAGATTTAGAAAAAAATTTCTTTTCATTAAATTGATTAGATTGTTTTCAGACAGGGGGTATACAAAATATTGAAATTCGTAATAAAAGAAAAATTTTTTTAAATTAAATTCTAATTTCTCTTATTATTTTTACTGTTTTCCTTTTCGCGCATTCCAATCTCGACTAAAATTCTCATGTCAACTGTGACAATATTTCAGGATCATAATGTTGTAATGATCTGTTCCTAAAATACGTTTTGTCATACTATAAGCATTTTCATGATCTTACAGTGCATCTTATTTTAGATGATGCATATGAATTCTTTCTTAAAACAAATGATCGGGAAATTATACATGCTTATAATGTAAGTTGTGAGAAGTTGCTAGAACAAAAAAAAAGTGAAAATTCATTTTATGTTTCAAGGGAAAGCACCTTAAGCTCTCTTCTTTTCAAAGTTTCGATAATACTCAGTATGCTGGCGATCGCATTCCGTTGGGGATATCGTCATCGTCGAAAATTACCTTTTTGGTGTGAAACTACTTATCCAATGTTATATCTATTATGTATAAATTTGATCGAATATTACTTTATTATTAACCATAGTACTCCATTTTTATTTGAACCTGAATTTCTATTTCAAATTTTGCTTAGTATTCCGTTAGCACTAACGAATATCAATCGCGGACCTTTCTACACGTGTATTGAAACCACATTAATGGCATTCGTTGGAGAATTTGTGCATTCAAATCTACAAGTCATTTCTATATTTATATATTGTTTCATCCTACCAATATGGCTATTGGCGTGTGATGAGCAGGTGGATGCACACGATCAAATGGCTAACCAGCAAAATATCAACAACGTCGAAGTAGTGGATCAAGTGGTAGAAAATGACAGAAACGTAATCTTGCTGGTTATTAGCGATCTTCTAATATATTTGTCGGTATTATTGCCGGGAACATATTTCTATGGAGGATGGTTTTGGTATCAAGAAACAGCGTTTGGCGAAAACATTTTTGATGAGGGTGCTGAAAAAGAATTATTTGCGAAACTATTGACAGTATTCGTCGTACAGATCATGTTTACAGTACTGTTGGTGAAAATAATTGGCGGTCTCCTATTCAACATTCAAATAAATTATTGGTGGTTATATATACTGGAAGTTATACTGCCATTTATCGCATTTCCTATAATAACTTTGGCAAGAACACTGACAATAACGAATACTCTATTCGTATTTGGAATGTTCGTGATGGTAATGGTTGTTTCACGGTTCAGCTTTGAAGGAAAAGCCAGTTGCCGTATGCGTCTAGTGAAATCTATGACTTTTCTTATTACAATTTTTGTATTGATTTTGGTAAAAGTACTAGCAGTACCCACGATTATACTTGTAATTGTAATATCAATGGTGGTAATCGCTGATTTACACTTGATCCTTGGGGGGAAAGGCAGTTGGGGTATGCGTATAGTGAAAATAATAATTTTGTTTCCTGTATGTGGTACATTGTTTTTGGTAAAAGTACTAATACCAACCCAGATTCCGGTTGTGCTTGCAGTGTTCGCATTGGGAATCGTAACTTTACACTCGATCTTTATTGAAAACCCAACCTGGTGGACGAGTATAGTGAAGACTACGACTTTATTTATCGCATTTTTTACATGCACACTTATTCTATCAATCTCAATAATTTATTTTGTACATGTTTGTAATCCGTCATCAGTAGATCAACACGAGTGGATCATTACAAACAGCGGACTCTCTATCGCTGATCAGAACCTCATAGACAATATTCAATGGCTTGACTTCGATGAACACCATTACAAACAGGCACAAGAAGATTTGAGCAAAATTATAGATAAATATCAATCGGAACATGTAATGAAGCGTCGATTGAAATCGGACAAATCCAATAAGCTATTAGGCAAGTTGTATTTATTGGAAGGCATTTTGCACTATAATCGGATGAATTTTTCAAACGCCAAAAATAGTTTGAAGAAGTCACTCGAATACAACAAGGATGATATTCACACCAATATTTATATGATAGATGTACTCGTTGCTCGCAATGAGACTAACGAATTACAGAATTATAATAGCACCATTTGCAAAAGTAAACATCTAGAAGCCAAACACGCTGCAGTATATTGTGAACTACTTTGCCAAATATATAGTCGATCGGAAAATAGCATGCTGTTAACTAGACTTCGTCCTCCAGCAGACGGATATTTTCTCAAAGATTCGCAGCGAACCTTTAGGATCGAACGCGACATATTAATTAGAAGTTTTCGTCAATGGCCAACTCATCGAGACTTAGCAAAATTGAGTGCACGTGCTTATAGCAACAAGAATATAATTCGCTATCACAATTGGATTGTTATTAGTAGATTCAATAATACTCAAGAAACTGGCTATTATGGCATCGCATTTCGGCATAATCAAACGAGAGAAATCGTCATTGCTCATCGTGGAACAGATATCAAGAATATCCCTTCGCTCAAAACTGACTTGATCTTATTTACTTCAAATCTACCTGAGCAATTTCGTAAAGCTCAAGTATTTACTGCCAATATAAGTCAACAGCTTGAACCAAATAAAATCCTTTGGCATACAGGTCATTCACTAGGCGGTGCTATAGCTGAATTTTTAGTAGCGAATGACATGCGGTTTAGTAGAAACATTTCCAAGCCATTGTCATTTGCTGTTACATTCGATGGTCCTGGTATTATGGAGGTTCTTAACTCATATTATTCTCGCAACAATTTAGAACCTATATTACCAATAGACTTCCCAGTCATCAGTTATCTTTCAGATCCAAACATAGTCAACACGATGGGTACACATATTGGTCTCGTTCTTCAATTACTCCGTTTTCCCGTCGTATTTGAGTGGACACGGCATCCAATCATACAAGCTTTTTTCAATGTAACGAGCAGTAAATTGTTTGGGGAGTATAAGATAATCGTCGACTTTCTAATTACACATTCAATTGAACAGTTGAAATCACATAGCATACAATCAATTGTACACGGCTTCGAATTGCAACCGGATCCAAGTGGTATTAAATTAGGAACACAGACAGTCATCAAATGGCCGAAAGGAATACAAGATTTTGCTCGATTACAGCATCTTGAGTTGAGCAGAAGTATGACGCGGTTTGGCGCTAATAATGAGGGTATACATAACGAAACACAGTATGATCCACGTATAAAGCAATCTTTTTATCATACAATCGATTTAAGTAATGATATATTCAGCATCCTCCCAATGACAGCATTTCCTGAAAAAGTCCAAAATTTTCTCAAATACTTAGCAGAACCATATGGAGCACGAACTGGATTAAGTCAATTAAATACTGCTTGCAGGACATTTGAAATGATCGACAAACTAACGACCAGTTTTTTCTTCCAAGCGTTGATCTATGCTGGTGCTTCAAGTCTTGCATTAGATCAAGAATTTGTAAAGTTCGCCTTCGATCCTTCGGAACGTCCATATCTGCAAGATGTAGCATCAGAAGTGAATATTCTAACATTATACACTATCTTATCTTTGACAAATTCAGACGAATGTATAAAAGACAACTCCAATCATTAACGGATGGATATGAATGAAGGTGAAAATGTCAACATTGGTCTTTTTGCTACCAGTATCGACACCCCATGTTCCATGCGCTGACATTTTGTATTTGATGTCCTTTTAATTATCAATGTTTGGCTTTTACTTTTTCTCTTGAAAAAAACCTGCAACTTGAGAGTACAAATAAACTACATCGTGTGTTGATGAACCAAATAACATGCCCACTAATTAATTGGATTTTTGACGGACGAAGAAATCACGTATTGTATGAGAAGAAAATATAAAAGATATATTGCAATTATAACTAACGACTACAGATCAATAAAAATAAATTGATGTGTAGTTCAAATACCTTTCCGTTTTGCTGTCCCTACAGATTATGTTGTCACAATATACGCTTTTTCAAAGTTGCATACTTATGTTAAAATGAAGAGGAAATGCTTTTTTAAAGAATATGTCTCACTATTTTCATACATTAACAGTATGCAAGTGACCAAAAAAAGGTAAAGTAGGAATAATTCAAACAGGATCCAAAAAAATATCAATCAATCATTTTTTTTTCACTCTACAACTGATATCTGGGTAGCTTCATGATGATTATCACGCTGAAAGATTCTATTCTTTTGGAAGAAGAAGCAAAAGCCACTGTAATTGTTGTTTGATAATTACCTTCTAGTTTCAAATAAAGTTCTTTCTCGTCGAATGTCGATCTCTTTTAATCAGATCAAGATCAATACAAATATTTTCACGAATTATTTGCTTGTGAAACAATCCCATCAAAGAATTTTGTGCTGTTACAAAAGTAGCTAAACTTGTTCATTCGTTTGGCGAAAGCTTTCTATAGCGATTAAAAAAACACACATACATTGAAAGTATCGTGCTTTGACAAGCTGTAGAACATACAAATAGCAATGTACTTTACGTCGTTCCATTCACGGTGCACAAAAGGAAATAATAATTTCGATTATATCTCGCTGTGAGAAAGAATTATCAAAGGTGATTTCTTAACCAAAACTTATTAAACTTGTTTTTTCATCGAAATCTTTTTCTTACTTCAGACCTTCGGCCTCACCACGCTGAACAAATCGATGGGAGATTTTGCTCTACCTCATACAATGATTTATTCGTTATTGATAATAAAAAAGAAGAAAAGAGTGAATTATGCATTTGATTATAACCATATTAAATATATATATATATCAATTATCATTAGCTATTGTAGGAAAAAAGTAAAAGAAACTCGATTGATTCCGAAGGTGTTTTGTAACGAAAGAGTTTAGGTAGCATTTTTTGTATACACGGCCACAATGGCTTTGTCTGTTTGATGAATAAGAACTTGGCTGTGAAAATCAAACGAATTGGAATGGTTTTCATGAAAAGAATCGTCTTACTTTTCATTGTGTTCGAGACATACAGTTGTTCGTCGGCCTGATAGAGAAGTTGCTAGTTCAGCAAGGCGTGCCACGGGTCCAGGAGAGATGGAAACATCTTTACCTTAACCAACAAAACGCGTTGAGATAAAAAGAAACGAACGTTTGTCGATTACTGGTTAATATTAAGCCACTTTTATCACAGACGAGAACGCCTTTTGCATCAAAACCAATGAGTGTAAATTTTTCTATCCTAAATCAAATATGGAAAGATTGTATGTATTCGCAATGGAATGAAAGCATACGCATTGTCAACGAGTGTTTCGAAATTTTTGTCCATAATTATGCTAAAACACACTAGAACAAGAAAAACGAGATGATTACGGGCTGTTGAAAAGTCTTATCATAAACACATGTTTTTATTTCTACAAAAATCGTGTTGTTATGAATATGATAAAAGAAAAAACCAGGATTTCAGAGAAAGAGAGAGAGAGAGCAAGAGAGAAATAATGTCTAAAGACTAGGGATATTATATTTAAATGGAAGTAAATCATTGTCTATTCTTCATTGCCAGCTGGATGATCTTCATGTGTTAATTCACGGCTTGCTTTTTCTTCTTTACGTAATCGTCGTCGACGTAAACGTAGTTCTCGTTCGTATTCTTTGGCATCATCAAGTTTACTAAACAACAACCATTACAAAGAACTACGATCCAAGTAGGGAAATTTACCTTTTATATTCGCATTGCTCCCAAGCATGGCGTTCGGGTTCACAATAGCCATACTGTGCTGGCCAATACTGTTGTGTACATAACATAATAGCGCGAAAATAATGAGCACAATAGTCTCGTTTGTCAAGAGGAATATTCAAAGTTTGCATTTCTTCTTGAGTGTAGGGAGCAACTAAAACAACCGTTATCTTTTAGATAAATTCGGAATCTTCAAAGTTTTTCGATTACCTTTTGGTTTACGACCATCCGGAAAGCCGTATAGCTGAAAAGAAAGGCAAATTTGACAAGGTGAAAAGTAAAAGATCAATTTCTTCATACCGGATCAAATGTTGGTCCTTTGGATCGGTCGGGATATTGTTCTGGATGTCGAGCGCGATCGACAGAGCCGCTAAAATTAATACCCATGCTATTTATCGTATCTAAAATAACAGTTCGCTGTTATTTTGTAAGGCAAAGACTGATAAAGATTTGCTAAAGTAAAACTTTCGCTTAAACACAATATGTAGTTTATTTTATTGTTGTCACTGAGTTTGAAAAGATGCGATTCGTTCTCATATTTACCACTGAACTTTTTGCGGAAGATTAGCATACAGATTTGATGATTTTAGAGTATGCTATCGCTGACAAAGATTAGGAAAAAAATAATCATGACGCTTGAGATAGATCTGTTTTGAAATGATGGCGAACTCTGTCGATGATTTGATTGGCTCGTAAAGAGACCAATCATCATCTGATATTTCTATCTTCGCAATTTTTCCAGAATCATCTCGCTAAGGATTGTTCATTTGCATATATATATTCTGAAGCAAACAACGAAGTACTATCTCATATTTTCGTCATGGCAGATATTGTCAAAGCTGGATGGTTAATTCGTCGTACAACAGTGTTAAAACACTGGAAACGTGAGTGGTTTATCCTGACAAACGATGCTCGTCTACGTCGTATGTCCAGTCCTGACAAACAATTCGACAAAGCAGATGGTGTTTTTCAATTGAGTCGCTGTCGAGAGTTACGCATCGGTGCCGAACAAGTAGCATACGACATCGAACCGCCTGAAGGAGCATCACGTGCACAGATGATGCAACTTGTTCCTAGTGAAGGTGATACGTGGACCCTATGTGCTGAATCGACTGATGATTTATTAGCATGGCAAACATCGTTTGACGATGTTCGCCAATTGCACATTGAACGCTTTCAACAACAACAAGCACAACTCAATAATATTCAATTACCGCCTGGTCGATATGATTTCGCCTATTATCCTGGTGTTTACCACGGTGATTATCCCCATCAAGTCTACCGTGCACCTGATGGATCAACGCATACAGTCATTTTTGTTGATCGCGGCACCCGCTATGGCACAGGCAGTGATCTAGCAGCGGGCGCATTAACTGGCATGGCACTCGGTAGTCTGATGTGGTGGCCATTCTTCATGTTTCCATTGATGTGGTGTTAATGTGAAAAAAGCAGTCAAAACGAAATTTCTAGTTTTTCATGTGCAATCTATGTTTTTCTCTTTCTTTCATGATCTCGATGTTGTCTTACACGTAATATCAATGCATGTACATAATCTTAAATGTTTTATCGAATAAACATTTCAAAGCACCTTATCACTGATCGAAAAAGTCCAATGTATATATTTTAAAACTAAAATCAAGGAAGACAACGGCTTATTTTTGCTTGAGTTTTTCTGTAAGTTCTGGCAAAATTTTGAATAAATCACCAGTAAGTCCATAATCAGCCATAGCAAAAATTGGAGCATCACCATCTTTGTTAATTGCAACAATCACTTTACTGTCCTTCATACCAGCAATATGTTGAATGGCGCCTGATATACCGATAGCAACGTAAAGATCAGGTGCGACAATTTTGCCTGTTTGACCAATCTGTAAATCGTTAGCACAGTAACCAGCATCAACAGCTGCTCGCGAAGCACCGACAGTTGCTTGACCTGGAAATAGGTCAGCTAAATCATAGAGAAGTTTGAAGTTTTCTTTGCTCTTCAGTGCTCGACCACCAGCGAAAATCTACAAATAAACAAAATCAATACACCCTCAACCTACAAAAGACAAACATACAATTCGTGCAGCAGGCAACTCAGGTCGTTCTGATTGTTGAACTTCACGTGATACAAATTCTGACAAATCATTTGTCGGTGATGCATCAAGTTTTTCAACTTGTGCCTGTCCACTTCCGCCACCTTCTTTAGCAGCTTCGAATGCTGTGCCACGTACAGTAATGACTTTAACTTGATCATTAGATTTCAGTTTAAGGATCGCATTGCCAGCGTAGATCAAACGAAGATATTGATCTTTATCAATCACTTTTGTGATGTCCGATATTGATTGCACATCGAGTAGGGCAGCTAAACGCGGTAAGATACCTTTCGAAAATGTTGATGAACCACCGAGAATATGCGTATAGTTATTTTTCTTCTGCAAATCGAGCAGAACAGGTGTGACTGCTTCACTAAGTAGACCTTTGTATGCGGCATTTTCAGCAATAAAGATTTTCTTGATATTGAAATTATTATATTTTTGCAATTGAGCGGCAGTTTCATTTGTTTTCTCAGCACCAAAAATCACACAGTCAACATCTTGCTTTAATTGACTTGCCGCAGTCAACCTGAATGTAGTATAAACCCATATAATCAAAATTAAACGAGCAAAAACCTACGTATTGAGAGTCACGGGTGCGATTTTGCCACCGTCGATTTGTTCAGCAAGTACTAAAGTACTAGCAAAACAATGCGGCCGAGCAGCTGACGTAGTCAAACGACATAAAATGTGTCGGGAATGTAACATCATCTAAAAAAAAAAGAACTTCCATTGCAGTAAAATTCTTATAAAAAGGATATTGATTAATCGAGAGGTTTTTATTTATTGTCGTTACTTTGTACTGTACCGGTTTTGATTTCGTTTTAGTCGTATATACGACTTGCCATTCAGTTGGCCAATCGCATACTCGTTTTTTGTAGCATTGTAACGACCTCTTACGTACGCCAATTCAGATTCTTACAGTATAGTATATCCTTTGCCTTGATAGTAGTTAAGGCGTATATATCCTCAATAAAAATTTTTATTCAAAATAAAACTGTCGAATAACGCATATTTCGTTCTATTTAAAAAAATACGGTTAAAACGAACATCAATATGATGACAATGGGAGAACTTCGCATCATTAGTGTTTTGCTTTCTGCTGGCGGCACAGGTTTAATAGCAACAGTGCGAGTGCGTAATGCTTTCAACGCTGACTCATCATTTTTGAGAAGTGGTTCTAAGATTTCCGAGACTTTTTGATGGTAAGTATTGATAGCAGCAATATGGTCATCGGTCAATAAAGTTTCATCAATCAATGATCGTTCATATGGTATTAATGTGATGGTATTAAACCGCAAGTATTGCTTGTTATCATATGTACTCTTGTTTGCCAATACAACTTCCATGTCATTTTCAATACGAATGCCAAAATCATTTGGTTTATAGAAACCAGGCTCGTCAGATAGGAACACTCCATCAGCTAAAGTCTCTTCATATTGAGAATATGCGGATGCAATTCGTTGTGGTCCTTCATGTACACTCAAATAGTGGCCAATGCCATGTCTAGATTGAAAAATCTCAGATCAAACGACTGTCTCGTTGTATGTGAAAGATCTACAAACCCTGTCCCATGTCCAAAATCCATTCCATCTCTGTACAAATGCATACGAGCTAGATGGTCAAGTGATCGACCGTACGTTCCCACGGGGAAAACAGCATTCGCAATATCGAGTACACCTTGCAAGACGCGCGTATAAGCACGTTTTTCTAAATCTTTCGGAGTACCGAAATGATGTGTTCGTGTGATATCTGTGGTGCAATCAAGGTATTGACTGCCCGCCTTGGAAAATATCGAATCGATTCAACGGTGATATCAATAGTTCAGTCATGTACTTACATCAAGTAGGTAGACTTCATTTTTGGTAATAAATTTAGCAGTTTCTGGTTCGGCACGATAATGAACAACGGCTGCTCGATCACCGGCTGCTGATATGGCTGCAAAACTAGGAAATTGAAAAAGATCCTGTTGCTGTTGATATACAAGTAATTGATCAGAAGATTGAGTTTCATTGATTGACTTTCCCTCATTCAGTTGTTGTTCAATCCATCCAAGATGTTTCATACGAACCACAGCATCTCGCACTTGACAATCTTGCATTCCTTTTCGTTCTTGTGCGTTTTTTTTCGCCTTGACGCGTTGTACAGGCGAATTTGCCAGTGGCATCCTAATTTTGCTTTCTGGAATCGAACTATAGATTGCTTGCGATACTCGTGGACTAATCCAAATTTTGCCAACACTCGAATCTGAAGCAATTGTGCTCAAACGTGGCAAGAACTTCGATATATTTGAAACGCGTACAAAATCTGGCCTATTCGATGGATCCAGTTGTGCTAAATTAACGAACAGTTCAGGTATGGATTCTTCGTAGTCAACGTAGACAATTGCATATGATTTAAAAAATGCATTGTATGGAATATCCGAACCACGTAGGTTAAACAGCCATGCTACTTCATCAAGTGCACTAATTACAGTAGCTGTTGCTCCTAACCGTTTGATTTCTGTGGTAACGCGATTCAATTTTTGACGAACATCTTCTCCTGCATATCGAAGATCGTGCTTCACAATTGGATTTTGAGATTCGACAGGCCGTTCATTAGCTGGCCAGATACGACCAACCAAATCATCGACAGGACGAAGTTCCTTTCCAATCGCTTTTAATGCACTGCTGGCGGATGACCACCATGATGTACTAGTAAAAACAGTAGTCGTACCGGGTGGCTAAGAAATGAAAAGCGATTCAGTATGTGAAAGGGATTAGTAAAATCTTACGAGAGTTGCTTGACTGGCTTCGGACACTAACCAATCGATCAGAGTTGGTACACCCGGATTTTTATCTTTCATCAAAAGCCAATTGGCACAATCAAGTTGTTCTTCGGCTTGAGTAAAATATCGACTATCGGTCCATAACGCTGCTTTGTTCAGAGTAACAACCGCTGTTCCTGCTGATCCACGAAATCCAGTAATCCAATCACGTCGCTTATCATACGGTTGCGTGTATTCACTTCCATGCTCATCATCAGCAAAAATAACATAAACACCAATGCCTTCGTTTTGCATTTGCTGACGAAGACTAGCTAAAAGCAGGGATGTGTCCTTCTGTCCTGAGCGCGGCTCACATGTATTTTGAGCATTTGTGCACACAAACAAACTACTTGCTATGAGAAGCGTGAAGATCAAGAAAGGCATTTCTAGAATCAACATAAAAACAAAGTGAAATCTTCCATATTACATTTGGACTATCAATCGAGTCATAATCATAAAACATCATGAAAAACGAACTGATTTATCTTTTATGATATATTTGCTTTTGCTATCGCATATACGTAGATGATTTGCTAAAGCGATAGAAAATCTCCTCTTTTGTCTTGTCAAGCAAGTACTTCTTGACGGTTGCTATATAAAGAGAAAAAAGCCATGTATAATATTATCTCCGTTGAGTATTTAGCAAATAAACATGACCTACTATGAGGGTTCGATTCAATAGTAGACGAGAGTCTTATCATTGAAATTTGCTAGAATCATCATTACGTGTTCTTTCTAATAATGTCACCGATAAGGAAGAATAAAACGAGAAGCGTAAAATGTATCTATGATCAACAAACAACAGGAATTGCAACTGTTTAAATGTTTCAGGCAATTATCATATCAATCATACGGTTTACTACTTGCATCTTCCTTTTATTATGATAAATAACTTGCAGATATATGGCGGGATATACTAGTTGATTGCTTGTCATTTGCCGCTTTGATTAATCTCCGACAATACGTACTCAATCAATGCAATCATATGAAGAGCTGATAGAATATTTTATTGATCATCAACAAACATACATACATATAAATATAAACATAAACTGTTCTTTTCTATTCCTTCTGCTAGCTCGTCTAGCAGTTTCTCTCTCTCTCTCATTGTATATACAGAAAACCGATTTTACTCTCGTAGAATACAAATGTTCTTTATTTTGTGATCGTTCATCTTTTTCTTAGAAACATTCTGAATTGACCCATTCGTTTTCTTTAATAAATTTTTCGACAATTTCTTTGAGGACAAGATTGTTGACGAGCTGATCGACAACTAAGGGTTTGTTAGCAATAGGATCCAGATGACTAACTTTGTAAAGATTTTCTTCAATACATGATCGACAATACGTAATACCAACTGAAACAAAGAATCGATGTTGAATGAGAATCTTTTTCGTGTTTTGTGCGATGACTTACATGGTGTAATAACTGGATCTCTCATTAGATCATAGCATAGTTTACATGTTAAATACTCAGGTATTTCTCGGCGTTTCCTTCGAATATCAACTTCATTAAATAAATTATTCATTTCATTCAAGGATTGATCAGTTGACTGTTCAATATCTCGTAGGGCTTGTTCTAGTTGAGGATCGACTGTGACGCTACTGTCGGCATCATGTACCGAGGTTAGTTTCGGACTAACTGAAACCATTGAAGCAAGATTCGTTGTTGTTTGTTGATTAGGATTATTCGTCATTCTTGACTGATAATATTTTAAAACCGTTGAGCTGTTTATCGATGATTGGGACAAATCTTTATCTTCATAATGCTTTTCGATACGTGTCTGCATGCGTCGTTCCTTGTCGGATTGTATCAATGAACGAAGATAAGTTTGTAGGCTGATTTCATTTTCAATACGTTTTTGTTCCATCAATGAAAACCGACGTTTTTGAGCATACCGTAACAAACGTTGAATTTCATCACCGAAGCTTTTATTCTGCGTCTGATTTTAACAGAAAGCAAGAAATTATGTCTTTCTTTTCTTGTAATTCAAAAATACAAACTTTGCATAAATCTAATGCTTGTTTGAAACATGTTATCGCTTCATCGTACCGTTGTTGTTCAATGTAATATTGACCTAAGTAGGCATGTGCTTTGATATAGTTAGGATCAAGATCTAAACAATGTCGAGCATCTTGATAGACCTTATCCCATTGTTTCAATTTAATGTAACACAGAGCTCGGTTGACATAATAAATCGCTTTTTCACCATTCTGTTTCAATGCTTGATTGTAACAATGAATCGCATCATTGTATTTTCTCTGTAAGAAATGTTTGTTACCTACGTACAAAAAGAAAGACAATTAGTATATCTTGTCTATCTCATAAGTATTCACAATATGATATCTAAGGTTTCATGCTCATCAATCAAGTGCTTTGACTGATAGTAAAGATATCTTAGATGTTTCTCGTGCATAATCGAGGAAATGATTCGAATTGTCGATGTACTAACCTTTATCTTTGATTGCTTCACCTTTTTCTGCAGTCATTGTATTAACATTACCATGAAAGAATAGGAAAGAGATATCTACAAATAAAAATATCTATTGAATGTAATCTGACGAAATATTATCTTAATCCGTTGAAATGCATTATGTAAAGAAAGTTTGATTTCCAATGTTCATTTAGATTATAGTAGTACGAGGAAATCGAACAGCGAAAGATCGTTTCTCCAGTTGATCCAATTCATTCTGATGATAACTTAATTTTGAGAACAGAAGTCGTCGAAAGAAGTGCACTGAGAATGTACAATATAATATCAAAATAGGTACGATTATACTCGTTGTAACAATGGCTGCTTGTCGTGTTAAAAATAGAAATTTTATCCAGCATACAACAACCATTTGTACTACGAATAAAACTATACCTTAATTAAATGGAAACAGACAGACGATTTCGCCTAACCGAAAAAAAAACATTCATTTCTTACCAACACACGTACTTAATATCCAAGCAAACTCTGCATAGACATAAATAATATCTCGTTCCCGACAAGTGAACAAATGATGAATTTCAAATAATGGCAATATACACGAGCTGAGCATTAACGCGAACAGATGTACACCTACAACAAGACATGTTAAACTTATATAAATAACGATCAATGGCATCGGTGTAACTGCGTCTTTGTAATCATCGAACGAGATTTCAACCATGGCAATCTAGAGAGAAAGAAAAACTTTGTATACAGATGAAATATATATCTCATTGAGGCAAAAGTACCTATAATGCGTCACTAACCATAGCGAAACCGGATAGTAGTGCACTTGTGCGTGATATAGCTTTTAATTTAGTTTTATGAAACAGACGACGGTGATTATCGAATAGATAATTCTGGTGAACTTGTTCATCATTCATTTCGATTTCGATTATCAAATATAATGGTGATTAAATCTGACGCATTTCTAATTGAAGGAAAGGAAAACAAAACAGAACATAACAAGTCCAAGGAGCGTCTACGCATTTCTTGTCGTTTTTCGATATAACATGGAAATCAGATATAGATGGCGCTTCACTCCTTTCATTACGATAGCATACAGAGCGAGTTGATGAGGATTTTAGTGAGAAAAATGAGTGAAAGACAACATGTTGATGAACATTCCAAATCGTTTTTTATCAGTTATACATACGGATCTCATCCGTTTTTTGTTGTATATGAAATTGAAAAAGAATCTATGGAACTAAACTGAAATGTCTCTAACTTTTCGAGAAAACAAGGAAGTATAAACAGAGCATTAGTGATCTTATTTTATTGCATGTCGTAATTGTATAATCCTTTGCTTATTTCTAATTAGTTTCCTTGAAACAAATCGTTTATTTGTAACCGTTAGTTCGTTGAAGGCAATCAGAATAACTGTGATTGTTCACTTGCTCGTACTGTATAAGGGCTTTCTTCGCCAAATCTTTAATTCAGAAACAATTCATTTCTCTCTCTCTCATTACAAAATTTTAATTATAAGATCCAATCAAATCTTTGGACTCGTTGATTATTCCAATCAAGAACATAAAGATTTCCTTCTCCGTTCCCACCGACGATGATCTCACCTTTCTGTTCACCTTCAATCCAACGCATTATTCGATGATTTGAAAAATCTGTAATATAAATTCGACCCAATTCATCGATAACTATTCCTTGAGCGAAATCCAATTGATTAAGATTATTTCCTCTTCCATTCCCACCGGCAACAACAATTCCTTCCGTCGCACCCTTTCTCCATTTCATAACGCGATCATTTCCACTATCTGAAATGTAAACAGATTGTTCCTCATCAACAAAGATATAGTGACAAGAATCGAATTGATTTGGGTGATTTCCTTTCCCATATCCACCAGCAACTAATTTCCCTTCGCCCTTTTCTCCCATTTTCCATCTTCTCACTTCGCTTTTGCTACTATCACACGTATAAAGAAATCTATCTTTATTCATGGCTAATCCCGTACACGAAATACTGTCAATGAGAAGTTCTTGCTGATTTCGATTGAACCATCGTATCACTCGATTGTTTCCACCATCAGCAATGATTAATGAATGATCCTGTTCATCAACAATCACATATCTTGGTCTATTTAGTTGATCGAGTCCCGCTCCTGTTTAGTGGCGTAACCAAGGATGGGCTAGGTTGGGCGGCGCCCAACCACCGGGGCTGTTCGCCCAACCAACGGTAACTTTTTGAAAACTGATTTCTTAAAATTTATACATGATCATGAACCATCACTATTTTTCAAAGCAGAGTGTTCTCTGTCATAGTAAAAATCATTGGTTTATTGAATAAACCAACAATAAGCATTTCCCTTATATTCGTGACTTCAGTTTTCAGTTTACGAGAGAATTTTATGAGTAACATTGTGATGCTGGTTACGATCTATATTCTTACTGTTAATATGCAATTTAATGATATAAAGAACGAAAGCGAAATACTCTTCACTCCTTTTTCCGTTCGTAATTTAAGAGAAAAAAACTTGATACTACTATTTCTCGTGTTGATGAATTTCCAGAAAAAGCAGAATCTCGTTCATCATCTTCATCAGCAACAATAGCAAGAGTACGAAAAACCACAAGATTATCATCCAGATTTTAAAATACTGTTATTAACAGTACTATTGGCCAACGTACGCAAATGAACAATGAAGAACAAATCTTTTTAATTCTTTAATTGATTCGATATTAATCGAACTAAATAATTGGTTTTCTTTCGAAAATATCGATATTGTTAGTGAAATTTCAGCTAATTGTACTGGCAATGATAGTTTTTTGGACTGTATCAAACTGAAACCGTTTGCAATACAGATGGCAGTCGATTTATACTTATAATACAATGAACTAAAAGTTTTGAAGTCGATGTTAAAAGCGTCAAACTTAAAAACAATTGTCGATCTATATATGGAATTATTACCTTTGAAACCAACGTTTTCAACAGTGATGCATCTTGTTGTTACTGCAATGTCTGTACCTGTGCCATCTACGACATGTGAACGCACATTTAGTAAAATGAAACTGATAAAAACAACCACATGTAATTCTAAGTCAGATACTCAATTGAATGACTTTTGTGTTTTACCGATTGAACACGATTTTGATATCGATTTCGAAAACTTGTTTATGACTTTGCTGACGCACATAAAAAGCATGATCTTTGTACTTTTCAATAAACAAGCAAGCCAGTATTTGACAAAGTATTTTAAAAATTAGTACGCCCTGTATATGTGGTCTACGAAAAAGAATATAACACTTCACTGAAAATAATCTTTTTCAAACATCGTCAGGGCGTCGCCCAACTACCTTTCAAATCCTGGTTACGCCACTATAGAAGAGATCAAATCTATTTATATTCGAACTGAAATTAGTCTATCAGATGTCCGTTTATAATATAAGTCGAATTAGGCAACTCATGACTTTTTCGTAACTCAACAATCGTATCTAAAGTAATGAGACAATCATAACAACGAGACGTTTAGATTATCAAACTTGAAATTGTAATCATTTTTGACGGTATTTTCAATTACATCATCCTCATATATAATTAGTACTACGTTTACGTGTTGTTTGCTATTGAATTACGGAAGTTTCAGAAGCTTGGTGCGAGTAATTCGTAATCAGAGCATGAGCTGCTTAATGTAACTTCGAATGCACATGAATACTGGAATGTTTTTGTTAACTTCAAAAATAAGTTAGAAAGATGAGAATTGAACCTTGAAAATGTATTAGAGCTGAATGCAGTTCTAATCTCGTACATGTATAGAATTATGTTTTCCTTCAGAAATTATTTTATATTTCGATTTGCGTTTAAAATCTGCATTTATATTCGACTGAATCTGGAGAAGCTGCTGATTCAGCTGAGAACTTCTCTGTTCGATGTGAAATTGAAAAGTTATTTAACGAACAAATCAACGATTTTGTACGATGTTCGATTTTTGTTTGACTATATGCATGAAGCTGTATAATCAAACCACAGTGTTTTGGCGACTTTGGGCTCTATTTACGAGTTTTGAAAATCAAAATGCCGTTATTTTTCTTTTTCGTCTTATATTGTCGTCAGAGATTCATTTTGAGAGTAAAAATGTTTGTCTAGGAAGAAGAAGGAATGTTTTTTCCAAGTTTCATAAAACGTGAAGGAGCACATTACTTATATCGTTCTCTACCAAACCACCATTTCTCACATCTTACAACAACTACCTTATAAATAATCCAATCTCATAGCAATGGCAAATCAGAAACAAGGCAGTTTGGATATGTTCGAGCAGACACCAACCACCTTTCAACAAGCAAATGAATTTAATCGTATAAAGATTGAAGAGACGCAAGATGTTTCTGTCATTTGGCTTGACGCTCACATTCACGGCAGTAATCCAGATTATCAAAATGCAATCACACATCTTCAATACATTGTCAATGATATTTATACATTCACTGATAATGATGAATGTATCGATTTCATTCTCACTCTCACCGACACAGATGTTTGTTTGATCACGTCAGGATCAGTTGGACAACGTCTTGTACCTTGTGTACATGATATTTCAAACATCGATTCGATCTTCATTTTCTGTGATGACCAAAATNTGCCAGGCTTGCGATAATTTTGAAAATGTTTTGACGAATGGATCTTCCTCAATGAAAACATTCGACAAGATATCATTTTGTTGACAGGAGAGAAAAGAATCCGATTATCGCTGGAAGACACAGGCGAATGTTCAAACTTTTCAAGTAGTCTACTGTATATCGTCCATATATGAATGACTGAGTAAAGCATTTATGAAAATTTCCATGCGCGTGATGTGAACAAAGAAAAACAGATGACAAAGGTCAATGGTTGGTCGCGAGTGGCCGTCTGACTAGTCGTTGAGCGATGAATTTTTCATTCAACATAGTTAATGCTGGAGACTTATCCACCCCAGATCGAACAATCCCATACTAGGATCCCATCGGATCCAATACAGAATTTTATCAGATCCTACAGGAATTCGACGGATCCGATGAAATCCTGGTGACGGAATCGCATTGGATTCCGACGGTTTCGGATCTCGTCGGATTCGAAACATGGATTTCCTGGATTTTTTAAGGGTCATCATAGAATATAGCTAGAAAGATCGCTCATAAAATTTGCAACAACCGACGGGATTTTTCTAGTCGGATTCCAATGCAATTCCGTTTCCAGGAATCCGATCGGATCCAGCATCGGATTTGTTGACCTGGGACTGACAAATGGCTAATCGGTCTGATTCCTAAAAAGACTTGTGCATCCTATTCATTCTAGTGTGTGACATAGTGTCATGATTCAGTTGAGTACTAGTAGCAATCGCAGTGCGTTTTTTTCTCTTTCGAAGTCTCTGAATGTGTTCAGCATTCGGAAAAGTCTTTCAGAAAAGGGTCAGCGAATCCAAAGAATGAGCGTTACTTTTGACTCCAAAGAACAAAAATTAAGGTTGCATCAAAACACAGCAGGAAAAGCAGTAATAAAAATTGTCTAGACAGTATTTGTCTCGAAGAGAGGACTTCTTCATTATTCATGATCGGTTCATGATGATCAAAAAAGCTTTGTTGAGGAATATAATCTAAAATGAAGATTCGAATTAGATGAAAATCTCTTATTACGGTCGTAGATAACCAACCCAATTTATCTTCTTCGTCTTGGTCTCGAGCGTGCGTTTCATAAAGAGGTGGCATAATTAATGATAAACTTTGTACGGATTGATTTAACATATTCTCGCGATTTTGATTCAAATGTTCTGAAATATGATAAGAAATAATAGATAAATCGAATCAACAAAACTGAATTGACCTTTAGTAATTTAGCAGCATCAAAACAACGAATGTGATCGAAGGCTTCGATTAAGTAACTAAAATCGTGTTCATTAATGTTATCTTGATCGAAAAGTGAATCCATTAGATCGAGAGTTCCATCGAGTGTTGGATCGTCTCGAATACGTCGTGGAACATCATTACCAAGATAAAAATGAAGACGTTTTCGATCGTCATTACTTAAACGATCTTGTAAGTTCAAAATAATCGCACGTAATCGAACACTATCCATTGAAACTATGTCAAGATCCTTGCTTGAAAATGATCAAAATGGTTAAAGATGAGAATCATATCTCATCCGGAGGAACTTTATGTAAAAGAACCTCTTCCCACAAGGTAATCGATTTCCCATCAAATGGTAAAAATAAAACATTTGAAATGTGAAATCCAATGATAAGAACGACAAAAGTACGGTGAGTTGATACAAACAACGTTTTTGTCGAACTAATCGATTGTTGCTTCTGTATTTTAGTGTTAAAAGCTTCATCTTGGAGTCTGACAGAACTTTTTCTTCCAAATTTACAGAGCAGCCCGATGAGTATTTCTCATACTTCATTGAAATCTCTGGTTTTCAGATTGTATTATCAAAAGAGTGTGTTTCGAATGACTTTCATTTGGAATGAAATTATACAAGTGATGAATTTATCTATTCTTTTATTGAATTTAATCGAGTATAAACAGCAAACACGAATATCTGCTCATTGCTATTTCTCCTATCATCGAAAAAGAATCCAAACGAATAGAACAGTTCACTCGTATTAATCCAATAGATATGGATTAATATACACATGTCGAAGTCGTGAATATAAGCCAATATGATGCACTAGATTAGGTTCTACTAAGTAAGTTTGCAATTGAGTTCGTTTTGGTAGATCATCAAACGCTGTATCGATCGCGTATCCATTATGACATTTCACACTGTTCAAATAATCGATGACTTGCTGATAAGTTTGTCGAAAGTAGAGTACACCTGGTAAACAACAAGAGGGTGCTGGGTATATTGCGTAAAAGGACGGATGTAAGGAGCGCCATGACCAAGAGACATTGGAATGATTCAATAAAATAAGTGTCAATGTTATCAAAAGAAAATAAAAGATAAAATATTGTAGTTGTCTCGTAACAAAATCTATACAGATCAATTCAAATACTTGATAGATATTCGACGAAAAGTATCTTACTGTAAGATGTGCCATGTGTATGATGATTACTATATTTACTCTTGTTCTGTAATTAAAGTTTACACAAAATAAACCCATTGAAAATGAAATCAACATACTTGTTTTATCATTTGAAAGGTATGAAAAGCGATGAAAGACATGAATGTCAGAAAGAGACTTGTAGCAATTAATTGTACAATAATGTACAATGATGGATGCAGATAGTCAATTAACCATCTCGGGTGGTAAATTTTCACAAAAGCTGGATGTTTTCGTGGACCATCTTCTGGCCATTGATGTTTAACACGCGAGTCAATCAATGACACTAATCGTGAATAGAAGTTCTCATGAACCGGCTCCGCATCGTCTTGTAACAACAGGAAATAGTTCACGTGAGAAAATGATTGAAAATTTGCGAGAATACACTGTAAATGTGCCTGTTTTTCTTGTTCGTACATATCAAATATTCCATTCGGGGAAATCGTATTCACAATAAAAACAGGTACTAAACGTCGAATAAGATCGATTTCATCGGAAATTTTATCATTCGAATTGTTATTCTCGCACAAGGTAATGATAAAACGTGAATGATAGTTCTTCAGTAGTTGATACAGTACTTGACCAACATAAAATTTGCCTTCACGATGGTCGGTATCTTGTCGACTGTATAAAATCGAGATAACAATTTGCTCGGTGACACTTGTCACATTGTACACTGGTTTCGATACGGGTTGATGAAACAGTTGATATGACGATAAACGAGAATCGTATGACTTAATTTGTAAAAAATCATAAAATCGTGATTGTTCACTGTGAGTCGAGATGATATGAGAGTAATTTCTCGGATTTTTCCACACGTTATCAAGCCATTCGTAAGCCTCTCGCTGCTCTTGTTTTTGCTTGAGAATTAACTTATTTCGAACAGCATCAGTCGCCTGATTTTCTGGTACAACACGTGTTACATTGAATAAAAGACCAAATGGTTGATAATAGGACACACAACAAGCAATACATGTTACGATTAGATACGTATATAGATGTATACGGTGATGCCAATGAAAGAAAATAAATGTCACATAGGATATGGCAGATTTAATGATATTACGACGATATTTCAAACGTGAGAAGAACATTTCTGGTAGGATGAAACATTTCATTAATTTCTGAATTGAAAAATTAAATGTTTTTACATTACTGCTCGTGAACAAATTCAAAATTCGATTTAACTTCACTTCCGAATGAAAGAACGTACAAAAAAGAAAGATTACCGCAGCAAGCAACGTAAGTTATTCATCGTTTATTGACACATCATATCGTCTCTTTTCTCTCTCAATTCTGTTATTTACCATTCTTGTTTTATATTTGTCCTCTCATCGTCGATAGACGGCAACAGTAGTAGGTCGATGAGAGACTTACTTGCCGTTCCACGTACACACAACAATTGCATCGATCCAGCTCATATTTTTATTTGAACACGTAAATTTCACAAAACAAAGTAAAGAACATTCGCACTTAGAAGAATACAATAGAAAAACGACTTCTCTCATCTGCCTTTCAATATCAAATAAAACAAAACATTTCACTAAATCGAAATTCTACGTTTCTTTGTGTTTCTCTGGTAAATATACAAAGACGATAGGATGATTGAATAGGTTAGACAACGACGAAGAGAATTTCGTCAAGTCAATTTGATTCGAATCACCTGTCGATTGAACGAATAGATCCATTTGAATTTGTTCCTCATTCGATAATAAATTCGAATGGGAATTCGTCGCTTTACACTGATCATAATAGATATACCAACAGTTAAATTGAAGATTTTTGTAGAACATGATTTGACTGTTTGTTTCATTCGAATGACAGAGAATTGCTAATAGTTTATACACAAAAACGTGTTGATCTACATCTTTATCACATAGATTTTCAATCGAAAGAGTTGAGTTCGGTAGGAATACAGCTCGAGTCTTGGAATTTGTTCGAATTAATAAACATTCAGGAAGGGAGAGAAGTACTGTACTTGCACTCGTCGGTTGATATTGCTGAATTGCTGTTTCTATAGTGACAAGTTCTGCACTGTCTGAAAATAATGTCAAATATGTCTTGGTACGACTGTCAGTGAATGTTAACCATTGAATTTTTGACCATTCATTGGCAATTTCATTGTAAATAGTCGATAATTGTGGATGCGAAAGAGTTCGTTTCACTGACTCATGAGAATTCGTCGTGTGGGCTGTATGCGATCGGCGAGTGTCAGGAATAGACTCGACTTGATTCATTGGAAAATAGTTATTCGGAGGTAAATGTATGGGAATCGGCATTGTATCATCTAAATTCTCAGCGGATATCGATATCGATATGAATCAACATATCAAAACTTACCTAACGGATAAACACGTGTTGGACTGTTCTGTTGTTCATCTTCGAATTGCTCAAAACCGATATAAACCTTCATTTCATTAGAATAAATCTTTTCAAAACCAATCGGTGCGAGTTTCGCCGCCATAGATTCGATCTGAAGAAAAATGCACATTGAGTTATTACCAGATATTTCTAACAAGGTTAAAAAATGCAAATAAACTTTAGTTAAAGAATACCAAATCAGTGTTTTTTATCAACATAAGCAACGAAGAACGGGACAAATCAAATATTATTCCTTATCGTTGTTTTATATGACAGGAACACACTCTCGATATGAGCTTAATCTCCTTCCGATCTGTTGTTGACGTAATTGAGTTTTACTTCGTATTGATCTTCTTGCGAACCATTTCGAGCGATTCAGTCGAATTTCATCGTAGAGGAGAAAACCAATACAATCAATCCATGGTAATGTGGTCAGATAAAGAAACATTAACCTCGGATGATTCGTTAATGAAATTTTCAATAGTTTGATTGTGATTATTGGTAATATAACTAGAAGGTTACTGAGAAGAAATACGAATATGTTGAATAGACGTTTTAGACTATGATTAACCATTGTTAAACGCTCATGTTCGGAGTAATGAGTGTAAATCAATGAGGAGAAGAAGACTGTTGCGAGACGTTTTCGTTTTAGATTCGATATATCTTTATAGGAGATGGAAATCCATGAAAATGTAATGAGATCTATTAATATAAATAGAATGTACGTGATCAATGTTGGTATCGATGATCTTTCCTGTCTCGGATGATCTTTTTCAGATGTTATTCGGCAGATTTCTATAAGAAACGGATTAGTTCCATTCATTGTCATATGCACCGACAGGAAAAGTAGAGAAATGAAATAGTTTAAGAAGATTCCGAATGTTAAACAACAACGAGAATAAATTGTACTTTTCTGATTAATAGTCGAATCCCAAAAATGTGCTGTTTCACCCACAATCATTAATAATAAATCAAATGTCGATAATAGTAATAAAAAATGAATAAAAACTTCAACTGATAAACAATATCGAAAGACAACGATCGAAAAACAAGCGAGTAGGATGATACTACTTCGCATAATACAGATAATCAAATGATGGAAAAGATATAAGTTAAAAGTCGAAGGATAATTCGACAATTTCTTCGAATGCCAACTTTTCATTGCATTCCAAACGCCGAGAATGAGTTGAATGAACAAAATGATTGTCAAAAGCAAACTCAAACCTAATAAGAACGATACATGGAAGATCGAGACGAGAAGTATTGCTGCCATTGATGAGATGTTTATTTCCCAAACCATTCATTAACTGTTATGATCACAAATCATATCAAATAAACTAATGGTTAAGCAAACACATCAGTGACATCCCTCTTCTTCTTCTTCTTTTCTTCTTCTTCCTCCGCATTCGTCATATTTTATATAACAATAATCATTTTTCCTCTCTTCTTCTGTTGATAAGGCTCATTAAATCAACGATATCGAACAGAGTTGATTCATTCTTAACGATCATATTAGATGTTAATTAGAAACACATGAGATGAAGAAACAACAACAGCATGAAGTTAGAATCATCGCGGTGTAGGTTTGGCTAAGACAAACAATAATAGCTCGTATTAATCAAGAAATACCACATGAATGTATTTGAACAACGTCGAAGAATTTATTTGTCTTACTTTGATTCTTGTGTTTGAATAAATATTACATTACGGGGTTGAGAGTGAGATAGCGTCAGTTTTAAAAAGCAAATGGAACACTGATAAGCAAATAGGTGCGAGGTAGTTGTAAGGAAGAGAAAATTCCAGTAGCGTCATTATTGACTGGAGACAAACAGAAACAATAATATTTGCAAGATAAACGAATTTATCTGTGAACAAAATCAAAGTAAAATTTACTTATTTTACTTGTCTCGTTGACATGAAGGTTTTAATTGAGTTAATCAACATAATCGAATCATGGCACCGACCAATCACGACAAAGAACAAATCTTTTTAGGGATTGGTTAGATGCTGCAGTCAATTAGGATCTTTTATTTATCGGAATTGTTGTTTTTTCGAAAGAAACTCTATCAGCCTTCGCCGAACGTCTGTATCACAAGATATAGTCGTGCACTTATTCAATTATCTAAGCCTTTATTCATTATTAATGATATCATGGTTAATGTGCGCTGTCGGTAGTTCCCGAAGAAAAACAACGACAACAACAACACCACCACCACCATCTTCTTTGTTCTCCTTCGCGCTCTACTGGATGTCATCAGCAAGAGGTTTTCATCGCGACTGATTATAGTCTTAATTAAGGTATAAGCGTTTGTTTGTTTTTATTGGAATTTCAATGGAAATTTATGCAAGAAAACTATTTCGATGTATATTTTTTATGCACCCAGTCCTTGAGTATGATTGATGCTGCATTAAATCCTGGCATACCCGTCACACCACCTAAAGCAATTTTAACACTACAGTGATATTCTTGTTGCTTTTATTTTATTTTCGTTTACCTCCGGGATGAGTTGAACTACCGCAGAGATAGAGTCCGTGGATAGGAGTACGGTGATTAGAACATGATATCGCCGGTCGGAACGAATAGAGTTGGTCAAGTGGAAGTGCGCCGTGAAAGATATTTCCACCTGAAATATAAATGTTTCTGTAAAAAGTATTAATGAGGAAAGTAGTGTACCTGTTAAGGAAAATTGTTCTTCCAAGTCAGAGGGAAAGAGCATGTCACGTCCGATAATTAGTTTTTCGAAGCCAGGTGCGTATTCTTCGATCGATTTAATCACACTTCGATAATAATTTTCCTTGTATTCATTTGTGATTTCGATATGTTTACCATTTGGTAAACGATAGGGCGTGTATTGCGTGAACAATAGAGCTACATGGCAGTTTTTTGGTGCTATAGTTGGATCGAGTGATGAAGGAATAACCTATAACAGAACATGAATAAATTAAACTTCAATCGGTTAGTTACGAACCATTTCAATTAATGGATTTTGACTTGGTTTTCCACCCAATGCTTCTTGATAGGCCGTCTGCAGGCCAGCTATCGATTCGCTGTTCATATGTATCGTGCATTGATGATGAGGTTCAAGTTCATTAGGTTTTCTATTCGGATCTGCTAGGAAATTTCTGAAAAACAATGGACACGATTATTTGGAACGTGTTAGTCGTTAGACTTTTACGGTAATCCGGATAATGCTAGATTGATTTTCGTCGTTCCACTAGTATAATCCATTTGTGAGACATGTTGCTTCAGGTGACTTAATTCTTCGTTTGATTTCATGATATCATCAGAAATTAAGTTTTGAAATGTGATATAAGCCGTAGCATTGGAAGCAACGAGTTTGCCTTTGATTTCTTCTCCATTGTCGAGAACGACACCTTCGACTTTCGAATTACGTACATCGATGTGTTTTACACTACAATTCGTTCGAATTTCTACACCAGCTGAACGAGCCGAGGAAGCTATAGCATTACTTATGCCACCCATGCCACCTTGAACATAATACCATGCGTCTAGGAATCGATTTAGAATTTATCAGTTGTTTTTAAAGTTTGTTATGTCTTTCATGAAATGGCATGTTATACCTTAGTTAATCTTTGAGAAAAAACACGGCCTAATTTGTCTAAGCAACGATGAACTGTTCGAGAAAAATTTCCCGTGGGAAATAATCATATCTTTCTACTTCTAGTGTCTATATACGACCTTAAAAGTAAATTTGATTGTTTGGGTGTATATTTCTTTTTTTTCTTTCTTTCTTTTTGGTAATATGATCTTGTTACCAGAAAAATGTCTTTTTTCGATCATGTAAATCGTGACAATACAGTCGAATCAGAACGCCTACACGTTCCCATATTGCAGATGAAAATCCTTTTGTTCAAACTCAATACTCTTCAGCACACTCAGAAAGATACCAAATGCACTATGCACTGACTACTGCCTGATACTACATTGTAAGTAGGTCGCCTGCGAACAAATCTTATCTAGCTTTTCATACGCTTCACACTTTTGTAATAACAGAAGAGGAAAAAACAGTATAGCAGTTATCTTTTCTACCCATTCTAAATACATTATCTACTTACTAGCCTGCCCATCTAAACCGCCCATGACATGGTGAAGTAGGATATAGCCCGTTCCTCGATCATATGGTCCCAGCATAGCACCAATGAGACCATCTGTAGCTAAAGTTGCTTTGATAACATCAGATTCGAACCATTGGTCTAATATTCGAGTTGCCGATGAAGTTAATAGTTGATAGAGATCGGTGGAGCCTTTAAAACCGAGTTTGTTGAATGTTCTGTAAAAGAGTTTCGTTGTATATACGTAAGCTTGAAGGCGATTAGCGCGTTTGCTATTTTTACTCATTTGAGCGAGATCAGGTGGAGGCGAATGAATAAGTTCGTCAATATCTCGACAGATTTTCAGTAACCATTCTTCGTATTTGTTAAAATTTTCTGCGTCTCGCTTGGAAAACTTGGCGATTTGTTTCAAATTGAATTGATTATCTGATGAGGATAATAACAACGAACGTTGATCATGACTAACAGGATGTTTGATGGGTGTATAAGAACTCGGATCGCGAAAATAATATTTCAATCCGTGCTCGCGTAGATTTAAATCATCAATGATTTTTGGACGAAATAAACTTAATAAATACGACGCACGAGAGAATTTGAAATCTTTTATAATCTCTTCTGTACATGCAGCACCACCAATAACCGGACGCTTTTCACAGACAAGAACCCGTAAACCTTGCCGAGCTAAATATGCCGAAGTCACTAAACCATTATGTCCAGCACCTACGATAATCGCATCGTAAGCTTTCTTCATTATTTGCCTATTGATGTATGTGTGTTGAGGTGAATGTGTGTGTGTGCTTTGTTGTTATTTCGTTCTATATTATCTCCATCTTATCTTTTCTTTCAGATAAATTATCCGAAAGAATGTTTGTCATGGTTATTACGAATGTTAAATAAGTTTATTAGCAGATCAAAGAATGAGGAAGTGCAAGCGAGCTATACACAGACATTTCGGCGGCGTTGGCAACTTTTTTGCCATGTTGATTCTAGTAGCCATTTCAGTACTTTTTATTAATACATATGTTCTAACAAAACGGGATGGTGAGTTGTTACATGGAAACGAAGTTTTGCTTGTCAATGACTCTTTGTAGACTCGGATGAAATATCCAATGAGCGTTCAAATCGTGTAGTATTAGTCTACAGTCATAATCAAACAATAAAACCTTCAAAAAACGAACCTATTGAACCACAACGAATCACAAGACCAGCAGTACCTGATGTTGGTATGTAGATAGTACATTGTGTACTTTCTGAAACGAGACACTTCACTTTCTTTCCTAGGATGTGAAATTGATGAAAAATGTTCAGATGATTCTATTCCATATAAGGTGGTTTCAGGTGATGGAATAGACAAGTATCCCGTCATATGTTTTAACAATAAATTGTATGTATTTCATTGAGAATGATTGCATTGCACTGAAGGTTTTGTTCCACAGATTAGTGCACAAGAATTTGAAAGATTCAAAAGTTGGCCGAGGAGTTAATTTAGTTGCATTCGATGGGAAAACGTTTGAATTGAAACTCACCGAAACCTTTGACACGTATATTGAAGGTAAATGATATGATTTTTGTTCATTGAAAGCAATGCTTTTCTACGATTTAGAAACATTCTTTCTTCGGACGTTGAAATTGAATTTAAACGATGGCGATATTGTTATTCTAAGCAGTTTCGATGAAATGACATATGGGTAAGGAATAAAAACCAAAAGAGAAGGTTTTCTTATGCTGATATTCTAGATTGAAAGAAGCGTCATTGTCAATATTAGAGAAATATGGCAGTCAATTGATCAAAGTGATTAAATTTCGAGATTCATTCGTTATGATCGGACAAAAAGGTTTAGCACGTGGAAAAGCGATCGAGACGGTACAAAATGAAGTGTAATTCTTCTTCATACATATCGTTGTTTTTAGCATCAACCAAAAGGTAATCGCGATTTTGCTCCAGCTGCGCATATAAGTGGTTGTGCGAAATTTCCCTGTACGTGCTTCACTCTCTCTCTCTATCTTCTTTCGAAAGTCAATTCTTTCACGATTTCTAGTGGGTCAACTTACGCCACTCTCGTTTCCAACGGCAGATGTGAAAAAGGAAGGAAATATTGTTACAGGTACACCAATCAAAAACTGTGGTTTGCCAGAAATGTGCAAAGAAAATGAATTTCCCGTACATGTTTACACTGGCAAAGACAAGGATGATGAACCAAAAATATGTGTCGATGGAAAATATGTCATGGCAAAAGGAATCAACGATGCTGGACGTGGTATCAATATCGTTGTCGTTTCCAATGGGAAAGAAGTGATTCGTACAGGACATTTCGATACATGGCAAGAAGGTTAATTGGAAAATGATTTCTTCCTCGAATTTCACGAGAATTTGTCATTTAGATAGTACAAATTTAGAGATCTTTCTGGAAAATCTTGAAGATAATGTGATCCTTATCGCTGTTACATTCGATGAGGCATCGACAAAGTAAGTTCGATGTATAAATTCTTTCATAGCATGTTTCACAATTTGATCCTATTGTCTGTACATGTATATCTATCTATATATTTATTTAGCTTACGAAATTTTACGCGAACTATTTTACAAGGCATTGGAAGTCAGAAAATAAATTCACTTAATTTTCGTGATTCGTGGACGCTCATTCATCATTTCAAAACGAGCATCAATTTTAATTTCGAAGAGGTGATCATTTTGAGTAACACATGCATATTAAACTATTATTAATTATAACGAGAATGAGTGAACAGAAACTCCCAATTTTCCCATCGACATTTTTCAGCTCTTTCCATTTCACTTGTCTTTCTATTTATGTATTTAGGCTTAGTCAGCACAGTAGAAATCTCTTTTTTGATCTTGGCAGTGGAACTATTCAAAATTTAAAATATCGTGACGTTTGGGCGCTCGTGGGTCAAAAGGGCATCAAAGGTTTCAGCCCGTACGAAGAGGTTTGTCTTTCATTGAGCTTATAAATGACTGTTGTGCGAACAAACAACTACGAATACATACGCTTTTGTTGTAACAAGTGTTTTACTTTAACCCATATCGTTTTCTAGACACCTTCGTAGGTAATTTCGGGTGACGTGCGAGGCTTTTTTCTCGATTACTATAGGGAAATGGGATTCTGCTCACTCATTCATTCGTAATTTATATGCATGTGATGTTGTAAATATGTTTTCGTACTTATCTGATACTAATTTTTAACGCGTAAATGTATGTGTGTTTAGATCTCATATGCAGGCAGTGGAAATATATATGCAACTCCTATAGACAAACGAATGTGTGTCCCGCAGACATGTAAGTGGAAATTGGGAGGTGTTTTCTGAATGGTATCTGTAGCGATGATCTGTTTCTAGTGAAAGGTGTCAAAGTTCGTCCGGATCCATTACCATTTCGTAATGATAAGCGTCGCGATTTCTGTTCACGTTACGATGGTTACGGAGATTTTTGCAGTGGTAAGTCTGGTTATTTTCGAAACACACGATCGATCGCAGTTTTTTTTATATAGATGCCAATGTTGACAAGAGTTTAGCAAGTGTTCCATTATTAAATAAGACTCTTGAAGATAATGCAATCTATTCAACACCAATTCTTGTCATAGCTGGTATGTTTTCTATTCATTTGATGGTAATTGTCTTGACTACTTTGGAGAATTGTAGGAATATCGCATAATTCTCTTCGAATGTGCTTGGAAACTTTACTAATGCAGCCGGGCATTGTTGTTGAAAATGTTATGGTAACCGATGGAAGTTAATTGAAATCAATTTAGACTTGAATATTTGTTTCACAGGTTGCTGTCGATGAGAAATTCTCAGAATCATTGGCGTTGATTGATTTGTTTGGTTTTCATGGCGAGAAAACTACGAGTAGTTCGACCTATATGGGTAAGTTGAAGGCAACGAATGCGAATATGTATTTGAGCGAGTGAATGACGATCTTTTTTAGAACATTATGAAAAATCGTTGAGCAAAATTTGGGAACGGCATCCGACTAGAGTAAGCGAAAGAAAGATTTACTGCTTCTTTCTACGAAGTAACTCTCGTTTTATAGGACAAAGTGATTGTTATCGAAGAAGATTTGATTTTATCACCAGATTTTCTCTATACATTGGCATTATTAAGTGAAACATTTCGAAAAGACGAAAGTATTGGAGCCATACAAATGTGGAATCCTAACTGTACGACAAAACATTATTGACGCTTGATTTCACATGATTTTCTGTTTAGCTTATGACATTGTCAACGGTTCACTTGAACTAATCTATCGAGTTGATAATCTGTATGGTTTAGGATATCTTTTACGACGGTCATTTTACGAAAAAAATATGAAGAATTCGTTTAAACAGTGTTGCTCGAAACGGTAAGCTATTCGAAGGGCAATGTTAAATTGAGAAATGTCAATATCTTTGTTATTTGTAGAGTTTGGGATAAATGGACATTCGCAGATTCTTCGTCGTCATTTCTCATGCCAGATATTTCACGCGTATTTCGCCGACCTATCGATGGAAATCGGGTAAACACAAAATATTTGGAAGTATTGTTCAATCAAAAACGAAAGACAAGTTTGTAAGTATCAATCAGATAATTTACACATCAACACCTTTCGCTTCTGCTCTCTCTCTTAGAAATCCATTTCCAGCTTTTTCCAATATTGACACGCTTCGTAAAGATACATACGATGCATATTTAACGAAAACTATTCGTTCAGCTACATTGCTTAAATCGTTACAACAGTGTGATACACTCAATTTGGACATGTTCAATATAATCAGAAATCAAAATACGTAAGAAATTCGATTTGTAATGAGAAGAACTTCTATTCGTTTTCTTGTTTAGATCCGATACGTTCAAATATATTTACGAACAACAGTCTGAGAATGATATAAACAAACTTCAGCCTGTTCTTCCTTGTTTTGGATTATTTTCACTTGAACCGCTCGGTCTTTACCATGGCATTCTTCGATTCAGTTCCAATAAGTACAATTTCTTTCTCATTGGAACAAAATCACCTCTATATTCAAGTATTTCAACGACTGTCTAAGATATTTCTACTCTCGTCAATGAATCTCTCTCTCTCTTTTGTTATACTACATTTAATCACCAATGGAACTTGCTTGAAAAGACAAATATCTTTTGCTCTAGTCGATCCATAATTAAAATCTATTGATGAGAAAATGGCCGCAATACAAACCGACGATTACACCTACGTGTTACCATTCCATTTCAATCATTTTCTTGAATTCGTTTTACTTATACATGTAATTGACGATGATAGACACATTAAGTACCACCTATATATATACATATGTATTTTTCCTATGATTTTAAGAACCTATTTATTTTGCATATTTTTTTTTGTTATTCTCTTGTCGTTTTCTTTTTTTTTCTTGTTTTATTTCTCTTAAAGCGTTTGGATGTTAAATATAAAACCTAAGCGATATGCTAATCGTGTAAAGACGTTGTCTGATCATGCACTACAGATATGTACGACTAAATTCACGTTCATATTCGAACTCGAGCCAGACATTTATTCAAGGAGGTACATTCATCATGTAATTGGAAGTGTTTACCGGTGACAAATCATTTCCGATTGGTATTCAAATAATATATAAGTTATGAGGGTTTTCTTATTGGTTTACATTCCTCATAGACAAACATATGATCGTAGACAAAGTCTTGTGAGAAGAAAAAGAAATCTTCATAGTTAAGCGTCTGTAATATGTTTTTCTCATTGTTTTAGTAACAAAGTTTGGCTTGAAGTGATGCACCATAAGTGTGTCTCATTTCTTTTTCTCTTCTACTCAGTTTAATTTCTCGTGAAAGTTATTCTTCTCGATATTTTCTTTTTCAAGATGAAATCTTTTGTTTTAAAATTGAACGCAATTCCATTGGCCTCTTTCAAGTGTATCTAGATATTGTCAACCAGTGTTTTTTTCTATTCTTCGTTCTGCACATTGACACTCAGTTGAATATACATATATTTGTTTATTTTGTGACTTTACCTTTAATGTCAAATCGAAATGTTTCAATGATCGAACAAATGGATTAGAAATCGAAAGAAACAATTAGTATATATATATATATAAATAAATATAGACGCAAAGAAATCGGACACGTGAAGACGGGAGAAGGTAAGTATTCACTTAGAAGAGAATGGGAGGACAGGGAACAAATTGCTGATAATAAAATGTGTCGTTGTTTTTGTTGTTTGTTAAAACTATGTAGATTAATCAGTTGATTTCATCGGAATCGAAATAGTTTTGTTCTGTAGGAGAAAGAAACTCGCATGAATATTTCTTTCATCTGTTGACAACTTGCCAACTACACAATTTGATATGCGTTTAAAAACACTACGTAAAAGTCGTCCACCATTGGAAATTGAAGGTAGGTAAATAGAAAATCACGAGTCTCGGAAAAAGTTCTCTTTCTGTTCTTCACTGGTCTCGCTCATCAGGCGCTATTCTAAACGGTAATCGAATGGATATAATCAACACCGATCTAAGATCAATTCATCATCGATCGAATACATCATTCGCTCTACCTACATCTTTGGAACGAGATATCTCCTATCCACATCTGACATCCTATGACCAAATGCACGATATGAGTTCACATTCTTTTCAAGATCCTGATCTGTTAACCGAGTCCCAATCATCGAATCTTTCGTCCTATAAGGCAATTCAACAAGCTTATCTTCAACATGGTATTCGAATACGGTTTAGTCCACGAAAGATCGTCTCAGCAACACATTCGAAATGTGAAAGACCATTGACGAGTAGTGCACGACCGCATACCGCCAGTGCCCGACAAAACTCAGCTAAACCGATGATCACCAAACAAAATCAAGACCATGAAACTGAATCATACGATAGTCCACAGCAAGGCTCGTCGAATGATTTCGAACAGAACCATGTAAATAATATTTCCGAGGAGGAAATTCTTGAAGATTGTTATTCAACATCGTTCATCACTAGTCAACATTTTCACTCAAGTACTCCATCAGAGAAGACACATTTTACGAACACAAATACACCTACAACAGCAACGCTGTTAGATGACGATGATCCGGATATGCTTTACATGAGTTCTCTGTTGAAAATTGCAAGTGTGGAATCTTTTCGAGGTAGAACGCATTCAACTTCTATTTGATTATGCTAGATTTGACTAATTCTTATTTGTAGACGCAAATCGTCGACATGGAGTGGTACGTCGAACATTTTCTGCTCGCTCTTATTCTATGAACGACCGATCGACATCAGCGAAGCTAAAAGAAGCCCATGAAAGATCATTGAATTATCATACAAGTTCACTTTCACGAAGTACAACAAATCCTTCCCTCTCAACACAACCTTCAAATAAGATCGACAGCGATATCCGTAAACATGTATCCAGAATGCAGAATTCGGCAAAGACTAGCTCAACTAAGCTCTCCGGCACACAAACAACACGGGCCAGTAGAGCCTCATCGAGAGACATGCCGATCACTAACAATGGAATTAGAAGAAACTCCAGTAATAAATCATCCAAATCGATGAACTTAGTAAGTATAAAAGTTCGTTTAATTTCTCAACCATTTGATTTCATTCTTCCTAGGAACCGCCCGATCATATTTTGACTCCATACCAACGTACAACATCCATATCAGTTGATGATTTTCCCATCGCGAAAACCATCTCGATGACAGACCCTCGCAAAAGATCGGCCAAACATTTGAAAGCAACTGATGAAAATCAATCTCATCTCATTGCACAAGATCAGTCCACTTCACCATCTAACTCAACTAACGCAGATTCATTACTCATGCAGACATCTCCATGTGGCCCGTCTCCTCGAGTTCGTGTCTTCGATTCTAGTTGGTGTGAGCGTAGTAATAGCTTCGAAGGCGACGGACGAAGTTTATCATCATCAAGTGTTGTTCATATTCCCGGCTCAATTTTATCTGGACAATTACCGACTCCTGCATCACGTCGAACGCATAAGAGGGTTTCATTCTACGAAGAACCTCAACCTGTTGTCCTAACAACCACAACTTTTGTATGAAAGAAAAGAAATCGCGTGCGCATTTGTTTGTAAACATCGTTCTTTCGCCTAATTAAAATGAAATTTGAAAGAAAAATATTATGTATAAATTCTTGAAATAATGATACTCAGAAGCATTGAAGCATGAATTAATAAAAGCCCATGATTAATTTTTGAAAAGAGAAAAAGAATTTCAAAGTATATCGATACGAAGAAGTGTTAAACATCCTTTACTTTGTCAAAAGTTAGAGCACAGCCGACAATAATGCGACGTAAGTCTTTTTTCGAGTGCAGAATCTTTCCGTGTCAGCCATAGTTCGCTAGATTAAGTAAACAAAAGGCACGCCTGCTCTCATACTCTAAATTTAACAATACAAGGTAAACATAGAATTGTGTGTGAATCATACAACTAAACCCTTCGTAAATGTTTACATTTTACTCCTTGAATAGTTGCCATTTATTTCCCTACAGATCCTATAGATTCAGAAAAGATACTTTTTCACTCGATTTGCTCAGTGCAATGCTTTCGGAGACTACCAAGTCATCGAACGGACTGATATGGACCTTAGAATTACGTTTAAAGTTCAGCTTGTATCTGTGTTGTAGCTAGGGAAAACATTATTTAGAGCGAATCATAATTTATAATCAGCAGAGCGTATTTGAGTTTTGTTGTTAGAATATTGTCAAGTTTTGTCGTCTATTACCGAAGAGTGCTGTTGTTGACTACCAGGCGAGTCCCTAGATCGATCTCTAGTTGATAATCAGGCATATAAATATGATTCTTTTGTTCTAGCGGGATCCAGCGAACGACCAGAATCAGCGAATTCAATTCGTCGAAGTACACGACAACTTTTACACAATCCGTCGACACGACGTGTTTATGCAGTGGCAAATGATCTAGGTGTTGATGATTCGGTCACAGTCATCAACACAGCAACTACAATCAATAGTTCAGAAATACAAGAACGGAATCATTTCCATACGCCACCTAATCTTTTAAAAGATCTAGACTTGAAAAATTCCAAACAAAATATTCATGTACGTAGAACTTCGGCCTATTCTTTCGACACCTGTTTGGAAGAGACTAAGAATTTAGGTTCGAATTCGCTGCCTTTTCCTACGTGTGGGTGAAATCGACACATTGAACGAACGATATTATGCCGAAATTTTACTTCAAGCATCATGGGAAGATCGTTCATTGAAGAAAACATCGCATTTCAGCTTCGATCCAACAAGCTCCTGGACTCCTCAACTAGAGTTGATGAATGGCATCGGTGACTTAAAAGACGAAGTATCGTACACTGTTCGTTTCAATGATAAAGAAGTAGCTACGGTAACGGAGCATCATCAATTGAAAGGTACACTATGGGAGCGAATGGAATTACAATATTTCCCATTAGATATTCAAGATTTATCGATTATAATCACTACTTCACATAAAGACACTGAGTTGATTTTTGAAAAGAATATGCAAAAACCGTCGGGTGTCAATCGACGAGTGTTTACTGATGAACAAGAATGGTACCTTTTTGAACATGTGGATATTAGAGTGACAGAACAAATTGATGAATATATTGATGATGGACATAACCATTCAGTCGTTATCTGTTCATGTCATGCAGCAAGGTACATTCGTAGAAAAGACTATTTCAATTTTTGTTGAGCATTTGCCGTTTTAGACGATATGGTTACTACATGTGGAATGCATATTTTCTTATTTTCTTAATCACATCAGCTAGCTTCGCAACGTTTCCCATTCCTTTAGCAAAGTATGTACCATTATCTTGGATTTTGATTCATACATTTCTTGTCCGTATTGAAATTAGTATCCAAGGACGAATTCAAATTGCTTGTACTTTACTTTTAACTTCAATTACATTTCGATGGTTGTGCAACAAAGCACTACCGTATGACTACCAACATTTTCATTCCTAACCTTATCTGTCTATCTTAGAACAATCTCGTATTTAACAGCAGTAGATATCTATGCTATCGGAAACATCTTTTCCGTTTGTCTTTTGAATATTTGTAAGTTAAACGAATGGTACACTCATTTTTTTCTTCTTGAAAACAATATTTCAGATCACGGTGTGATTGGATATGTGAATTATTATTTCGCGACGAATTTAGATAAAGCAATAGTGGACACAGTCAGTGTGGCAAACATCATCGTTATCGACCGTTGGGCACTTGTAGTTTTTACAATCTTATTCTTCACCTACCAACTTGGGACGTTCGTTTGGATGCTCTGTGTTCCTCTACGACAACGACGGCTGATGTTTAAAAAGGACAAAGAATGTCAACTGGCTATTGCATCCAGTTATAACAATGCGAATATTACCTTTAATCATGTATTAAGAGGTGCACAGAGATCATTGCATAATGCTCAGACAGAATTATCGATTATATCACATCGAGATTAATAAGAAGAGAAATTTTGCAAAAAAAAGAAATTTTTGTGTTGCTTTTATTTAATTAAGAATTGATGTCGGTGTAAAACCATTGACAGTATCATTAATAAATACTCATTAGAAAAACAAATCAGTCGAAAATGAATGAAATCGAACGAGCCAAAAAGAAATGACATACTAGATATGTTTTCAAATGAGAAGAGGAAGAAATAAATGCACTATGGCACGGGAATATCTGCCGAGATCGTCATCAATCAAAATAAAATCGATTTTTCTTTTAAAAAAGGTACTTGAAGAATCAAATCGGGTTTTGAATAGAGAAATATTGAACACACGACCAAGAACGCACCAAGAGCAAATAGATTTGTCAGTTGGAAGTCAAATAAAATCATACTGACGATACATGAGATTATAATAGCCGCAGAAGTGGAAAAACCTTTCAAAATATTATCTGCATGTTTCATGACAAGAGCGACGAGAAGGCCACCCGCCGATTGGACTGTTATCGTAGTCCAAACAATCGATGTGTAGCCAAATAAAAAGCCTTTGTTTTGAATTTCTGTTCCATCTTGGATTAACATCATAATCGAGCCGAAAATGATGCTAAAAATACCTAATTGAATGTTCCGTATCCATAAAGGCACGTTACTGCCTTTGAGGATCTTTTCGAAATAGACACCAGCTAACCCACTCAATGTACCTGAGATTGAAGAGATATGATTGACGAGACGAATTTGCAGAACAACAAACTTACAAGCACTAACAACGGAGAGAAGTCCTTTGATGGCATTGACATCTTGTTTAGGAACAGTGGAAGTCATATTTTCCAGTTGTACGAGAGATACACCAAGAAATAGAAGAAACAATGCTAACCATTGAACGAGTTTGAATGTTCGACCGAGGATCAGCATCATGAAGATTGCGGTAGTAAAAATTTTCAATTGAAAACTGACCTGAATTGAGAGAATATTCGAGTGATCTGTATCTTTCTCTGACTTACTTGAAATGTCGCTGCATCTAAGTTTGATATTGAAACGAAAAGAAGATAATTTTGTACTAAATAAAGAAAGGCTGGTACGCCTGTTTTAATCGTATCATGACTATCATGAAAAACTTTTTCATAGATCAATTTCAATCCGTTAACAACACTTCGTTCTTCACAGATAACGAAGAAAATACTGAGAAGAGTCTTTTGAATTTCAGAGTTTAACACAGCTGTCGAATTGATAAATCGCGGTCCGGTGGTTGTTCGAACATATCGTAATAATAATATGCCGGCCACATTTTGAAAAGTTAACAGAAGTAAACTAACATATTTCATATGAAGTGTAAATGACGTCGCTGACAGTGTCTCTTCTAAAAACAGGAAACAAGATAGATTCTCTTCGGACATTGCCAAAACACAAAACGGCATCCTATTCCACACCATGCTATTACTCATACTTTTCGTTTCCTTTCCCGCTTCATTTAGTTTAGTTGACGAACGTGTTCGTCTGTTTCTACACACTATAAATAACAAAAAAAAACCCAAAAGCAACAAAAACATGTTAGTTTGTTAATTTCCATACTCCTCTTCTGTCTAAACAGTCCTATGAAACTTCAAGAGTAAACAAAGAAATACATTCACTTATTCCCACACGAGCGTATGCGTACCTGTTTCGACATTCATGGTCGAGGAGTCTATCTTCCTAGAACAAACATAATCATGAATAAGAATGCGTCCAATCTGGTTCTTTTACCTAGCAAATGATTGTCATGAATGCTTCATTGACGCCAATATATCACGTGGCAAATTCTATACCGAACGACATTATCTGAAATACAAAAGAACATCACTATATCGTGATTATGTCCTACGGGTTTAAAACAACAATAATTATTTATATAAAATTTCGAAAACGTGACATTATTTCTTTCGTGATTTTTTAGTCGGAACTTTCGCGACTGGTTTTTTTGCTACTTTGATCATTACGTCATTTTCAATCGGAGTACTTTCTTCTTCTTCGTCGTCGTCGTCTTCGTCATTCTCCTCCTCATCCATAAGTCCTTTCGATTTCTTTAACTTCTTGATGTCGATCATTGCGTACGGCACACGATGATTTGTCTTGTTGTAGTTTCTGATTAATGCAGATTTGGTTTGTGTGTCGAGTTGATCATAAGGATTTCGACCAGTTTTACCCCATGTGTTCAGTTCCATGATTGTTTGAAAATCGTCTCGGTTTAAGTAATAATCATCCAATAGCGAAATGCACTGTTCGATACCATTGCTTTCATTCTTTTGTTGCAATGGAGAAATCAATGCTCGACTTAGATAAGGTAAATAGTCCAAATTGAACTGTTGTTTATTCGCCGATGACGTTTTTAGACAGATATGTTTCTCGATCTCGTTTAATAATCGTTCGTTTTTGTTTGTACGAGATCGCTGTCCGAAAAATGAGGAGAAATTGACCATGCCACGAAGATGACCACGCACGTACGAGCACGGAGTTACCGTAGAAAAAATTGCCTAGAACAGAACTCGTCGCTAGATTTGATTTCGAAGAAAACAATGACTGTTACTTGGTAAGGCAACAACGACCAACTGTCGTTCTTGCTGAAAATCATCTGGGAGCAAATATCACCTAAAGATATATGATCAGCAGCATTTGCGAGTAAATTCAGATGTTCTACATCCGTCAACTTTCGTTTTTCACTGTTCGAACTTGTAACGTGTGGTTGACATTGTAGATAATTCTCTTGGATTAATAATGGCATTAATTGATAATCATAGAAGAAAATATCACTTTTATCTGCGAGAGATTTGTCACGAAATTCACTGGAAAATGACAAACGACATAACTCGAACGGATTCGTGTTCACTGTTTTGTCGATCATTTTCGCGGCTGTGGAATTGGTTTGACCTCCCTGAATAGACCACAGATTTAACGAATGAATCGTCTGACGAATATCTTGATTCGATGATTTTATAATATCATCTAATGTTTGCGGCGAAATGTTTTGAATATGTTCGTGATGAAGAATACTTAACATTGCTCCGTGAATTTGCTGAATATTTGGACGGTGAAAACGTAGATCATAGCAGTAATTCGCCAAAGAACGAATCTTCTTGTGTTGTCGATCATTGCATATACATATAATTGGAATTCGAGAGCGTTTGATTAAAGAAATTAATTCTTGTACACCACCGCGATCTGCATTCCCAGTCACGCCATCGACCTCGTCCATAATTAAAACATATTTCGACATGGATTTTTCGGTAAAATGTGCAACACTATAAGTATCACTGGAAAGAGTCGACATGGACTTTTTCGAACGTTGATCAGACGCATTCTTTTCAATATATTGATAATTTAAATGTTCACAGACTAGTTGAGCAGCGCTGGTTTTACCGATACCAGGTGGACCGCTAAGGAGAGCGGCTTTGAACATGGCAGGATTTTCGTTTCGAATAAAACCAACCGAAGGTTTAGCTTTGACTTTTTCATCACTTTGACTGTGGTGTTGATACCAGTCGCGTAACCAAATGATTAACTTTTGAACAGGCGACTTGTCACCTTGTTGACCGATGAGTTGTTTGATGGTCCGAGGTTTGTATTTATCAACCCCTGAAAGCAAAATCAAGAAGATCAGTTGAAATCTGAATGCAAGAAATTACATAGTAAAGTTGAGTCATCGGTTGTTGTTTTTGGAATGGTTGAAGATGATGAACTGGTTGTTTTTCTTATTTTGGAAGGAACCACTGGTTCTACAGCTGGTGTTTCCCTGATAGAAGACGACTTTCGTTTTAATTTTGTTGATGATGACGAAGCGACAGCGGGTTGTTCTGGTTCGGCAACTGTTTTTGACTTTCTGTTCGATTTTTCTGCTTTCAATGGTTCTTCATCACCTGGACGTGTTCGTATCAATTCTAGCAAATCATCTTCAGAGATTATTTTAACATTCAATTCGTGTGCTTTCTTCATCTTTGATTCTCCACCATCACGACCAGTTAGGAGATAATTTGTCTTCCCACTCAGTGCAGATGTGACTCGTCCACCGTATTTTTCAATTAAATCTTTACATTCATCACGTTCCAAAGATTCCAATACACCTTGAAAGTTCAATCGAAGAAACTAGATGAAATGAGTTTTTAAAGAATCACTTTTTTTCTCACCAGAAATAACAAATGCTAAATCTTTCAGGCAATTCTTTGCGCCATCGGGTATGTTTTTCGATCCGGGTGCATCGGGACCACCTCGATTCATGAATGACTTGTAATTTTCTGAGCGTCGCTTCTTTTCCACTGGATCAACTTCTTTTGTTTTTATTTTCTTCTGTGGACTCGTTTCAACTGGCGGTTTTGCTGGTGAAACAACTGGCTTCTTTGGTGGTGACTTCGATACAACCACTGCTTCTTCATTATCAGCCTGTTCTCGTGTACGCTAGAATACGAAAAAGACACGATTTCAACAATTAATCGAAAGATCTTGTACTTTATTGTTAGGATTCGGCACTTTCTTGAAGAAATTACGAATATCGGCCATCGTTCTCTGCTGAATGATAACAGTCACACGAATGATTGCTCAATAGTTGCTTGAGATGAGATGCACGGTTAACATAGAGTGTCGCGACAATCAATGCTAATGGGCAGAGGCGAAGAAGAGAAAAGAATGCATACGGACTGGCCAATAAGGATTGATAAAGTATTGCACATTCATCAGTCTGAAGAAATTTTCAACAAAATGATGGTCGTTCCTCAATCTCAAGCCGTGTCAACTGAATCGAAAATGGAATTAGATAAAAACAAACAGAATTACATGTAAATATCAAGCGACGGATTCATTTCGTAACTTTCTTTTCTTCTTTTTCAGCCAAATTCTAACTCTATCGAAACGCTTATCCGATCGATATTCAGCAAATCAATCTCTACAGAAAATCTTCAATCCTGAACCATGTCGTTTACGTGACAAGTTCAAACATATGTGCGAAACATTGTTACTCGACGATCCGATTGATTATGGACTGAAAATCATCGATCTTCTTTGGCGAAAAGCTGCTTACGAACCTATTCAAGTATTCAAACGACACCGGCAAGATTCCGACGAATCGGTGGTGAAAGAAAGTGAAATAATGTACCGAATGCATCTCTTGGCAATCTTTGGATTTTATTCGAATTTATTAATGAAATTCGCTGCGCTGATCAAACCGTATCGAAATCTGAGTCATTTCTTCGACTTTATTCAATTGTTTAATGATAATAAATGTATGTGGAAGTCAGTTTTGACGGATAAAATAAGGAATTATCTATTAGTTTAGCTGTAAACATGATCACGACAATGAAAACGGACAATCTAATCGAATCATTGCTAAAACTCATTCACAAATGTCTAATTTGTTTGGGTGATATCAGTCGTTATCTAAGTGAATACGATGGTTGTACACAAACAGCTGAGAAGTATTACACTATGGCAGTACTTCTTGATCATGAAGTTGGTAGGTGTTTGAAGTGAACAGTAAAGTTTTGCTGAGGTATTTTTGTGCTTAGGGATGCCGTTGAATCAGTTGGGAACGTTGTGCGGTCGATCGAATAGTAATTGTGATGCGGCTTTTTTCTATTTGCTTTGTTTGAGTACTGCACATCCATTCGAGGGTGCTAAGGATAACTTACAGATGCTCTTCGAGCGCAATGAGAAACGTTTTCAAGAATTAAGCAAACAACATGGCAGAAATCGAAATGAAAACTTGACGTATGTCATTGTGTTTCTATTTGGGAAATTTCGTTCATTAAAGAGATTTTAGTAATCGCGATATTCGTCGTTTTCTCGTGGAATTCTTACATGTAACTCACCAATTACTTGAATCAAATAATATGTAAGTGGAATAGAATGCATCGTGTAGATGCCATCGACTCCTGTTTTTTTTTAGCGGGCAAATTCAAGACTGTGGTCAGCAAACATTGAATGATTTCAATGCTTGTATGTTTTCTCAAAATGATTCGATCCTTTCGCCGGAACTGATCTTTAAACTATTGTCGATATCGATGATACTTGTGGATCGCATTCAACGCACCCGAAGTCGAACAGTGAAACGTAAATCGAACTTCTGCTGATCATCGAGATAAATAAAAACCTTTTGCTTGTTTAGAACCGATACTTTTTGCTGGAATAGCTTTTGCTATTGCGCTATTTTCCCATGTGGTTAACCATACGATCATTCGACTACAAAATGCTTTTTATCAGTTGCATGATGTGCGTACAAAAACGAACGAGACCGATTCGGAAGAGGAAGAAGAACGTCGACAGGTAGTTTGAGTTCTCCACCAAAATGATAATCGAATGCGTTCTCGTTTTGTCTTAAAGGCAGAAGCTAAAGAAAAGCGACGGCGAATGAAAATGGTCTTGTCGCGACGTCGCCGACGAAGTGCATCATCATCATCGAATGGAAGTGATCAAAGCGATGGTTCGCTTTCCAACGAACGAGATCCACGACGAGATGATTCGTCCGATGATTATCACTCTGAGGATGAAATACCAGATTATCTCTCCGGAGGTTCATCGTCGGACGAAAATGACGAAATCAAACAGGTAATTCGCGATGAAAAGGACAAAGAAGCTGAAGGTAAGATCATCTGATTTGATTTCAACATCTTTCGATCCTTCAAATAGAATTGGCAATCAAAGTTGCGCTCGAAGAATTTATGGAGAAAATCAAACAAAGCGGTGCTGTTTTTCAAAATGCAAACGATTCTCAAATACCACAAACGTCACTCTTTTCATTTACTGATCTCTCCACTCATCTGTTCGCAGCATTTGCATTACAAGATGGTGCATCGCCACTTTTCCTCGATCAAAATGCTTTCGATGAAGATCCGTACTCCATGTCGATGTACAGCTATGACCAACCGTACAAATCGATTCTAGTAGGAAATAAACAAATTAACGTACCGCCAGGTAAAGAAAGGTACGTTTTGGAGATGAGCAGGAGATTTTCTTGTGGTTTAAGGATTCGAACAGAATAGAGATGCACTTGCTGCAGCAGAGATCGAACAGAAAATGGCCGAATTTCCACTGGAACATATTGTGGACAATGCAACTAATGACGACGATGACGAAGACGAAGACGAAGACGAAGATAACAACGATCAGTAAGTGTCTGAAGAAGGCTTTGTAAGAAATTTTTGGTATTTTCATAGTGCCACTCGATATCATGGGACAAAATTAATAATTGAACTCTTAGAAAACGAATATCTTTTATCTGCAATAAAAATCTTCTGTGATTGGCTCGCTGGCAACAAACGTCTTCTTCAAATGCTTTTACCGGTATTATCCTCATCTTCATTTATTCTCTAAAGCTAACCTTTTCATATAGATCTCTCAGGGTTTATGGTCGAAACTAGCTTTACTACTCAACTTCCTCCCCCATGAACGTGACATTATCAGAAGTGGTCAGTTTCAAACAACAACTCTTCGTTGATAAGACATTTTATTTATTAGGCCTAGTTTCTGTCAATTCGTCGATTCATCCGCTGCTGAGTAAATTCGTTGAAACAAAAGTTTTTGTTTTCCCACCACCCATGCTTGACGAGGACATTCAACTGCGAGCATTTCAAGCGTTGAAAGTCGATCGGAATCATTTGAAATTGAACTTAAACCAATTATCATCATTAAGCAAATTTGAATCAGTAGGAGAAATCTCAGAAGAAAAAGAAGACAACTCTCACTTGTTTCATTTAGACAATTATTCGTATATGTTCCCTTCGACGATTTGGTTATTACGTTTCATCACTTCTGTCCAATTCACAATTTAGTTACGATAATAATAAGCTGTCCTTCGTTGCTGCGATGGTTCCATCGGAACAAGCGCCAGTAGAAGCATCTGCAAGTAAAACAGCCGATCCGATTGCTGATGAAGAACGAAAATCGCGTCTAATGCGCGATATGGCAGCACTTCGTTTACAAGCGGAAATTAGTCAATTGGAAAACAGTTTAAAGAACGAAGAGTTCTCTCTCCCGCCTTATCTCGTCATCGATTCATCAGTTTTATGTACAAATTTGAATCTAATACAACAGTTCGTCCAATCACAACGCTTCATCATTGTCATTCCACTCGTCGGTTAGTTTTATGAAAATATTATTAGACGTGTATTGTTTGTTTGATTGAGTTTAGTGATTGACATTCTTGATGAACTGAAGAAAGAACAACGTGAAGCACGTGATGCGATCCGTTGGCTTGAAACACAATTTCGACTTGGAAATAGGTATGCTCTCGATTTAATAATACGAGTATTTCTCTACAAATTCGATTAGATTCATTCGGACACAAGCTGCTCATGAACGATTAAACAATCCGAGCAAGAAAAAAACGCATAAAAACAAAGATTTCTGCCGCTTTCAAGAAATTCTCGATTGCTGTCTTTATTTCTCTCAACAAAGTAATCGTGATAAGCAATCATCAGCACCACCGACAGCAAATAGTTCCCTATCAACAGCAAATGTACTTACCGCCCGAACATTAACCAATAAAGAACAACAGACCGTAGATAAAGAAGGTAAATTAGCTTCTCTATATCTGATGTCAAAATATTTGCAATTCATCTAGGTGTTACTATCCAACACATCGATGATTTTCATCGACGTTGGAAGCAATCAACACCAGAGAAATAACGACTAAATTTAGTTTTTTACTTTGTGATTAATGCATAGATAGAAAAGGCAATGGTTCAAATAAAACTGTTTAATTCTGAACAAGCTGATGTTTGCATTTATTTTATAATAAGCAGAAATAGCAAAAGCAAGATTGAAATGTTTGTCCTCACAGGGTCAGTTAAGTGTGAATAGTCGCCATGACTGGAGCTACTTGATTTGGTGCTCGACGTATACAAAATAAAATCAAATTGGTTATCATCGATATGATTAATTTCAAGACCGGTAAAATACTACCAATAATTAATGAAACAATAAATATAATACCCACCGTGTTATATTTCCACTTATTCTCCAGTGTCAGATAAGAACATGTAGGATTGCACTGTTCAAAATAATCTCCATATGAGATAGCAGAATACCATGATTCGACCATTAATGTATCAACTAGGATTTCTACTGAAACGTTGTTGTGAGGTAGAATCCGGGATAGTGGTTTCGGAAACTTCCAATGAACTCCTTGCGCTGGAAATGTCAAACGAGACAGAAATAGAATAAGACAACTTCGATCGTAAAGACACCGAAGATCAGATCGAAATAATCCTTCAATTATAGTACAGCCATGATAAAAGCCGGGTATATTGATCGACTGTGTCACATGTGGGCCAGAATACATTAAAGCTTGCTGTGTGCAGTATGAGGAAAGGCTACAGTCACAGTCGTTATAAGATTGCGGTGCTATTGTAACGCTTGTGTTGTTTAAGGCATAGTTTGTCTTTAAAGCGGAGAATAAACCATTTATATGAGTTGTTTTGCGAATCATATCGAGAGAGAATTTAAAACTTGTTTTAGTTGATAAACGTAATCGATCAAGTTCGAGAGCAATATCAATCTGAAAATCCGCAGGAGATGACATTTCAGCAGCGTTATATTCGTTTGCATTTATTTGTTCGATTTGATGAGCAGCCAAAGTCTTGCTCCATGTGCAAAACATCTGCAAAGCCTGGAATGTTTGTGCAGCTGTTTTGCGAAAATCGTTGTCGAATAAACTTGCACGACTGTTTATAGCAAGTAGTTTAATCCAGTCGTCCGTTATGAAGTAACTACTGCAGATTTCATAAAAATGAAATTCCATTTTGACGAATGATTTATACGCGATCAATGGTTTCGAACATTTGCAGTGTAGGGATGTTGGAGAATGTGACTGTAATTGGTAATATTGATCGAGACTAATAGAGCCCATCGTTTGCACATATAACGGCTCTGTATTGACACAGTATAGAACATAAACACATGGGAGTGTCAGCGCACAGATGGACAGTAGGATGTATACCACCGTCGAGAATTGTTGAACGAATAACTCGCGCTTATTAGTTGATGCGGGTGTTGATGGAAATAAATTGTAATTACTTAGAAAATGAATGCAATTATTGCAAAATCCGGACGTTTCAGTCCGTGTGTTCATCACTGAATATAAACAAGACAGCAATGAATGAAACTACAATTTTTCAATGTATACATACTGTTCCCTACAACAAATGATTGTCCGTAATGCTGAATCTGCAATTGAACTGACTGGTTTATGTATGAAGTTTCTACGAGAAGTGATACCATTAAATAACTACTGATAGAGAAGTTATTTATCCGAGAGAAACTCTCTTGCCAACTGCGAATATTTAAACGGGCAAACAAGCTACTTCCTCTCTGGCGCGTGATATCAGCGCGTCGTTTTACCGATATTTATGAACATTCAACAAATAATATCTGACAATATTTTTCTATTCAAAATTAATGTTGAAAAATAATGGAGGAATTATTTGCCTTTACATCAGCATTGATGTAATCAAACATTCAAGCAAACTTGTTAATGTTTATAGAAATATTATTCACCGTTCGATCATTATGTCTCTGTTTTTACAATCAAATAAATGTCGACAAAAGCGTGTATATCACGTTTCCTTTAGCGTCACACTGCCTGGTAGCATAATAATCAATCTACGTAGAATTAGATAGTTTCATTGAAAATTTGTTTTTGATATACAGAAATACACTAAAGTAAAAACATAAGGTTTGTGTTTGTGCAATTGATTAGGATTCTTGTTTGAACGCTGATTTTGCTTGAAGACAAGAACGAAAACATGAACAGCAACAGCTAATCACACACATAGCATAACTTATGATGAGGATAGCGAAAGCGAATTGATATAATGTACGTTGACAGTAGTTCGGTGATGAGGCATCGTCTAAATCAACTTTTTTATGAACTCCAAAGATCCATACGTTCCCCTATATTCACCAAAAAAGACGTGAAGCAAGATCGAGAAATTCGTATTTACCGCAATGAACCACGCAAATAAGAAAAGACTCATGACGAACAAAAATATAAGAACACAAGCGATGATACATGCAGCCGTCACAGCCGTCCCTGCAGTCTGTCTTTTGATTAGTAATATAAATGCAAGTACCTTAATAATAAAAAAATGAACGCTTTTTGTCTCGATTTGAATGAAAGATTTTATTACGATCATTATGGTAAGAAGAATACTTGCAAGACCACATGCACCCGTGACAATCAAATATATCGGAATGTTTTGTTCAACTGGACATTGACCAAGATATGCACCGCCGAAAGCTAATTGAAGTATCGGTATGATTAGTAAGATGCACAGAACAATAAGAGTATACACCGATCCAAGAATGAGAATTATAGGTCCGGGAATGAAATCGAGTTTGTTGTCTTCATCAGCCATTTTTCTATTTGAAATCAAATGAGTTTTGTCAAAACTGAAACAGAGTATATATCTCGAGCTTTTCACCTTTCTCCTGATGTTGTTGTTGTTATTACAGATTTCAAGAGTAATGCAACGAAGATCAATCGAGTTATTCGAAAATAAAAAGAAAAAATTGTCGTTCTCTGGATTCGTTGATTGACATACACGAAAATAGCCCCATTTTATTCTTTCTTTTGCAGCTGTATTTCGAACAATCTGATCTTGTTTTTTATTTGGGATTGTTTTTGCCCCTATCGATGCGCCACACTGAAAATATAATTCTTCTACGCACGATTCATATAAAACGTTCCTCTTTCGAAAGAAACGACAAGAAATCTATTCGATTATTTTTGAATGAATAATTCTAAGTGGCAAATTGAGTACAAAAAATGTCGAATGTTTAACCTAAATTTGACATTTACGAGTAAAACTTTCCATGTAAAATAAAGTTTATGATAATATTTCAATGAATAATTCGATTGTAGTAGGCGGATGATGTTTGCAGAGGTGATGACATCATCTTCAATCAGTTTCGTTCATCATACGTTGAACATTGTTTGCTCTTGTCGATACAAGTAAATACAATTACGCAGCATCTTTGAATCGATGAAAAAGAGAAGAAGAAGAAGAAGTAATTGATGGTCTTTTTTTTGATCGAATTTCAAATTAGAACAGTATTAATTCGATGATTGAACAGCAATGTTTTTTTATCGTGGTAAACCATTAACTTCGAGAGCGAGTAGTGAAACGTCGTTTTCGTCAGATAATTCGTTTTTATCCAACCGGAATGCCACATCCGCTGGTATTTTACGGCAGTTATCTGTTAATGAACTTGATGAAATTAATTCAACAGGTTTCAATCAAGAATATCCCGTACAACGAGAATTATTTGACACTTCACGGCCATTGTTTACCATACCGCGTCCGACAATCTATCTTCCGATGAACAATTCCGAACGATCACGACGATTTTCTCGAACATCAACTCCTTCCACAATAACACATTCTTCCGAACGAGCGTTTTATCAAAACTTACCACCACCTCCTCCGCCTCTTCCATCGTTACCATCGCTTTCTACTCAATACCCGATCGATTCTCAGCTTCTGTTTCCTCCACGTGCCCAACGATACGTGCCATTGCCCATGAATTATCCGATCAAAAAGCGAAAAAAGTCCGCACGTGAAAAACCACCAGGTCTGTTCACCACTCTCTTTGCCGGTGGTCTAAGCACTCTCGCAGCATTGATCTATCTAATCGTAAGTCTCGCTCTACCTGCCGCCAAACTCACTTTCGGTATTCTCTACTTAAACGAATGTCCTGTAAATAAAAACATTCCGCTATACATGATTACTGCAGGTGCTTGCGGGTTGACTATCGTCATTCTAATCGTTCTCTCATCCGCATGTACGCTTTGTCGAACGATGTCCGATGCCAGAAGATCAATACATGGTTTTATGATATGTACAATAGCATTGGTTCGTGGCATGCAAGGCGTTCTGACAATCTTTCTCATCATTTGGTTTTTCTTCGGAAATTTTTGGGTGTTCAGTGTTCGTTATCGTGTTCAAACGGAAAGGCCCAATGATGCGAACAATTATTGTCATCCTACACTTTACTGGTTTGCATATTGGATTCTGATTTTTACGTACATTTATGCCGTGTTTACTTATTGTTTGAAATTTTGCATTAACTTTTTTTGTTGCGGTGCATTTGACTCGTGGTATAGAGCATTTTCATAAATCAAAGGATGAACCAGTTCAATGATGAAAAGTTGGTCAATTGCTTTTGTCGTCGCATATTTTTTTTCTTTCGTTCGGATGTTTCGAAAGAAAGAAGGATACAGAGAGCGAGAGAGAGATGCAGTTCACTTGTCACGATGTGCATATATACGAATGAATAGAAAAATGAAACGAACTCGATATGCAATCACTTTGCTGCTTAGATGTTTCATTTGATTGATACAAAACAGTATGTATTCAACGATATAGGGTCGATGACGTCAAATGAAGCTTTTATGTTCAAATGATCAACCGAGTAATGACTTCTTTGAGTCATATATCTCCATCCAACGCGATTGACGAGAACAAGTGCCTTTTCCCCTCATTTAGTTGTAATCATAAGCCTAAGTGTACTTTAGTCCTGTCTACGATGAAAATGGAGATATAATAAATCGATGGAAGTTAGTGTAGTACAAGGATTTCTCTGTCGGTAATAGAATTCTCGAATAGGATATTACGTCTTTCGTAATCATAGTCCTTCCTGTCTTTGAATGTCTTCTATTCATAGGTTAGATATCAACAACGAAGGTCATTACATTTAGCAAGGAAATATGATAGATGATATTTCTACCGCTAAGCAAATTACTTGTCACAATATTCATCAGCTTTCTTTTTCCTCTTGTATACCTTCAATCATTGCGTTACATAAGTAGATGATGCATTTTGAAATACGAATGGATGGCTGCATTTGATGTATATCCCTACTTTTTTCGAGTGAGAGTACTTGTGGAAGAAATAAACAAAATTCTTTCTTTAGATTAGTCATCTAGATCAACAATTGACTCATATGATTGTTCATCCGTCGAAAGAAATCTTCCTAAGCTGACGAACAGGTCAATCGAGGAAGAAATTGTTCATTCTTTCTTCGACATGATAGAGCAATAAGCAAGCTATTTCTACTTATTTACACATGTAGATATATTTCTTCCTTTCGTTCAACGATAGGAAAGAATTGTGTATACACACAGTGTCTCGTTCAATGTCATTCTTTCACTCGTACCCTATTATTCAACATCAGTCAGATAATTACATCACATTCACAGAATAGAAGCAGGTCAATTATACAGTTTCACACATCGAGTTCGAAATATTCTTTTCATCTCTCTTTGTCATACATTTACTTCTTCTTCACATGCCAATGTAAGGTATAGATCGCTATCAGTGTACACCGTCTAGACATGACTGTTCGTATGTCGTTAGATCGTATTATCAAAACAAGAAGTTGTAATTTCTTCATTTTCATTGTAGATTGATTAATGAAATAAAACTTTTTCTTAATCAATGGAACAGTATTTGAATTTAGTGTGGAAAAATTATACAGCATCACTCGCTGATGACTCAGACGACAATGACGATAGTAACGTTTGACATTGATTGTCTTCTTTGTATCACTTTGATTAATCTTTTTTTAGCAGCTGATCTATTTGTTCATAATAATCTTCATTACAATGTTCCTTTTTGGGTTGGTGCAGCGGTGATTATTGTTTTTGCTCTTTCTGTAATTATTGCAACGATACGTTATTGTATTTACACATTCTGTTCACCATCGAATGGTAAGTTTCATACAATTTTACCTTGACTCGTTCGGACGGTTCATTCTTTTCTCTACTTATGCTTTTAAAAAAAACGAAATTGAATCGAAATGTCTGTCATCGAATGTCAGACTACGATTGTGTACAGAAGGATTGAATTACATCGAGATCGGACAATGTCCTAATCATATAGAATAAGCAAATATCGGTGAATTGGTTTGAATTTAGATATAGAAAAGTTGGCTTTAACACCGCCGCGATCACCGAACTGTTCGTCGAGTCAACGTCGACAACGTCAAATATCTGATGCCATATCTCATCATTTATCGGATGAAACAGAGGTTTCCTCATGTTCTCCTGCACGATCACGTGATCATTGCTCGGATATCTCGATTATGCCGATTATTCGTCATCGAACTGAATTCGAGATTGACAATGAAAAAAGACATCAATTCCCATCGAAATACATCGACGCCTCCCGAACACATCGAGATTATCGCAAAAAAATTCATGATATTTATGTTCTGCCTGTTTCACCGTCTCTTTCATCCTCATCCTCCACAGCTCACACAGATGATACGATTAGAAATGGTTCGAATACTATGCCCATACGATTTCAACGGCATTCTCCAAGAAACCAATCTGATTCTCCGTACTGTGGCGTGAAAAACGTCGGTTTCGCCGATTCACCTCAACTGAAAACTCGAACCCTACCTCGTTCACATCATGGTACCTTGCACCAAATCTCCGCACCTTCTCAGCCACCACCCCTACCACCACCTTTAACGAATCCGTCATCATCGATTGTACTAGATCCAGACACAATTGACTTTCGTTTTCATCACTCAGAAGAAAAATCAGTGACTAAACTGACACCACCACCGATTCCATCTCGATCACAAAAGCCAACGATACTATCGATACAATTCGACGAAATCGAACAACAACAATCAGAAACATCACCTCAAGACGACCTTTCTGAAAATACATGGCCTAATCCACCCGAATCGCTGACCACGTCTCAAATAAGTGGACCATTATCCATCCCATACGATCATCTTATCCCCGCAGTTATTATGCATCCATATCGGCCCATTGAACATTCAATATTACCCTTAGCCGACTCTTGATACAAACAAGCACAGGTCATTGTTTTTCTTTCATAAGATTCGACATTTATTTGAATGAATTATAATAATAAAAGAGATATATTGAATATATAATTTGTTTTTAGTAATCTTAGGAATTCTCCTATGCATAACATACAATCAACGCCTACATGACTGATTCCGGTTATATAAACATGAATATTACAAAACAAATTATATTCAAAGAAGCGTACAAATCTTGTCAACGTTTATTTCTGAGCAAAGAGAAAAAAAATCTATTTCGATTAAACTGAATCGAACATCCATTTAGTCTAATTGAATGCACTCGACCTATTGTACGGAGTTTTGTTGTTAAATCTCGATTCATCTTTTCCTCGGTGTCATGTCTTTGTAGCTGTTCATTTGAAAAGTAAATGAGCAGTTTAATCGAGCATTATTGATGTGATGTTCGTGGTAACTGTCATATTTACAAAAGAAAAGGTTCAAAATTGACTCCAGAAGGTTGATGAAGGCATTGTTGATTGACGAAAAGTTGCTAAATAAGACATGCGCAGATAATTGCGAAAGTTTTTTTTTTTCTACATTGGGCAGTACGTACATGCATTTGAAGAGAAAGAAGTACTATCTGATGGATAATATGAAGGGGGCGGTGGTATTTGCGAAAATGGAAAGTTTTCATAAGAATTAACTGAAAGAAAAACCAAAGTTTCGTTAGTGACTTATGGAAAAAGAATTTTCTTACCCGTCGGAAATGGATATGAATAATTCAGGGACTGTGTCGGAAAGTTTTGTCCACTATCCGTTGGAAAATAGTATTGAGAATTGTTTGGCTCTGTGTTATAATCTGATGAAACCATCGTTTGAGTATTTGGATTGCTTAGTGATGAATCGTTCGTAGTACTTGCACGTTTTTGATCGCGAACTTTCTCTTCGCGACGCCACTTTGCACGTCGATTAGAAAACCAAACCTAGTTTCAATCATTCATCGTTTTGTTTTGTTTTTCGTCTATTTACGAACGGAAACTTTACTTGTATCCGGTTTTCTTGCAAATCGATTGCTTTGCCCAATCGTTCGCGTGTATACACATCGGGATAATGCGTGTGTTCGAATTCTAAAAATGATGAAGATAAATAACGGAAATGACTCACATTCGATGTGGACGAACCTTGTTCGAGAGCGAGAATCTGTTCCTCGGTAAACGCAGTTCGATTTCGTTGGATTCGTTGCTTCACTGAGCTTTTCGAATCATGGTCGCTGCTGTTACTATGTTCATCAACGTCGTCACTGTTGGTACTTTCATTCAGAGAATCGTTTTTCGGTTCTTCGGGTAAATTGTTTGTATCTGAAAGGCAACCGAATGATTGGAATGACTAATCTACTTTTGGTATCAACTACTTGTTTTGTGTGTGTTTGCTGTTGTCGGATGAAGATAAGGCCATGAATGTGATGGATCAGCTCCTCGTAAAGCTGGCCAGATTGTTGATGTCGTTTGAGAATTTAACAAATTATTGTAGGGAAAATCTCGTGTTGGATACGACAAGTTTGCGATTGATTTAGGTGATGAAATGTTACGTATAACGCGATTAATTGATGAAACCTAATGAATGGAAAACCAATGAATACAAATTGCATCTAGGTGTAATGATTTCATTACACTAGGTAGATTGTCGTGAGTGCAAATCGATTCATTGAGGAGTTGTTCGCGTATTTCCCAAGCAAATATCGAAGGGTTTTGTGCTTTTATTTGTGCAATTCGAGTGACCACATCTATACAAAAATTTTCTTCTAGAAAAAAACAAACAAAATTCTATCATTCGTCATCACCTGGTGTTGCTACACGTGGCTTCGAACCACCGATGGCTCTCGGCTTGACAGAACCAGTTTCATAGAATCGCCCGAGGATTTTCGAGACGCATCCATTTGAGACTAAAATATGTTCGAGCACAAGATTTACTTCGTACAATCTTAGTGATATCTACCTTGTAATTTACGTGAAATTTCGCATGGTCTAGCACCTTGTCGGGCCATTTCTACAATTCGATAGCGAACTTTTTCGGGTAATGGTCGTCCGTTGACAAAAACTCCGCCTAATTGATTAACTCCGCTGTGGCCTAAATAAACCATTTCATAGATGTAGTAGATGACAGGAATTCTACCTTCTAGAACAATTTTGTACATCAGCGGAGGCATTACATTTCGCACAACCAACACATGAACAAAATGGAATATGAACTTCGCTTTTTTTTCTCGTCTATTATCTCATGTAAATGAACGCGATATCTAGATCCATCTTTTTCTTCTCAAGAATAATTAAAAAGTCGAAATCAATGAGAGATATACACATTAGCGCAAATTCCCCGAAGAAAGAAAGTTAATAGACTTGTCAAAGCGATTCGAATCGATGAGATTTCAGAAAATCATTCTTATCCGAAGAGAAAAAAGCCATTTTCATCTACTTACGAAAATATTCGTTAAATATCTTGTTTGTTGATCGGCAAAGGCAATTCAAGTGAAATCAAAACGTCGAATGCTTGTCACTTTCAGTTACCTATTTCGTTTTTCTCTTTTGTCTCGCTTTTATCTAATGATTTGATTCGAGAAAAAAACAAATCATGTCGACACGCATCCTCAATCAGAAGTTTTGTTTATTTCATTCAGTCCAAGGGTTTCCATAAGCCGTTGAGCGTTGAATTCAACCATAGATTTTACAAAATCTCGATCTTAAATCAAATCGATATCATTCACAGTTCAGTTTTTTTTCTCCCTTCGGAGTGATCATCACTGATTGGTGGATAATATTTTTTCTTCTCCAATTATCAATCGCTGTTGAATGAATAAAAAGACGAGCGAGAGAGAAAAAGAAAACGATAATATCTTGATTCTTTCATCCATATCAAATCGATAGTGTGTAGATTAACAACGTTTGTATGTTGACATGTCCTCCAAGTGTCCATCGAAAGAAAAACGCCCACACACGTGCTTTTACATGAAGTACTTTATTGGAAAATGCAATGTATATCTTGATCGAATGAAAAAAGCTTAAAACTCAATTATAAAATATGATTTGTTAAGGAAAGAATGATTTTACAGGAAAATGTATCACAGTCATTTTGCGCGTTTTAACTCGATTTGTCGGCAGGAGGCATATGAACAACTGCAACTGCAAATGCACTTAAAGTGATCTGATCGGATGTCAATGCTACGAGAGTAGGAGGTCCAAAACCTGACGCTTCGTTAATGATTTGCATTTGACCACCCGTGCAATTTGCTATTGTTACATCGACATTGGCGTAGCGTTTATTAACGATTAAAACCCATCGGCGTAAATCTTTACGAACAAATGCTTGACTGAAGATATTTCGATCACCAACATCTGTTGTTTGAGTCACCACTGCTTGATCATTGTCAATGTCAGCTGTGTCGATCAATAATTTCGATGTCCAATACTTCGCTGTACCTTCACCTGTTGTCCAATTTAGTAATGCTACACTGGGATATTGTGGTTCAAGTTGAAGATCAGGTAAGTGTGGATAGCCTATTCATAGAGAAATGTCAAGGTTATTCTTTCTCTGTGACGACGAAATACTAACCAACAAGTTGACTGTGGCCGACTACATCGATACCTTGTCGAGATAACTTTCCCCACGAATAAGCGTAGAGTGCTGCGGCAGCATTCCAATAAATTAATGGAAATAATGGCGCGCTTGGATTATTGTCATCGGGAAGGATGACGCCTAACTCATCGATTGTCGTTCGAGTTTGTGGTGAGAGATTTTTTCGGATCTGTTCGATTTGTTCAACTTCCACAGTAAAATTATCGAGTTGTGGAAATAGTAGTTCATAACTGAGTGGATCGACGCGCGAAGTTCCAATAGCATAAAAGTGGTACGATATCATATCGATCGGTATATCAGGAGCATGATTGGAATGATTTAAGAAATATTTGTAATATGAAAATTCATTATGAGCTATTAGAAAATAAAGATATGACTTTTCAAGAGCTAGATTTTCTTCGTACCTGCCAATGCCATGCCTACATATTTCATATCGTAATTATTCGTATGTCTTCGAATACCTTGAATAACTGCATCATACGCTCGTGTGTAATATTCAATACTCATCTGATGTTCGCCTTCAATTTCATTGAAGATTTCCGTATAATCCCAATTATATAGATAGCCGGAGTTATGTTTTAAACCATATTCATCAATAAAACCAGCTCGAGTATACCAAGCAACTAAACGTCCGTAATAATCACCTAGTGCTTGCATCGAGTCGTCAACAAATTTTGTTCCAACCGGATAAGACCAGTCAACATGTGTCGCATTGTCGGGATAGATATGTGGTGTGTCAAGTTGAAAAAGCCAATTCGGTTGAGTGGAAAATGAAATAATACGTGAATGACCATCGGTTGCAGCAAGGAAATCTTCTAACATAGGATCGATATATGTAAAATCCCAGTAGGTGTTATTTTGCGGTGGATTGCATTGAATTTGAACCAATAAACGTTTCGGTGTTCCTACACCTGAAATATATTTAGAAAAACGATTAATTTCAGATGTCCGATTTATCATTACAAGGATCTCCGAAAATATCATCTGTGGCTGGAATGTCACATCGCTTTTGTCCAACACAAATTCGTTGAACAACGCTTAAACTATCTGTTGCATGACATGCTCCTTGTTTCATTTGACCACAAGCACCAGCGGATGTTCCAAATGACGCAAAATCAATTTGACTGATGACACCACCGTTACGTTCACAAGATAAATGAATAACGGAATCTTCGCCAACATTGCCGCACTGTAATGAGCCAGACGGTGGATTCAACTCAGCAACGGCCAGTTTCGGATAAGGAAACCACACAGCGTACCGAGCATATTCCGCATTGAGTTGTTTCAAATTAGCAAATATCTGTTTGCTTACAGGAGAAAATTGACGGGATACAAGAGGATTTGTCACGAGTTGCAAAGAAGGAATCGTATGAAGATCATAATCATGACTACTCCATGATACTTTAATTGCAATGGGACCATCATTGCCAGGTTTCTGTACGGATAGCAAGCTGACAGACTGGAGTAGTAGAAAAGGGGCAAAAACCACGAACCAACGTTTGTTGATATTCATTATTGCAAATGATAGCAGACAACGTCGAGTGTCAGTGCTTTATCTTTGGTCTAGAGACAACAGAAGTTGGCTGTTGTGCTTTGCACACCTTATATTTTATCTTTTCTTTTTTTTCGGTGACGACTGGATAGCAAAAATCTGAAAAATAACAAAATTTATTAGGCAAACTGTTTTTTCTCTATTTTGATTAATATCAACAATCACAAATAAAAAATGACTGCACTTCTCTTGTTCACCCTAAAGTTTGAACACGCTGATCGATTGTTCAATACCATTGTAAACCATCGTATTATCGATGGGAACATATTGATGCGTAATTAATTTGATTGCTTCTTGAGCACAACATCCACCGACAAAAGCAGCAATAGAATGAATTTCTGATGCACCGTACCGACATAATTCTTCAAGAATTGATTGTATATCTCCACTGGTGAGAGACTTATTTGAACGTTGTTTGTGGAGTTCTTTTAAATCATCGAGATCGACATCGAATTGTTCAGAATCAGAAAGATATTCTCCAGGATAACGATCGTATTTTTCATAGAATAAATCACAGAAATGTAAACCAATGTACCTAAATATTCGGCTCGTGTTTTCAAAAATTGAAGCAGAAGAAGCACAACTGATTACCAAGAGAGATTAGAACTTGTTTCTTCTTTGAATTCATCTATTTGTTTCAATGCAGATGTTCGTAATACTTTGAGAAAAGCCGCATTTTTACAATAGATTTCAACGAGAGGATACAAATTGATACAATCATTCGACATTCGTTTATGCTTTTCCAATAGATCAAGCAAATAATTATGAACAATTTCACGGTCTTTTTGCGCTTGTCCCTGAAAAATTTCGAGCAGCTTAACGTACGAATTTGTACTGGTTATCATATCCGGCACATCCCCACGAACTGGTAATAGACCTTGTCCTTCATTTTCAGTGAATTGTTTCAATGCGTGAACAATAAACCAGAAAATATTCGATTGAGAAGTTAGTTCTAAACATGCATGGTCTTGAAATAGATCTTTAATTGTCGCTGGAAGATTTGCAGTGACAAGACGTGATGGAACAGTTCGTTTAGCCTCCTCGAAATTCTCTAAAGATTTATGTTGATCTTGCGTGTCATACGCTGAATGGTGGGATAATTGTTCGAGGATTTGCTTGAATTCGTCCTTTTCACTACGTGTGCGAGGTAAGTCACTTCGATGTGTTTGTTTTTGCCACAGTTGTAAAGCTTTATAAAGGATTATCAATGATGGCAGATGTAGATGTTCTTCTCGCGTCAGAGAATCGAAATCAATCGAATTGCAATGCTCAACAAATCTTGTCAATGGTCGATCAAGACGAAGATCAGGTATCGTATCATCAGGATGAGCCTCGATTACATAATGTTCGACTACTTGAAGGCGAATCATACCAATAAAACTAGCAGAAGACCATGCATTTCAAAAGAAAACTTTTCGTCTCTTACCCATAGTTTCGTGCGATAAGTAGAGGTACTTTAATTGTCCATAAAAGACTAGCAAGAATAGATAACGTCTTATATGGAAGATTCGCGGTGATAACTACGCTAAATTGGCTAAAATCGAATGTATTTTGTTTGAGTAGTTCATCTATAGATGGTTTATCGATATATGTTCCACGAACATCCGGATTGAGCTGAGAAAGGAATTCACAGGTAATCCGAGCGCGTGGCTGATCAACCATCGAAGGATGAACAAAAAAATTCGAACCACAATCGGCTAATGTAACGGATTGATGGTCGATGATCGTGAACGAACCGAGACCCGGTAGAACAAGTGCTTTGAGAATTTCTGTTCCCAAAGCATTTGCACCAATTAGACAAACACGGCCGGATTCTAATGCCTTCTGACCATGATCACCCCATAGACGAAGTTGACGATCGTACTGAATTTGTTTCGTATCCGGTACTGATGATTTACTCATTCGAATCTAAAAGAATTGACGAGATATTTATTCAATAATTGAGATCATGTCAAAAACAATGATATCTGACGCGAATAGATACATATTTACATTAAAACAAGTCCTAATCACTATTATCATCGTCATAATTAACACCAGTAGCTGCTTTGCGTCGTTTAAGTGTCGGATTAATCAAACTCATTTGTAGACGTTCAGGAACTTGACTTTTGTTTCCTTTTGAATCATTCGAATCGAACGAGCTGTTTCCATTAAAACTACGATTACCACTGCCATTTGATCTCGCTTGTGCACGTTGTGTTTTCGTTGACAATTCTTTAATACGTGCTTGTTGCGTTTTCACTTCCGCTGCCAATTGTTCATTACGTTTACAAACATGGAGAAGAACCTTGCTTAAAAACGATGCCTTCTCACTTTCATCAACATGTTCGTATAGTTGGAGAGTAATCGACTGTTTGTTTTTCGGATGCGTAAACGTGACATTTACTTGAGAAACTTCGTATTGACCATTGCTATTCGCTGACGCCGCTTTTGCCAGTGTATAATCCGATTCATTGATACGATCCGAGAGAAATGTCATCGTTTCACCTAATTCAGCGATATCCAGAAGACGTGCGTTTAATTGAAATGCACGTTCATCCAACGATGTTGACCATATGGTTACTGAATCCGGCTTATCAAGACACGCGATTAACTAGAGAGAATTTATTGTATTTAATTTCGATTTAAGAAAATTCTACTTGTAGTTTCTTGGTGGTCATGTCGATGAATGAGGCGAGTATGATGTCATCGCTACGCGATCCGATTTTAAACGGTTTTCGAGAAACACTGTAGTCGAGATTGCATTTACGAAGTAGTTCGACGAATGCGGACATTTATGGTCTCTTATCTGAAAAGCAGTAAAGAAAGCAACTTATAGAGCACTGGTTAAATGCGAAGAAATAAGTTGTTCTAATTGAGGAACAGTTAAAACCGGTACGTTAAAAACGCGAGAAAATGGTACAATATTTCCTTCAGGATTATGACTTCTCGCTGAGTTATGATCTTCAATAATTGCAAAGATGATATACTTGAATGCATGCGAATATTTTGAATCGATCACTTCTTGGAACAGTTTTGCTAATAAAGATAGAAATCAGAAATAGAGAACGAGAATCACGAAAGATGTCTTACCCATATGTTTAGGTGGATTTCGAAAAGCACCACTAGAATATATTCATCGAATGTTTCTTTTTCATAGCAAAATTGTGGTTAACCTTACCATCCAAATGCTGATAAAATCACAGTATCATGATTATTATCCAAGGCGATTTTTAAAATCGTTTCGATTTTCTTCTTGGTTCGGAGGATTGTATCCTCGCCGTAAAGCTCCAATTCTCCATATGCATTCATCTTTGTATTTGGAAAAGAGTAAGCAGCACATGCAATAAATGAGATGTATTCCGGACCGTTAGGGAAGAACGGATAACCATTGATTTCTGAACCACGGAAAACGCTGACATTGGGTGAATAGATACCACCAAACTATTCGAAGAAAGTATATCAGTGATATTGGTATGTGCTTCGTTCCTACCTCGGGTATTGGATAACTCCAATTTCGTTTGTCACTGAGTTGATTATAAGAATCTTCGAGACATTGAAATAAATTCGTACGGCGATGAAGATTTTCCTCTTGTGCGCCAGAGCCTAAAGAAAATCGAAAACAAGTTATAGAGACCGATAGGAAGAAACCAACGTACCATCACGCCATCCACCGCCGGGAGTAAAAGCGTTAGCCATGTTGAGTACCACTGGATTGCAATTCGAACGGTTTTTTTTTAAACACAGAACTGCATCAAGACAATCTCCATCGGCAACGTAAATTTTCGCTATTTCTTCATACAAATGCTCCTGTTGTGTTGGACTATACTCATCATCATTATAACCTTCATATAATTTAGAATTTTCAGCAGCCCAATTCATTCGATTGATATCTAATCGTACTTTAGTCCCATCGGATAATCGATAGAAACTAGATCAATAAAAAAAACGAATGTTTTAATAATTCTCCTTTCTCTCAACCAAACCCATTGAAAACAGCATTGATTGTTTGTATTTGTATCAATTTCCTCATCCAACGGCGTGTTTCAGGATGAATACTATCAGATTGCCAAACAGATGCAAATTGTTGATCATCGTGCAAATACTCAAGTGCTAATGCCATGGTTTTATCCTTATTTTTCAAACTCGTCAATTCATCTGTCGGAAAAGGCGATTTCTGTGGGTCACTGAGTGACGATTGAATTTGGAAACCGAATGGTGCATTCGATGTAAATATACCTGCCAAGTGAGTTGGGCAAATTCTACACAACTGGCTTCCCATATTCAAATCTGACATACTTCCTTGTTTGTTCTTTGTTCTATTTCAATAGGTCATGAGATACATTCTTCTACTATTGAACACACCTTCATGCAATTAGAGACAAGAATAGAGGGCGCACAGTCATGATGCTGGTATGACAAGAAGGAGGGAATATCATATCTATCTATAGCAGAGTGTATCGCATTTGTACTTGCGTGAATGACGTCAACACTACTTACTTGGTCTACGACACAAACAATGATCACCGGATATCAGAATCAATATGCATAGCACACGTTTACTTCTAATGAAGATGAACAATAGAATGAAGAAGAGCTGCGTTAAACATGAATAGAACAACTTCATTTGATGAACTATTGTGAAGAATGATAGAGTAATAAAAACAGAAATTTAATCAGCATAGAAACTATTGGAAAGTATTGTTTCAGCAATCAATATACAATTGAACTAAGCATGAAAAGAAATCTACACCCACGACATTGATGAGACATGTAGACACAAATATAAGACGAGACAAATAGAACAGATTGCTTACATTTCAACACACTTTTTTTAGAAACACTTAGAGATTCCTTCAACTCGTCATCATCATCATCATCATGAAGCTTTCCACAGGTACAGAGATAAACTTGTCCTCCTTGTATAAGTTCTCATCATCTTCATATATAGGTATCAGCATTGCCGCTATCCTTTATGGTATGTAGCATTGTTATTCGTCTCAGAGTTTTTCTTAAGAATATTTTGTTTAGTTTGTTTCGTTTGTATTAACTCAAAACCAACTGATATTGAACAAATCAACGAACATCAAACTCTTGATAGTCTCTACCCAACTATCTTATTCACTGATGATATTGTTGAACGAGCAGCCCCACGTCTTGGCCGTGCTTCACCTCGACTCGGTCGCGCATCGCCCCGCCTCGGCCGCCACGCTCCAACATATGTTGTTTCGCGATTAAATCACGCTGGTCGATACTATATCGGAGATGATGATTCTGTCAATGATTCTGCCTACGATCTCGACTTATCTTCGAATGACAAACGAGCAGCTCCACGTTTGGGTCGCTCTCTTTAATTTGTTAACCAATCAAGAAACTAACTTTCTTTATACATGTATTCTAATACTTCTTCGTAAATATAAGAGAAAATATAAACATCAGATAAACAAATATTCTCGAAATATTAGCAAATAAATGATTGAATGCCATCTGCTCATCTTCATATCGTTTCTCATTGATTTCTGTGCAGACAGTGAGGTCAATCGTGTTCTTGAATGGATATATTTCTAGATTTTTATAATAATGAAAGTATGCCAAGCGAAAAGAGTGAATCTGGAAAACACATGATTCGTAGTTGAAGTAGGATCTAAAGTGTTATTTCTTTCGTCGTCTGTTTTTTGTCGGATTTGTCGTGGGAGTTAAACCAGTAGCAGCCATTGTTGTTGTTGGACTATTTACAGTAATTTGACTGGATTCAAGTTCGTCGACCGATAGATCAGTCATTTCTTTTAGTTTCTGCTGTCCGTCAATGTAAAACATCAGATCTCGCAGTTGATCTTTGAGTTCATCGATTTCCTAGAAGGAAAATATGTTTCCTTTGTAAATACACGAACAGATTCTTACTTGGTTCTTTGCTTTTACGGTGTTTTCGTATTCCTCTTTGGTTTTCTGAATTTCTGTTTGGAAATAATTTTGATTTTGTCTTAGATGTTCATTCATTAATCTTTCTTCGTCGAAATTGTTCTGAATGCGAGTCATTTTCGTAGAAGAACGCTTCTCCTGCTGCTGTCTCTCCTTTGAAATAGTATCGAGAGTGGCCTGCAATTGTTGAGCATGTTCTTTCAATAATTGATTTGATCGCTCGAGTTCTTCCAATCGTTCGTGAGTTGAATCTTCGACAAACTGAAGTTTGTCTTCGAAGAATCGCCGCTGGGATTCCAATTGACTTGTTAACAAATACGTATACTAAAACTCACTTGTCAAAATCATCAAAATCACTTCGCTTTTCTCACTTCAAGTTCCATCGAATCGATCTTTTCTTGAGTATTACCTGTTTTTGATGTACTTTGATTAAGATCGTCCTACACGACGCGTGAAACATTTCAAATCGAAAATAAATAAACCAAAGACTCGCTTACGATATCATAATTAACAACGCCTTCGCCACGAAGTTCAACGAGTTTACCGTCACTTTTATTTTGTATCAAACGATGAACATAATTGTCACCAACATAATCCCAAACATGTTGCCGTTTCAAATCCATTGTATAAGTATGTTGAGTTAGTTCAAAATGTCTAATATAAAAGAATCCGATCAACAGCAATCGACAAGATCAGTCAAAACATACCCAAATGCGTGGCCTTGTTTGAATCGACTACAACCGACATGACCACAGATTAAACATATCCAAAGATCCTAAAATACTCAGTTTTAGTGAATAAGCTCTTTTGTATTTGGATTTTACTTCTTGTGAGCCACATTCAAAGCATGACTGACCATCGATTACTTCGGGAGTTTGAACATAACGACACACCGGACAACTAGAAACTCGCAAATGATTAAAAACTAATATCAAAACAAAATCTTCTTACCAACTATCGCCCCATTTGATGAGACAATCACCATGAAATGAATGATTACAAAGAATCGTTAACACTCCTGACAGACTTTCATCCTGAATAGTAAAACAATCTTCATTATAAAATAAACATATTCAATGAGACATCACCATTCGTTCAAGACATATGTAACAAGGTGGTAATTCAGTAAGACCAGGAATTGGACATGATCCTTCCTACGCATAAATCCATGGTAGACAAGTGACAGAGAAAGACAAATCTTACTTTTGCTGTACTAGTAATGTCAACTTTCGCGACAAATGCTAAATGACAAACACCTTTTTCGATGGAATTGAATTGACGATTGTTATAATAATCATAGAACGCATCGGCTTCTTTCTATTATGATAAAGCCGTTTTAGCAATTAGTCAAATCAATGTAACTACAAACTAACTTGAGATTTGAATTTAATCAAACTCATATATTGGTTTGGAGTCGGATCGCGAATTATTCGCAAATATTCGATGCTATGGCTGAAAAAGTATCGCATGTTCAGTAGATGAAGATCAATATTTGATGACATACTAAACAGGATTGATAAATGTGATCAATTCTCGGCATGAAACATCAGCTGGAATAGCTAACATGGCTAACATTTCACTATGTTTTGGTTCATTATTTGCATCCAAAGCTTGGCTAGAATAAACATACGATTTTCTCAGATTTTCGATTCTATTTTTGCTTTACTTGTCTTTGTATAAATGTAAGATGCCTTTTGTTATATCAACGAGATGATTGCCACAGTAGAATGGAATTTGTACATCAGGTGATGTTGATACATGAGTTGATAACTCTACAGAATGGAAATCAAAGACGAACAATGGAAATCAATTCGAAAGTCTTTACGCGTTGTATCGTTGGTTGTTGTCGATACTTTACGATTTGTTTTAGTCTTCGCGTTGTCTTTTATCGTTGGGAGATCACTGATGTCTGGAAAACTGGATTGGGTCGTTAGTTGTTGAGAATCGTCTGTCGACGATGTTGATTTGGGAATAACATCGGTTTTATTCGTACTGGAAGAGTTCATTTCTTGTTGTTGACGACGTTTCAAAAGATCTAAATATGTCATTTCAATTGCATCGTTCATAACGTTAGAAATGGGCGAACGGTGATCTGGTAATGACAAAGAATCTAAATCGAAGAGAATGAAATCAGAAATTTAATGAAAAATCGAGCTCTTGTACCGTCAAACACGTAAGTTTCAATGAAAAGTTCACGAGGTTCACGTTGTCCTATACTCGCCGCTCGTACAGTTGCTAAATCGTTAGTTGTCTTGTTTGTAGGTACTGTAAATTGAGTAGAATCGTGGAATGGTGCTGAAATATAACGACATATAATTTCGATGGCAATATAAGGACACTACCTTGATAGACAATATATTTCAAAGTATCTAAATTTGCTTCAAACTTGTCATCTATCTCTAATCTGAGGCAAATGACCATTGGAGTAAATGAGGAAAAATCTTTATGGCTTATTTCATAAGTCTAAAGATTGGGAAATGCACGCAAACGGACAGAGTTTGAATATTTATCCATGCTCATGACACATGAATCTGTTGATTGGCGCGTCCTGTAACCAGTTAGATACAATGGTGATGCAGGAGATCAGAAACGGTGACAAGAGCGACACTTTGATCTAAGTAATTCTGCAATTTAAATTAGTCAAGTGCGTTAGTCAAGATATGACAAAAAAAACGAGAGAGCTCAGACGAGACAGTGGCATTACAATGAACTGTCCACATCACAACCAAGCGAAGCTTTCGCTCACTAATCAACCGAAAGACACAACAGACTAGACTTTGGTTAGTTTAATGTAATAGCAACGATGATTAATACTGCTGTAAGATTTCGTGTTATATTTTATCATGTAAACAGAGGATATGGTTTGAGAAGACCATCAGCACACAGAAGTAAACTTGAGAGCTTCGCAGATGAAAGTCGATACGAAGCATTTCTGCATCGAAAGATATATTCGATTGATTCTATAGATTTTTTGAGAAGAATTTCGTGAACATTTACTCTAGACTATCTAATCGAACTGCCTGTTTATTATATATAAACACAGAAATAACAACAAGAAACAAAATACAGTCATTTTCATCGTTCATTATGCCCAGATAAGTTTATTGTTTTTTCTCTTTTTCTTCGCCATTGTGTACCATACCTTCACAGCCAACCATATTGCCAATTTTCTTCTCTGTAGCTCCACTGATCAATGTTGAATCGGCCGGTCCTTGATTAGCTGCTCTCATTTTTTCCACAGCCTCTTGTTTATCATGTGCACCTGATTCCGACCATGCTTGGCTACCTGTGACATTTCCAATAGCTTCTTCAACCACTCCTTTCGCATACTGAGCATGTCCACCAATAAGACTTGCATTAGTGTTGTCAGACATAGTTGCACTTAAGGTTTAGAACGTGTATGTCGTAGTAACTGAAAATGTGTGAGTGTACGAGTTGATCTAGTACACGTAGGAGAGAAAGTAGAAGAGAAAAAGCAGAGCGAAAGCGCGCATATAGCTAACGATAGAAGAGGAAAGAACGATGAAGAATAGTCATCACGTGTTATAAACATTAAGAATACACGGGATGTTTGGTTGACATGAATTCGCGGTTAAAAAGAACGAACTTATTTCCTTTGGATTTCATTTACTAGTAAAGATTAAGCTATTGGATTGTATTTTCTAGTTGAAACATAAAGAGATTTTATTAAAAAAATAGATCTTTCCTAGAAATAAGTATTCGATAATAAATCTTCTCAGTACTAGTTCGACATATTTAAGAAATTTGCGTTTGTTTTGTGTACTAACATGAACATTATGGAAGGTTTAGGAAACAAACACGCAACAACGTGAAAAGATATATCCAGTCTATTTTCTGATCATAGTCACTAATTAATTCTGATTCACAGTGATCGTATTTGACGATTCTTCTTTATTCTCTTTTTCTTCTTGAGCATCAGTCGATTGATCAATCTAAACACGAGATTTCGTTTGAAAAGCAACGCAGAGCGAAGAAAACAAGACTTACTTTGATATTATTTTCTAATTGTGTTGCTTTGCTGATTAACTCCTTTTGATCGTTGTTATTTGCTTCGATGAGATATGGAATGGATGTCGAATGACCTTTGGATTTGTTGCATCGACTTCTTCCCACAAGTCGTTGTTGTTTTTTCGCTGCATTTTCTTCTGTGGCAATGCGAATTTTGTCCAGTTTGTCAATTAATGAATCGAATATATCTTTCGACGCGTCATCCAATGCGTAATAGTATTGTTTTTGTATCCAAAAGCCGTCATCGGTGCTACAATCGATTTCTTTCGTTTCCGGACATGTGCGTTTCGACTTGTGTCGTGGTGAATAGGATAAAATGTTTTCGTATTGACAAGTTTGAGGTTCGGTTGGTGTTTTGATATGATCGTGTAATTCTCCACGGCGTTTGTCTGTTTTTCGAGATGCGGACGTTGCCTGATGGGTAAAATCGAATGAGGGAGTGTTTTGAAAATTGTACGAGGGCTGAGGATAGGATTGGGTTTGAGGAAAGTTCAATGATTTGGCCAAGAAACCTGGAAATAAACAAATTGTTACGAACGATTTTGCCAACGCGGGGTTTTCTTACCTGTTTCTGTGTTTGTTTGATTCGATTCAGTTGGAGTCTGTTCTGTATTTGGAGGAACTAATTCGTGCACATGTGGCGAGTTTTCTGGATAATCATTTTCACGGTTTGGATCACAAACCAAGACAGCATTGGGATCTTCGTTGCGTAAGAAATTTCGAATTGTGTTAATAGCAAAATGAATATTCCGCAGTTGATATGCAGACAACGTACATTCGATATAACCGTTTCCATCAGGTTGACGACCAACAATCATGTCACGTAAATGACATTTGGTTTGAATGCGTTTGAGATTTGCAGCTCGTGTGCCTGAACGATGAAATAGGAGAAATGTCACGAGAATGTGAGAAACTTACCGACTACACGTGGAACGCAATCGCTTCGAATGAGAATAAGTTGTTCGAAGGCACCGTTACGATTCCGACTGAAAAATGGTCTCTTTTGTTGATGATTTAATGCGACGGATGATGGATCTTGAGGTGTATCAGTTGCTTCTTCACCATCTGGAATGAAATCATCAAAAGATTTTGTTTAAAAAAAACGGGAATTTTTATTTACAGTGATATGGTTGAACTGGCACACCGAGAACATCATTGATGAAAGCAGCGACTTGCAAGACGGCATCCGTGATGCTTTCAATTGATTCGCCAGCTATTGAAAGCTCGTTTTGAACCTGCTTATCACCGAATTTCGGTAATTTTACCGGCTAGAAAACATCCAAGTAATAATTCAAAAACGAAGCTGAAAAACATCATCTCACATTTGCCACAATTATGTTCAAACGTTGCTGTAGTGCGTCTGCGAAAAACTTCCAGTTTTCTAAAACAATCATACCATCATAACCATGGAGAAAACCAGCAACAAGTCTTTACTTTTAAGAGCTTCTTGACCTTGGCTCGAGATTAACAGAATAAATGTCCACTGAGATTTGCGTTCCGCCAATGGAGGTGACTCGTTGTTTGGCGTGCTTGGGATGATCGTCTTCTTCTCTTCAGTAACTGAGGAATCAGGATTGATTGTTGTAACGAATATCGATGTTGGATGTGAAAGACAATCATCTTGCTCGTTCTTCTCTTCCGCTAAAAATCGATTTGAATTAACTCCGAAAATTTTCTCCCATTGATATTCACTCGTTGATTCTTTCGATTTTTCAGCGTCGGTCGATGGTTCTGGTGCCACTTTCCCTTCATCAATTGCAGATGATTCTGAAATCATAACTATAACGATCGAAATCAGCTTTTCGAACGCGAAATCGAACCTGTAGAGATTTTCGTCTCTTCGTTATTCGACACTGCTGGTTGATCCGATCGTTTAAACATTCGATTCATAATTTCTACCAGACATTTACGAACGTTTGCTTCAGTACCGAATATTTTATAAGAATGTTTCGTTGCGTTTTGATAACCAGGCTGAAAAACCATACAAATCAACAGCGACAGCACGATCAATCGTAATACTTACATATAAATTCACAAGGAATGTTTTGGCAAAAGAATTCATATTGGATTTTTCTTCTACAATAGCAAACAAAGGAATATTCGCAAGAAATACTATTCATCGTTCGAGATGGTTACCATCTTTTGTACCGAATAAAGTCTTTTTCTGTCGACTATCGGTTAAAAATCGTATATTACAGGCATTGGTATTGGAAATTTCGTAATTATTGTATTTTTCCGTTAATTTTGTTCGATCGTCTTCGTCAATTGCATAACGAACGTCTTGTGGCATTGCGGTCACTCGACATGAACGTTCGTTAGTCGATTGATTTTCCGTGTTTTCCAAGGCAGAATTTGTTGGCGAGGCCGGAGTTTCGATTAACTGACTTTGTTGATCACTCATGATTTAATGTACAGAATGAACAATGATATGTGACTATTACTATTGTTAGGTCGTAATAACACAAGTACTTTAAACACTGGTCAACACAAAAAAATGCCAAGGTGAATGATGGAAATATTCCATTGATGAACAAGTAAGTTTAGACAACGTTGAGGATGTTGAAATATTCTTTTTATTAAAGAAAAGATATAAAATGCAGGTTTCAAATGCGAAATAATGACAATCACTAGATGGCAGCGGTTTGCATGTAAAGAATGTTTCATGATCGGAGGTTTCACGCTCGATGACGAACTGGTAAGTATAGTACATCATCATTTCGAGAAGAAATGCAAATGTTCTTCGAAATCTTCACTGACACCAGACACTTTTGCATTCGTTGCTATGAGATCACGAAAATCGGTATCGAGAAAACGGAATAGATCGTCGTCAGATTTTCTATCAATGCAGGGTTTGTCTATGAAACTTGAGCTAACATCTAGCTTTTCATTATTTCAACTCTTCGTTGTAAAATGCCGTTAGTTCCAAGAGTAAACCAGATGTCTCGTAGTCGTAGTAGCAACTTGTTACAGATGCCGCTTATGATCAGAGAGTCGTCAGTGTCGCAATTACATAAACATCAGCTGTTTTATCGTCTGAAGACGATTTTCTGGTAAAATCAATGAAATAATTGATTATTTTCGAATAAAAAAATTCGCTATTTTGTTGTTGTCAATAAACATTGGTTTATTGCTGAATATAGATATTTTTACTTCTGCAGCATCTAACCAACTACAACTATCGCTACCATATGAAAAAGAGGGAGAAAGAAAGAAAAAGAAATAGAGAACATAAGGAGTAACAGCGTAGTGTAAACGACGTAGGTACATCTATTGAACAAAATCAATCAATTGAAGATGAACGGAGAGAAAAGGAGAGTGCTGAGTAACCTTTTCGGGATTGTTGTTTCATCTTCAACTAGCGTTACAAATATATTTCTCACTGTTCTTTACGACTGTACAGTTGATCCAGACGTAGACATTGATTGATTTGTTTTTGTTGTGAAGGTCGAACTATCACAACATCTTGCCATATGAACTGTGTACTCGTTTGTTGCATACTTCATTTCTGACAGCTATCTTCCATGTGATTTCTTGTTTTAGATTACTATTCTGTCTATCTATCTCAAATGACCGATATATTCTTGGCAGAACACGATTAACATCATTATCGAATTCACAAGAAGCTCAGCGCGTTGCCTTTTGCTATAATTCAATAAAAGTCTATTTTAGATATGATATGTTGATTTATTATCATCATTATTTATTGTTTTCATCTTCATCTATGGTATTAACTGTATTTCGATCATGTCTATGAGTTATCTTTTCGTATTATTAGGTATTTAATTCGTTTATCTGAAAGACAACGAGCAAAATAGGAATTCTTTTGTTGACTATCTAAATACATCGAGCCTTTTGATTTTGTCAATGACGACGGAAAGTGGAAACGATCACATTGATGGACTTCAGACAGACAATCAGTCGATCACAGATGTAACACAGTAAGTTATTTTCATGAGTCACGTTCTTTGTTCGCATTCTGTTTCGTTACAGATCACCATGCGATGAATCGAATAGAAATTCAGACGTTTTAAGTACAACAACTGATAATAAGTCAAAGTGAATGTACCGATGATGTCGATATCAAACAACGTTCGTGGTTCTTTTTTCATTCTAGGGACAATCCAACCAATGAAACAGAAGAAAACGATAATAATAATGATGATGATATGGTGACGACTACGATGCAGCATAATAATGGTGCATCAGAACAACAGCAAGAAACACAAGCTAAAGAATCAGCTGAAGATGATCATCGATCTAAAAGATCATTTACTTCGAAGGCAAAGTATTCGTATCATCGGGCCCCATACTATGCCAATGGTTATTCGTACGGACCAGCAGCGCCCTATTATTTTTATCCAATCGCACCGATGAATGAAAAACCAATACCGTTGATGGTGATTCCAACTCAACCAGCAACGACAGCATCAGATAATTCAACTAGTAACTCAGCAACAGTTTCACCTCAAAATCTACCACCACGTTTGCGACAAACGTCTGCCACTGAAAACGACTCGAATGCACAACAATCATCATCTCAGGCACCGACAGCATCACCGTCGCAAGCTCCGACAAGCAATGGTCGTCGACATCGAAGTATTTTACCACGCGGTAGTTGTAATTATTATTCTCCACATCCACCACCCCTGATGGCTACACCTCCTGGTGTTCTTTTTCCTTATCCATCATCTGTTCATCAACCAGGTCATATCGCATATAACATTCGAACACCAGACGAACTCGAATTGCTTGCTTTTCAACAACAGCTAATGAACATGCCACCTTCAGTTCTATGGCCACCGGGATCAGCATACCCTCATCTTCCACCTTACTCTATGTACGAATCATCCCCATACATGTACAATAATCCATCGTTAATGAATTCGAACAATTCATTACTTAATCCGGAAGCTGCTGAATGGATACCGATTAGTACAGATACGGATGCATCTTCATCAGATAACAACATTTTAATTGATGATGAAATCAATTTTCCGCCACTGAATAATCATCGCACAGAAGAGAATAATTCTGAACCAAAAGCTTCAATGGAATCCTCACAAGATACACCTACAGTTACTAAAATCGATGATCTTACAAAGATAACTACATCAAAAGTCGAAACATCTACTACTTGTCCATTGTCTAGTCAGGATGATAATAAACCTGTATCGTTATTAAAGGCAGCAACAGTAACATATTCAACTGTCATTCTTCAAACACCTGCTGCTAACAAATCAATGAAAACTCATCAGGGTCAACAACAATCAACGAATTCTGCACAAGTTTCCTCGTTAACGAAACAAAAACAACAACAACAGCCGTCAGCGGCTCGAAACATGAAAGACAATTCCTCTCGTCAACGTCCATACCCATCGAATCGAAATAATTTCAATCGAACACGAATTCTTCCTTCAAACGAAACAACGAAAGCACACGAACAAGTGACGGACGATTGGATTGAAGTTAAATCGAAGAAAACGAAAAAGTTCGACCGTTCCGCCAATGGCAGTCATAAAAAATCATCGAAATTCACGTCAGATGAGCAAACGCATAAAACCATCTCACCACCCTCATCACTCTCATCAGCCGATGAACGCACGACAGCAACGTGTTCATCCGAAGAAGAAGACGACGACGACGACGACGATGATGTAAATAATTTATCTGATGATAAACTTCCACTACCTGTTGAAACCAAAACAGATTACAATCAATTAATTATCAATGATATACATAAACGACTCGATAATGATGAACGATTGTTGATTCTGATGAGAGGATGTCCAGGTGAGTGTTGAATTTTTATGTTCAGCTGATTTGCATAGATTTTCTCTTTCGATTCAGGCTCGGGTAAATCAACATTGGCTAAGTAAGATTTAGAATGTATGAAATTCGATGCATATGTACTTTTCTATTCAACAGATCACTCAATCATGGTTATAACGGGCAAATCTTATCTACAGATGGTTATTATAAAGATCATAATAATCTAAATGAATACTTCTTTGATCCATCCAAACATGAAGATGCTCATTATTATTATAATAGTCGATTAGGTTGGATCCATACGCATATTTTCGAAATACTCATTTAGTAATTGTCTATATTTAGCATCAGATGCGTTCAAACAGAATATTTCTCCCATCATTATTGACAATACAAATGTCACAACATGGGAAATGAAGCCATATGTTTTAATGGTAAGATTTCATGGAATTCCTTCTCTTCTCATTTTGAACTATATCGAATTCTTTATTAGGGTAAAGAAGCAGGTTACAATATTCTTCTTCTCGAACCGCAAACACCTTGGCGTTACAAAGCGCATGAATTAGTCAAGTAAGTTCGTAGTTGTTTTCCCGGAAAATGTTCATCATCCTCTTCCTGTACAGATATTCATTTAGTTTATCGTTTGGTATGTTTCTCTTTCATTGATATTCACCGACTCGGATGTTTTTCTCTGGAAAGCTTATTTTCTTAGGCTTATTGCATTGACCCTATATTTAAGCTGTCGAAATTTTCATTGATCTTATCTGAATACATTCGTCTCAGGCACTAATGCTCTTTTTAACGAGAGGAACTTCGTCAACTGAAAGTCGAAATTCTAATATTGCTCGTTATTCTCAAAGCTTAACATACGCAGGGTATGCCGTGATAACCTCTATGGAAAATGCTTGGTTCATACGAAAGAATGAAAAGAGCTACATAGTATTGAAAGTCTTTTCTAAGTCTGAACAGTTTCTTCGTCTTGAAATCTAGTTCTATATCGATTAATTAAGTCTTTTTCTTCTGTAATTTAGGCGAAATGTTCATAATTTGTCATTACAACGTATTCAAGATATGTTAGATCGATTCGAACATAATGTTACTGTTCAAAGCATTCTTGATCAAACGAAAACAAGTGTTTACATCCCTTGTTCATCTGCGCAAGTATCTGATCAACACCAGACTGATACCGAATCCATCGATCCCATCCTAACATCGAAGAAGTTCTACGAAACCATCGATGATTCGAATATTCTCGACGATGTTCGTCTTTGCATTAACGACATGATCTTATTTTTGACATCGACCTTCTATCAAGCATCACAACCATTCGCGATGTCGTTTTCTGATCTCTCGTTGATTCCATCGTCACCGACAACCCCGACAACATCATATTCACTATTTCATCGATCTATGTCGCGTTTTCCATCGACGACAACAAGTCAGGAACATTCATTTACAAACGAGCATTTCCTACGTTTACCATCAACGTCCTATTCACGTTGCTTGGAAAGTCTATCGCCACCCTCATCGAACAGTTCGAGTCTGGCCGGTAAAAAACGACGAAAAAGTAAAAATAAGCAATCGCCACATCAATCTGATGAAATGTTATTCAATACAAATAATAACAATAATTACAGGATCAACACAGAAGATAATTATTCTCGGCAATTCGTGTATAATGTTTGTCTTCCAGAAGATTGCACTGATTTTGTTGTTATTGATGAACAGAATCAACCTGATTGCTCGCATAATTTCATTCGCGAAGAGAAAACTTACCGGTAGGCAGACGTTTATTTTCATTTCAAAGCAGATTGGCTATGACTCATCCGTCCTTCATCTTTTCTTCTTCCTGACATGAAACAACCCACTGTCTGTGGCGCTCCTTTCTGACTGAGCGAAGAACGAAATAAATATTTGTCTTGTTTTGACTGTTGTCACTCTCACATGATTATTTTTCTCGAGTAACATATACAGAATTCAGCAATGGAAAGTACTTTGAAGAAAATGTATAAGGAAACGATGAAGTAAATCTCTATTATTGAAACAGGCTGTTTTCTTTTTGGCCAAACTTATCCAATGAGATTTTGTTTACTTTAGGGATCATTCATCCACGTTGCCAGTACAACAAAAGCCCAATCCAAATAAGCAATCTCAATTGTTGAACATAATTCGTGACGAATTAGTTAAGCCATCGACTGAACAGCGTTCACTCGTGTCAACGAAACATATCGCGGTTCAATGTTCAGCAGTTGACCTCAAGCAAGATATCACTAATATTGATTGCATCCTAATCGGTCATTTATCTGCTGGAAGCATTGCTTCGTCACCTATTTCGCCACCTCCTGGATTCATAGAGCGTGGTATACAAGTCGATCTCAACGAATCTCACATTGATTCGCTAGCAGACTTGATTGAATTCTATTCCGACAGCGTACTGCCAGAAATAGTGAAACAGTTTTATGAACTTTGTAACGCAGATATTCCTTGGGCCCGAACACAAATCGATGAATACCTTCGACATCCTCCGAGCGCATCAAGCGTTCCAACACTTCGACAATTGAGTTTTAATGCGTTAAATCAGTGGAATGAACAGATCAAACATTCGAATCCATCATTTGACACCATCTCTATCGGAGACATCCTTCGAGATATCAATAACGGAGATATCTTTGACGAATTGACCATTGACGATGAACCAGATGCGAGCGCAATTCCGATTAGCGATACCAATCATCTGACAATCCCATGGCCAGTAATCAACTCTATACAGGAATTGTATGGTGAATTACCAACGAAAGAATCATTTCACTATGATGGCAATGGGTTATCCTTACCCTTGGATGATGAACTTTCGTTCAATATTTATCAATCGTTGCAGCGGTTTTTAGGAGTATCGAATCAAATAACTAAACCGGTGAATGAAAAGAAAGTCACGAAGGAGAATAAGAAGATCAACAAACAACAACGAAATCTGCCGAAAGCGAACGAATCGAGTACGAATAGTTCAACTAAGAAAGGCAATACTCCATCATTACAAGAGATTATGGACGAAGAATTAAATTACATCCAAACACAAAAAGCAATACCAGTATGCTCATATCTCAAACGTTTCTTTCCACACTTCTTTCTATCTTCTAGAAACGTCAACTTGATTATGCTAGTCAACATAAGCTAAAAGAATTAGAACGTCAATTTCCCACTATTTCATCGGACGTTATCCATGAGATCTTTCTGGCCAATGAATCAGAATATGAATTAACACTCGCTTGTATTTCATCGATGCTTGACGAAACAGCGTCGATTACTCCAACACCTAAATCTCAACGACTACCACTTGCAACTACAACAGTAACAAAGCCGTCTTTACAACAACAACAGCAAGCAAAAGTTGAACCGTACGAGATTGCTAGACGCGACGCTCTTAACTATGCTTCCAAGCGAAAAGATTGCTATCTCAAAGCTGACCAAGCAAATCGTCATGGAATGACTGGTGTCGCCTCGTATTATATCAATCAAGCGTGTGAACAAACTCGGCTGATGAGAGACGCAAATCGTATCGTATTTGAGCATCTCTCGCGAAAACGACTTGTTCAATTTCGTCAGACACATCGACTAGATCTGCATGAATTACATGCTGATGAAGCATTGAATTTATTCAAACAAGTCGAACAGGAACTGTGCGAAGGAAACCGACGAACCACACCAAAGTCAATCGAGATTATTACAGGTTATGGTAAGAATTCACCATATGGCGGTGGATCTGGAAAAATCCGTTCAGCCATTCTTGCTTATCTACGACAGAAAAACTATAAGTAAGTGACGGCACGAATCGGCTAATGTGCAATGAAGCGACGTGTAAGATAGATTATTAAATGAATGCGTATATTTTAGATACTCAGAAGCAAACAAAGGTGCGATTCTAGTGCAATTTTAGTTGATGCACCCGATCTCTTGGATAAACTCTTTTTTGAAATCGTTCAAAGCTATGATTGTGCTTTTGTTTCTCTATGTGTGTTACATGTAGGTAGCGCGATTTGTGCGCAGTGATCTTTCTCTACTATTTCACACTAGATTTATTAGTTCTTGTTGCTGTTGTTTTCTTTCTTGTGTTTAGCGCGAGTCTTTCACTAGTTTTGTTTCTCTTTATTTAACTCTATTACTTTGATACACATACATTTACTGTTGGTTGTAGTACTCCGTTGTTTACTTGCAAGAAAAGAAACTAAAATTTCTGTTTGAAAGTGCTCGATTGAATCTTGTTCAGTTGTGCTCTTTTGTTTTTTCTTCTTTTGTTCACCGTGTGATTGTTTGTTTCCTATTTTTTTTCTCTTTTGTTTATTTATTTCATCGCTTATCCGGTTAGTTTCAATTTTGCTCTTTCTTCGTGTTTACAGCTCAGGAACTTTGCGGTTTTTCAGCTGCTTCAAGAAGATGCACATATACTCAAGTATTCGAATGCTCCTTCAGGTGTTAATTGATCAAACAATCACCCTCAAGACGAAGATACCATGTGTGTGTAGTTCGTTTTTTTTTGTGTCTCATAACAATTCAACGTGAATGATGACCAAAGGGAAACGTAATTGATTGAGAAAGTGTCATTTCTTTTTCTTGTCGTGTGCATGTGTTTGTGTGTGGTATCTAAACGCCCCGTCCGTGATTAGAGTTATTCATGCGTGTGTGTGTTTTCGAGTAGAGCAAAACAGCAATCACTTGCGTTCTCTTGTAGAAAGATTTTGTTCAATTATAACCATACATGTGTGTTTTGTTCGGTTATTTTTCTAGTGAAAACAGTCGTTGTTTTTCTTCTCTTGGCTTTCATATACCTTACGTCATCTGGCTTTTCGGTTTTGTTTTGGTGTGTAGAAAAAGAAAAAAAACAAACATTGAGAAAAACAATAAAGAATTAGGCAAATAAAACAAGACAAAAGCACGCGTTCTTTTCTTATTTGACCGTGATCTGTTTGCAGATATAAATAATAACATTTGATAACGATACAAACATGAATATGGCAATGAATCGAATCATGAAAGAATTCAAGGAAGTAGTGGCGAACGAATCCGTAAGCTCTTTCGTATATTTCATTAAAAAAAAACATCGTCTGCTTTCTTTTCTTCTTCTTTAATTGTTAGAATGGAATTGAGTTGCACATGCCACAAGGAGAATTGACGAGAGACATTCCGAACTCCGCATCAAATAAAAAAGAAATTTATCTAACTGGATCGCTACTAGGACCTCCGGATACGCCGTATGCCGGAGCGAAATTCAACGTTGACATCATTGTTGTGGGTACGTCATAGTCACGCGTTGAAAAACAACAGAAAGAACATGTTGTTCGTTTAGATACGTATCCGTTCAACCCACCTAAAGCTCGTTTCACTACAAAAATTTGGCATCCTAATATCAGTTCTGTTACCGGTGCGATTTGCCTTGATATTCTTAAGGACCAATGGTACGATAAGATACTTTCGAATACAAACATATAGTTTATTCTTGTTTTCATCGATCAAGGGCAGCTGCAATGACAATACGAACAGTTTTACTAAGCTTACAAGCATTGCTCGCAACACCTGAACCCGATGATCCACAAGATGCTGGTACGTCGTTTCTTGCATATCTCGTTCTTTCCTACAAATATGTTAATATTTAGTCGTAGCAAATCAATACAAGAAAGATAGAAAACTCTTCGAAAAAACAGCTCGGCACTGGGCTAATATTTATGCTAATGGTAAGGCAAACGAATATCTTCTCTCTTCAACAAATTGTTCTTTAGGGCCAACACCTGAGCCTGAGTGTGATGCCGCTGTCGCTAATCTTGTCGAGATGGGTTTCGATAAAGTAATGTTAAAGAAAAGCCATTTACATCTATAATCAGTCTTTTTTTTCTGCCCTCAAGGAAAAAGCTCGCGTTGCACTCTCAGCTATGAACTGGAGCACCAGTGATGCTTTGGAAAGTTTATGTAAAGGTTAAACAACTACGTAGAATCAGACTGCGACGTTTTTTTCTAATCATGATGATTTATTCTCTTAATCTTTCTCTTGTCCTATTTTTCTAAGGAAACATCAACGTGGATAAAAGAATGTGTGCATGATATGTAAAAGACTGTATGTTTCTTTTTGCAGCTCATATCTGTGAATGTGAAAATCATTCGATTGTATCCATTTTTTAAAAATATATGTTCTAACAAAATCAAACGAGAAGAAAAAAAAATACTAGAAAGAAACCTTATCTGGTACGACTCTCTAAGACCAATGAAGAGAAATTGATTGAATCTGACACCCGTAAAGTGAAGTTGCCCTTGATGCAAAAATGAACATGTATTAACATATTAGAATAACACTCCATCTTGATCTTACTCACGCACAAAATCAATTATATCGATCTTTTTAACTATATGACTGTCATTCGCTGGCATTTTTCTCTCGAGAAAATATTTATATACGAAAACACTTGATCTTGCTACTGATCATAGTCAACAAGAACAATTTATGAAAAGAAAACATCCGTTGAACTCATCGACAATGTCTATTGTAAGTTACTTGTTGTCCACGGGCATACATTTTTAATTATAGACTCAACGAATTCTTTATATCAAGAAGATATGTCAGAAATAGATCGACAAATCGTCTACTCGTTTACATATTTATATATTCAGATCGTTCTCAAAAAGAAACTCATCTTGAATCGTCATCAGCATTCGTAAATCTGTTTTGATTCGTTTGTAATATCTTCTATTTATAGGCTAGCATCTATTTTTGTGACGCAAAAGATACATTTGTATAAATAGAGATAGAAAGGAGACAGACGATAATGATATAGTGACATAAGAATAAGTTTCAAATAGTCCCCTCACGAACGTGATCCTAGTGAAAGCGTTTATTCTAAGAAAAAAAAAAGAAGAAGAAAGTAAGAGAACACATTTATATCCCTCTAATGACAAAGCACTAACGATGACACTATTAGATTTGCGATTGTCTGGGAAAGACGCGAACACATCATCTTTCATCGCATAATTTCGCTTTTATTTACACATCTATATACTACCCATCGACTCCGCCGAAATGTTCACTCTGAATTGATTCACAGTATATTACACCACGAAGATTGTTGTATCATTCATGGCTGGTGCATGTGGCCGTTCCAACCGTAGTCAATCGAAAGCAATGATCTTTTCATCTTCAGTAAGCCCATTGATTCTCTTTTTCGAATTTTGCTCAGTCTGACATGGCGAATGGAATGTTGACGAATCACCGCGCGTTTTCTGTACATCGATAGTTGAGAAATACTCATTGGGTAGTTGTACTTAAAATATGTCAAGATAGAAACAATCCCGATATAATCTTTTCTTTTAATTGATGTCATTTGTCGGTAAGTACGTCATTATGTTTCGGATTATCTAAATAGTTAATTTTTCAACGAACATAAATATTCGTGTACGACTCACCGCGATTCTAGCCTGTTTTTATAGAAACAATTAACCAGTTTAGCGTTTCCGGGAAAGATTCTTACATTTGAAACCTTTCGTTCACTTCACTGAAGTTTGTCACTCTGACTAATGACACAAGTAAATTACTGACTGATCTTCAACGTCAGAGATTTCAAACATGTTAAGTATTTACCCTTCAAGTCATTTGCGTCATTGGAAAAATAAGAGCTAAGAAGGATTATCTATCTTTATCCCCACTACGCAATTAATAATTAATAAACGTAGGAAATGAATTCTCAATCAACATGGCAAGTTTCTGAAAAAAAAAATGTCCGTCGATGAGTCGTTTTTCTCTGAGAGCGTAGTCTATTGTTGAAATGTTGATTAAGATTTGTTGAAATCATGATTGAAGAGAAAAACATCTCTCGACCTCGTCAGTCGAAAACGATGCATTATTGAGACCATTTGTATATTAATATTCATTCTCTGGAGAATTATTGTTACGAAGAAAAAGAGATGAAACAAGCGTCTATCGAAGAACAATAATTGACACAATGAATTCGAGGAAAAGTTTTTTTTTGCTTCAAGTCTAATGAAAGAATTCGCATGTTGCTTGAATAGAGGATAATTTTGTGAAATTGTTGATGCACGACAGACGCAAGAAGAAAAGATTTCTAATACAACTCGACAAGTTGCATGTGCGTCATACGCTTTTCTTCTAATTAAAACTAAGACGGCATGCTCGTTGTGGTAATCGAGTCGAAAACCTCTCTATAATGCATTTCCATTATCGATTTATCATTATTTATTTACCATTAAACTCTCATCTTTGTCAAATGGAATAGGGTTTGACTGAGATTTCGCCATCGAACATCGATTCTGTTTTATGAGCAGTACACAAATATGATTATTCAATCGCGAAAAGAGAAAGAAAATGGCAAACGACGTTGCCGATGTAGAAAATAAAGAGAGAGAGAAGCTTTGCCCTGATTAGATTGACCAGACTTGCACATGCATCGAAATGTGTCGGATTGTGATCGTTTCTCCGCTCGTCATTTTATCGATTCATACAAATCAAATCAAATCAAAAAGAAAAATATCGAGATCGCGACATGCTACATCAGTTTGTTTCGAAGGAAGGAACAAATCAAGGTGCGAATTCTTTGTTTGATTGCATGATTGTACGTCGAAGCGAGAAAATGTCTTTTCTCATAGCTTAAATCGTTCGACTAACTTCATCTACGATGCCATTGAGTTTCCTACTGATAGCACCGAGTCTTTTGAGCAAAACGTTCTCTCTTGTTCTTCGTCTCCTTGTCATATTTCTCTCGGAGAAAAACCCGCGCGTATTTTCTCTCGTTTGTCGTTATAATATTTCCTCTCTCTCTCTCTGTCTACTGGGTGATTATTACTCAAAAAAAAAAGATAGAATACATAGAAACAAAGCAAGTCAGGATAGAAGATTTTGAAAGTTGCTCTGGTACGTTCATGTGCGTGTGGATATGCATGTCGATCTAACCTTTCCTATCAATCGATCTAGTCAAGAAGAACTCGGAACGATTTTCTTTATTTAATTTGCTGGTCGAATCGAAACTCAAATGGCACTCGATAAGGTAACACAATTTCATGCTTAATTATACGGCAAATATCGAGTAGTTCAGTCTGACCTTGGAATAAAACAATTTGTCGTCTTGTCTTCTCCATACATATATTTATCTTCTGACTACATGTTCTTTCAGAGATCAAATTAACTAATGTAACTGATACATGCATAGCTGTCCCTGGATAATCTAGTCGAAGTTTCGAGTTGATGAGCAGTGCGAAGTTTTATTGACCGCTTAATTAACGGTAATTCGTTTGCTTCTCAAATTTGTCAATGGAACGATGTAGCCAGAAAGAAAACGACTGCGAGTTTGACATGTTTTGCCAAGAGACGAGGGATGGGCTTTCTCGTTACTGATGATGACGCCTATACTAAAAGATGGCGAAGAACTAGAAAAGTTGACTACGTTAAACAAGTGTGAATAGATTTTGCTTCAATTATTCGTCTATTCACGTTAGTTTTTTATCGCTAAGTAATTGTCCTAAGAAGAAATACTTGACAGTTAAGAGATGTTTTTCAGACTATCATCTGATATTTATCGAGATTTCTTTTTCAAATTTATTAAATAGAATCAGTTCGTCTTATATTTATCTTTCTTCTAGTCAAACAAAGATCCATCAACGCCCTTTCGGGCTATGCCCGATCAAAGTACAGATTATCGGATCGTCGTTCTTGGTGGTGCTGGCGTTGGTAAACTTTCACGAGGAAACAATCGATCGATCGCGTAATCAATGTTGCTTTCGTCTTAGGTAAAACAAATTGTGTTCTTCGATTTGTCAATGGACAATTCCGTGAAAATTATGTTCCAACGATTGAAGATACCTATCGACAAGTCGTTTCATGCAATAAACAAATAACTACTTTACAAATCACTGATACGTAAATATCGATCATTTTTTTGTTGACATCGTCATTTTTCTTCTTCTTTCCTTTAGAACCGGGACACATCAGTTTCCAGCGATGCAACGATTAAGCATTCAAAAAGGTCACGCTTTTATGTTACTCTATTCGATAACAAACAAACAGACATTAGAAGAATTGAGACCTATCTATACCCAAATACGTGAAATAAAAGCTGATCAGCAATGTGATACGCCGATATTACTAATGGGCTGCAAATCGGACGAAGCTGCGTGTCGGGAAGTAACAGAAAATCTCGGCAAACAACTGGCAGCACATTGGTCATGTGCCTGGATTGAAACATCAGCGAAGAACAATATCAACATTCGCGAAGGATTCCAAGAATTGCTTAAATTGGATAAAAAGCGACAATTCAATTTCAATGTCGATCAGGATGGCCATCTTCTCGAAGAAAATGGAGGAACACCTGCTCCATCGTCTCCTGCGTCACATGCCGGGAAACGCTTAGTTATAACCAATTCTTGTTCATCAACAACAACTAATAGTGGCAGTAATCAGAATATAACTGAAACAACAACGGCTGGTGCTGCGTTGACGCGACCCACAACACCTGTTCTACACGGAAATAAAACAAATCGATCATCTGCGCATCCGAATGATTCGAAGAAAAATCTCAATTCTGATACGACAGCAAATCGAGCGGCGACTCGAAAATGTTTAGTTATGTAGATACATGAGAAAAATTAGAAAAACCATTAGACATGTCTTTTCTCTGATTTGTCTGGAAACCTCTTTTTATGTATTTATTTTTTATAATGACTGCGAGTATCCATTTTCTAACAGTCGCTGACAAAAAACGGTGTTCTTTTTTTTTCTATAAGAAAACATGATAATATCACTTTCTAGTTGATAGTATCTTCTTCTTGTCTACGAACAAGCCAAGTCGCCGAAGAAAACATCTCGCTATCAGCTGTTCAGCTTTCAATCACTTATTACTGTCAATTTACTGAAGGAGTTGCCGAACTCGATTGAATTTTCAAGAAGAATCGTCAACACATGATCAATTGTTTGACAATGCTGATGGATTTATTGGAAATCTCCAAGTAGGTTCGATATGTGCTTCGATCAGCACGTAAAATTAAGAAGATATTTGCGAAGTCTTTGATTTCCTTCGTTTTTCACCCGACGTCATGTCGGATTGTGTTTTGATTTAATTATTCGGTCCGGCATACATTCTCTCCAGGGATAATTGAATTTCTTTTTCAATTAGACGTTCTCCTTCGCATTCTGTTTAACAAATATATATTTGATAAAAAAAAGAATCTTGGTGGAGAATAAACTGACAAACGAAATTATCATTAATAATAAAAAAAAGAATGAATCGACACACACACACACACAAACATAAAGACGCACGGATAGTTAATTGATTTTTGTTGCAGTGATTTGATTAATATCGTAGATTTGTGACCAATCAATACGAGGATATCGAAGTAACGCCATGAGACGAAAACAACCAAACGTTTCCAGGAAATTTCGTAGCTTTTGCTTTTGAAATGGATTGTTAAATTTGCCTGTATTTTCATCACGAAAATAACTGTAACGAAAACCCGTCAAACGCTCGTTCAACGTCACACCCAAATAGATCGAATTAAACAAATGAAACGCCGTCATTAACGTCACCCAAATAGCATTAAATGCTGTTAAGAAGAAAATATAATTAAACCATGGATCGTAGACTTGGAAAATGATTTCTTTGATCGTATAATTCTCACCATCACGTGAGATGTGTTGAATGGCTTCATGTAACCAGAAAAAGATTCCCATGGTAGCACATGTTAGTATGCGAATGAAATGAATGTAATTCCGACCACCAATACAAGCGTCAAGCCTAAGAAAGAAGTCATTTGTAAAATGGATTATCTTTACAGATTGTCCTTACCAAGTACAATGATGATCGAATTTCGCCACACAAGTTCCGTCCATAGGACAATGCTTTGATCGTAATGGTCGGCGAATAAGACAAGTAACACAGAAATGATCCAGCGTCCATTGTGAATCGCGCGCAAATGCAATGCAAATCTTGTCTCGTGTCAGTGTTTGTCCGTCGATCGTCATTGTCTGTTGTTTGATGAAACCCGGATTGTATTTCTTCGTACAATGAAACGAATAGATACCGAAGAGTGTGAAAAAGTGATAGCATAAATGTCTAAGTGTCCATTCATTGTCTTGTAAATAGACTATGTAAGTTCCGTACATGAGAAATGTCGTTGAGAGCACGTATGAAAATGCAAAATTATCTTTCGTGTACGTATCAAAAACATAATAGTTGAATACTTGTGAACAACAAATAACAATAACAATGGGTACAACAACGCGTGCCCAGTAAGAGTATTGAATAGAATTCGCTGCGACGCCAAAGAGTACCAGAACGAGAAACATGAACAGCCTTATTAACCATCGACGGACGAATTTACTAGTGAAATATCGTTGTAGAAATTTCGGTTTTATATCAACTTTTGTTGCAGCGATACGCTCTTCGAGAAGAAAAACAGCTTCTAAATTGCGTCGCACACGTGCGAATGTTAATGCATCACAATTATCAGAATTTTTCAAATTAATGTTAACTTGTGGGTGCTTGAGTAAAACGTGAAAGCTAATTGGATTTTGATTACCAATCGAGAAATGTAGTGCAGTATAATGACGAGTTGGCTCTTGATAATTAACGTTGGCACCAAATGTTAATAGGAATTGTGTACAACAGACATGTGTAGAGTCAGGATTTGGAGTGTAATCAGGAGGTGGACCAAGACAAGAATAAATTAGAGGAGTAAAACGTCTACCATCAAGACAATCAACGTCAACACCAGAACCAAGTAGATAAGCGAGAATTTTGATTTGGCCGTATTGAGCTGCAAGGTGAACAGGTTGAATATCATGGATATCTGTGGAATCTATACTGGCTCGATTATCCACAAGAAGAAAGAACGCTTCTGTACAGCCTTGTCGACCTGTAAATATAGCAAACGATCACATTAAGATCTGTTCTATAAACTCAGTCAAAGTAAAATCGTATTTACTTACATGCCCAATGTAATGGCGTCGATTTTAAATCACCCCCTTGAACATCTATAGCGGCACCTTTGGCGATCAAATATCGCATAATTTGGCAATGATTGTTAATTGCTGCCCAATGCAACAAATAACATCCCTCAATATCCGGCGTATTGACATCCATTTGTCCGCTTTCGATAATTTCTTTCAGTCGCTCCAATTCGTTGTATTGTACAGCTTGAACAGCCGTCATTTCTGCTACTGCCGGCTTAGGCGGTGGTTCGGGAACAGGTTGAGAAAAATGCGATGGTGTATGAGCATGTCCGCATGAACCTGAATGATTATGCGAATGTCCATGTCGATTTGCATTAGATGCTCCAGGAGATGCTGAATTTTCATTGGCTGACTCCATCATAGCCGAACGCATAGCTTGAAATCGAGCTAACATTTCGGGATTTTGTTTTAACTGAGCCAGCAATGCGGCTTGCTCGCTCGCTGACAGTTGAGGATGCATCATCGTACAAGATTTAGTCCGCCGAAAGTCTGATGTTGCACTTTATTTGTTGTGTTTATTAAGTTATACTACTATGACTGCTATCGTTACTGTCGTTGTCATTGTCGCCAATACCGTTGCCACCACTGAAATCTACAAACTTGAAAGGAAAGAAGAAAAAAAAGAACGACAGATGACAATTTTTAATCGTTCTGTAATCAGGAGAGGCGAATGACTGTTCTTGACGACATCAGTAGGGTTGAAATGGAAGAAGCCGCACAAAAGCTGTTGTTAAAATTTTATTTAAAATATTTTTTTGATCATTAATTGAAAATTAAAAGATTCAACAATCAGAACACTGCAAAAGAATTATTCGAGTTCACACAAAATTTCATTGGCTAATCTTTTCGCCAATCAGCTCGTCCAAATCGATACAGTTCGCGTAACCCAAAAGATAATAAATAAATTCATTTTTCTTCAGTTTAGTGAGATTACATTCTTTTCTCTTCTTTTTGCAAGTCTTTCCTATTTCTTTTTCATATAAAACTGCTTTTGTTGACAATCTCGAATTAACTTCAAATACTCTATTTTTATGAGCCGTGCGAATATTTAATCGAAAGTGCGTGACATTGAGTTACGCTTGAGACACAACGGCACTGTACTCAATAGATTGATTCGTGAAAATGCGTTCCTTTTGTTATTACAGATCATTCCATTATGGATATATTAGGTTTAGGATCGAAAATCGAAACTGATTTCATACTTGATCCTCATGGTCAACGCAAACAGATTGAAGTTAAACTTGATGAAACGAAACGATCATTGCAATATATTTATTACGACGGAGAAGACGTTTCTGGAACGGTAAGAAACATCAGCGATTTCAAGAGAAAATAATCTCTACTTGATTTTGATTTAGGTACAAATCAAATTGAAGAAAAACAGTAAAGTAGAACATCAAGGAATTCGATTGGAATGTATTGGACAGGTTGGTAAGTAGGCATCTCATTCTACAAGTGACGCACGTTAAAAATTCCAAGTGTCAATCTTGACAATTCTAAGCCGATTAATGTAGGGGAGATTAACTTGCGAAGTTTATTTTTAGAAATGCTCAATGATCGAAGTACTGTTTATGAATTTCTAAATTCATCCAAACTACTCGCTTTTCCTGGTGAATTAACCGAAAGCACATCCATAGATTTTGCTTTTCCGGGCGTCGAAAAGCCATACGAATCATACGCGGGTATCAATGTAAAATTAAGGTATTTCTCCTGCAATCGATTGAACACCATCTTCTCCAATATCTTCTAGATATTTCCTTCGTTTAACAATCATCAAACGTTTTTCGAATAATGTTTTCGAACGTGATTTCTGTGTCCAACAATTATCCCAATACCCCGAAGTGAATAATAGTATTAAAATGGAAGTCGGCATCGAAGATTGTTTACACATTGAATTCGAATACAACAAATCGAAATATCATTTGAAAGATGTCATTATCGGAAAGATTTACTTTCTTCTCGTTCGAATCAAGATCAAACACATGGAAATCGCCATATTGAAAAAGGAAAATACCGGCAGTGGACCAAACATTTACACGGAAAACGAAACGATTGCGAAGTACGAGATCATGGACGGTGCGCCAGTTCGCGGTGAAAGCATTCCAATTCGGTTATTTTTGGGTGGTTATGATCTCACGCCAACGATGAAAGATGTTCAAAAGAAGTTTTCCGTTCGATACTTTCTCAATCTTGTTCTAGTTGACGAAGAAGAACGACGATACTTCAAACAACAAGTAAGATTTGTCATTTCTTTTCATGTTCATCTCGTCAGTGTTCTTTCGTAGGAAATCGTTCTTTGGAGAAAACAAGAAAAAGAAAGAGATAGAGCTAAACAATCATCACAACAATACGCTCATTACGAACGACCTGAAGCAACTAATAATAAATTCGACGATAAATTAGCTGCTAACGAAGCATTATCACCCGAAAACAATAGTGATACGCCGAGTGATTGATAATTAAAAGCAAGGCAGGAAAGAAGCATTCGCGCATTTAAACATTCTCTATATTTTCTCCCCGAAATTTGCATGTATCTGTGTGCTTTTTGATTTGTTTGAGAGGAAAATATTCTTTTTATTTCATATGCAATTTATTCTCGTGACGATTGGAAATTGAGTAACATACGTTCATTGACCTAGTCGATTCTTATATTTGATTATCGTTTGTTTGTTTTTTCTTCATGATTCGATCTTTTAGTATCTGAAAAACAAAAGAAAATCGAGCATAAAACAAAAGTTTGTCTTCAGCACAATTCTTAATTTGAATATTTCTTGCAGAGTTATGGTCGATGAGCATTCTGATCCGTGCTTCTCGTGTAAACTATGTACGAAGGAGGCAACCCACAATTTATGTATAGCAAATTGCATTGGATGTCAAAATGTGTTCTGCTTCGAACATTTAATTCAACATAGGAATCAATCGACCAACGAACTCGAACAATTGATCCAACGGCATACTGATCTGAACGAAAACTCTATGAAGAAAATAGACATCAGTCAACATTTCGAACATATCGACCGATGGGAAAGTCAAACAATCGATTTGATACATGAACATAGAAACTACGTCAAGGAAACGATCTTAAATATATTCCAAACGTATAAATCGGAATTAGATAAGTGCAATACAATGCTCGGACAAGAACTTGATAATCAACGCAATGTGAAAGTATGCATTGAAGAAAGTCTCAATGATCTATCCCGACGAGTTGATCAATTAGATAAAGAAATTCAACGAATGAATAAAGTTATCACCCAAATGTGCAATAGCGAACTAAACCAAATAGTAAACAAAATCACTCTGTCGCCAAGTACTCTGGGTAAGTGGTAATGATGGAGTCACACCGGAGTATCGGAATGTCTAGCTGAGTATTTCCTCTTAGGAAAGCCGGTGCAATGGAATTATTTTCGCGAGATAAAACTTGATTCGACATATGGTTACATGGCTGCAAATAACTATCAGGTATTTCTCGGCTGGAAAAATCGTATTGCAGTCTATAATCTTAATGGTACAAAGCATGACGAAACACGTTTACATTCGACAGAAGTCTATGGGGAACTATGCGATCTCATTTGGTCGTCAACTATGCAACGATTTTTCATTCTATGTCACAAGTCATTATTTGTACATCATCCAGCGAGTAGTGAGATCGAAATTCAGGAAGAGATTTCACTAATCAATCAAGATAACGAATACATTTCCATAACAACATTCGATAACAACCTCGTTATATTAAACAAACAATGTCTAGAAATCTGGCAATTTGCAAACGATGCATTTCATTTAGTTTCATCTGTTCCCATATCAGATATTCTGCAAAAACCCCTTGAAGAAAATATCTCTAGTATACGTACGAATGATCAATATCTAGCTGTGTTAATACAAAACCATTCAACCCATACATGGCGTTTAGATTTGTTTCATTTCCGACCCTTTTCCCGTGTTTATGCAAGTACACCTCTTGATCGTTTTCGAGAATGTAATCTTGGTTGCTTCACTCCATACGATGCTAAAACATACCTTTTTATGAATTGGGAAACGAAATCTATGTATTTAGTTGATCCTAATGGTCTGAATGAATTGATTGATTATAATGCATACAATGCTTGTTTAGTTGGTACCCAACGGATGGTTGTGGTCAATTCGATGACTCATCTGAAAATTTATATATTTTAATATCTTGTTCTTGCGCTTGTTTGTTTTCTTTCTGTCTGTCGTTTCATAGATCAAAGTACATTTTCTCTCGCGATATTTGAAATTTTTGGCTTTGCTCGAGTGATACTCACATTTATCTCAATGTTTTCTAGATGACTACGACGAAGAATAATAAACGAGTGACTCATCTAGTCGTCGACTCCAGCGCATTCATTCGACAAGCACCATTACACGTACGCGCTTTCGTCCTGAATTCGAATCGAGTTGAAAACAAAAAATGAATGTGTTATTTAGAATCTAACCGATACAGTTTATACTGTGCAAGATGTAGTCAGGGAAATACGGGATGTGAAAACGCGTGAATCACTCGCTGTTGTTCTTTATGCGCTCAAATTCAAAGAACCGAGTACGGAAGCGATTCGTGTTGGTAAGAGTTTTATCACTTTCTCACGCTGATGGCAAGGCATATTTGGTTTATTAGTGACAAATTTTGCGAAAAAAACCGGTGATTACGCATTCTTATCAGCAGTTGATCTTCGACTGTTAGCATTGACCTATCAACTCTATCAGGAAAACGTTGGAACGGAGAATCTGAATTTAGAACCAAAGATAAATGTGAGTTCTGTTAAACATGATGGCACATTGATTGTGGATTTGTTTTCTTATAGGCGACAATACCAAGCTCTACAACATCCTTTGGAGATCCTGGAATCAAACTAGCAGGTTTTGTTTTCCCGAAACATGTAATATAGAAGATGGAGTATTGGCTCGTTCGATCTTGATGAGTGATGTTTATTATTTTAAGGAAGAAACTGGTGATCAGGAACCAGTGAATTCAACAACAGAGAGTCCAGTTGAAAATCAACAAGAAATAGTAGAAAATGAAAATGTTGATTGTGAAGAAGAACACGAAGAAGAAGATAATGAAAACGAAGATGTCCAATCATTTGTCACTGCACAAGACAACGACCACGATCAACTACTTGAGTCGGTCAATGATTTGCATCTCGGTCATGATAATGATGGTAACAATGATTTGCATAGAAGAATGATGTTTTTCTTTTTACACATGATTTTCTAGGTTGGATAACTCCTTCGAATATTAGAACTGTGAAATCAAAAGCTCTAGACAATGGAGTGACTGATAATGAAAGTGTACATGAAAGTCTGCCTGTTGCTTGTATCACCACTGATTTTTCTATGCAGGTAATGAGATTGATTTCATCTTTGAACTCACACTTGTTTCTTTTGCTCGAAAAAAGAATGTTCTCATTCAAATGGGTATTCCTGTTCTCTCCGTCGATGGTCTTCTCATACGAATAGCTCGCAGTTACGTATTGAAATGTCGTGTATGCCCTGGGTAAGATTTCCGAATCGTCAAACTCTTTTTTCTATTCATTTGTATTTATTCTTCAGTGTTACTCGTCAGATGAACAAACAGTTCTGTCCTGAATGCGGTAATCCATCCTTACAACGAGCTGGTGTTACAGTTGATCCATCAGGTCAACGCCATTACCATTTGACTGGTCGATATCGACCGCAACCTCGTGTATGTTGTATACTCTTATATTCAAGAAATATTTTCTCATCGATTTTTCTTTAGCAAACGTTGCCATTACCTCGTGGCGGCAAACACGCGAACAATCCAATACGTGTCGAAGGTCAACCACGCCCACAGAATCGTCCAACAAAAAAATCTCTTCAGAAACGCAATGTTCTCGATGATGATTATCTCGCTGATTCGTCACCATTTGCTGTTCATGATATTTACAGTCGAGCAGCAACACTTGGTATAAAACCAACCAAACGATAATGATTCATCGAAAGGAAATTTTCTGTTACTTTTTTCTTTTGCTTTGTTTGTCACTTGTTTTCATCGATATGTGACCAGCGTAATAAAAGAAACGAAAAACGAAGTCCACACTGAACTATGCCTTATATCTGAAAGATATAGATAATTCATAGAACGTAAAAGAAAAATGGAGGCGAAAGAAAGACGAATTTGTAGACGTGTACAAAGTTTTTTTTCTTCTTCTAACTATTATCGATAGAACGAGTTCGTCGATGCTTTTCATCACAAGTCTGTGAGAAAGGCAAAGTGAAAAAAGTACGTTAGAGACTTTGCATGATTGTCTTTCTATCTCTTGCATTCTTAGTGTATAATTCTGACCAGTCCGAGACGTTGGAGTCCAGTCCGACACCTTTAACACGTGATTTTATCGGTCTATGCATTGGTATCCTCTCTGTCGTGATCGTTATTCTTATTGTAGCAATATGCAAATGGTCCCGTTGTCGATGTATGAAGCGTTTCGACGACACTGATGATAATCATGGGGTCTTTTCATCTATTCTCCAACATAATGCGTCGACGCCACATGGAAATGCGAGACGACAGTATAACTATAATCATCATCAACAAGATCAACATTTATCATCTTGTGATCATCGTCCTGACAATATCTATCGACATATAAGCAACTCTAGAGTTGATACGATTTCACCAGTTCAAGCAACGAATAACAATGGATATCGTCTCAATGATGTGAAAGTACCTCGAGTTACAATCACAACGTTACCAGTACAACCAACGCAACAACTCGTTCCTCGCCTTTCGATTAGTCCACAAGTGTCCGGCTCATCGATTACACGTAGCAGTTATTCACTGAAACAGTAACTTTTAAAGCAGTTATCATTTTCTTTTCTTTTTTTGTATCTTCAGCGTCCTTTTTTCTACGTAAGGAAAAAGACTTTATACAAAAAGATGTTTTATATTGATTTGAATAGTAAAAGACACCAACGAAGGTTTTATTCATAACAAATTCAATCTATTTCCTCGTCTAAACTTTCAATCTTACCCGCAAAATGATCAATACTCTATTGAGACTCTTTCATCTGATGATAGATGGCGCTTGTATGTTTCATCGGATGAATGAAAGTTTCGAAACTTTCTCTTTGGATTGAACTCCATTTGGTTTCCTAGAGAAAAAGAGATGATAATCATATGGATTCTTAACGATTTATCGACAAATGTTTTATGTGTTTCATCACTGGTCATTTCACATGACAAATCGAACAGATTGTCTTCTCTTTGTTCGCTTCGTTTTATTTCTTCATCGCGTTTTACAGATAATCGATTGACATGTCCACGAGCGATCAATTAGCTACCCTTGTAACTCAACTGAAAGAACGTCGTGCCCTTACATTCCAAGACAAGCTCAAATCGTTGGATATTCGCGATGAAATTTGGCGAAAATGTAAGCGTTTTCGAAAAACTTTTCAGTTTACAAGTGAGTTCTTCCTTAGACATTGATCTTAACAAAGGTTCAACAATCGATGCAACTGCTGCGCAACGAACCGGCTTATGTACCGATATGTGTTGTGAACGAGAGCGGATCACTCGGGAATGTCAACGGCTTTTCAATCCCTATGAATTTGATTCGGATACTCGCGCAGTGCGTTCTTTTTAAATTTATCATCATCTTTCAACTTACTATTCATTTTTCTCCTAGTTAAACCAATCATTGATGGTCACTCAATATTCTCGTGCATCAGCTGATCAAGTAAGTTGAAATTTACATATTAGTATATTGTCATTTTCAAACAATTGTAGGCTATGCCTTCAGCATACGACCTTCGTTCAGGTCCAGTTCTGTTGCAAACGATGAATTATTTGATAACAAATATCATGGACAAATTTGATCAGGACCGTGAACAAGCCGATTGGTATAACTTCTTGTGGGATCGTTTACGAGCCATTCGAAAGGTAAGATCAATGATGAATGGTAATTAAACAAACAATGGTTTTAGGAAATCACCCAACAACATTTACGTGACGAAACTGCCATCGAAATTCTTGAACAATGTGCACGTTTTCATATATTTTGTTCGGCGTTTTTATCTGAATATTCTCGTGACGCATTTGATCCTAATTTGAATATGAAAATGTTAATCGATTGTCTCAATCAACTACGTGATTGTTACTTGACACATAAGCAGCAAAATAATTATCAAGCATTAAAAAATGTCGCCGAATTTTCTTCTTACATGTTACTAATCAACTTAAAGGATGATAATGAAACTCTACTGTAAGATTCTTGCGATTACTTCATGTTATTTGAGCAAATTCTTTGTATATTTAGACGTATTCGTCGTTTGATTCAGGACATCACTCATATCTCCGAAGTTCAAGTTGCTTTGAATATTCATCGATCGTTACTGTTGAATAACACGACGAAATTCTTTTCATTAATTGCGAATGAGGCGACATTGTTACAATCCTGCATACTTCATCGATATTTTCACATTATACGTTTAAAACGTCTACATTCATTAGTTGCATCGACACGTCCTGGTCAGGAAATTTCCTTGACGGATTTGACACATATTCTTGGCATGGATAACGATGATGAGACGAAAGATTACCTCGAGCAACTGGGATATTCGATAACAGGCACAAGTTCGGGAATGTGTTTTACAACTCCAACGGATAATCAAAATCAGCAAGAGCAACAACATCCAACCAATAGATTATCTCAGAAATTGGTCAAATCGAAATTTCATGAGAATTTAAAAGATGTAAGTTTGAAAGCCAGTATTCAATGATATACAAAATCATGATTTATTGCAAATAGATTATCACTGGTAGATCTGATACGCCAGTTGTGATTCCTGATATAAATGTGGAAGATAGTTTTGATTTACAAGGATCGTTTATTGGCAAAATCCCGTTCGATATTGACTCATCAAGTAAACCATAGTTTGTATGATAAGAACTCGCATATTGATTTCTAAATTTCAGTGTCACTCCCGGTACGAAGACCACTACCACCAACTACAACTTCCAACAATACTACAGAATCACGGCCGCAGCAGAAACCAATATCAACAAGAATTCAACCAGCAGTACCCACTCCACGTCCACTTATGGAGAATGCTCTTCGATCACTAGCATCAACCACAACAGCAAATCCATTTGTAACAACAATTAGAAAACGTCACCATCAATATTTACTTTTTTTTTATCTCTATAGGCAATGAGTTCTCGTATTATGTCAGCGGGCAATATTTTCGTCACTGCTACATCTACAACAGCAACGCCAACCGTTACACAATCACCCTTTCGTTTTGGAGGATTCGGCGTAAACCGAGCGCCTGTTTCACGTTCAGAGTATTCACCCCATACCGTATCTCTCTAACTGAATCGAATCTTTTTGAATTTTCTTAGTGCACCTAATCCATTCACGCAATCTACTTTATCTACCAGACTATTTGATTCCAAATCTCAAGCACTAGTTACATCTCAACCAACACTTCCGACTTTAAATCCACCAAATCAAGTTATCCGCCATTTACCATCGCCAATCGAACCAGTTCTCGCACCAAATCCACCTCCAAAAACACCACTCACTAAGCCAGATCTTGTCAAACAACCACCAGTGCTCGCTCCTCCCGTAGCTCGACGACTATCCACGAGTTCCATGGATACATTCATCGACGAACTCTATGAACAACTGATCGATCCATTGGTTCAAGAAACGGCATGTCAAATCTTCGAGTAAGTCAAACACAGCAACTTTCTCAAATATTTAATCGTAACTTTTTTAAGTGAACTAATCTCCCAATGGAATAAATTAACTACTGAGACAGTTAAAATATTCAATGAACTTCTTTCGGAAGAGATAATCTCGATAGCTACTGAATATCACAGTGATATTGCACTCCATGAAAAGATGTACAATGACACAATCATGGAACTATATGAACGCAAACGAAAGAAATATTTAACACGAAAATACTTCGTCATTTGGCTGGAAAATTCTCTCCAGGCGAGAGAAGAACGTTTGATTCTTCAAGATTTACAATTAAAATATCATTTTCCAAAGAACGAACAATTGCTTGAGTTTCTAACTGGACTTCAATTGATTAGCGAACACGATTTAACAGTCGAACAAGCAGCTGACATCCTCAAATCTCGTCGTTACTTGAAACAAACTCATTTGAAAACGATCGAACGCTTCTCGACTGACTTGTTCCAAGAACTTCTTCACGATGAATTGCAATCGATCGTTCGTGAATCCAACCAAGAATTGGAACTACGGCAGAAACTGTTGACCAGTTCTCTTGAAAAACAAGCCAAACTCCAACGTGAACGTTATCTTCGGATGAAATACATTTCACTTTGGCTTCGTTACGTTCGCCGACGTCGAAAGGAACGCCGCGAGAAGTACACGACAAGCAAACGCGTGAACGAATCTGTTCAACGACGTAGTAACAAGAAATTAAAAGAAAATTCGCATCAGTATCAAACATTAAAAAGTTCATTCGATCAATTAGCAACTGATCTCAATCAAATTCAATTATTTATAGATAAACTTACTTCTTAAATCTATCTGTTTTTGCTTTGTCTAATGTAAAAGTGATTTTTTTTGTATAGAAAAGAGAAACCAAACAAACGAGAAGAATCTTTTCTTTCTCAAGATGATAAACATGATATAACAATGTGCCATTATGCGATTGTTTAGAAAGAATATGTTCTGGGCGATTCTACTTCAAATCTGTCTGTATTTTGCCATTGTTGCTTTGGTTGCCTATTGGATACTTCCATCTCATGTTGATGTTGAGAAATATTTTCACAATAAAGTCGTGTGGATAACGGGTGAGTCAAAGTTGTTGATCATATTTCATAGGTCGTGAACATTTCTTTTTTTTAGGAGCATCGTCAGGCATCGGTCGGGAACTTGTGAAACAATTGGCTCGTCGTTCGCCAACAACACGACTGGTTCTGTCAGCAAGACGCGAAAATGAGCTACATAATCTTGCTAGAGAATTAAACCTCGATTTCGAACACTGTTTAGTCTTACCATTAGATCTTGAATTACAATACGATTGTTTCAAATCGAAAGTTGATCTCGTCCTCGAACGCTTCGGTCAGATAGATATCTTGATAAATAATGCTGGAATATCTCAACGAAGTTTTATCCACGAAACGGGTTACAGTGTCGATTCAAGATTGATGAATATCAATTATTTAGGAACAATTACCTTGAGTAAGACAATTCTCCAGGTCAGTCAACAATCATTCAGACGAAGCGAGCACGATAGACTTCTTCTTTTAGCATTTCATCGAGCGACAAAAGGGACAGTTTGTTGTGGTGACATCAGCGGCTGGTTATATGGGTTCGGCTCTACGATCCTCCTATGCTGCTTCCAAACATGCCTTGCACGGCTTCTTCGATTCTCTTCGATTAGAACATGCCCACGATAACATCGATGTGACCATTGTTTGTCCCGGGTTCGTTCGAACATCGATTTCTCAGAATGCTTTTGTAGGTTCGGGATTACTGTACGGTAAAATGGACCCGAAAACCGAAAAAGGAACTGATCCATCTAAATGTGCAGATGACATCATTCTTGGCATTGCCAACCGTGATCATGAAGTTTATGTCGGATATTTAGCATCGCCTTTGATTTATCTTCGTCGGTTTTTTCCTCGAATACTTCATTTTGTTCTTTTGCGTGTTCAATCGACTTGATTAAGTCTGATAGGTGCAATGTGAGAATAGACTCTTCTTTTCTAGATTAAATCATGACAGAAACTCTACCGATCGATTCATTAATGATTGATCGATGGACAAGTCAATGGATGAAACAACTTGGTTTTAATAACGAACAATTACTCAAACGGAATCATAAAGTCGAACAATTTTCACGAGTAAGTTCGATTCGTAAGCAATGGAATGTGAATGGAATTCTTTCTTAGATACTATTGGAACGCATTCAGAAAAAGAAACAAACAGATATCGCTCAACGTGAACAACTACTGATTGAAACTTTACGCGAATATGAACATCGATTGAGTCGAACAGGATTCGATAATGATATCAGTGTAAGTTAGATTTGTTGTAAAGTCGGAATTGATTGTGTCTTTGCAGGAAGATTTCGAAACGATGAAATTAAGGCAGAAAGAATTGTTGATCGAAAAAAAGCATCAGGAATTAGATGTGAAAGAAGAGCAATTTATTAAAGAACTCGATCAACTGTCTCAAATAGAACGATCTCTATGTCAAATTCTTACAGCAACAGAAATGGAACTTGTTCCAGGTGAATAAGAATAAGAAAATAAAGCTGTAAATCGTTCAATTGTGCGATTTAGATGAAACCTTAGTCAAACGAATTCAGCGTTTACAAGATTATTTAACCACACTGGAGAATCTCAAAGTTTGTTATTTAAACAGAGCCTAGCTTTGAGAAAATCAGTTTGATTTCGACTAGAATGACCGAATGATCACGTTGAAATCCTATCGAACTCGATTGAACGATTTATGCACTCAGCTTGATTATAAATTAGATGATCAATCAGTTGTAACGCAATTAGTCGACGAGAAATATGAATCTTGTTTAGCGACGGATTCACTCAGACAAATCGAATGTCTGCTCAATGAGGTATGTTACGATTTCGTCTATTAATGCGATTCATTTTCTCCATTTCAGCTCGATGTTAAATACGAAGAACAAGGAAAACATGTTCATAGACTTATCGAAACGTTAGAAAAATTGTATTCAAAATTGACAAAAGATGATGCATCGCCACCGAAGCGTTCAGCTGCATATATTTTACGACACAATACTGCAGAAACAGTGACGCAAGTAGGAGAAAATCGAACTTTTCTTCTTCAGAATCCAATCCTTATCTTTTTGTCTTTATCATCGAAGTTAGAACAGGAAATCGCTGATCTACAAGCAAAACGTATGGCAACTAGTAAAGTATACTGTGAAAATTTGCGAAAAAAGATCGAAGATCTCTACGATCGATGTCAACTTGGTGCATCTGAACGACATACCATTGATTATGGTAGGCTCAGTTTTGTTCCATTAGATATGTTTAGACAATTTCCAATGTTTAAATCATAGAAAATCTTACGCCAGATACACTCGATGAATGTGATCGAGAATACGATCGTTTAGATGATCTATACCGCATTCGACAACCTATTATTGATGCGTATGAACAATGGAGATTACTTGTTCAACAACATGCTGAATTCTTGGTAGATATTTCGTGCGAAAATCTAAATGAATTGTCGAATTTTGTTTGTTTTATAGAAAAAATCCACGTCAGCAGCACGTTTTCATGAACGCGGATATTCTGCAGTAAAGGAGCAAGCCGAACGAAAACGGTTTGCTATTGCTCTACCTAAAGCGGAACGAAATTGCTTAAATACACTTGAACAATGGGAGAAGGATCATCTTGACGAACAATTTCTAATCAACGATGTTCCACTACGTCAAATTCTCGATCAACAACACAATGGAACATCAAACACGACCACAACGGCCACAACAGCGCTAGCACCATCAAAAATAACTAAGACGGTAAGAATTCCCACCAAGATTTTTGTAAACTTTTCAATCGATCTGTCATAGGTATCGACATCATCAATCAGTTCCATGGCTGTTCCACAACGTACAGTATCGAAAGCAAATGCTCGAAAGAAATCTCTTCGTAATCTTGTTAAACAAACCGTCGAATCTCATATGACTCAAAGTCATCACGAAGAAGCGGACGAAGATACACTAGAATTCACTCAATTGGAAAATATTAAACACATTAACGGATTGCCAAGAGTAAGTTTGACTTGTTCGAATCTAATCCAATTTTGACTTTTCTCGTCGATCAGATTGTGACATCAACACCAAAAACAGGAAAAAACAATCTACACCAAACCGAACATACTGTTGTCGATATGGGTCGCATCAAAACAAATGATCCCATCCAGAAACATCGTCCGTCCAAACGAGTAGTAAGTGTGACGAGTTCCGCGAAATGTCCAAACTAAACATTCATTCCGATTGCAGATTCCAGTACGTCGATGAATATGTAAATTGAATTATTCCTCCTAGTTTTGATCTCATTTGTGAATAAACCTTTTCCTTATTGGTACAATTTGTCAGATTGGTTGATATGATTACATAAATAAAAAAGCACGTTAAATATTTGTTCATATTCCTATCTACACAAGTGAATGTTTATTTCAAATCAAAGCTATGTTGTTCGATGTGCTTCTTTGTAATGTCGAGCATTACATGTTTACATTACAACAATGCGTTCGCACGAGATGTTCAACATAATATACAAAAAGAAAAGAGCGGACTATCTAGAAAATGAAACGAATCACATTATACTTAGTTCACATCAAAATCTACACTGTTCTACACAGAACCGGAAAGAAAATGAAGAATGTTTATTAGTGAATCGCGTTTGCATTAGCCCATAATTCTAAAAAAACGAAGGTTTTCATTGCGAAAAATTTATGAGAGAACTTACTCATCGAATGTCATGTAGTTATTTGTATTTAACGAATCACCTTCGTCATTACCTTCATCATTTGTTGCTGTTTTACAATCAGCTCGGCAAGTAACGAAAAGTATGCGACGAAGTCGCTTGTTATGAAAAAAGAAATTGAATGACCAAATGATTCCAGCTTCAGAAAATGGATCAGACGTGCCATCTGGACGATAACTGTAAATCGCAAACGAAAACTTAGTGTCACTTTCTTCTCAAGCATCACAATTACCAATAGATTTCACTTTCTTTCAGATTGATTTCTTCATCGATTGCTGACCAGAGTTGAGGTGATAACAATCGATAATTATCACCGATCGTAGATAATAAACGCGAATCAACAACATTCTTTACAACCTAAACATCGATTTATGTTAACCCAAACCACAAAAGAAATCAACTCGTACTTCTAAATTCATTTCTCGACTAAAATCCTGACTAGTACACGAACTGAATTCATAATCTGGTTCAAACGATGCATTCAATGTTGATATGAGAAAGATCAATGTTTTCCGTGGGATGGTTTTATACAACGGCGATTCATCATCGCTCGATATTGAACGAGCAATCGGATTTGGATATGTCACTGGCGGAGGAGAATTTGATAGCATATAATTGTAAATAGGCGATTGAGTTTGAGATGGACCTAGAACTTCTAAATCACGTGGTGATGTTCCTGGTTCATTTCGTAGCTGTTTGTACAATTTTTTGGGATCACCTGCCATTTTACATGAGTAACTCTCCACTCTAGTTTTCAGATGAAAAGTACGTAGATGTTATAGGTATGAAATTGAAAGCGTTTACCGAGTGGTTACATCACAAACCGGTGTTTCAATCGATAGCGTGGAACTAATTGCATCGAGCTTGGCATTTTCCAACAATTTCATTTTGATTGAGAGATGTTTTGAAGCGCTTGAAAAGAAGTTTGACAATGAATGAAAGTATACAGGAATGACAAGGATGTTTTATAGTTTCTTGTTTATTTATTTTTTGCGTGTTGTTGTTTCATTTGACAGCTGACGTGATCTACAGCGCCATCTACAAAAGAACGTCTCGCCGCCTTTTACTTCTATGCGATAAGATAACACGAACACATTGACTATGTTTGTTCGAGACTGTTTTGATATAGTTGAGAACTGAAGTTCTAGTTTCTGTTCTTTTGTTAAAATAATGATTATTTATATTAAAATTAACAAAAAATATCAGTCTCTTGAGAACTGTGCGCAGAAATCGTTTTGGAAAGTGAGATTATTTTGGTGGTGGTGATGGTTTATGTTCGCGATGGACAAACCAAGCTGGAGCACCAAAAACATGCTTTGGTTTATTTGGATCATCTTCACTTTTCGTTGAGCTATGTTCACATAATCCATCCCACCAGACTGGCGTTGGATATGCAACTGGTTCTTTACTTTTACGTGTTGCTGGATCAACATGTTGCAATAAATTGTGGCTGATACCTAATTTACATCGTCGAATGTAATCAGTGTCTGTATCTCGCACATACATGACTCGCGGTTGATTGATAGTTGTTTCATCATCGAATACGCCATTGAGGTATGGAATTTGTGATGGCGGAGGTGCAGTTACCAATTCCCGGTTGCCCTTTTTCAAAGGCGCATGAACAAACCAAACTTCATCTTCAGGCTTTCGTCGTAAATAGGACATTTGTACACTTGAAAACGTTCGTTCAAACTAATGTTGATGTTATGTGTCTCGAAGAAGAATAAGTCTAACCATATTTCAAGTTGTTACTCTGTGAATAACCTCTAGTGAAATACAATCGATTAATAGATGGCAGTAGAAAAGTTCTTCGAATGACTTTCAATACTCTTATTATATGAAAAACAAAACAAGACGATACAAAAGGAAATTCACACAAGGACACTAAGTGAACATAGTTGACACTGTTCAGAACTCATTGACGAAGAGTTATTATCAGTTTTTGACGAGCGACAGAGTCGATGGTGATGATTTTGTAGATTAAAGTCATCGTTTAAGATTTCTTGGTAAATGTGATAGTTTTGCCCGTGAATACTCGCCGAGCCCGAGTCCGTGGACGATGTTCCACTGCTATGATAATGTGTCGGACATGTACACTGTGTGGAGAGACTTGCTTGATAACTAATCGGTCGCAGCTGATGTGGAGGATGATAAGATAGAGGAGGTGGTGGTGGTGGTGGTGGAGCTGGGTAGTAGTGTTGTTGAGATTGATTCGACCATGGAATCGTGTTTGTCGGTGTCGGACGAACCAGTAACGATTCACTTTTCGAATCATTACTTTGATGATACTTCGACGAACGTAAATGACAGAACAATACATATGGACAACGAGAAATAATCAAAATAATACATGTGAGCAAGCTTAATACTAAAAGAACACCGAATATCGACCCGATGAGAATACTTTTCGTAGGTTCGTTCATGTACCATAAGGGTTGTTGCTCATCGCGTTGCTTAGAATCGATAATCAACGATGATTTTAATGTTTGAGTGGAAGTCATTTGTAATTGTTTACAAAACTTCTCATAATTCGTCTTTCGAAGAAGGTATAAACAAACTTCGCCTTGTGAAACGTAATCGATTGTATAATTACGTTGTAAACTATCGAGTAATTCGCTCATTTTGTACATTGGAGCATTCGTACTGATCTTAAATCCATTGATACCATGATGTTTGAAATACCTTCGACGATGTTCAATCGAAGGATTCAAATCGATTGCCGAAGGAGATATCTGCCATTGAAGAAGTAATTTGGAATTATCAAAATTAGGTGTAACGATTAGATCAGCTATCCGGATTTGTTCCAAAGGAAATTGATCCATGATTGTTGTTGTGATAGTGGTCGACATACTCGAATAGAATTCTTCTCGACGATCAAGATTATTCACAATTTTTTCCACACTAAAATCAACAACACAAATGTTTCTTTTCATTGTATATCAGTTCTGACCTACATTTTCATCACAGTCGTGGTTTCGGTGGGAATAGTGGTGCTGGTCGTCGTCGTCGTCGTTGTTGTTGTTTTTGGTTTCCTCTCGTCATCATTCATGATTGTCTTTGTTAGGTAGGTACATTGTGGCGTAGTGATCAAGCTACATGCAAACGGTTCGTTTGGTAGTTCGTTTAAATTAACATTTCGTCGTTCAGGCGGTGATTCACATTGACCCGAGATCTTCAACTGTCGAAAATTTCGTTCCATTCGACAATCGCAATGCAATGGGTTCTGATCGAGTTCAAGCGTAAGGAGATTCCGATAGAAATTCAATGCACTGGTGTCAATCGTACAGATCTGATTGCGACGGAGAGATAAGATTTGTAAAGTTTCGTTAAGTTTGGTAAGAAGAGGAAAATTCTTCAAACTATTATTTCTCAAATCTAAATAAACGAAAATCAATGGAAATTCAGAGGAAATATACGACGCTACCAAGAAATTGTAAATGTGTGTGTTGAAATGTGTTCGAATCAATGAATTCAATCTGATTATCGCGAAGATGAAGTCGTTCGAGTGATGGAAGATTCTTGAAGATCTTCTTCTCAAGATTTGCTCCTAAGAAATTCCCATCGAGATTCAATTGTTTCAACTTTGGAGCATTGATTGGCATCAAGTTCGTCAGCTGATTTCGATCGAGTTCGAGAAGTTCCAAGACCGAAAAGGTATTTCTGCTCTTCGAAGACAATTTTGTTAATTTATTCGATGATAGAAACAGTTTTTCCAACTGTTCCAATCGTGTAAAAATCGTCAAATCCAATTGATTCAATCGATTATTTTTCAATGAAACGATTTTCAGATTTAATGGCAATTGTATCTGATAAATCGATTCCAGACGATTGTAATCCAAATAAAACTCTCGTAATTGACTTAAATGCACTAGAAATGTCAGTTGTTTCTCGGTGGTCAGTTCATTATTTCGTAAATTTAAAATCTCCAGTTGTGATGAGAGAGATTCAATGACATTTTCATCAATGGTTTCAATTCCTAAATAAAAATCGTACTGAACAATCACGACATACGAAAATTCTCACAAACCATTATAGGATAAATCGAGTTCGACTAACGAATTCGTTGGATTTGGATTCAACAAGCGAAGATTCAAATGTCGAATCTTGTTTTTACTTAAGATTAAAACTTTCAGTTTTCGAAATGCAGTAAGAAAAGGAATGTTGAGATATTCCAATCGATTTTCCGATAAATCCAATCGTTCCAAGTTTGGAAAGAGATTCCGAAAACTTTCGATCTCATCCATCTGACTAATCGAACATGATTGTAATGCTAATTGAGTTAATTTTCTCATGACTAAACTCTGATTGTGATTTGTCAAATCCGATAAATCAAACGAACGTAACGATAAACGTTTCAGATTAGGTAATTCGGCAAGAATTTGAAAGAATGTTTGAGATGTCAATTGTGACGTTCGAAGAGTTGTGGAAAGAATGAATTCTTCTAAATAATTCGCTAGATCAATAAATGCTTGCTGATCAATACGATTGATTGGATTGGATTGCAGTTCGAGTTTACGTAATTTCAAACCATTAAATGCATTCTTATGTACAACTGTGATTCGATTACCGGATAGAACAAGTTCGTCAAATATTATATTGCCTATACNACTCTACCGATCGATTCATTAATGATTGATCGATGGACAAGTCAATGGATGAAACAACTTGGTTTTAATAACGAACAATTACTCAAACGGAATCATAAAGTCGAACAATTTTCACGAGTAAGTTCGATTCGTAAGCAATGTGATGTTAATGGAATTCTTTTCTTAGATACTATTGGAACGCATTGAGAAAAAGAAACAAACAGATATCGCTCAACGTGAACAACTACTGATTGAAACTTTGCGCGAATATGAACATCGATTGAGTCGAACAGGATTCGATAATGATATCAGTGTAAGTTAGATTTGTTGTGAAGTCGGAATTGATTGTGCGTTTGCAGGAAGATTTCGAAACGATGAAATTAAGGCAGAAAGAATTGTTGATCGAAAAAAAACATCAGGAATTAGATGTGAAAGAAGAGCAATTTATTAAAGAACTTGATCAGCTGTCTCAAACAGAACGATGTCTATGTCAAATTCTTACAGAAGCAGAAATGGAAATTGTTCCAGGTGAGAGTAAGAATAAGAAAATAAAGCTTGGAATCGTTCAATTGTATGATTTAGATGAAACTTTAGTCAAACGAATTCAGCGTTTACAAGATTATTTAACCATACTGGAGAATCTCAAGGTTTGTTATTTAAACAGAGCCTAGCTCTGAGAAAATCAGTTTGATTTCGACTAGAATGATCGAATGACCACGTTGAAATCCTATCGAACTCGATTGAACGATTTATGCACTCAGCTTGATTATAAATTAGACGATCAATCAGTTGTAACGCAATTAGTCGACGAGAAATATGAATCTTGTTTAGCCACGGATTCACTCAGACAAATCGAATCTTTACTCAATGAAGTATGTTACGATTCTGTCTATCAATGCGATTCATTTTCTTCGTTGCAGCTTGATGTTAAATACGAAGAACAAGGAAAACATGTTCATAGACTTATCGAAACGTTAGAAAGATTGTATTCAAAACTGACAAAAGATGATGCATCGCCACCGAAGCGTTCAGCTGCATATATTTTACGACACAATACTGCAGAAACAGTGACGCAAGTAGGAGAAAATCGAACTTTTCCTCTTCGGAATATAATCCTTGCCTTTTTGTCTTCATCACCGCAGTTAGAACAGGAAATCGCTGATCTACAAGCAAAACGTATGGCAACTAGTAAAGTATATTGTGAAAATCTACGAAAAAAGATCGAAGATCTCTACGATCGATGTCAACTTGGTGCATCTGAACGACACGCCATTGATTATGGTAGGCTTAGTGTTGTTTCATTAGATATGTTTAGACAATTGTCAATGTTTAAATCATAGAAAACCTTACGCCAGATACACTCGATGAATGTGATCGAGAATACGATCGCTTAGATGGTTTATACCGCATTCGACAGCCTATTATTGATGCGTATGAACAATGGAGATTACTTGTTCAACAACATGCTGAATTCTTAGTAGATATTTCGTGCGAAAATCTGAATGAATTGTCGAATTTTGTTTGTTTTATAGAAAAAATCCACGTCAGCAGCACGTTTTCATGAACGCGGATATTCTGCAGTTAAGGAGCAAGCTGAACGAAAACGGTTTGCTATTGCTCTACCTAAAGCGGAACGAACTTGTTTAAACACACTTGAACAATGGGAGAAGGATCATCTTGACGAACAATTTCTAATCAACGACGTTCCACTACGTCAAATTCTCGATCAACAACACAATGGAACATCAAACACGACCACGACGACTACAACAACAGCAGCAGCAGCAGCACTAGCACCATCAAAAATAACCAAGACGGTAAGAATTCCAAGCAAGATTTTTGTACACTTTTCAATCGATCTGTCATAGGTATCGACATCATCAATCAGTTCAATGGCTGTTCCACAACGTACAGTATCGAAAGCAAATGCTCGAAAGAAATCTCTTCGTAATCTTGTTAATAAACAAACCGTCGAATCCCATGTGACTCAAAGTCATCACGAAGAAGCGGACGAAGATACACTAGAATTCACTCAATTGGAAAATATTAAACACATCAACGGATTGCCAAGAGTAAGTTTTGACTTGTTCGAATCGAATTCAATTTTCACTTTTCTCTTCGATCAGATTGTGACATCAACACCAAAAACAGGAAAACACAATCTACACCAAACCGAGCATACTGTTGTCGATATGGGTCGCATCAAAACAAATGATCCCATCCAAAAACATCGTCCGTCCAAACGAGTAGTAAGTGTGACGAGTTCCACGAAATGCCTAAACTAAACTTCCATTCCTCTTGCAGATTCCAACACGTCGATGAATATGTCAATTGAATTATTCCTCCTAGTTTTGATCTCATTTGTGAATAAATCTCTTCCTTATTGGTACAATTTGTCAGATTGGTTGATATGATTACATAAATAAAAAAGCACGTTAAATATTTGTTCATATTCCTATCTACACGAGTGAATGTTTATTTCAAATCAAAGCTATTTTGTTCGATGTACTTCTTTGTAATGTCGAGCATTACATGTTTACATTACAACAGTGTGATCGCACGAGATGTTCAACATAATATACAAAAGAAAAAGAGAGGACTATCTAGAAAATGAAACGAATCACATTATACTTAGTTCACATCAAAATCTACACTGTTCTGCACAGAACCGGAAAGAAAATGAAGAATGTTTATTAGTGAATCGCGTTTGCATTAGTCCATAATCCTAAAAAAACGAAGATTTTCATTGCGAAAAATTCACGAGAGAACTTACTCATCGAATGTCATGTAGTTATTCGTATCTAATGAATCACCTTCCTCGTTACCTTCATCGTTTGTTGCTGTTTTACAATCAGCCCGGCAGGTAACGAAGAGTATACGACGAAGTCGCTTGTTATGAAAGAAGAAATTGAATGACCAAATAATTCCAGTTTCAGAAAATGGATCAGACGTCCCATCTGGACGATAGCTGTCAATTGCAAACGAAAACTTAGTGTCACTTTCTTTTCAAGCATCACAATTACCAATAGATTTCACTTTCTTTCAAATTGATTTCTTCATCGATCACTGACCAAAGTTGAGGTGATAGCAATCGATAATTATCACCGATCGTAGATAATAATCGCGAATCAACAGCATTCTTTACAACCTAAACATCGATTTATGTTAAATCAAACTACAAAGAAATCAACTCGTACTTCTAGATTCATTTCTCGACTAAAATCCTGACTAGTACACGAACTGAATTCGTAATCCGGTTCAAACGATGCATTCAATGTTGATATGAGAAAGATCAATGTTTTCCGTGGGATGGTTTTATACAACGGCGATTCATCATCGCTCGATATTGAACGAGCAATCGGATTTGGATATGTCACTGGCGGCGGAGAATTTAATAGCATATAATTATAACTAGGCGATTGGGTTTGAGATGGACCTAGAACTTCTAAATCACGTGGTGACGTTCCTGGTTCATTTCGTAGCTGTTTGTACAATTTTTTGGGATCGCCTGCCATTTTACATGAGTAACTCTCCACTCTAGTTTTCAGATGAAAAGTACGTAGATGTTATTGGTATGAAAGTGAAAGCGTTTACCGAGTGGTTACATCACAAACCGGTGTTTCAATCGATAGCGTGGAACTGATTGCATCGAGCTTGGCATTTTCCAATAGTTTCATTTTGATTGAGAAGTGTTTTGAAGCGCTTGAAAAGAAGTTTGACAATGAATGAAAGTATACAAGAATGACAAGGATGTTTTATAGTTTATTGTTTATTTATTTTTTGCGTGTTGTTGTTTCATTTGACAGCTGACATGATCTACAGCGCCATCTACAAAAGAATGTCTCGACCGCCTTTTACTCCTGTGCGATAAGATAACACGAACACATTGACTATGTTTGTTCGAGACTGTCTTGATACAGTTGAGAACTGAACTTGTAGTTCCTCTTCTTTTGTTAGAATAATGATTATTTATATTAAAATTAACAAAAAACATCGGTCTCTTGAGAACTGTACGCAGAAATCGTTTTTCTGGAAAGTGAGATTATTTTGGTGGTGGTGATGGTTTGTGTTCGCGGTGGACGAACCAGGCTGGAGCACCAAAAACATGCTTTGGTTTATTTGGATCATCTTCGCTTTTCGCTGAGCTATGTTCACATAATCCATCCCACCAGACTGGTGTTGGATATGCAACTGGTTCTTTACTTTTACGTGTTGCTGGATCGACATGTTGCAGTAAATTGTGACTGATGCCTAACTTACATCGTCGAATGTAATCAGTGTCTGTATCTCGCACATACATGACTCGCGGTTGATTGGCAGTTGTTTCATCATCGAATACACCATTGAGGTATGGAATTTGTGATGGCGGAGGTGCAGTTACTAATTCCCGGTTGCCCTTTTTCAAAGGCGCATGGACAAACCAAACTTCATCTTCAGGTTTTCGTCGCAAATAGGACATTTATACACTTGAAAACGTTCGTTCAAACTAATGTTGATGTTGTGTGTCTCGAAGAAGAAGTCTAACCATATTTCAAGTTGTTACTCTGTGAATAACCTCTAGTGAAATACAATCGATTGATAGATGGCAGTGGAAAAGTTCTTCGAATGACTTTCAATACTCTTATTATATGAAAAAAACAAAACAAGACAATACAAAAGAAAATTCACACAAGGACACTAAGTGAACAAAGTTGACACTGTTCAGAGTTTATTGACGAAGAGTTTTTATCAGTTTTTGACGAGCGACAGAGTCGATGATGATGATGATTTTGTAGATTAAAGTCATCATTTAAGATTTCTTGGTAAATGTGATAGTTTTGCCCGTGAATGCTCGCCGAGCCCGAGTCCGTGGACGATGTTCCACTGCTATGATAATGTGTCGGGCATGTACACTGCGTGGAGAGACTTGCTTGATAACTAATCGGTCGCAGCTGATGTGGTGGAGGATGATAAGATAGAGGTGGCGGTGGTGGAGCTGGATAGTAGTGTTGCTGAGATTGATTCGACCATGGAATTGTGTTTGTCGGTGTTGGACGAACCAGTAACGATTCACTTTTCGAATCATTACTTTGATGATACTTCGACGAACGTAAACGACAAAATAATACATAAGGACAACGAGAAATAATCAAAATAATACATGTGAGCAAGCTTAATACTAGGAGAATACCGAATATCGATCCGATGAGAATACTTTTCGTAGGTTCGTTCATGTACCATAAGTTTTGTTGCTCATCGCGTTGCTTAGGATCGATGATCAACGATGATTTTAATGTTTGAGTGGAAGTCATTTGTAATTGTTTACAAAACTTCTCATAATTTGTCTTTCGAAGAAGGTATAAACAAACTTCGCCTTGTGAAACGTAATCGATTGTATAATTACGTTGTAAACTATCGAGTAATTCGCTCATTTTGTACATTGGAGAGTTCGTACTGATCTTAAAACCATTGATACCATGATGTTTGAAATACCTTCGACGATGATCAATCGAAGGATTCAAATCGATTGCCGAAGGAGATATCTGCCATTGAAGAAGTAATTTGGAATTATCAAAATTAGGTGTAATGATTAGATCAGCTATCCGGATTTGTTCCAAGGAAAATTGATCCATGATTGTTGTTGTGGTCGACATACTGGAATAGAATTCTTCTCGACGATCAAGATTATTCGCAAAATTTTCCACACTAAAAGCAACACAAATGTTTCTTTTCATTGTATATCAGTTCTAACCTACATTTTCATCACACTCGTGGTTTCGGTGGTGATAGTGGTGCTCGTCATCGTCGTCGTCGTTGTTGTTATTAATGGCTTCCTCTCATCATCATTCATGATTGTCTTTGTTAGGTAAGTACATTGCGGTGTAGTAATCAAACTACATGCAAACGGTTCGTTTGGTAGTTCATTTAGATTAACATTTCGTCGTTCAGGCGGTGATTCGCATTGGCCCGAGATCTTCAACTGTCGAAAATTTCGTTCCATTCGACAATCGCAATGCAATGGGTTCTGATCGAGTTCAAGCGTAAGGAGATTTCGATAGAAATTCAATGCACTGGTGTCAATCGTACAGATCTGATTGCGACGGAGAGATAAGATTTGTAAAGTTTCGTTAAGTTTGGTAAGAAGAGGAAAACTCTTCAGACTATTATTTCTCAAATCTAAGTAAAGGAAAATCAATGGAAATTCAGAGGAAATATACGAGATTACCAAGAAATTGTAAATTTGTATGTTGAAATGTGTTCGAATCGATGAATTCAATCTGATTATCACGAAGATGAAGTCGTTCCAGCGATGGTAGATTCCTGAAGATCTTTTTCTCAAGATTTGCTCCTAAGAAATTCCCATCAAGATTCAATTGTTTCAACTTCGGAGCGTTGACTGGCATCAAGTTCGTCAGTTGATTTCGATCGAGTTCGAGAAGTTCCAAGACCGGAAAGGTATTTCTGTTCTTCGAAGACAATTTTGTTAATTTATTCGATGATAGAAACAATTTTTCCAACTGTTCCAATCGTGTAAAGATGGTCAAATCCAATTGATTCAATCGATTATTTTTTAACGAAACAAGTTTCAGATTTAATGGTAGTTGCATCTGATGAATCGATTCCAGACGATTGTAATCCAAATAAAACTCTCGTAATTGACTTAAATGCACTAGAAATGTCAGTTGTTTCTCGTTGGTCAGTTCATTATTCCGTAAATTTAAAATTTCCAATTGTGATGAGAGAGATTCAATGACATTTTCGTCAATGGTTTCAATTCCTAAATAAAAAATCGTGCTAAATAATCGCGACACACGAAAATTTTCACAAACCATTATAGGATAAATCGAGTTCGATTAACGAATTTGTCGGGTTTGGATTCAACAAGCGAAGATTTAAATGTCGAATCTTGTTTTTACTTAAGATTAAAACTTTTAGTTTTCGAAATGCAGTAAGAAAAGGAATGTTGAGATATTCCAATCGATTTTCCGATAAATCCAATCGTTCCAAGTTCGGAAAGAGATTACGAAAACTTTCGATCTCATCCATCTGACTAATCGAACATGACTGCAAGGCTAATTGAGTTAATTTTCTCATGACTAAACTCTGATTGTAATTTGTCAAATCCGATAAATCAAACGAACGTAACGATAAACGCTTCAGATTAGGTAATTCGGCGAGAATATGAAAGAATGTTTGAGATGTCAATTGCGACGTTCGAAGAGTCGTGGAAAGAATGAATTCTTCTAAATAATTCGCTAGATCAATAAATGCTTGCTGATCAATACGATTGATTGGATTGGATTGCAGTTCGAGTTTACGTAATTTCAAACCATTAAATGCATTCTTATGTACAACTGTTATTCGATTACCGGATAGAACAAGTTCGTCAAATATTATATTGCCTATACGATAAAAAAAAGAACAGAACATTGGTTTCGTGTGTGCATAGAAGATGCGTTGAACTTACTGTTGTTAAAACGCGGAATATCGAGCAATTGTTTCCGAGCACAGTAAATATAAACTCGGCCTGTTTCTGTGATTGCACATCGACATTTCGACTGAATATCAAATGGAATTGGACAAGTTAAGGTCGACTGGATTAGAATGAATATGAAGAGATACGAAATATACTGACTAAACATAACTATCTAGAAAAGAACACACGAAAAATGTTTGATGATGATAATGATGTTCGAACTGGTGACAGGATACTTAATCTTGTCATGTTTCTTTTTATTTTCTGCTCATTCGCTTTCCGCTAGTGATTATGAAATAAGCAGGCCGTTGTGAAGAGTGCTTATTTGCATTAACAAGAGATGGATTTTGACACTGACGCTTATGACTAATTTTGCTCATCGGGTTTCTCTCTCCCTCTCTCTCGCGAGACTCGTCACAGAACGATTGGTGCGGAAATCGAAGATGACAGTACCTTTGTCAAATAAGACGCTTGCGAGTAAGTTGTGATTGTATGTTCAATTAGAACGAGAATAAATAATTGATCGCTAGGAAAAAGAAAGTAAGGAGATGCGCGTGAATGAATGTGTAATGTCCATCAAAGTGAATAATCGGTCAGCAAATGATTACATCATTGCGAATATGCATGAATAGATAAACAGAAATTTATCGAGACAAAAATATACAGTTCTTCGCTCTAATTATAGGAAGAAGAAGGATGTCAATTATCTCTTTCTAGTAAAGAAATGAATGATAAATCTTTATGTATGACATCTTCACACTCGTGGTCAAGCGGCTTCTTCTTGTCCGAAGAAGAAAAAGGAATGTGTCGATTAATGATGGCACTTTGGTGTGAAAACGGAAAGAATGCGTACACAGAGAATGTCATTACGTGTAAAAGAAGAAGAAGAAGAAGCATCTTTTTATTCTTTCTCGAGGGAAAACGAAGAAGAAGGAACAGCTGGAAATCAACTAAACTCATCTTGATGTGTTGATGACGTCCGATTCAGTAAAGAGGGAAAACGAACAGTGTTGATCATTGTTGTTATTGTTGTTCTGCTTAGCAGGTGGTTGATTTATCTTACATAATATATACGTATTTTTTCTCGACGTTTTTCCTTAACTAGTGAGCCGTTACGAATAGACACAACTGTGTTGATTAACGAAGGTTTTTCTTTTCTCGACGTGAAAATGATATGATAGATGTGAAAGACCTCAATAACTTTCTAATTTGTCTAATTATCAGTCTTCGTCTTTACTATTTCTATCGTTAGATAATAAATAGAAAACTAAACTATACTCGAATTAATCACTGATGAAGGTTTACGCATTGTATCACACAAGGAGATTGTTAACGTCAACTATTTACGCGTATTGTCTTTTGCACTCCCACTGCTAGACATTCATCAGAAGAAATGACGACCACTCGTAGTCAATCAGTGACAAGTACCTACCGTGTGGACGCAATGCTCACCAGTAAGTAGAGCAAAAGGTTGCATCATGTTAATCGAACTCGACAACGATTGCACTCAGGAAAGATAATACACTTTTCATTATCTCTCCATGCATTGTCTTCCGAATTAATTCGAAACGTATGTTTCTTTTCATATATGTATGCGTTTGACTTACCTCTATTGTCATACAATCGAAGAAGTCATTTCCGTTAATGATGACATGTATAATGATCTATGTTTATATATGACTGAATGTATGTGAACTGCAAATGGTGTTAGCCATTCTCATTCATTCATTTTCATTTCCGTTTAATAATCATGATAATAGAAATTAACATGCGTTCACACACGAGTCTTATGTCTAGTCAAATGTAGATTTTTCCAATAGAGACGCAATGTGAGACGATGCCTGACCAGTGGTTCTATTCTAATCAAATTGAATCACTAATCCTACATTGTCCCGACTAAAGTCATCGGATACTTACAGATAGAGACGAATAACCACAGAACGAGGGATCGGTCAGTTCTGATTGACTACAAATGCAATGATGAAAAAAGAAAAGGTATTTCGAGACTTTCGCATCATCTTCACGTGTCTTGAGAAAGAAAGGAATAATCAATACTGTAGTCTACGTCGGTCAACATGTCGTCTCTTTTTCTTCTTTCTTTTCGTTCGCTATAGTCCTTGATTTTAATAGGTTTTTCATCGACTATTATTATAGCTTTTTACACACACGGATAGTTTCTCTCTCTCTCTCGCTTCGTTCTGTAGGACCGTTCAATTCAACTCAATGTGTCTAATGTCTTTCTCTTTCTCTGTCTCTTGTTCTATATGTACACATGCATATATTACCTATTTCTTTCTCACTGATGCGCGCAATCTGCATCGACTATGATTACTTTGATTTTAAGTTTAGATTTTTCTTTCTTTCTCTCTTCTTTTGTCATTGTCATTGTCGTACGATTTAATTATTATTTTTTTATTTCATTCACTAATAGCTACCGTTAAGAATGAGACAGAGGAGGTCGACAATTGTTCTCTCGTATGTGCAATATTTAGTCGGCAACGATTGTCTAATTATCAATTGCTTCTATACTTTGGCAACCATTACACATTTTTTGATGACGTGTGAACCTAGCAAAAGGTTCATTAGATGAAATTTTCAAGGTAAAGCATAGAAAAAGAATAATACAAGCCTTCAAATTTGAATATAAGTTCTAATTGGATGTACTCAGTATGATCATCTGCTCATTATGATTAAAAGCACGTTCTAACCTACTGCAAACATGCACACTTGCTTAAACGATTCTCTTTTGGCCTTAACGGGATGTTTATCATCATCTTCGAACGTTTGTTTTGCTACATATTGATACAAAAGAAGAAACGAGCTGTGTTTAAGCCTTCTAAACAGATGTGTACGTATATACACATCCATTACTCAACTATATTTATCTATTTTGTCAATAGAGATTCATAACAGAAGAAAATCAATTTCGCATTCGCTTTTTTCTTCTCAATGATCAAACAAACTTACACTTCCGAAGGTTCCATCGCCCAGTTGCTTGACGATTTTGTACTTATCCATGAGTAGAAACAATGAACTTATATACGATATCAAATGGAACTAGAGATGAACAATTGTGCAATCAAAATCAGTGTATATCAGTTCATCGAGGAAGAAGATATTCATCTGAAATATCGAATCATTTAAAAAAAAACAAATANTAATGCAGGTCGGCGAGTGACTTGCTCTCATCAATCACGAAAAGAAGCTTCCGGGTAGAAAAAGCATCTATTAATGAATCAAGACTATCTTTTGTCAGATACTTGACCGAATAGATATATATGTATTTCTAAATCAAGTGAAGACTGCCCGTCTGTTCGATGTTTTGTTAATAAACACGTTTGAATGAACTGATAGAAACAAATTGACAAGTGAGCATAGGACAGGATGCTGACCATATGACTCGCATTGCTAATAGAGCATAACAAAGAAAAAAAAGAACAAATAGACAAATTAAAAAGAGAAAATTGAATGACTTTGAAATGGTACATTAAAGCGAGACAGTGATGAGCAACTTTAGAGTTGGGCATCGTTAATTCGAGGCAAAACGTCTTGAAGACTACTTCCGTGATGTACACGAAATATACTAGAAATGGTCGGTTTCGAACCGGAGTAGCACAATCACATGTGCATTCGATTTAGTCATCAGTATTGAATTTCTATTCACCTGAGTTTTATTGTCTTTCACGAAAATCAAGCAGCAAAAAGAATTCGTTGTAACGTTTTTCCTGAATCTTTTCACCAGAATAATAGAAAATATGTTCAATCGCTGCAGATGTCGTAGGTGTCCATATGAAGATATTTTATTTTCTATTTGTTTATGATTGAATAGTGAGAAAGGTGGAGTAGTGGTAACGCCGTCAATAATGAAGTTGTCGTCGAAGTATGCGTGAGCTAATAAGTGACATTAGACGGATTTATATATTATTATTATTATTTGTTTTTTTTTAAATGATTCGATATTTCAGATGAATATCTTCTTCCTCGATGAACTGATATACACTGATTTTGATTGCACAATTGTTCATCTCTAGTTCCATTTGATATCGTATATAAGTTCATTGTTTCTACTCATGGATAAGTACAAAATCGTCAAGCAACTGGGCGATGGAACCTTCGGAAGTGTACTGCTTGCTAATTTAAAAGATTCGCCACAAGAAAAAGTTGCGATCAAACGGTAAGAAAGAGCAAAACTCTAGATTTCATTGTCGAATTTATCTCATTTTCTCTGATTTAGAATGAAGAAAAAATACTGTAAGAAGCAGAATTTCGAATTGTTCAAAGACCATTTTCCGGTTGACTTTTAGATTCTTGGCAAGAATGTATGGATTTGCGAGAAGTTAAAGTAAGAATTACAGATGAATCATATGATTAAAGGTCCAACGGTTTGTTCAATAGGCATTGCAAAAAATACGTCATGCTAATGTGATTAAATTGAAAGAAGTCATTCGAGAAGATAATAATTTATATATGATTTTCGAAGTAAGTGATTTTCTCAATTGAATATGCAGCGAGATCGCATTTCTTATTAGTATATGAATGAAAATCTTTACGAATTGATGAAAAAACGGTAAGGATAGCGATTGTCTTATTCGAAATAGTATGCTATTATTGTTTCAATAGAGATCGATTGTTTCCGGAGACGAACGTGCGCAATGTTATTTTTCAACTTCTTCAAGGACTGGCTTATATGCATAAATTGGGTTAGGAGATTCTCTAGACGCTGGCGCCTATCGTTATTTTGTTGTGTTTTTCGTTTAGGATTTTTTCATCGTGATTTGAAGCCTGAAAACATCTTGTGCAAAGGCGTGGAATTGATAAAAATAGCTGATTTTGGTCTCGCACGTGAACTTCGCTCCAGACCACCTTATACTGATTAGTAAATCATTTTTGAATAAGGCACTTTTGCATCGAATTCAATATATATATATGTCTAGTGTATCTACAAGATGGTATCGTGCTCCTGAGGTGCTACTTCGCTCTACTTCATACACATCTCCAATTGATATGTGGGCAGGTAAAATAGTTTTCCTTTTAAGAAATAAAAGGTATGATTACTGGTTCGTATTGATTGTTTCAGTTGGTTGTATTGCTGCTGAATTTTACACATTAAGACCGTTATTTCCTGGAAGTAGTGAAATTGATCAAATGTTTAAAATATGTGCTGTTATGGGGACTCCAACACGAGTAAATCTCTTCTCTTGCCTCTGAAAAGAAGATTTATGTGTTATTCTTATGTGCTGTGTATAGGATGAATGGCCAGAAGGTTATATGTTAGCTGCTAAACTTTCATTTCGTTGGCCACAGTGTGCCCGAACAGATTTAAAGAAAATAATTCATAGCTCAAATAACGATGGCATTGATCTGATCTCTGCAACACTAGAATGGGATCCGAAACGACGACCTTCTGCTGTACAGGTAGAAATTCTTCAGTTTGTTGTGAAATATGACTTCGAACTGTGATTTTTCTCTTGATAGTGTTTAAAACATCCCTATTTTAAAGTTAGTCAAGATTTCTTGGGCACATCAAGTTCAAATGTGTCTGTAATTAATGATACTTCGTCAACCATATCGACTCAATCATATACTTCGAAGAAAAACTACAAAGATGATTGGGATGACAACGATGTAAACAGTGTTTTTTCCTTTATTTCTTTTTCGTAACAAGTCATTCGTCTTTTAGAATGCCACTCCTGCCAGTAACAATGATTTGAATGATTTAGATGCACTCCTTAAAGAATTCGAGCAACCGAAAGAAAATCTTAGCACTCAAGCACAACCCTCGAAACCGAACAAGCAACCCAGCGGGTTCCTCTTTGACACACCTCCAGCACAATCCAAAGTATCCAAATATGATTCATCTACATCTGACAATCGTAAACCGAGCATTCCACTATTTTCAAACTCGAATGTCGGTGCTGAACAACGTCGAACATCGATCCTAAAACAGCCACCCAAGCCTGCCATCGATCAATCGTTAGACATCGAAGCAATTCTGCAGGGACGAGCAATACAACCTCAACAACCTCCATCAAAACTCTTGCAACCTATTGCACCAACCAATCGTTCGACGTCATCCACAGAAGACAGTTTGGTCGACTGGCTCAATTCTGACCGTGTATTGACAAAAGCTCCTGCACAGAAAGCTACAACAACTAAAGCGAATATTAATCTTAATCCAGATGATTTCTTTTCGAATGCAAGTAATAATCGAAATCAAAATGAAACGAAACCACCCTTGTCAACAACGAAAACATCTGCCAAGGAACATTACTTGAGAAATTCAAGGTATAAGCCAGGTAAGATCTATCTTCTTCACTCTACGCAGGAGAAAAAACATGAATATTCACGGCTACTCGATGATGTAGGCATCAATCCCCGACAAACAACACGTCGGGATAGTTTCAATTGGCTTGCTGACACTTCAAACAATAGTAATTCAGCGAGTATGTCAAGTTCATCATTTGCAGCAGAAGACCATTGTCTCCTACTTTTGTAGCTCGTGGTTTCAAACTGACGTCGTATGTACCAACATTTGGTGATCAGAAAAAGCGTAAGTCGAGAACTCTCGGTGATTAATGTACTTCTCTCTTTGACATTCTCATTCTAGCGTCACTTCAACACACTCCTACTCTATTTGGCGGTCGGTCTCGGTAAGTCTCAGCATTATCCTATAACAAAATACTAGTAAATGTCCTCTTCTAGTTTTGATCAATAACTCCAATGTATTTTTCTCGTACAACCCAAACTAACAATACACATCTCTCCTTCTTGGCTCTCTCTCTCTCTCTCCTTCTTTCTTTCTTCTTCAACACATCAATCACTTCAATGATTCTTCCTCAGCTTCAAATATGCTTGCGCTTTTCCTATCCACAAACAAGTTCATTGTCAAAATCTGATTACGATCGATTCTTTCTCAATGATGGCAACAGTGAAAATCAATCCAAACATGCAACTGGTCAACAACACTTCCTCCGGCATTTCGTTGTCCTTTTCTGTATGTTAGTGCTTCTGACAAGCGGAAGAAAAGCGAACATCAGCAAGACTAAACAATGATACTGTCCGTTTAATAAATTTAATAAATATCAATGATTATCTTTCTAGCACAAATTGTTCTCATGGACACTGAAAAGTAAACCATCTTCATTTGCGAACACGGAGAGAAAAGAACGTTCGACCTGAGAGAGTCGATCCAAAATACTGAAATGACGCAATCGAGCGTAGAAAAGCCGAACTTCGTGTCGTTTTTTGTTTATAACGCTGGTTACATTGGTTTAATAGAAATCAAGACAGAATGCTTGTCATAGATACGAGAATAATGCAAAGTAAATAGAGATAGTGTCAAACATTGATCTTTTTCTCCCATTTTCACTGTGACAATAACAACAGTTGCAAGTCAAACAGTTACTTTTCTCTTTCTTTTTCTCACTAGTCACACTTTTGATGTGCAATAAATAACTGATACTTCAGTTGTCGTCTAAGATCACAGGTCAACAAGAAAAGTTGTATTTCTTATCTTTCATATCTGTTGACAGCAGATGGCAGCGGAAAATCGCCCAGGTAGAGTTTTCGTTTCATGGAAATGAAATCTTATAAACCACATTTAGAATTCCCATCAACATCAGAAGCAGTGTTGAAACGAATACTATCAGATTCTACTGTCGAAGGAATTATTTTAATTAATAACGAAGGACAACCTCAGTACACTTCGCTTGATAACAATATCACATTTTCAATTGCGTCGAAGTTGTTTTCGTTTACCAACATAGCACGTTCAACTATTCGGGATATTGACCCAACAGATAATTTATTAACACTACGACTCCGAACACGTGAGAAAGAAATTATGGTTGTTGCCCCGGAAGATGGAGTATATGCTATTGCTATACAAAAGATCCAGTCGAAGATACCAATCAAACAAAACTCGGACAATGAAGACAATGATGATTAATTATGTGAAATTGTGTTTATTTTAACGAGATCATCGGAATGCAGTTCAAGAGAGAAACAATAACTCTGAAGGATTCGTTGGATATGATTGCACGTTGAAATCTCATTAACGAATATTTTGATGTATCTTTCACACTTTTGAATGACTAATAAAAGCCTTAGCTATGAATGTTTCATGTTCGTATTAACACACATCTTGTGTGCTAGATTTCATCATGATGATTGCCTGAGAGAGACAAAGTTCTTAAAAATCGGTACAGTTCAACAAAAAACTGAATAATAATCTTGAATGAATTTCAATGTGTCCTCATACGACAAATATTCTGTTCGATTGTTGTAAACATCAATAACTTCGCATAGGTTTTGTTTTGTCTGAAAAAAGCAACGAAATCATTATATCGGTTTTTAGACAAAAGAAATCCTACTGCTCGTTTTCCAAATGTGATAACAATTGGTACACCCATTTTCTGACAATCTTTCAATCGGTATCCAATGGTTAACTCAGTACGATCATCCACAAACCATTCATTATTATCAAGTTGCAATAGACGACCGAGTGTTTGCTTATTACCATTGGCTTCCTCCGGACTACCTTTCTAATCAATAAAGATTCTTTCTTTAGAAAACATAATTCAACTAAATTATATCAACAAACTTTTGGCGGTAAAATAGCCACTTGATACGGTACGATTCGTCGTGGCCAGCGAATATCAGAGGATCCTCTTGGTGTAAGTATTTCTACTGCTGCTGCCATCAAACGCGTCAGTCCAATTCCATAACAACCCATAATCAATGGTCTATGCGTAGTCAAGGACGAATTCTCAACTTAAAATGATCATTCGAATATTCTCTATCATACTTTTTATCTTCAGTCACATCTGATGAACCTTCTATTGCATCAAATGCTTTGGTATATCGATCGCCGAGAAGAAAACAATGACCGAGTTCAATCGCTCGTTGTTCCACCTTCTCTGTATGTTCACATTGTGGTTTGTTAGTTAAAGACCCTCGACCACATCTTAATAGAAGAGATTATTCTAAGTTGAATATATATATCAATACAAAAATATTGGACGCACGTTGAGCACGTGAGAACTGTATCCTCACCCACGGGTGATATGCCGAGAAACTCATGGTTTAGTGATCCGCCCATTAGGCCACTATCAGCCGGTACTAAAACAGAGAGGGTGTCGGTTATTTTCGATTCTTCGATCGCATAAATAACAAACCTTTAAAGCATTTCAATTCTAATTTTTGAAATATCCGTTCGTATGCATCACATACTTGTTCATACACTTGTTGTGCACATTCTTCACTTCTATGAAAGCTGTATAAATCTAAATCAAAACTCGACGGATAGAATCGACGAAGGAAAAGTGAATTTTTAAAACCTTTCATAAGAAACTCTTTTGTACGCAAAAGACCGTGTCGATAATTGGGTTCGTTGCGATATTTCCATGTGATCTAGATTTGCTAATGACATATCAAAATTTTCTTTCGATAAAAAGCAACGATTGAACTAATATACCTGATAGAGAAGTAATGGATAATTACTTCGTGCAACTGATTTGCACACCGACGAAACGAGTTTTGTAATTGCTTCTTCATGCGTCTACAATCATCAGCGGAACTTTTCTTAAATCTTGAATGAGATCTTATCGGATAACATACGGGACTTAAGCAATATTCTTCATTGTGATCTTTGAATTTGAACAATTCATTATGCATTAAATTCCATCGATCTGTAAATAATCGAATTGCTCAAGAAAACTTAGACAATTTTTGACATATTCATACCACTGGCCTCCCACATGTTCCTTCGACCAATTGCAGGAAGTGATAATTCTTGTCCACCGACAGCATTCATCTCAAATCGTATTACTTTCTTTAATTTAGTTAAAACACGAACACCTAAGAATTGATTGACTTAGTTTGGTCATACTCATCTTCTTTCCTACCTAATGGTAATAACTGTGGAAAGCCATGTTCAACGCTATGTACAATCGCTGCTTCTTGTAGTAACTATTACAAAACAATAGAAAAACGTGAATTTAAAACGAATTACAGGATTTGTTTTACCGATTGACTGTTTGATTTACTCTCTCGAGGAAGATGAACAGGTGTTGGCAAGAATAAACGCGAGCGTTGTTGAATCGCTCGACGAATAGAGGAGACGAAAACCATCTAATCTAAAATGAGAATTCCCTTAATACCTCAACTAAATACAATTGTGTCCAACGCGAATTTTATCGTTTAATAATAAACGTGTCTGTAGTTAATTTCGTAATCGATTTTTCATTTGTGAATTCTGCTTTAGTTATTTTCGATTTTGGACTTCCTGTTTTCTCAAGCCACTCTTTCATTTGATCGATATTCGATTTCACACCTTCCATATGCCCATGCACTGTTTGTGATTTCGTATTTTCAACCCAGCCAACGAGATCCAGTTTTTTCGCTTGATCATGAGTATGTTGACGAAAGTAAACACCTTGGACTTTGCCATACACTTGAAAATCACATGCACGTAACGAAGTCGACGAAGCCGAATCCGAAAGACATGTAACTAAAGACAAATTCAGTTTCGCGAAGGTGAAGTACGAAAATAGTTTTACTCGGTTGAATTAAGCATACACGATTGACAATTTCGAAAAATCGGCACGCGTATAAACTACGGGCTAAAATACTCATCTTTGATCAGCCAAGATTTCTTGACTCGGATTGTATCAATGCAGAATATCTACTACCGATATTTTATTCGTGAAAACATTCTGATCGATCTCGACGAGTCTTCACAGATGACGCTATGTATTGGCATGAATATTACATATGATCAATCCCGAAGAAATGTTTGCGCGATGCAAATAGACAATTAATTCACTCATGATCATGTACATTTTTACATGTCCATACTGAATCAGTTACTGAATGATAGTTTTTTTGTACCAGGTGCTGACTTTTCATTTTTCAATATGAGAGAAGCTTTGTTTTGGTTCTGGAGATATCCCAATCAATGATGAATTCGGTCAAGAAAAACTCAGTCCGTATGTGTATTATCATTGCAATTGTTGAACTTTAATACAAAAGTCGAATCTTTACATTGCAGGATGAAATACGTATGTATATATGTGAGAGATGTGCGGCTGAATACTAATTGATATGTTTTGAGAAGTTACGATAGTCAGTTTTTATTTTTTGTCAGTAATCTTTGATTATTTCTATGGTCGTATAAAAACGACCCAAAAGAGAAATTAAACAGCATAGATGTGTGTACCATTCGTTGTCGTCAAAATTGATTTTGAGAACTTCCCTATCTATTGCGACCTATTTGCACTTTTCAAACATGTGCACATGTTCTGTTTGATTATTCGATGATTGTACAGATGTATGTCTAGTGATGATCACAGCTAATTGTAACGCATCGATTGATGTTATCATTTGTTTTCTAGCAGAGGAGAACAATCTATGTATCAAGAAAACATGATCTATCAAAGTTCACAGACGATAGTTGTCTACTGTATCATTATCATTGATCGGCATCTACTCCCATACGAGCAACTCGTGCATTGTATGTTTTCGTTGTATACATTCACTGTTGGATATCACATATAATTAGGGATATTACACAAATAGGAGAGTGTATTCATAATTAGATCGACTTGCTGAGTTCAGTAATCGTGTTAAATGTCTGTAGGCCAAAGAATGTCCATGTACACTACGTAAGACACAAATTCATTATCAAAAAAGAAAGAGGAATTCATAGATGTTCATAGGATAAGAAGTCATATCAATGAATTACGATGTTTCGATATCAGAAACCTTTTGATGAGACGAGCAAAGCGAATGACAAGTTAGAAAGTCATCAGTAGATTCTACTCGGCTGACTAATTGAGTGCATTAGGACATATCTCATGAGTGAATGGACAACGTCGGACATGATGAAAGCGCGAAATTGATTTAATTGCATATCGAAGTATCAATCGATTATGTAAAAGAATAGATCCTACTTGAACCGATCTTTTGTCAAAAAGCCCCGATGATCAGAACAAGAGGTTATTATACTAATAAGATAAAAGATTACATCGGTAATGGACAGTTGTAATCAGTAGTTCGTTGTCAACAAGAATATAATAGCTTTCAAGTGGATGGCACACACCTTCTGCACACAGACAAAGTATATTTTGTCTGCGTTTTGACGAGATGTGTAATTGCTAGTTATACGAGACGAATGTGGTATGTCTCCATTCTACAAAGACAAATACGTTTTGTATAATCATCTGTCTCTGTTCATTCTTTTGTGTTAAGTTAACTCTCATTTTAAATATGTATTATCTACTCCATGGAGATTCAATCTGTGTATATGTACGTGCGTGTTTCTAATGGCCTTGTCTTATGAGTATGAAGGCAAAGTTGTTGATGGTCATTTAACAGACTTTGGATAATCTCGTGTTCGCTTTTTTTTTCTTTCCGTTGGGAATAAATGAATATACATACATATTGATTTAACTCGACTAACACACATACACGCACATTCTATCTGATGATGTAACAATCACACATTCTTCTAGGTCTTCTTTAATTTTCTTCTTTTTTTTTTCTACAATCAATCGAACGAAAAACACACACGCATATCATCAATGTACAAGTATCTGACACGAGTTATTTCGAAAATAGTTTGTTCAACATCACCGGTAACAAACTCGATCGTTCATCAGAGATAATATTCATTCAATGGTGTTATATGTCGGTAATTGAATGTTGTTGATGTTCCAGAAATCTTTTTGTATTCGTGATTGCCGGGAAAATGTTCGAGATGTTGATCCGATGATTTCAATTGAGTTGTTTGAATCCGTTTATTGGTTTGATATTTGGTTATTAAACTGACATTATTTCCAATTGTTGATGATGACGATGGAGAAGATGATGCTGAACTTGTTTCTTGATCTTTACAAAGAACAATGTATTTCTCATTGGAAGATACGAGCAATTTGCCAGTTGACTTTTGCTGCTGCGGATGATGATGAACATCCATTTCTGATGAACCATAGCATGAGTCATTGTAAGAGGAACTTGTTTCACTGTTGGTATTGATCTTCAGATTGATAGCTGTCATATCGACGAGATCATCATTGAGTAAACTATGATTCTAGAGATAGAGAGAAAAAGAAACATGAAGTGGAATGAGGATGAGAAATGCGTTGAGATTTACTTCAGTAAAACCAATTTGGTCTTTGAGGATTTTGATTTGTGTTGATTTTGTTAACAAATTACATTTACGTTGTCGATGTGTACAATAACAAACTAAACAAATCACCACTAAAATGACTATAAATACATTTAAAATAATTATAAATTCGATTGTGTATGTGTAATTTGATGAGGCGAGAATTTTTTCAATGGAGACTTGATTTGAATAGAAAATCACATGAATTGTGTCGTTTGTCATCTTAAATGTTGGATTTTGATCATTGTCATTGACCGAAACGAGCAGATCGATCATTCCGATGCAATGTTCACTTGGACTAAAGAGAATTGTTCCGTTTGACGAACATGTCAAATTGCATTTCGAGGATTTTTCACATTGAAACGAGAGAAAACTCAACGGAGATGAGTCACGATCGAATGCATCGATGTTAACCAAGCTGTTATTGTCAATGTTGATAGAAATTAATCGAGAAGTTAGATGAATTTCAGGTGGATATTCATTGACAGGTTGAAGACAAACTTCCACAGGACAAGTTGAATTCAATCCATCGAGATTTCTAGCGATGACGAAGAATTTTCGACATGACGGGTCGGTGTCGTAATCGAGTACTGTATTAACGAATAACTCGCCTGTGAAAGGATGAATTTGAAAATCTGATGTTGTTAATGAATAGTTAACCGATTGGTTTTGAGTATTTCGAACTCCGATGGAACCGATGGATGAATTCATTAGAACAGTTTCATCGATGTGCTCGAATAGATATTTTTCTTGTTCGAATTTTGGTTTAAATAAAGTTTTGATTAAGCATGATACATCTGTGTGCAATGCTGATGGATATTTTCCATGATCTTGTGCTCGAATGGTGAGATTGTAAATCGACTGATGGAGTTTTTTATGCACAAACAACTCGCCGGTATATTCATCAAGAGAAAATACTTGTTGATACCCATCGGACAGCAATTCATAAGATATTCGACCATTCTCGTTCGAATCGGCGTCTGTCGCTTGAAATTGCATGATTGGTTGATGATATTCTTCGTCTGCTTGAAGCGAAAGTCCGTAGGATGATTGAGAGAACTTCGGTGGTGAATCATTGATATCTGTAATGACCATTCGAAGATCGCGAACCGTTTGATGACGAAGTTTCATACCGAGATCTTCAACAACCAAACGAAAGGTATAAGTCGAATGTTGTTCATGATCAAACATTTGAGCGGTATAAATTGAAAACATGTTATTCAATGTATTGGTAAGATTTAATTTCAATGAATCTGACACTTCGATCCAACATCGAACTTTTCCATTCAGATTCGAATCGGCATCTTGAACTAAAACATGCATAATTAACGTATTTAATGGCGTTTCTTCACTGATGTATAAAGTATCATTTTGAAATTGAAAATAGTCCGATGTACGAATTGTGATCAATGGTTTATTATCATTTTCATCTTCAACATTAATGATGATGAGATTGTAAACAGGAACGGATACCGGACCTGAATCTTGTGCAATTATTGGAATACGGTATTCTTTGCATTGTTCATAATCCAGTGACTGTTGAAGAAACAGTTCACCTGTTTGGGAATTCAATCGAAAAGCTTGCCGAACGTTTTGCGACACTTGAGGACTGAAATTGTACACAACTCGTCCGTTTTCATTCGTATCATTGTCAACTGCGTGAACGCGAAGTACAGCTTGATCCGATGATGGAATTCGATTCTCGGATATATTGATGATGTACGGAGTTTGCTGATCAAATATTGGAACATTATCATTGATGTCATTGATAGAAATATGAATGGTGATCGTGGTTGTTAGATTTCCTCGATCACGAGCTGTTAATTTGAGTTCATAAGAATCGCGAATTTCTCGATCTAATGATTCAGTTACATTTAGAGCTGAAAACAAATCAGACAAATGTGAGATAAAGAAATGGAAGAGATAAAATATTTCATACCAATTTGGTTCGAGCCGAATGAGATCAGTTCAAATGGGATTTTCGCTACTTTCTCAATCCAGTAAACAAGTTCATCGTCCTCGCCATCCTTATCCGTCGCACTTGGAATTGGCAAAACATGTCCAACTAAAGAAGGAGAAAACATCGCGAATAGATACTATGGTTAGACAATCGAAACTGCAATTAGCTCGAAGAATGTACGTAAATGTCAATTATTGTGTAATGAACATACATGCATACATACCAGGAACGCCTTCGCTAATATTTAATTGGATATTTTGACCGTCCCGTGTACCGTCGAAGAACTGTGGTCGAAATTCATTGATATCTTCGACGGTTAAAATGAGAGAAATAATGTCTCGTGGTTGTCCGTTTTCTTTCAAGACGAAATCCATGTTGATCTCACATGGATAACATCGAGAATTTTCGCATAGTTTAATCCGACAGAACTCTTCGCGGTCGATCAACCGACTTGTACGCAGTTTTTGCCCATCGACGAGAAAGTATGTCGTGTACGGAGAATTCAAATTCAAAAATTCAATCGTCTGCTGATAATCCACGGTTACCATTTGATCGAGTGAGATGATTGTATGATATAAATCCACATTTTCTTTTACCGACGCACGATATTTCAATCGCGAAGATGAAATCAACGACAGAGATGAGACAATTAGGAAAAGAGTAATTCGTCGCATCATTTGGAAGTGTTTCCTTATACCTTCCTTGTAAGCTTGATGATCAACGAATGTCTATTTAGTAAAGAACAAATGCAAGTAGAGAGACAGAGAACGCGATAGAGACAGAGAGAGAGAGAGAGAAAGAAAAGAAGAAAGAAAAAGAAAAAGAGGGAGAACGAAAGAACATCGCTTGCTGACCAAATCGATTGTTAAGCAAGAAATGATTTAAATGAGAATTTATCTCGAAAACTGAAGTTAATCATGTCCACAAGTGATTGTGTAAAATGTCCAACGTATCTTCTACATGAGTAATCAAGCTTGAATAATGGAAGGCGAAATGAGTTAATAGTTGTCGTCAAATTTTCTCCAGAGATTCCGTTTTAAACTAACATTTTTAGAGAGAGAGAGAGAGAGAAATGATAAGAATGACAATTGTATGTGTTAAATTCGTATCTCAAGGGACACTGTGATTCATATATCAAACTACTCTCCAACACTGAGTATTATATTTTCCGAAATTAATTAAAGGAGAGATGTTCAATGTCTTTCATCAATCCCTACTATTGTCAACACTTCATCCATTAAAGGTTGCCGTGAAGGGATAGCAGGAGAAGACAATCAAGGATTATGCCAGATCAAATGTCTCGAATTAACTTGTTACAATCGACAGTTAACAATTCCTTGTCATTCCAGATAGACTTTTGAATGATGCATTCATGTCATGTCGTTTAGCGCGTTCTTATTTGCTATCCATTAGTCAGTCGATGAGAAATCAATTCATAGTGGACATCGCGTGCCTATTGACAAAAGAAGACAAGAAAAAGGAATGTGTATAGAACATGTACTTGTCTATTTTAATCAAGCGAGACGAGAAAAACTTCACTTCCTCCTCCTATTTTGATTTATCACTTCGATTCATTTATGTCCATTATCGTTCCAATGTAATTATATTTAGTAAGACGAGACAAGCATAAACTTTCGTGTTTGATTTTCAAGAGTATACTAACCATCTGTATGTATGTGTCAACTCAATTGTCTGAGTTGGGATAGAGAAGAAATGAATGTTAAGTGCCGGCGTCATCGTTAACGATAAATCAACTATTATGTGTGTGCCATCATCAACTTCTTTTTAATGCGTCAAAATACCTTTCAACTGTCAAGGAAATCTCTTTCTCGTCGACGAGAGTTCCAAATCGATGTATGGATGTAATTTGATCCTATTGAAATAGAAAATGATTATTATCTTGTTGTCATTCTTTCGTGCGCGGATTTTTATCACGCATTGTAAATAGAGAAGAACAGGAGATATGATTGAACCAACTGCTGATCAATTCTTGAATTTCTTCTTGCCTATCTCATCTAATCAAATTGAGGAGAGGAGAAGAAAAGTGAAACGCATCATGCCTATTAGAAATGCTCTTTTTCATTAACATGTGTTGAGAGTAATTTCAATCTGTATTCTACCTATGATAATCAACAAACTGTGATACATTGTCATTTGTTTAATCAATGGAACGGTCAACTTTCGTGTAGATAATTAGATATAGATTTCCGCTTTCTCATCTTTCAAAAGGAACGGCGACCGACACTCCTACTTAATATATTTTTTTTCTTATCTCGTCTCGATATAATGAAGAGGAAGATAGTGACCGTCGCGCCATCGCGGAAGCCCTAACAGGCAAAGAAGAGGACGAAATAGAAAAGTCTAACATCCATGAACGTTGTTCACACATTCTCGTTTTGCCTTTTTCTTAAACTTTCTCACTTGTTGAAGAGAAAAAAAAATGGAATTAGTGAATGTGGATATGCTCATAGAAGCGAGAAGTGTCCTTGTCGCTTGTCTAGTCAGACTCGTGCCGAGATGAAAACATGTCACGGAACAATACAGTCATTGACGACGGTCACACTATCTTCTTTTTCTTCTTGGCACTATTAATGAACCTAGCATGATTAGATCGCGATGCATTGAATAGTGCTCCTCTTTCTTATATCATATATTTTTAATAGCATCTTGCGAACAACAAGGTCACGAATGATCAATGGAGTTTTAGTTCTATTAATACGAGATATGTGGATGACTTATTTAATCTAGAGTGAATTTCAGATGGAGATATGGTGATAGTATCAAACTGAATTATTGATGTAATATGTGGCTTCGATTTAATCGTGTAGGTCTAGCGAAAAGACTGTCCAATGTGCAAAGGAACGAACATGATCCCATCGAAACTGCATTAACCAGCAAAAATCTGACACTATAGGGAGAAGGCATTTCTCTCTGGGCTACCGAAAGGCAGGCCCAACAAGCGTGTGACCGTCTTGTCCAAAAACTTTCACCTAACTTTTTTCGATTGACTGTGCATCTTCGCACTAGAAGGAATTCTAAAGATGTAAATTCGTTGTGTCGTGTCTTTTAAATGTTCTTTCGTCACGCAGTATGTAAGCGTTTTCATTGGTGATAACTAAAGTACTGGCAGTCAGCACCACAGGGTGAATCTGCCTCTCAACCGAAAAGGTGAGGAAAATATATCACGCGGGAATAAAAAAGAATTTAATCGTGTATAAAACTATTGGTGAAAGTTTTCGATAGTGTAAACAGTGTGTTTTTTTAATTTTTCTGAGGCAAATGGTAAAAAAAACCTAGGTGAGTCTTTATCGACGTCAAAGGTCAAGAAATGTACTCATAAAATCAACAGTCCTGTTGTCACGTTGGAGTCTGGACTAGGTGATGAAATACCGTGAGGCAATAGTTATTCATTGAAGAAAGAGCGTTGTGCGGTATATTATTTAAGGAGAAAACTTGCCTTCGTACGTAACAAACGAAAACTATTCATTTGGCTATATTAATTCATATCAACGAGTAAAGACCAGGTAACATCCTTTTCATGATAGAAGTTTACTCTGATGCTTAAAGAAAAAAACGACAGAACACACTTCTCGTCAGTGTGGAATGTAATTGAAAAACATTTTTCTGTTCTTATCTCGACATTTAATACGAATAATTTGTACCGATTAATACTTGCATACAGTTTTTCAAAGGTACTGCTTTGCCTCTTAGGTAACCAGCCATAGGTATAGAGAGATGAAAAGAATCGATTTATTACGATCGAGTACAAAACAAAAGAATCACATCGCATCAATCCTCACCTTTCTAAATCCCATGGCTGAGTACTGTCTTGATTCCCTATGATCAACATGGAGAAAAACTCGCAGTTTTCTTGCGTTCTATATAGTATTCTTGGCTTTAAAAGTGCAACGATTTTCTTTTACCCTGGAAGAGAATAAAACAGCCGGCATGAAGGACACTTGTTTTTTTCTTCTATCTAGAATTTAAATAGATCGTCATTTATCACTTGAAATTACATTTACAATTTCATGCAACGATGGTAAGTTAAAAGCTTACGAAACATCAACTGAAAATAATGTTCATCATTATAGACCAATGAACAACAAGTTCCATTACAAACAATCTCAGCCAATGTCGTTGAAACATCTTCATCATCTGCTTTCAAAACTATATACAAACGATTACATGCGCATTCCGGTGTTTGGTACATGCTCACATCAAATATCCTATTTGCGTGTTGTACATTCTCATTGAAGCTCATTCCTGCCGATATGTTCGACATCATGATCGTACGTTTTGCTGTCCAAACGATCGTATTTGGCATATACGCAATCTGCTATAAACATTACAGTGTCTTCGATACTCACGGACAACCAATTGCCAGTGTCTTGAATGTCTTAATGTCAAGTGGAACGAATTTAACTTATTTAGCAGCGTTTTACTTTCTCCCCTTATCAGATCTCAACACAATCAAATATACCTACATCGTTTGGGCAGCGATTTTAGCCGTGATATTTCTTAAAGAGCGTTTTAGATTGATCAATGGTATATCGTTAGCATTGACTGTTGCGGGTTTATTACTTGCAACGAAACCTCAATTTTTTATCAAAATTTTCAGTGAAATGTTCATTGAAACTCCAAAGAATATCTCGTTAACAACCATTGCGACAACAACAGTTCTCAATCAAGTGACTACAACTTCATCTTACTACTATCTCGGTGTTATTCTCGCTTTTATCTCTTCGTTAACCAAAGCAATACAAATGATCGCACGCAAACAATTAGTCAAGACGAAACAGCCTTACTCCGTGATGAACTTCCAATTCACAGCGTTCGCTTTAATCATCGCACTTTCATACAGTCTTATTCGGCGAATTTGGCAGCCTGTAGGTTATCCATGGAAGTGGATGTTCTCCGCTGGAGTCATCATTGGTGCAATACAATTAATAGTTAATACATTTCTTGCCAAAGCATTAAAACGGGAGAATGTTCAATTGGTATCGATTATTGGTACATTTGATATTCTCTATGCTTGCTTATTACAGTATATTTTTCTTAAATTAACGAAATCTGGGATGTTTTACGTTGGTGCCTCACTGATTGTCATCTCGGCTATCATACTCTCGATTGATAACCATTCAAGGAGCCAAAAGTTGAAACAACAACAACAAGAAAAGAATCCAGAGAGTAATGCTTGAAATGTTAGCAAATCCAATGCTTTGTTTCGTTCCCATCAGTAAATCTAATTCTTCCCAGCACTATTTGCCTTTTCCTACATTTTTATTCAACAATTCAACTACCGACCTCATCCTTTGCTCATCGATATTCGTGATAGAAACAGAGTGACTAGAATATTTTCCATTGAAAACATTTATAACAAATTATTAATCGTATAATTTCGTCGTTTGATTACAATAGGTGATGTGTTGTTGGGTATTGGACGTTGCGACCATGCCGATTGATTTTTCAGTGCACGTTCGATAAAGTTCACGCGAGATTGAACCTCTTTGAATTTTTTCATGAAATATGTTTGTAACCATTCAGGAGCGATGTCTGCAGTGAAAAACTGCGAACATGTACGTTGAAATGAATCAATAAAGTAAAGCATTTGTTCTTCTAAATAGTACAAGCGTTGGAGACATTCTTGACTTCGTTTATAATGAATATAGTTTTGACGGAGATGTAGATCAGTTACGTACAAACGAACGAATGACATCGTTTCGTCGTATTGATGAAGGACAGCGTCATGTTGATACATCATTTCATACATTTCATGTCCTACGTGGAAGAATCAATAGTCTATTCGACAAAGAAAAAGTGAAGATTCTCACCTGGAAATGTGCAGGATATGTAAATACTATCGATCGGCTTCTCCCAGAACGGTACTCGGTCACATCCTAACAATGTTCGTCCAATGGTCGTATTTTGTACGTGATTGATACGACCATAGACAATTGTTTGTAAGGCGTATGCAAGTGATGGAATCGATGAGGGAAGAAATTCACATAATGATAACATATGATCGTACCGAGACCAACCAGTTACAGCGATACCGGTAAAGTTGACTCGATGTCGAGTTGAGGCAGTATACATAGTTTCCAACCATGTTTGTTGGTTACGTTGATGATGACCAATATAACTCATTGTGGTGATCTCACCTGAAGAACCTTTAAATGAACTAGCGACCCAAACTTCATGAAACATCGAAAATCTAAATCATTCAATATTAAAAATACGCATGTACGAAGGAAAATCGTCTTTACCGCATCCAAAATCCGTCATCAAACCACGGGTTAACATCGTCAACATATGTCCACACCATTGGTACAACAAGATCAATTAATTCAGTAGTCTACTCAATAACCTCCATCGATTTAGTAGATAATAATAGCCGTAACACTTACATTACTAGAACCTGAGTTAATTAGTTGTGAAATCATATCGTGCCATATAAATAATTTTATGTTAGGACGTTTGGATTTAACATACTTCGCCACCCGAGTAACATGTCTTGAAACGAAAATATATAAATAACTAAAGTCAAAGATAATTCAAAACTAAAACCTGATAAACAGATCTGCCTCGTCACGAAAGTTCAGATTAACGCATTGAGGATGAACGAGACGGTAGTAAACCTCATCACAACCCATATGAAGATATGGAATGGTTGGATGAAGAGATAATATTTGGTCAATCATTTCTACAATTTATTCCAGATCTTCTATCAACATATCAATCATTTCCGTAACCTACCAAATAGTAACTTGTAACTTTCTTCTAGACATGGTGTAATCACTTGCGGATATCGACGATCTTCTCTCAGATGCAGAAACTCTTTCAGTTTAAGAACATATTCCAAATGTCCATAAACTTGAAGTAAAGGCATGACTTTCAAATCGTTCGTCTTAGCTAATTGTAAGATTTGCTCGACATCATTCTTCGAATACGCAAAACCGTGTTTGATAATCGATAAATTTCCGGTGAATGGAAACATATCTTCATATTCAATCAATAAGCCTGTAGCACCCAGTTGCTTTAGAAAAGGAAATAGCTGTCTGTAGTAATCGAGTTTTGGTGCAGCACCTTTCAAATCGAGATGAACAAAACGTTCGAGAGTTTTTGTTTCGATCACTGGATTGAGTCGTCGTTGAATCGTTGGATACGGAAAGATTTGTCGCTGATTATTGAAATTATTTACAAATGGAACTGCATTAGGCATTTGATTATACGGATCTTGATATTGTGCATGAAGTCGTTGTGCATCATTATTGATTACAGTAAATTGATCGAGGTTTGTCAAGCGCTTGGAACGACTGAAATGTGAGCTTTCAACAGATTGTACTGAATGTTCCGAGAAGACAATATCACGCTTTTGATGGATGACAAACAAACTGAACAGTGTTATTGGTAAACAAATACCAAGAGCAAGATTGCGGCGTAGACTTCGACGAGTTAACATTTAATCATTCATTCATTCGGATACGACAAACTAGAATAATAAAAAATAACAACGCATTAAAAAAATGTACTCAGAGTTTCGCTTCTTTTCTTTGCCTCATAACATAACGTCAGCAATGTTGCTTTAATCGTATAGGCCGGTACCTTTCTTCTCCTTCTCCTCTCGTTCTGCACTCGATACTATATGAAAGTTGTTCTATGGACGCTTGTCATAAGTCAAAAGTAAACAGATACATACTCTATTTCTAGCCTACACCATAAGTAATCTCTTCGTTTCTCTCTCATCTTGCACATCAACAATATTTTCTCCATGACATAATCAGCGTTCTCTCTCTCTCTCTCTCTCTAGTGCGAGTTCTCTTTTCGAGGAAAGATTTAGCCAATAATAACTGATTTGATTTGAATGTGTAGAAAAACTCGTAATCACATCAATCTCGACGAAATCCATTCTTTTCCAACGCTAATGCACTTCCTTTCAAAACTCTGGCATGAAAGCTTGAAAAGACTTGGCATGTTCGAACAAAGGAAAAAGAAAAAAATCTGATTAATATCGACGAGATTATTTGAAAACTGCATGTTATACACAGTTACTTCGACAACGACGAGGAGAAAAAGAACGTCAACAAGTATTATCTAAGTTTGTCTTATTCTGTCGAACGGCGGATATAATCAAAAGAAAAAGAACAGATAAGTAACTATCGGTCAGTTAAAAATTCATCTAATCGCACGTAAGACGACGAGAAAGAGAACGAGTCAGCAATTTAAAAGATCTTTCCTCGAGGGAATGCGAATTACGGTGATTCAGAGTTGCGGTTGGCAAGCAGAACAGATGAAGGCGTTTCGAATTACCAATTTCCATCTGACAATCATCTATTCATTCAGATTAATGCGAAGCGATGACTCAATTTCAACGTAAAGATTAGTTTGTGCCGAAAATTCATCTCCACGCTGACGTGATCAGCCATAGAAGAAGTAAATTCTCATAATCTTGTGATTAACTTAGCAATACTCTGCATACATTCAATGCTATTATTTCATTTTCATCTTTCACTGTCTCTTTTCTAAATAGTAATTGACACTTTTGATGGAAGATCAGATGAAGTTCTTTATGTGATTATTTGCAAATCGATTTTGATAACGATTCTGTTTTATTTGAGAAACATGGCAGAAGCCAATAGAATGAATCAAACTACTTCAAATCAAGATATTGGGAGTAATTGTTCACTTGGATTGGCAGTAGGTTCGGGTGCAGATGAAGTTAGTAGAACTCGAATTTGGTTGATTAGATTGATTTCATCCTACGAAAGTCAGTTGAATAGAGGTGCCCAATCGATGAACGTGAAAAGCACTTACTTCTTCTTCAGAATTTTGAAGAACTTGTCGGCGTTCATTGAGTTTCTGTTGAAATTGTTCGACTAGCGCTGAATCGCGTTCAGCAAGGGAAAATAGTGCATTTGGTTTAGCACTGGATAAGGTAAGAATTGTCTCGAGGACATGTTGATGATCTGGACATGCTTCGTTGTTGAACAAACGTATCAATTCTTCCAATGCGCCATTCTCATAGAAAATTTCTGAGAAAAGAAAAACGAAATAAAAGTGAATCGAAAGAGTCGGTCAAGATTTACTTTTCATTTGCGCACTGGAAGTGCAAATCGTATTAATAAGGAAGCATAATTTATTTTGTAAACGTGGAATGGGAGATGATAATGCTTTGATTAATACTTTTGCACCTTGATACTTTTGTAACTGAAGTTGACCAAGTGTATAGCCTCGAACTAATGCTAAATATTCAAATAAAATGTTGTCATTTCCTGTTTTCTCTGAAAAGACTTCGATCTACCTGATATTGCGGTCACAGCTTTGGTTTTCAAGTCGGCATTGTTCGATTCCTCGACAATCTTCAATAGTTTTTGTTGTAAACCTGATTGCACAATAATTCGCTGACAGTGATCATTATTCTGAACTAAAGTCGCGATCAATGAACATGTCTGAATACGAATTTGATCATCGGAATGATCCAACAATGGCGCGAGAATATCTAAACCACCGATAGTGAAAAAATCTTTTGCTAAATCAAGTTCTTCTGTCCAATGACAAAGTTCATCAAGAAATTCCTTCTTTTGCGCTTCGTTGACTTCAGCATCTTTGATTTTACTGATGCATAATTTCAGCCGCTCAACCGGATTCACCGTCATGTTTTCCAATGCATTGTTTAACCACTCTCGCTTCTAAAAATATCGAATAAAAACATGCTTTTCAAAGTGAATGAATGTGGTTACCTCGGCAGTCATCGGTTCTACATCGGTCGTTGTCGCTGCTGCTGCTGCTGCCGCCGCTTCTTCCTCAGCGGTGTTCTTCACAGTCCATTGGAAGAGACTGTTGAGAAAACTTTGTTTCGAACTGTCAGCCATTTGAAGTTGTTATCGTAATCAAAAACAAAAAAAAACAGACATATTTTTATGTGATCCGTCAATACATCTGGACTATTCTCGAAAATTCCAGTGGTTTGCTTAGAAACTCGCTTGAGAAATGAGGAAATAGGCAAGGAAATAATTCGTGCAATGATGCAATGAAATATAGTCATACCGTGGTAACCAATTCGAAATGATCTTGTACACAGATGGCGCTAGCCATAAGCTAAACTGTAATTTTACTCCAAAAAAGAATCACACAAGAGTATTTACACGTGGGCAGAAATACGCCAAATAAAAGAAAATATTTCATGAAAATATTCATATATATATATGTGTATATTCAGCAATAAATCGTCGACTTTCCGACAAATAGACACACGAAAAAGAAATATCTCAACGAACATCGGTAATCACAATGACTTTATATACTAACACAACCGACTGAACGTTAGATAGATCGTAGTAAAGAAGTTCACACTCAGTAATTGCGAGACGAAGGTGTTGTCATAATGGTATTCGAAAGAATTGATGGCGAGGTACGATTTGTGTACATAGGAGAAGATTGAATAGGATCATACGGTGATCGATTTTCTTTTTGTAATTCGTTCAAATGAGACGTCCCACTAATCATAGTTGAATCGAATTCCGATGATGATTGACAAGATTGATGGTGCGAATGAGCGACTGCACTGAGAGATGAGGAACGATTGTCATCTTCAACCATTTCACATAGATTAACATTGGCTAATGTTGAACATAATTTTTGAAGATCTATTTGACACACATTGGAAATCAAATCAAAATGAGCAACTGCTGATCAAATGAACATTTACCTATGAGTAAAGGAACTAGATGTTGAAACATTCGTTGGCCAACAGTAGAACCGAATCGGTCGTGTAAGAATCGACCTGTAATATCGATGTAAATCTGTTGGATTTTCTTCAATTTCGTTTGCTGTTCTTCACTCGAATGGATTTGACATTGATGAGAAAAGAGAAGAATAGTCATAAGCAATAGAAACACCGTGTGCGAATCTTCATCTGCTTGTTTATCATTTGTCGATTGATATGTAGCAGACAGAAAACCTTTCGCCAAAACAACAAAGTCGTGATAAAGTTTCGGACCGTAAACATAAGACAGATATTTCGCATCATATGGGTCATCGTCTAGGAAGAAAAAGATGAAAATTCATGTCCGATGGGATTTTCTCGTAAATCTTACTTGTTGTACGATCAACAAATGTGTCGGTGTGAACATCGTAAGTTAATGCGCCGTGAAACATGAAAACTGATAACATATTTTGAATTAAAATCGACGTTTTTTCGTGTTGAGTCAATAATTGAAATTCTGGAATCAGACTAAAAAAATTCAATAATCGCACTGTTGTCATTTGGGTTAATTCTCGTGTTAGATCTTTAATCGATGCTAATTTTAAATCCGAATCCTCCATTTGCAGGATAATTGCATTCCGATAGAGAAGTTTACGTGGCTGATGATATCGATGACAGATCGATTGATAACCATGGGATAATTGTCCGAGAAGATACTGTTGACGGTCGTACAGTTTTTGATCCGATGGCGGATACATGGTTAGCATTGGAAAAGTTGCAGGCGAGGATTTCTATGTAGAAAAATACGGATTTGCATATAAGGTGAGTGAGGAGAATGTGAACTGACGATGAACGCTCGAGAATTTTTGGCCATTTCATCGGTTGTTGTTACTTGTTGTGACGCTATTTGAGCCTGTTGCTTTAATAAACGATTTCGTTCGACTTTTTCGCGTTTAATCACCTTTTCTTCGTCGGATAAAATCCAATCTTTACGCATTTCTACATAGAACAAAAGAAATTTCGTGCAACACACTTTTCACGTCATTTTTCCAATGAAAATGATACATACTGCATTGAAAACATTTCAATAATCGACAACGTTTGCATCGTTTGCGTGTTGCAACTGTAATAACACACTTGTCATTATTTCGACAACGAAATTTATCCTAAACGAATCTTTCTTCTCACAAACAAATCAATTTCAATCGCTTTACCATCGATTTCAATGCATTTCGACGAAAGAAGGCTTTGCACGATTCGCACGTGACTAAACCAAACGCAGGTAATTAACTCAAAAGATTCGCTTTAACTGACTTTGATCAAAATTATATCCATGTGCATCGGCGCCACATACAACACACGGCGGAATATCTTTACCACGTCTGGTTCCATTCGTCGTACTGCTACTCGTACTACCGGAACTCGACCGTGATATATGATTTCGAGGATGTTTGTTGTATTCATCAGCATCGACACTCAACGTTCGCTCACCATTTGCGTTATTCATTGTAGATTCGTATTTGTGGATCTGGAAAAAAAGCAAAGAAAAAAGAGCCATGCGACATCCGCATACAAAGAACAAATCTTTTGAATAGATTTTACTTGATACATAAGCACATTTTATCATAATATAACGAAAACATAGCTTCCTATGATTATCTCGTTCACCTGCTAAATAAAAACAGTCAAGCGCAAAGTCAGTAAGGACAAATATACAAATTACCGCTGAGTACATTTCACATCGGTATTCTTACGATCACGAACATATTTCATGCGACGAGAGAGAAAAAGAAATCATTTATATTTGGAAACTCAGACTTGCTTGTCAACATAATATATCCTATGGTTCCTGTCAACTGAACGGGTAATATATCGAAGAAGAGGAATCAAACATGTTAGTCAATATGAACACGAGCGTATATTTGTTTAGATATTCGTGCAATGAACACGCAATAAAAAAGAATATTGATTATATTAGTCCGCTTGTTTTATATGTAATCAGCATACCTATTAATTTCTAAGATAATCGTATTTATACGAGAAAATTGATCTACGCACTCGCAATATCTAGTCAGGACGGTTATTATAACGAGAGAATTCCTGCACACTTCTCTAATATAAATGCGTAATGTCAGAGAGATGATTGAGAACAAAAGACCCACCGGTGCGCAAGAAAAAAAGAAATTTAGCTTTTCAAAAGCATTATTTATAGGAAAAAAGGTCATACTTATGTCGTACTTGTCAAAGGTTAACTTCATTTGCGAGAGACTATCTGTTCTCTGAGAGTGATTCTCAGAGACCTATTAGCGCATGTTTAAGCTTAAAAAAGAACTAAACAGATTTCCGCATAAGGAGATGTTCTCATTCAAAGCCTCGAAAACAACAATATAATAATGCGATGAGATATTTTTAGATAATCATCGGAAGACATTTTACCTATAAGAAAAGTATGCTTCTCTGTAATTTATATAAATTGTCGACACAGAAATCTTAAATATTAATTAGTTAAAGCTCTCAAACGTCAATGCTACTACATAAGAGAATAACACAGGTGTTTTTCACTCCAATGAAACATGTATGGGTGTTGATTGAACGTGAGAAACTCAGGGATAAACTCTAATATATTGAATTTTATTTTTAACGCATCAGGTTGTTCCACAAATTCGTGCGAGTACTGTTTTGCTGTAAGCGTGAAATATTTGTTTTCCATCGCTGCGTAGTTCGTCGACTTTTAGGACGGTACACCAATGTCGACCATAAGTACTTCGTTGTCTTCTTGGAGAAAAGAAGGATATTTTAATGATTTAATCTGTTTAAGAAATTAGATTTATACTTTTGTAAATCTTATCGGGCACTTCAACGTGCGCTATTTTAGTTTGAAATTGCGGTCAGCTAAGTATCAAAAACTCCATTTTGGCTGCGATGCACTATGAAGTCCTAACAATTTCAAAATAAAGTGCGCATTTTTTCAAAATCTCTTTCGATCGGTTCGAAAATTCATCTATACATCGAATTCTCGTTACTCTTCCTACATATCGTCTCTGTCTGGCTTTCGAAATTCTATGATCAAATATGGAAGGTTGTTCAAACGATTTCCGAAGCACCTTGGACACCTCCTCTGAAAGACCTGAACATTTGAAGCCAACATCTTTCGCCTCTGGCCGCTACGCATTGTACACTATGAAATTGTACCTATCCTATACTTCTCTCTCTACGATCCTATCTAAGCCATGAGATACATCGATACTAAAACACTGGCAGCATCATTATATTTGAAAATGGCGCATCTGGCTGTGAAGACCTTCTTCTTCTCTCCAAGAAGACAACGAAGTAGTTATGGTCAACATTGGTGTACCTTCCTAAAAGTCAACGAACTACGCAGCGGTGGAAAACAAATGTTTCACGCCTGCAGCAAAACAGTGCTTGCACGAATTTTAGGAACAATTTGATATTTCTTAAGAATAAGTCTGAGGAAATATTTGATACTTATTCTTACCCCAAACTTATATGGAATACGTGTAAATGTTTTTACACGTGCCTAGTCGAATGAATTTCGTCTGATCGGCTGAATGATTTTATGTATGTGGAGAAATAAATGTTTTGGGTACAAGCGTAGAACGACAAACAGTTCGATATTTTCATGTAAATAATAAAGGAATATGACCATGTACGAACAAAGTGAAGAGAACATTTCTAACATCTCGATTCTAGCCGACGATTTGCTAGACGGCTGTTCATAAATAAGAAGAAAAATACTTTCGAATAAAGAATATTCTTTACTTATAATGCACATGTAACTGCCGGCAATTGTTACTATCATACTATAATCAATCACATAGTACAGTGCTTCTGATCAAAATGAAATTATATAAAAAATATGTCAACGCGAAAACATCGAAGTTATCTTAGTCAATTATCAGCTAATAAGTCACATCGTTCGTTGGTTAAACCTTAAACAGCAATTTTGCTTAAAAGAATTTGATGTGAGAACATGTCGACGGTATCAATTAAGATGACTATTCATGTAAAAAAGATCCTATTGTCTTTGCTTACTAAAGCTGATAGTTGTTCATTATACGACCGTACCCTGTATATTTAGTCTAATAAATCATCATACTACATCAAATATTTATTGACATGACTTGAGTACTTATGTTCTTTTATTCGGTAGAAACTTTGTACCAATAGGAATCGTTGTTTAGTGTCATCTAACCATCGCTGCTAAAGGCATTTGCTAGGCAACAGAATATGTAAATGGTTTGATTAGGTATTTATTTTTTGTGCGATAAAAAGTGAGTTTTCGCAGCGAGAGAAAAAAAAAGAATAAAGAATGTCGCGGGAATATACGGAAAAACAAATCGAAGCAATTCGAAAAATTCAGCGATTTTGGCGTCGTTATGTGGTAAGGAGTAATGGAGACAATATCAATCTGTAGTGTGTTTTCAGGATACGCAAGTGTTTTGTTTCTATCGCGATCTTATTCATTTTCATAACGAAGGTGATCCACAAATTCTGATGCGAACAATCAATCCGACCGAATCGAAGTACATCGATTCAGCAGCGGGAATTCGCATACGTTTTCGTTTAGCCGGTGATCGTTTCCCGCCAACGATTTATTATAAGATCTATACAAACCGTCCGATTCAAGATCTCGGTGCCAATGCTCCACGAGATTATACACGCCCGTATTTAAAGCTTCCATGTGCAGTTGATTCAAATAACAAACTAAACCGTTTTCCACAACAAGGTTCGTTCGATTTTTGTTCATAAGTATTTGACTGATCGAATTTCTTTCAGATAAAGATGGGTGGTATCGACGCATTGAGAATAATGGTTGGCGACCCGTGGCTTATACGCATTTGTTGCAAGTCAATATGGATCAATATTATAGTTCAAGTGAACATCGGAAAACAATTTCATTTTCACCGTCGAAAGTAGGAAGGATGAGTAGTGGATGTATTTGCGACAGATGATACCTGTATGCTCTTAGTAGATGCAGCGACGACAAGATGTGGAGCGGAAACGAAAAGAAAAGAAATTAGAATGGTTAAAAAAGATGTTAGTGATCCATTTGTCCTTCTTCTCCTTATATTCATTTTTGCTTTAACTTAGGTATAAAATCGGTATGATTGATGGTGATAATACTAATGAAACATCAGATAATGAAATGTCTCGACTGATTAACGACACAACCACTAGTATACTGAGAATATATAACGCATACGGTGCAGATGCTGTCCAAGATTGGGAAGTTAATGAATTACTTGAATGGACACACAATCTCAACTATGATGATTATTTAAATAATTGGAGAACAATTGGAACAAGTGCTTCATCAAATGTCTTGCATGGTATGTTTCATTTGAGCGAAATCCGTTTCTATTCCATGTTTTCTATTCGTTTACTAGGCAATTCGAAATCATATCGACCATATCGTGATATCGATGATCGAACTATCTCCACGTTAACCGAATCGCGACATGTTTCCGTTCAAGTCAATGTTCCGACTGTTCACTCGGTTCGCGCTCTACCTACAGCGGATAGCGAAGCAAGTTTCGAACGTACAACAACCACCGCCTACTCTCAACCAATTAGTGAGCATATAGAAATTCCTTTGAAATAGCGCAAACATTCTTGTAGATATATATATATATATATATAATTAAAAAAAACGGACAGATTTTGATATTTATCTTTGTTTTATTACAGAAATGGATTTGAATATGGTTCGATAGGTGAATTTTTACTTGAAGTTGAATGTTTCAGATCATTGTAGAAACAGATTAAATAGCAATTGGGATAATGAGGAAAAAGATCATATATATCACACATATGTGACATAGGACCATTAATTGATGAAGCCGTTCTCAGAAGACTTAGCATGATGAACGCTATTGACATACAGACCAGATAGAAGAAGTACGGAGATTGCACTGCTAAGGGCACTTTTTCCACATAAGTATCGAATAATAGCCAAAAGCCTCGCCAGAGGAGAACACAAGCAAAAAATGCAGCTAGATGACGAATATTTCGTATTAAAGATGGATAATTTAAGTAGAAGAATGTTGGTAAGGAACAGATTCTATCCGAACATGATTGAGTGTACATAAGAAGAAAATACAAAGGAAAACCAAGACATAGACTCAAGCCAGCTGACTTGTAAGCGTCTTTAGGATAGAGAAAAACATCCAGTAATGTATAAGAGCCACGCCATGCTAATAAAGATAAAAGCGACATAATAAATTCATAGAAAATGTAGTTAAGAAAATGAGCAAGACGTTCACTAATCTAAACATAGATCAAAGAATATACGTTTATCGAGAGAATTCAGGTAAATTACTTTTTCTGTTAGAAATGGTGTTCCAATTCGAATATTATATTCAATTGAATCATAACTCAGTATAAATGGAGCACAAACAAGATCACACGGATGTCCCATGATAGTAATAACAGCTAGAATAGCAGCAATACTGACAATAAGCATGAGCACCCACTCGTTGGATGTATAACGATCCCAGATTGTCCACATTGACACCCACTGAACAATGTAATTCGAAGCCATGAGTAAATTATGAAGTTGCAAGATGATCCGAACGAATAAGCTTGAATTTTGCCTATGAACGAAATCATAGAGACGATCTTGATCCATGTAGATGAAAAGAAAGATCAGTTGAGCTAAGCAATAGAGTAATGGCAAGACACTCCAATGTTTTCCGGTTGAAGTTTGAAGCCATTCGACCATAAAATTCCATCCAGCTTGCCAAAAGAGTATCAGCAATGGAAAGACGAGAAATCCAGCGACGAGCGGTTGAAAAATAAAAAATAACGTCGGTTTCGTTCCAGTTCGAACGATGATTTCGCACGGATCGGTCGGTGTTGCAGTTTCATCCGAAGAGTCGGTTACTTTTCTCGGCGAAATAAGTCGATCGAGTAGTGATATTGTTAGTTCTGTATTCGTTCGTTGACGAGCTTCAAAAAGTGACTGCGCACGTGGACGAAATCGATCATTATAATTGCTTGATTCGTTCATCAGGCAATATCAATGTGCGGAATTGATTCTCACTAAAATAGAATCGCAATTATCGATGTCATTTCTTCTCGCAGACAACTTACGATGTTCTACTGCTATATATATATATATACACAATATGTAGATAGTCCTTATCTCACTTGTATTATTCAAACAAGTCACTAACGATGTTATTTGACTATAATTTATTTTCTGTGCACGAATACACGCACGTAGGACATACAATATTGATTCGTTTTTCTTCTTCTTTACCCCTGTAATATAGAAAGTAAATGAATAGGACAGAAAGAGAAAGAGTCACCCGTTTTTTTTAGGTCTCTTCAATTGACGCAGGAGAAAAACGATACTTTATGAAGTAAAAAAGCACGAAAAACGAAAGAAAATATACTTAAGTATTGCTTTAATTATTATGCAAAAGAGTAAAAGATCAAAATATGTAGAAATCAACATTAGTCGGGTGTGCTGAATCATGTTGTAGATTTTCTAAAATGCATCAACCACCTACGATCCTTGAGGGTGATGAAGAAACCGAAGGAGTAGCACAAGTCGGCGAAGGAACACACTTCCCGCATACGGGTGTTCATCAAGTACCGCCAATGCATGATTCAACGGCGACTGCGGGAGAACTACAGCCACGTGAAGATGAGGGAGTTGGGTATGGAGAAACGCCAACATTACAAAATGAAATGATTGCTGTAAGTGGTGATACGCCAACTGACGCACCACAACAAGCCGAGTATAAACAGCCATCATCTGTTGATCATCCTATCATTGAAGATGGAGCACAAGAAGGAACATCTGTTGATCCAGATGTCGAACGTGAAATTCAAGAACGATCCGAGGATCACAGTGGTTTAGCAGGCGTTTCAGACGATGAAGCTGAACATCCTGTACGAGCAGATGTACAATCACCGATACCCGAAGAACCATCGGATGGTTCTCCACATGCTCAAAAACATCCTCATTTGGATGACACTCTGCCTGTTCGTATCATTCTCATGTTCACCCAATCGAGAGATTTGAATCTTTGAATTGTGTTTAGAGCACACCTGATAAACAACATCTATCAGCGAGAAGTCATAAAGATGTGTATGTATTTGAATCTTTGTGGAGAAGAATATGTTATAATCTTTTCCTTTAATTTCAGTGAATTTAAAGACGTTGATCATCGAGATGAACCCGAAGATTTAGTACCGGTCGAACCCGAGATACAAATAGATCGTGAACAACTTCTTGCTCGTTATCACGTTTGTTCATACGGATGCAATCGTTCAAACATTCATTCATTTGTCTTCTTTCCAGGAAGCTGAAATCGAACGTGATCGTCTTCGAGGTATCAATGTTGCTTTACAACAACGTTTAGCTGAATACTTACAAAAACGCAAAGTAATATATCGTCAACTAAGTTCTTTCAATGCCATGTCTCGTCTCGATGTCCAAAGGGTACGGAAGATGTTCCAGCTGTCGCACATGGCAACGAACGTTCGACAGCTGAACAGCAACAACGCTATCAAAAATATCTCAGTGAAATCGAAAGTTTACAAGAACGAATCAAATATGATCAGAGCGAGTACGAACGACAACGTCAAGAGTACGAGGAACAAATTCAAGAGAAAAAAGAACATGTCGATCAACTGAAAATTGAATATGTTCGATTAGTTAAACAAATTGCATCCAAAGCCGTTTTCTCTCGCAGTGGTAAAACAATAACCAATCAGGTAGGAACGAGTCGAAATCAATAATAACAACATATTTAAGTTCTTTGTTTGAAATATAATCATATTGTTTTAATAATACAGGATTGGCGTACACCGCCAAGAAACTTTTCTGTTGTATGTATAGTTCTTCTCACACTATTCCTACTCTTCTAGTTCTCTACAGCGCTTTATTCTTTCGATTAGTATGAATATCCGAACGGTGAATGAAAGATTTGTTTGATTCGTTTCAGGAAGTGGAAACTTATTTAACTTTGTTACGAGAAAAGGAAGAAGAGCTGATCAAGGTAAGAAAACAAATAATAATTGAAACTAATCGAATAATGTACTACATTTAGACCAGACACGAAAACATTCGTTTGAAAAATCAGTTAAAGAAACGTGAAATGCAACTGAAATCCAAAGAACAGCTATCCGAAGGTTTACACATGATCGATTTCGAACAATTGAAGATCGAAAATCAAACATATAGTGAAAAAATCGAAGAACGAAATGAAGTAACTCACTTCGTCTTCATCCACTCAGTCTTTCACTTTTTTCCTCGCCTAGGAATTGAACAAACTTCGAAAAAAAATCGGTACCACAGTTCAAACTCTAAGTCATATTAAAGAAAAACTTAATTATGTCGGTCAACAACGTGCCAAAGCGGAAAGTATTCTCGAACAGACGGAATCTGAAGTGAAACAGGTACGAATCACTAATCAATTTCATTTCATCAAATATTTTTCTTTCGTTCTTGCGACAATATTTGAAAGCATCAACACTGAAGTTCTTATTGATTTACAGAAACACATTAGTTCGGCATTAGGCACTGAATTTCAATCGAGCTATCACGATAAATGTCAGATTAGCGTTTAACCTTTTGTCACGGAGCGATATTTCTCTGACATTTCGGCACAGTGTTGCCTACTGTGCTCGAAATAGTCGAACAGCTGAGCAGATTTTTGATCATGTAAATGACACTGTCTTTCTTTCCTATGTAGAAACGTGATGAATTAGCAACGATTAAACGTCGTCGTGATCGTTTGCGACAAGAAAATCAAACACTCAAGCAAAGTTCGGGTTTGATCGGGAACGAACTTTTACTTCGAGATTATGAAGAACGGTACGATGACATCGACAAATGTACCGAGAAGCTGGAAAATTTGAAAAAACACCATGCGGAGATCACATTAACGTGTAAAGTCCTGAAGAAAAAGATTTCTAAGGTTCAATCATAGATTTATATATATATATTTTAAACATACAATAAAAAGCAGCTTTTTTTTTCTTTTTTTCCTTTCTATATAATAATTCACACTAAAAACACAACGAAAAGTATTGTTTCTTTTTAATACATGTTCGAAAATATTCAAAGGGTCAAGTACGGCTGACGGATTAGCGTTAAGCATTGCTGTCGTAAACGATAAAGATCGTTATTTTTCTTGGATGGAGGTGTCGAGAGATTAGCAGCTTGTTGAAGAAGTGTGCGATAATGATAAATTGTTGACGGAAGGAAATGACAGAATAGTAAAAGTGCAGCGATGATATCAAGATTAGGAGGGAGTTCTACAAAGAAAAACTTATTCGAATTTCGAAAAATCGATCGTTGGAAAGTATTACCTTCTTTTGTTGAGTTTACTCGTTTGAGTGCACGTTCAAATAATGTTTGGGTCGCTATTGGATTCAAACCGGATGACACACGAAAGATTGATTCGAATAGATAAAGCTAAAAACGTCGTACAATCGCTTCTTCAATGTAAAGACAAAAGCTTTCATTTCTCACTCGTTGCTTCGGCAATTTCATCATACGATTCAATTGTCGATAGATATCCAATTCCTGTTGAAAATCATGTAGATATGGAGTTTGTTTCTCATTGCTTGACATTGTGCTCGTTAGAAGTCGAAGACGTAATGCGAGAATGCCATCGAGTAATAAGGTATGAATCGCCTAAAGACAAGATTGAGTCGATTTCTCACCCTCAAAATGAATCGATTTACCACGTCAAGATTTTCTTCGTTGTCTGTCGTATTGTGAATCGAATTTTCAATCATCGAAAGTATCATTCGACTTGATTGGCCCAGTTGTTCCAATAAAGATACCCGCGTGCTGTTCGATTGATCATCATCATCATTCAACACCAAAAGAATGCTATGAATTGTTTCGATAATGGAAATATATCGCTCACTAAAACAAATCATTTGCAACGATCAATTTCTTTCGCTTTTAGCACTTACTCAACGATATTTCTCGCACGCGCCATTTCATAAATCGTCTCTCCATTTTGCCGAAGAACATCACTGGACGTGACATCATCGATGCACAATTTATCGTTTGAAATACAACGTACCACTTGTAAACTATGTTGCCACCAGGAGAACAAATCCAAATCTTGTTGGTTTTTAATCGCGACTGCCGGTTGTTGTTGAGCTTGGTGATCATCTTGTAGTAAAAGTTGATTGTGAATATTATCATAGAGAAGGTATTCCAAGTATTGTAAACGTATTGATTCGAGAAAATTAGTTTGTTGAATTCGAATGGACTGTTTTTCAAATAAAAATTCATTGATTCGCTCGACATCAGCCAGCCAGATATCATTTATATCGGCAATACAAAAACATTTCAAAACGTACGGTATAAAAATCGAAAAGATTCCGCCCAATTTGTTCAACGTCAATGCGGAAAGAAAGTAAATTTCGTTATGTTTTCTCATGTCTAGTTTCTTTCCGGCGTTCATTGATGTATTGATCGTGGAAAGGAATAAATTGAACAAAGCCAATGACGATGACGGTGAATGATATTCGATTTTCCATAATTGCAAAAGACAATCGTTTAATTCACGATTGTAATCACGTGTATCGATGGATTTAGTCCATCCAGACCAGAAGATTAACCATCGACCGAGAACGATTAAGTTAACACAGAAACGCGTCATTTGCCATGTGATCGATGAGAGATAATATAAAAGTGTATTATCGATTGTAACGTAGAGTTTCTCGCAGCATTGACGATAATATATTCTCGCTTCGGTTAATTGATTCTAAAAACGAAGAAACAAAACAGATTTGTTGGGAAATATTCGATGAATCTGGAGATTTTTGTGGGGGAAGAACGCCGAGGAATGTCTTACTTCTGCCATGAGTTGATCTGCTTTTTTCTTATAAACATAGTATTCATGCATTTCTGATTCCGGAACGATGGGTTCGCCATAGACAAATAGTTTCACCAGACAGACAAGACATATGCCAAGATTTAACATCCATGCTACTAATTGTCGCCAATACGTACTTAGAAACGCTAAAACGGCAAATTTTAGAAAAAAAACGAAGTCGTAGTGAATGGTTTTACTTGACGAATGCAGATTTTCATTGTTGTTTGCGGATTGTAATGTCCGCGAACCAATAATCGATTGCGTTTCTGCTAAATCATTAGAATCTGATGCATGGATTAGATTCAATAAGTAATTGAATGGATTAGTAATCAGAACGCATAGCATAAAACAACATAAGACCAAACGAGATCCATTGACCATGCCTTGTTTGCTTGTCGTACGTTTTTGTCCTAATACAAATAAGTCGAGTTGATCCGAAGGGAAAATCTTGTTGACTTACGTTTTGGAGCCGGACTGTACGCATCGTCACTTGAATTGAAACTTGATTCGCTCGAATCACTATGAGATGAGGGTGGTGTCGTCGGATTTTTCACTGATGGGTTTCGTTCCGGCGGAGATAGTTCATTAACAGGCGAGACATCAACATCTGAGTTGGAGAATAGATTTCTTATCTTATCTTCAGCGAAAGAAGTGTAACTTACTGGTTAAATTCAATCGTTTGAGAATAATTTTCAACGTGTTGTTTTCTTCTTCTAATCGACGGTTAGTTGTTTGAAGTTGTCGAATAAATTCAATTGTTCGTCGGAGTACACCAGATTTTTGTACCTAATCACATGTTGTACTTCGAGATGAATATCAATGGTATTTACTTACTTTTTCATCAGTATCCGCAACAATTTCTTTTAATTCAAGTATTCGCTCGTTGATGCTCGAACGATACCGTTTCTCAATCGCATTGTGCGATGATTTTCGTCGGACACGGCCACCTCCGGTACCATTACCGAAACCACCATGTGTGCTTGTTGCCATGTGGCTGTTGGATGGTGAGTCATGTCGGCTGCCTTCATCTGAACTATTGTTATTATTACTCATATGACTGTTTTGATTGACGATCTTCAAAGGAATATTATTTCCAATGATCGTACTGTTCTCAAGAAGGCTTGAAAAGGAGCCAACATTCGAGGTGGATGTATCGGGCGCGGAACAGATTAACTAAAAGAAATCAGATGAAGATGTTGAAAGAAAAACTAAGATGCGCATACAGCTTGAAATTGATCTAGTGTAACCGGAATAGGTTCGGGCTTTTTAATTAACTTCGGCAGGTGAGCAGGATGTGATGGGCGAGACCGTTTTGATGAAGTCGGTTTACTTCCGGATGTACTTTTGTTCCTTTGATACTCCGAGATACCCACAGATAACATTGATGAAGTCTGCAGAAGAAAAGGGGATGCTGTGTTGTAAGTATTCACGGACGTCTTACCGGAGTCGAAGGAGGTGGTGGCGAAGATGAATATTTCATCACCGATTGATGCGCTTGATGTTGTTCAATTAAAGTTTGCAATGTACCCGATGACATGTACTCCTCCACCGGTGCTTCCCTCGTTTGAACATTGCTATTTTGCGTTATTTTGTCCGATGCTGTAGGGAGTACCGTTGCATCATACGAGGGTGGTGGTAATTCAATAGGAGGTGGTTGTAAATAAGTCGTAGTAGTATTTGTCGACGGATCAAAATATTGAAAATCATTTGTACTGATATCGAATTCCGAGAAGAAATCATTGAACGCTGTGTCTGATAGTTTCAAATCACATGTTAAATAATCTTTGATATCTAAATGAAAGTTTATTTTTTGTTTACAAAAGTTGTCCTGTTTTGCTACGTGAAGCAATGATTCAACATACCACCGACGACAGTTGGATCAATCGTCATGTTTCCTTGTTGATGTTGATGTTGCTGTTCTTGCTGTTGATATTCTTCAAATTGAAATAAATTGCCGCTCATCATTCTATCTAATTACGCAAGCAACATAGAGAAATGAACTGAAAGAATAAAATTTTCTTTTCTTTTCAAAACGGATCACGCCATCCTAAGTACATGACGAATATGAGTCATCTCGATGTCAAATCAAATTATTTCATAAATTTCAATTCCACGCGTGATTGGATCGTCTGCATCAGATACCGCCTTTTCGGACAAAATAAACAACAACTTATCTTTTTCTCATCAGAAAATACACCCAGAACACAAGGTCATATGGTGCAGTTGATCCACATAGATGTCGTTGGTGGACGACGATCCATCCTTATACGTATATTCAAATTCCTGTTCTGTTATTCGCAGAAAATGTACCGGATTGAAAATACATCTATGACTATATACACATACACGATCCTTTGACATTCTTTAGTTTATACAAAAAAAATTTGTCTAGTTAAGAAGATTTTCTATCACAAAGTGAAAGTTTGAGTATTTATTCATTGCTCGTCTTCGGTCGTTGCATTTTCCAGAATCGCTTCACTTCTTCATGACCGGCTTTTGAAACGACCACACACCGTTTTTGTGCGCTACTCCAAAGTAAGACATTCAAATCCTAACGAAAGAAGCTTCGATTCGCATGAGAAAATGAAAATCAAAGTTGTACTTTGGCGTATTTTTCGATTAATTCGAAGTCATTCGCGGAGTTAAATTGATTGTAAAGCATACCTTCCTGGTCAACAATTCGATCGCGTTCCATTTCCCTTAAAGAAACCAAATACGATCGAATTACACATGAAAAGTCTCGAGTTACCATAGACGAATCTGATCACTGATCGTCGTAGGAATCAACGGCTTGTTTTCTAGCAACTAGTTGAAAAAACATAAGATAGATCACATGATACAAGCAAAACGGAAGTTGCTCGTACTCTTTTGCGCATCTGTGGGTGTGCGTGTGATTTCATAAAGTTTAAGATCTATTTCATAAGAAATCGGATGAAGAAGACTAATGAAAAGTGAGAGTTTCAAACCAGGTCGGCGGATATTTCATTGCTCAATGCGTTTCGAATACTTTGCCGGGTGATAAGTCCAACACTCATATTCGGAAATCTAAACAGATTGGGAAAAAAAACTTTTGTGCGTATTGAAAATCAATTACAAACCGATAGAGCATCTTGCAAAACAATTCGATAATTTTCAAATAAAGATCATTGTCTAAATATGAAGAATAGATGTGATTTAGATAGGAGAACACTTGTGCGAACGAACTTGTGTAAGCATAAACACGATAATTTGTTTCAACAATGAGAAAACCAGATTGAATTTCATCAGCTCCGAGTTGTTGCTCTGCAGATGCACTTGTCGCTAAACCGGATGCTAATTCAATCGCAAGTTTCGTCGGATAGAAACGTTTGATTTTTCTCTAAAATAACCTCTTTGATCGCTTATCAACTTTTCTCTTTTCAAGTTCACTTACGGTTTTTTGCCAAATGAGACCGAGCTCTCGAAGATGTTGAACGAAGTTTTCTTTTATTGCACTAAACTTTTCACACGAATAATCCTATGGTCGATAAAGAGAATCGATAAAAATGTTTGTTTTCGTTGTACATTACTTTGCCGAATGTCGCAAAACTCAATTGGAATAAAAAGATCAAATGTTCACTAATATCTTCGCCGCGTTGCTGAAAACCATCGAATGAGGATGAAAAATCTTTCGGTTAACGAGAAGGAGATTTTACCTGCCGTGTTTCTAATGAATTGATAATGAAGAACCACACTTGTGATCGACGGTTCATCAGTAGGAATTTAAAACCAGAGCCTGTTATTGTATACGGATCAGTGTTTGACGATGACGTGTCTTCATTTCTATTTGCACAGGAAATCTTTTTTCAGCATACATTGCAATTAACATTGAAGACGAACCTTTTGAGCAATTTAGCATGGAGAAAAACATCGATTGTGTCACGAGTGACTTGTCCTTTATCCGGAGTAACAAGATATTGTAGAACGCACTAAACAGCGAACGAAAGCAGTGATCAAACAAAGTATCAGATATGAACTTACATCCCATCGAGTTGAAGAGTAAATATTGAGTTCTTCTAGTTTTTTCGCATTGCGTTCACTTGGAGTGGACGATGAGTCTGTTTCATCAAGCCAACTGGTTGTCCTAAACAATCACCAGTTCATCGCCTCTGTTTCCATGACGGTTATAAATCTAACTTACCCTCCAAAGATCGCGCCAGTTAAATTATTTCTAAACGTCGCATCCACTTGCCAATCAGTGCCAACTTCATTCCAAATACCAAGTTGGACGAGCATTCGACTGATGCTTTTATAAGTACTAATCGAATGGATGGTGCGATTTGATTCTTTACACAACATCTCTCATTTACTTTTGATGCGATGGATTAATCCACGACGAAACAACACTTTGACTTAGTGGCTGTGGCTGTCCAGTGGCTTCCGAATTCGGCAAACAAATAAATCTCATAATGATCGTTCTTGCAAGAACTGGTAATTCACTAAGAATAAAAACGATCGACACGTCATTCTTAACGATCTGGCGGTTTTTTTTTATAACAAACCGGAATATTGCTAAGCAACTTGCCGGATGCCCGTAAATGTTTTGTGTGACATTGGCTGGTAAACTGGCAATATACTCGTGTAGATTAGCGAATTGATCAGACATTGAGCAATAATCTAAAAAGTCTATTAGGCTTTTTCTTTCTCCAAACACTTTACTCTGATTCAATCGTCAACAACAATGAGAATAAATGTCTCAAGTGAATTTTTTCTTTCAATCATCATTGAACATCAACACAAAAAAGGAAAAAGAACGAGAGCGAGAGAGAGTGTAGGCAAACACACACATATAAAGACAAAAGAAAGATCATCTGATTATTTGATCGATTCCGGTGACCAGATTTTCAGTGTACGATCATAAGAAACAGTAGCGATCCATCGACCATCGAGAGAAATGTCTGCAGACATGATTTTTTGTTCATGTCCGGTTGAGGAATACAATGCTGACCAAACAGGATGCATCCATAGTTTCACCGTATTATCATAGGAAACTGTGACTAGATAGTGACCTTCCGTACCTAAACAGACAAGATCAATCGATGCTGTGTATTGAACTATTTGATCAGTAAGACGTACGTTGAAATTTCACAGTGGACACTAAACTCTGATGAGCTGCGATGCTATAGGCATTTTTAGTTTGTCGTAGATCCCAGATTTTACATAGATTATCTTCTGCGCCAGTTGCAATATGATACCTAATCGAAAGAAAGTTCATGAGAAAGACAAGCTTTTCAGTTAAACTAACCCATTAGGTGAGAAATCAATGGATAAAATTGGTTTCAAATGACCTTCCAAGAACATAATACAACGGCCAGTTCGAAGATCCCACACGCGACCATAAGCATCCATTCCCCTGAAAAGAAGTAAATGATTAACCATTCAAAGCATAAGTCTATATATTTGAAGAATTTATCGAATGATTACATACGCGGTTGCCGCTAGACTTCCATCACATTGAAACGCTAGATCATGTACTGCTTTGGAATGTCCTTCTTGATGCAGAACTTCATCTTGCGTATCAAGATCCCATAGACGCCATGAATGATCATAACTGCATCGAAAATAATAAATAATATCGTATTGATCAAGACTTACAAGATGGCTTACCAAGCTGTACCGAGGAATCTTCCCGACGGATGAAATCTCACTTTTGATACACGAAATGGTGCGTGTCCTAAAAGAGATGATCCTTGCACTTTCATCTGTGTGCAGATTGATTTATTACGAACCTTCGATTTCAGCAATGGGTTCATCACTTTCAAGATTCCATAATTTCACCGATCCATCAAATGCGCTCGATGCCAAATTAATCACGCCTGGATCCTGCGTCAACGTCGATTGAGGGTGCCAACTAATACAGCAAGCGTCGATTGTATGGCCGCGTAACGTACGTATGGGTCGACAATCCGGTACCGTCCAAAGTTTGCACAATCCACTCCTAAATCAGTTTTGGTTGGAACAAACATGTACGTAAACGAAAAGATTTGTTCTACCGAGAAGAAACAGCAAGCATTTGATCATTCGGACTGAATTCACAGTAAAACAATGGACGTGTGTCACCAACTTGACTGCAATGTAACGATGTACCCTAGTTAGGAATGCTTGATCATAAGAAAATTTGATAGAGATGTCCACTTACTCGTAGACGACGGTAGAGTTCTTGAATTTTGGATGTTCGATGAACTTCAGGTATGGCAACATAATCTTTTAGTCGCTGAATGCGTTCCTTTGCTCGAGGTAACGAATATTGCGCGATCCAGTATCTCGCTACTTGTAACTCATCAGGACCTTGATGATACCAGGTTGCTTCCTTAACAAAATGAGAAGAAAATATGAGAAGTTCACTTCAGTATCTTCTTACCTCTTTTGTAGTTTCGATTCTTCTGTCGTCTTCTTCCTTTTTACGTAGTTTTTGAGCGATTTCATCGTCGGACAGACGTGAAATCAAGTTTCGTAGACGTTCACGTCTCTCAGCAGGTCCTTCGCCAAACAAACCTAAATAGTAGCACTGCGATGTCTTTCAATATTAAATGCATCCGATATGTCTTACAGATAGGCTCTTCTAATCGACGTAGGTTCGCTTTGACTTCAACATCGTCCGTTGAGACATGAATTTGTCGAGCCTAAGAACAATACATTCACTTCTTGTCTATCATAAATCCAACTGTTCTTCACTCACTCTTCGACGTCGCTCAAATTCAGCAAGAAGTGCTCGTTGATCATCAGCAAGAGGTTGATCTTCCAATTTGATTGTTTCCGCTAAATAGAAACGTGAAAAAGAATTCGAATGCAAATCAGTCTACCTCAATATATAAATTCATCATACGTTCTCGACGTGTTGGAATCGTTGCTTGGTGGTGGTGGTCATATGCCTGTTTCGCTGCCGTTTGACTTAAAAGTTCACTATGTACATGCTCAGCATGATCAACTGTCGTTGTTGTACGTCGACTAGGCAACGTGAAAGAATCATCTTGCATCATCTGAAATCAAATTTGAAATCTAAAATAAATGTATATCATAATTTCTTTTTCCTAATCACAAAAAAGTGTTTTTTTTTCTCCTCTGTTCTTCTGTTAACAAGCATTTTTAATTCGACTGAAACATTCCATAAGTTGTACATGTACATGATTGTGAAGTTTGATTGGTAATAAACCAATAAAACGAAAGAGAACATCCGCTTGTCGTTTTAGTTCATCCAAAAGACCTTTCTTATTCGTACTGAGTATATGCGATGTTCGTTGATCGAATGAACTTGTTGCCGCAAGTAATAAATGTTGATTCGACGAATTCGCTGATGATTTATATTCCACACTCGCCAATATTGACATTAATGTCAATGTAATCAGTATGATATCTGGATAACAATCGAGAATTTCCGTCGAATAGTAATTAATCGATTCGAGACATTGATCGATTTGTGTATGTGCAAATGGTAATAAGGAAAGTTTTTGAATAATCTCATAAGCACGTTCAAATTGTTGAGATTTGAAGAATTCGACGTAGACATAGATATCCAGGAGAGTGTATAGAGTGTTTGTTGTCCGATCAAATTCATTTTGTGTAGATGATAAACGAGAAGCGAATGAACGTGCACTGGAGAGAATATTGCCTTCGGCAAGGGTATTCGAGGTAATCAGGGCCCGAATTGCTTCCGAAAGAAGACGATTGTAGATTGAACATGCTTGCCGTGTTTTCTAAAATGTATCTTTTGACAACAGCTTTGAAGATTTGCGTGAATTACCTTAGCACGATCATAGAGAATAGCTGCTAGTTCTAAATTACCATGTTTTTCAAGATAAAGACCAACATTTGCAGTAACAACACTGGTATCGATATCAAGATGATCAAGAATGCGAGCCTAATGTGGAAGATAGATATGAATAGCAAGTTAAAGAAATTCTGAGCTTACTTCAGTTGGGACACCTTGTCTATTCATGCCAAATAATCTTTCTAGTAGATTATCAAGGTCATTTTCATCTAATTTTAATAGTAAAACAGCTAATGATTCAATAAAACAATTTTCTCCATCTTTTTGTCGAATCTGTTTGAGTAAATAGAAATAATTGACTATTTGCCAGAGCTCCGTATCATATCGACATTTTTCCGTGTAACTTGTCAGCAAACGTTGATAATTTATCGATTTTAATGGATCTTCTACTGTTGATGTTGTTATTACTAAAACATGAACGTGTAATTCGTGTAGATTTCTCGAGTAAACCTACACATTGGACTATTTGATTTCGATGCCGTGGAAAGTAATCGACTTTCATGAAGAAATATGCCGATGTGAACAGCGTGACAACGAAATTGTTCGATTTGGTTCAACAGATCGATTGCTGTCTCGAATTGACCAGTCAGAAGCAAACACATAGCGAATTGTATTGGTTTCTCATTGAATGAACTTCGATTTGCACCTAATCACAAAGATTTTCCTCTTAAAAACATTTGCCTCAATCTTTTCTTACTTCCTTCATTGTAAACAAGTTTTTGTAGTTTGTTAAGTGACATTAAATCTTGATTGGGAAAGACTATTTGCGATAGACGAAGCCAGAGAAGATCATCGATCGAATTGATTATTAATTCATGCATGTTATTAACATCGTATGCCGAGAGAATGGATAGCACAACGCTAAAGCCCATGATAATGAATAGGGAAAACGATATAAAGATATGACTCACCTTTTAAATGGATTTGTCGAATGTTCGCGATCGTAAACATCCTGAATTTTCAAACGAATCGTTGGATCGATTGATTGGTTATCATTTTTTATGTAATTTGTTAGCCATTCGACTGCACTTGTTAAACTACAGGAGAAGATGATGATTTGCATGTTTAGAGGATTCGTATGCACTTACTGGCATCGTTTTGCTGCATTCAGTGCTGATTGTAGGTCACCGGCGCGTAAACAATAGAAAATGATTGCCCAGACTGGCAAATCATCGATATTTCCATCCTATTCGAAGACAAATTAGAATCAATCTGACGAATTTCGTAGCCAAACTTACATCATCGATAATATGAACGATATTTGGATGTTTCTGTCGAATGTAACGAATAATTAATTTGTATACTGAACCTGGTTTATGAAGATCATCATCTGACACAAGATTTATGAAAAGTTTAGATAATTGAACACGAAACCTAGATGAAATCCAACGAGCATATCTCGTATGACTAATTCTCAGCGAACTACTTACGAATATTCTAGATAACTTCGAGCAGCTATGACAATTGCCTGTTGAGATGGTAATGCTGTTCGCGTTAGCACATAATCACTTGGTAATTGGCTCATATAACGAACCACATCCCATAGATCAATAGCTGCCTGAAACAAAACCTTGTTTTCCTCGCAGATCTTCATTGAAAACTTTTACCTGAGGTTGATTAGACGATTGAACAACATTAATAAACTCATCGATTAGATTTTGACGCGCTATTTTACCGACATTGTATAATGCAATCTAGTTTCACAAAAAATCAAACTCATCTTTGCTTAGAAAAATTTCTTTCTACTTACGACTTTGGCATATGCAGCCTCGACGCTCGATAATCCTCTTGACAATGTTCTGGGCGTTTCAAATCGTTTAATCTAATCAATACGAAAACCATTCACCTGAATGCTTTCATTCTATAGGAGGTATTTTACCTGCATAGCATTGGCTTCATCTAGATAACTTTGATCATGTTTTGATACGCTTGATAGAATGAATTGCCGTTGCTTTTGCCAATTATTTTCCAAGACATAGTTACTATGACGAGTGATTTCATCATAGGTTTTATCTTCGATCATTCTCAGCATCGATAGGAGAGTTTTCTCTCGTTCATGTTTGAGATTATCATTCAGATTCGTCGTAACTCTTCCATCAAACTGTGAATTGATTGTATCGTCTCGTAGTTTCGGTACGGTGGTCTGTAAAGTTTTATCGATTTGTTCAAATTGATCTTGGATTCGTTGAACATTGATTCCAGTTGAAGTATTCAAAAACGGTAATGTACTTAATTGATCGATATTGTTGATTAATTCCCGTTTGGTTTTCAAGGATGAACGTTGTCCTTCATCGACTAATTGATTCAAATTGCGATGTAATGAAAGTTGATTTGTAATTGGTGTCGATGCAACTGGTGGATTTTGTGTGACTGTGGTATTAACTGTTTGATTTAAAGGTGTTTGATAAGTTGTATTGGACAAATTGGATGTCGATGGTGAACGTCCAATTCCTAAAAGCCAATTGAATGGACTTGTCATTGTAGATGAAAAGAAAAGTTTGTAGATGAAAATTTACCACTACAACTTATGAAATGACAAAGAAGTGCAGATATCCAATCATGTTAAAACATGGTTCCCTCTATAGTCATTTTGAAATCCATTGGTTATTCTATGGAAGCACGGGGTATATGTATGAGCAGCGAAAGAGAAAAGAAAGAAAGAAAAGGTAGGTGATTATGATCAAAACATTTAGGTGATATTTTGCAACACGTGAATGTCATATGAGGATTTATCTGCGACATTTATAAATTGATATATTAAGGATGCGTTTGTTTCATTGTAGACGTTGACAAAAAAAAAGATGTATGCAGCAAATGATGATGAAGATTGGGTTTATCTACATCAAACTCCGCCCGTTCATACGGTAAGATCCTATTCATAGATGTTTTTATTCGTATTGAACGCTTTTCTGAACAGATCTCTCGAGGACGAGTAAATCTCACGGAGCGTAGACGTGCAAATTCGTCATCGAGTAGTAGTATTACGAGTTGTTCATCTCAATCGAATCGAAGTGTTTCATTATCGTCAATCTGTTCAACCGAGTAAGTCATGCGTCTTATCGAGCATGATGTATACACAATGAATTTTAGACTTGAACAAGCACAAAATGACGATCATACAATCAATAATAATGTATTGCCAACATCTATTAACAATCAGTTGGATCATTCAGCGCTTGAACAGGAAAATTCTCTGTTAGAATCAACGAATATTGAAGAGACAGTATTATTTCTTCGTCATGAACAAGCTACGCAAACTAGTTCTGATACGGTAGAAGTTCAAACTCAATCAAGGTACGAACAAAAACGTCGTTATAAATAAAAAGTCATCCGATGCGTTTGATTTTAGTCAAACCTTGCCATTCACACACAGTATTGTTTATAACAGTAAACCACAACGACGGTGTTCGACTGGTGTGCTTACTCAACGAACAGATTTTCGTCGAGCTAACCCGCCGCGTCGATCATCGCAACGTTTCGATTCCAATGACACATTCATATCTTGTACGTGTATTATGGTTCTTTTGATATTCTCATTTATTCTCGGACAAATCGTTGCTCAATGGGGTACATTTCTTTTGTATTCGTTCATTCACATACATTTGTTCTTTTCTTCTAACAGATCAGTCGACGATGAAGCGAATTTCGAAGGAACTCGACAGAACTAATCAACGTTTAAACGAAGTTCAAGATATTCCAATTGAAAACATCGAAGAAAAACTGACTAAACAAGTAAGATATTACGTCGCTGAAAAATTCTATTACATTTCATTGTTACATAGTTGGAAGACAAACTCCAGAATTTAGTCAATCAACAATTAGCTTGGCATGATTATGAGAGAAATACTTTTGTTAGACAAATACGTGAACTTCGACAAGTTCTCAATATGACCCAACAGAACTTAACCAATAAAATTTATCGAGTAATTATTGCGAAGAGAATTCTCTCACCTAAGTGTTTATTGCTTTAGCTGACGAAAGAAAATGATCGATTACAAGAACGAATTAAATCATTAGAACATCGAACAGAGAAAAAACATCCGCAAGTACTCGTGAAAGACAATACTAAAGTAAGTCATACGACAGATTTCTTTTCGAAGCTCTCGATTGCCTTGATTTAGTGTGGTAATACATCAGGCTCAACGTTAGATAGATTCGTATCAAATGTATTCAAACAGACAATATCTATCGCGACAAACACGTCCATGAATTTCTCAGGTTTTTTTGAGCATTTAAGTGCGTCGGTTACTAATTTAGTCGATTCGCGGTATGAATACATGAATATAAGTAAAGAAGTACTGGGACGTGCGTCAACAGCTGAAAAAGTTCAAATATCGCTTCGTCAGAGCGTCGAAAGTCTTTCGTCATCGTTTCGCAAAGCCAGATCGACTTATTCTTCATGGCGTAAATTACACGTCCAGCATCGAGAGCCTTATCCATGGGGATGGCCGTGCCGATACGATGAACACCGTTGTTATTCGAAATTCGAATCTTCGATGAATAAAATCCGTTCGATGAAGAACTGGATGATCAAAATGTTCCGAGCATAATCTGTGACGCATTCTCATTTGTAACGAAAACAAAACGCGACAAACATAAGTAATTGATTTTTGTGTATATATAAGTTAACTCATTTTGACATTCCCATTTTTTTTAATCTTTTCTCATTTTCTATGTATGAATTTTGTACAATTTTTCTTAAATTATATTGTAACTTCTAGATAAAGATAAATAAGACCAATTCCTCTTATCAAATATTGAATCATTTGCATATGATATGAATTGACGTGTGAAGAGTACTTGAGCGAAGTGTAGTTCAACAAACGGATAATCTTTTTTTTTCTAGATTACAGTCTGTAGAGAATGAATGACGATGCATTGAAGTATGCCGAACGTCTCGTGCCACGTTCGTACATTGATCTCGCTCGACAAGCGCGTCGTTCGTATGAACAACAGATTCGACTGATAGTTGAACACCGAAAACTACCTGAGCAATCATTGGACGAAAATATCATTGAGCAATGGTTAGATGAAATAGCGCAGATGGATTCGAATAATTTTCAAGGAAATATCGGTGTAGGAGAACGAGAAGGTAATTGATTAGTGAATCATCTATCGGTCAGAAAGAATTGCGATTGTAGGTCGAATCTATTCGTCACTTGTCGCTCGTCGTCATGCTCTACTTTCGCATGGTATTGGACGGTCCGGTGATATCAATGCGGTTCAACCTAAAGCAGCCGGTTCGTCACTATTGAATAAACTGACCAATGAGCTCGTTCTCGATGCTATTCATATTCTTGGTCTACGAACAGTGACACATGCACTAGTCATTCCAATGGCGACCGGTAGGAGTTTGGTGAGTTCGTCCGTATCTCACATATCTGTCTGGATTTTTTTCTTTTCGTTAGGTATGACCATGACGTTGTGTTTTCTCGTGCTGAAAAAGCAACGGCCCAACTCTCGTTATGTGCTCTGGTCACGTATTGATCAAAAGAGTTGCTTTAAATCGATCTTAACAGCAAATCTGGAACCAATCGTCATTGAACAGACAGAAACTGACTGTTATCTCCAAACAAACGTTTCCGAATTTGAAAAACAGATTCAACAATTGAATCCGGAAGAGATCTGCTGTATCGTATCAACAACAAGCTGTTTTGCACCACGTGCTATCGACAATATTCAACGTCTCAGTCAACTATGTCTCACTCATTCCATCCCACATGTCGTCAATAATGCCTACGGTTTGCAATCAACGAAGATTGTCCATGAAATTGAACAGAGTAAACGCTCAAATGGTCGAATTGATTATATTGTTCAAAGTACGGATAAGAATTTCCTTGTCCCTGTCGGTGGTTCAATTGTGCTAACATATGATTCTCAATCATTCGATCGACTTTCTCATGCTTATCCTGGTCGAGCTTCGATTACACCAACGATGGATATGTTTATTACACTCTTATCCATGGGGAAAAACGGTTTACTTGAGTTGGTTCAGAAGCGCAAAGTTTTATTTACACTTTTCTTTGATAAACTCTCGCAATGGGCACTAGAAAATAACGAAAGTATACTTTCATCAAAGCAATTCAGTCCGATATCAATTGCGATATCATTAAAACATCTACCAAATGAGCGTTTGACTGAACTCGGTTCGAAATTATTCACACGACGAATATCCGGTGCTCGAGTGGTGAAATTAGGTACAAAACAGAAGATTGAATCGTATGAATTCACCAACTACGGTGCGCACTCATCGAGTGTTCAATATTCGTATTTAACAGTGGCGGCAGCAATTGGTATTGAAGAAAGTGATATCGACATATTTATGAAGAAGTTTAACGATGTTTATCAAAAACTACGACGCAACGAAACACTTGATGATTGAGAAGATTTTATTTCGTTTTTATGTTTTAGTTAATCATGAGATCGATCATAAATAGTCTAAAACAATCGTAAAAGACTGTGAGATTTATGAAAAGAAAATAAAACGAGAAATCTGAAGTGAATTGTAAAATAATGGGATTAAAAGTCATCGAGAATTGTACATAGAGATTTGATGATTAATTCGTTTCATTTCGCTGCAGCAAGTTTCTTGTTTTATTTTTCAAAAGTACGTTGGGAATACATAAAAATTCTTTTGAAAAGAAGTTCGAAAAAGATAAGATTTGAGTTTATGATGATTCTTTGATTTTGTTTAAAATCCATGAACTGAAGTAACGAACATCAGCATAGATGTCTGGACTTGGTTTTGAAAATGAGCAATCTACTGTGCCCGACATAATACCTACTTGCTCAAGGTATTTTTGTCCACTAGCAGTAGTACGTTCACGAACAAGTGGACCACCACTGTCACCGAAGCCTATTTTTCAAGAGTTCGAACGAGATTGTGATGTGAATGATTAGAAGTGATCTACTTACAGACTCCCTTGTTTGGTGCATAGGCACACAATTTTGATTTGTCTTGAATAAAGAAGAGAGTGTAGGTCAATCGTCGGCAGTCAGAATTTTGAGCATCAACACATTGAAGACCGACTTGATTGAGTTCGGTTGGTCGTGATGGACCGGTAATGTTTTTGTTGCTAGTAAACGCACCCCAGCCACTTGCTATGTATCAAATGTATGAAAATGAGTAAGCAAAAAAGAGAAAAGGATCTATTTCCTTACCGACAACAGGAGTACCAACTGCGCAAGCAGGTGCTGATGAAGGTGGTAAACAAATGAGACCGGTTTTGACATTATCAATGACGACTGGTGTTTGTAAACGAATGATGGCAATATCATTTGCAAGTGATTGACTGTTGTAGGATTCGTGTCGGAAGTACTCTCGTGCTGGAATACCGGCTGATGGTGTCAGAAGAGACGATGTAAATTCGTGAATACCAGGATAGACACGAATGTCTTTCGCTTCGTTTCCGGCAACACAGTGAGCAGCTGTAAGAGCATGTGTTGGTTTGATAAGACTGGCACCACAATAGTACTTAGCCGTTCCATTTGGAAAGAATCCAACTAACAGGAGCTGATATGGTCGAGAGTGTGGAATAGCTGTTTCACCGTTGACGATACGCGAAGGAGGCTTCGGCGCAATTGATGAAACACCACAAACACCGGGTTCAGGAAGATCTTGAGTATTTCCCAGTGTCATAACAATGGCTAAAGCTATTGCTATGAAAATAGTTTTCATGATTGATGTATTGTCGAGGCAAACGAGGAAAGTATCAGAAGACTGTGCGTTTGCTTCTCAGTTGCTCCGATATTACTGCTAGTTTGATGAAATGTAACTTCCTTTTATACCTTCAACTTTGGCAACATTGCAAAGAACATCATAAAAAATACCTTATTTTGATGAGATTATTGCTTCGGAAGATAACAGTGGATTAGTCAACAAATGCATTATAAAAAAATACTTGTATCATTTGATGATGATAGATTATAAAAAGTTTACGAGATTCTAGAAGAATTTGGCTATTTTATAGCTATATTTTTGCTGGAAAAAAAGCTCGCTTATCTCATCCAAATTTTGACCCTTATCACGAGTAATACTCTTCGATCCGTAATGACCCTGCTGTAAGACAAGAACGGTTATCGAAAAATTTATGCTTTAATTTTATGAAAGGAACAAGCTGTTAAAGGTATATGAGTTCATTCTTCTCACTACTATTGCGGAGTTAATTGTACAAGATCTCTTTGTACTCAAAATCCATAGATAACAAAGTTTTTATTATACATTTCATTGTATCAGCAAAGAGTGAACTGCATTCATCATGGTAACACAAAGACAAGAGACTTTCGAAACTTGGACGATTCCTGATCGAAAATATCAGCCAATGATGCAATGTTTCCTGTAGAAGAGATTTTTCAACATGGTGAACTAAATGATGGAAACAAGACGATCGTTTTACGTTTATTTGTTCTGCAAAAAAATATTTATTTCGTTTTTGAATTTATCACAAAATACCGTTTGCATTGGAAAATATAACCGAAATCTGACTACAGAACAAAATTATTCAAAAAAAAATACAAGAGAAAGAGCTGCTTAAAATCAAATAGATATCACGTCTATGTTTATATCTTTGGTCAACAACATCAGGTTACAACAACGGTTGGATTTGTGTAATGTGTTTTCGGTCAAATGGACAATCCGATAGTAAACTTGGACGTTTAATAACAGATGCGCATTGACTACATAATATACATTGACAAGGTAACAATTGTGTATCGGCTAGATTTTCGCAACAAATCACACATAATGTTCGAGCAGTCGATTGTCTACCGAAGTTCAGTTTACTCAGTGTACTGAAATTGTATAAGTAGAGTGAAGTTATTTGGCCGTAGAGATCGAAGAATGGATAGAATGTCATGTTGAGCATGTTTGATGGTATAATGGGAACTTTGAGTGTTATTGGTGGACGATTATCAATCGAAAGATAGATATGACCATCCGATTCAAACCAGAATGCTAATTCGTCGTATAAGGATATGTTTGCTTCGATATCATGGTCAATGAACCATCGTGATGAGGAATATAGATCTACAAGTGTGTTGGTCTCTTCGGGTAAACTTTGATTTTGCAATGTCGATGGATTTTGTGTTGTTAGACCAAATAGAAGTATCGAGGAGATATTAGCATCACAATCCATGACTTTACAGATGAGAACATCACCGACTTTCATTGAACTATCGAGAAAAGTATAGCTTGATTTCATACGAAGATTATTCACATATGCGATTCGATGTTTAGTGTCAAATACAACATTGTGTTTAGTAGTCGAGAGAAACGTCGCTGTGTGAGGCGGATTTGACGGAAATAAATAATTGAAATATTGCAGATGAGACAGATTCGTATTGTTTGCTAGCTTAGCATTCACTGAATCCATAACATTACCATGAATCGAAAGAGAAACTCCTTCATTAACTAAACTTTGATCCGGCAATGTGGATTCATCGACAATTTCAATTTGATCCGTTTTACCATAAACTTCACAGAACAGATAATATGGACCTGAATGTTCATTGATAGTTAGCACCGCTTGAGCGGGTGTTGTTTGACCATAACCCCCAACGTAGATTTGACCATCTAGAACAAAATCACTCTTATACAAACTATTCCCGGGAATACATTACGCGACTTTACCAAATGAATAATATACATAAATAATCGGCGACGTTCGAAGAAGCTCATCCGAGCATGCACGTAGCCAATATCCCGCTTTGTCTAAACAAACAATTGATATCAGATCACCACTCTTCATTCGTTGAAACAAACCTGTTAAATGTTTGAATGCTAAGCTGGGTAAAGTATCCTGTGTGAATTGTGTTTGAGGTTCATGCATACAGAATCCAACTCGAAGGCTACCGATCCAGTCGACTTGTTTTTGTCGATGTTTCAAAAACACTTTTTCGTAGGTACGTATGGTTCGAGAACTAAAGACAATTGCATCACCGAAACCTGATGTTCGGGTTGCTTGCCGATTGTTATTCGAGAGAATGATTCCTTTTCCGTGAAGATTATTGAATGTCAAGGCTGCTGGTTTGCCTATAACACGACGGGCTGGTTTCGGCATCTTTCAAAACAACTTTTGTGATAGGATCGAAGAAAAACAAGTTGTATTTATTTTTTTTTCTTCCTTATTTCGTATCATATGTTGTACAGCGCCCTCAATATTCAAATTAGATTCTCATTGGTGAATAGCAAGTCTCCACTCCTCTAGTGAGATGTGCCTCTTTCTTTTTTCTCTCGATTTTTTCTTCTTCGTTTCTTTATACACATTTGTCTTACCCTTTCTGTCGTTTATGTACGGTTTCTTTTTGTTCAATATGGTAATATATCTGATTTTTTCATTCGATTTACTTCCTTTCGAGTTAAATATCTTATGTGTGATAAATCTGTTAAGTTTAGAATAGAAGAAAAAGAGCGAAGAAACATCGAGGCAAGCTATTTGAGAAGAGAAAAAAGCCAAGTAAATGTCAGTTAATGACGTAAGTAAAGATTTTGTCTCCTCTCTCGTATTTGTTTCTAGATAGTAGAAATCTGCTTCTCATTTACTGCTATTCATGCTCTTGTTGTTTAGCGTTTCCTTTTTATTCACTCGTTGTTTTCTCAGAAAGACAAGTCGGTCAATCGATTACGTCGAAAGATTGACGAACGTAATCGCATGTCCGATAAATAAGCGACGTCTTGATGACCTCTCTTCTTCATTCTTTTCCTTCTTTCTCTCTTTGGTCACTCTCCTTACAATCTATTTCCTCATTCTGCCGCCTACATAGTCAGACAAGCATACATCTATACATATACACAAATATATACTGGAAGATCGTGACGATTGAGCAGCTACGATAGCAAACGTTCTTTTCCTCACTCACTCAACCACTCGTTGTCTATGACCGACCGAGGAAAAGAATTTTCTAGGGATAAGAATTATCATTACACTCATTCGGTTGAATAGATAAACCGATGAAAGAAAGCAGACATTAGATGTTAGACTTTCATCCAATGTAATTTAACCAGATAGATGATTATCAAAATATTTTTGTCATAATTGTCTAACCATTGAATACGCTGTATTCTTTCTCTTTTAATTGAAATTAAATACGTACAAAGAAGAGCGTCGGTTGACGACGATGGTCTTGATTACGCTAATAGCTTTGCATGTGTCGATTCTTCTCACGTTCACATTCACTTCGTCATTCTCTCGTGTCTGTTAATTTCTCCACGGGCATCATCATAAGCATTCTTTTTTGTTTCGTTGTTCATATTTGAAAGAATTACGCGAAGCTTTCTTCTCGTTAGCTTTTCTCCTACGTGTACAGTATGTTCTATCATCGATTGTTTATTCCTCTGTAGATATTTACACACAAATAAAATATCAATTCGTCGATGAAACATGCGACGCTGTGTGTGTGCATGTATGTCTCTTCGTTGATATGACTGTTTTCATTAAGGTGTTATTTATTAAACATTGATTGAAAACGCAAAAGAAAAAAGAAATAGCAAACATGAGTGAAAGGTATGTGATTCGATTTGTAAAAAGGAAAGAAACTTCATGTCAATTTTCTCGTCTTCTATTAGAATCGAATGGGTTCAAATTATCGAACCGAAATCCAAGGACGTCATGTATGCCAATCTCGTTACTGGCGAGTGTGTTTGGGAAGCACCAGCTGGTGCACGAATGTAAGTATTTTCCTATTGAAGACTTTTTATCATCAATTTCAATCGTAAAAGATCAATTTAGTCTCGATTTTGAAAATATCGACGACAGCAGACACTGCGTATTTTACCTTTTGTTTCTTTCACTAACAAACGCGAACGAACGAATGAGAAAAGGTCAAGTCAATACATTGTACGAGAAGAAGAAGAAGAAGAAGAAACGACAAGTATAGGCATACATCTATACGAACAAATGTACCTATAGACACAATAAGAACGAAGAAATGTCATTATATCCTAGCCATAAAGCAGATGTCTATAGAGCGACAAGAATAATATTGTTTAGTTCGATGATTTAGATTTGATTTTTGCATATGTAAACGTGAAAAATTTAATCAATGGGACATGAAAAACAAAGAACGATCAGGTTCTAAGCAAAGTTCATTAATACCATCGAGTTTCCTAGCAACGAAGATATTTTAATGCACCTAAATATACACACATATATATATATATCGATGAACCACCCGAGGATCTTTTCTCCCTTTTGCATAGAATAAATAAAAACGCGTACATGCAAATACTTGAACATCACTTTCAAAAATGTTTTAGTAAACGTACAGATGAAAATCAATGGTGGGAATTGTTCGATGCGAGTACAAAACGGAATTATTATTACAATGCTAAAAATCAACGTACGGTATGGCAGCGACCGCCAGGTGCTGATATTATTCCTTTGGCTAAATTGCAGGTACGAGCAAACTAGCATGACGTAAGAGGATGATATTCATCCTCATTTTTTGTCTATTGAGACGCGAGAAATGAAGAAACATGTGTCAGATATTAATCATCATTGACTGTCTTTACAATTCTATTCTATTCTATCTTCAACAGAGATAAATGATGTAAATGGGTTTCTCTACTCGTTTCTCATCCTGACATGCTCATGGTCAACTCTGCCATAATCGTTTTTTGTCTTTCTCTTTTGACCAGATGATTAAAGAAAATACCGAACCGAAAGATGAACAAATAACATCAACAACGATTACTTCACCCGCGTCGGCAATCAATCATACAGTCCAACAACGTACAAATAATACGAATAAATGGAAGCAAATCTCCTTACAGGGTCTCGACATCTCTCCACAACAGAGTAAAATCATTTCACCATCGAAAATCTCCACTCCACCATTGAATTCAACCGCTCAACGTGTAAGTTTCAGAAAACCTCTCTCCATCTTTTCCTTTTCACACATTCCACTTTGTTTTTCAAGTCGATTCGTCGTACAGCAACTGTTGTACATCCAAACACGATGTTAACTTCTAGTGTGCCTAGTGATCCACGTCGCACAACTGCTTGTAATGATATCACATTACCAACGAATTCCAATCAAACGAATAGTTTCTTTCGTCGACGAACACAACAACAACAAACGTTTAACGGGCAATTGGATAAATCATCATCGACTTCATCATCAACTAAATCTTCGTTAATGGACGATAATTCCAATAAACTCTCTTCCGCGACGTTCTCACTATTACGACAACTTTCATCACCAACGAACAAAAGTGATAAATCGACCTATGACAATCTCAATAGCGCTACAATTAGTACTGATAGCTCAACGATATCTTCCACACATTTAGAAAGAAAATCATCGTTTCCTTTGAATAAAAAAGCCTCACGACATCTTACCAATGATTCATTGACAAGCGACGCTTATGATAATTACCCTGAGAAAAATGGTTATGATAACTATCCAATTATTCGTAAAACAGCAACACCATCGTTAATGACTAGTTCACAAAACGATACAGAAGGTAGAATGATTAATATTTCCTTTTGGAATATTATATTGTCTCATTTTTCCATAGAACGGCAATCATCCTCATCAACGATAGGCACACCACGGAGTGAGTTTAATACGAAACGCTCGCAAAGTATCAATTTAAAAACACCATTTACACTGAAACCAACACCGAGTGCAACAACAAACGAAGAAAATAAACGATCTGGTAGTGCACATCATCGAACAAACAAATCATCGATCGTAACGAGCAAAGATCCACTTTGTAATCTGAACGCGACGAGCTGTTCGCCTTTAAATGAACATGTAAGAACATTTTCTCTTTCAGAGAAGCATTCAGACCTTGAGGAGAGAGTTTATCAAAGGTCTCAATTAACCGACTGGAAAAGAATGTGAAGGATAATTAGGTTACTTAATAAATATCTGAACAATTTTCTTTCGCTCAGAGAGGAAGATGTCGAAGGATATTGAGATAAGCAGTTCAGTATTTGTGCGATATGATCGTTTCTCAAGAGAATGAAGAACATTTTCAAAGTCACAATACTAAAACAGAAAATGCCAGATTGATCATCAGGAGATTTCCTATTCATTCATTTTTTATATCTAGATTTTTAATCAAAATTCTCAACTACATCAACAATCTCCCATTCTTCGTCATATCAGTAGTCCATCCTTACAAAGTTCGACTGTACTCATTCCGCATCAACAATCTGTACATAAAAACAATAATAATCATGCGTTAGCCAATTCTTCAATGGAGTCATCGACAATCTCACCATCGGAGTCTACATTCAATCGTCTGTCCTATGGACGCAATCGTGTCCGAAAGAAACAACCACGAACCAATCCTAACTATGTCAATATCGAAATTAAAAGTAATGACGGTTCACTTCGGAGTACATACATTCGTATCCATGACACTCAAAAACCCAAAACATCAACATTGTCATCCTCGTCGTCGAGTAGTTCATCGTCTTCGTCAACAAAGAATCCATCGACAGGCCAGGATTCGATTGTTTGCAATGCGCACTTCCATTCACAACCATATTTGAATGAAGCCAATGAATACTATACGAGTAATGATACAATTCATAGTGGAGAGAAAACCACACCTACGAGAAAATCGTCTCATCGAGTGAAAACGAACGAAGAACGAAATGAAATGATCTTACAACAACAAGATGAAAACAATCCGATCGATGAAGCACAGACTTTAACAAATAAAACTGCTCTACTGATGAAACAGTTTGTTACGTGTAATGATGGTAAAATTTTAATCATTATTTTCACTTTTAATATGCAACTTTGCTCGTTTGTTTTTTCTTCAAGAATTTCTTTTCCACTCAGCAACAGATCCACTTAATCTAAATTTCAATCAAGGAAATGGTAAAAGAATCAAATAAATTGTCTTTTCTCATCTGGCATCGACCTTCTTCTAGGTAATATTGAAAATAGTGTTGTCACTAGTGGCGCCGGTGGTGGTGGTGGTACGAATTCCAATACATCAACACTCTCATCACCAACATTACCTATTTACTACGATGGTCATTCAAATTCACCTCCATTATCAAATTCAATCATCCCACATTGTATGTTTTGGCAGGAAACTGTCGGATATGATTGTTAAATTTCTTTTCTATTTTTAGCAATTAATCGAATGCACGAACCTGATTCGACAACATCGAGTTTAAATCGACCTGTTTCGATTCATTTACCTAACATCAACGATAACGCAAATCAAAACACTCAAACATCAATTTACAAACAAGTAATTGTCCTTGATGAGTGACAAGATAAGAGACACAAAAAATCTTTCTTTTTCTGTTTAGTGGCCTTCGTCTTCGCCGACGAAAGCACCAGCAGCCATTGTCGAAATCGAATCTGATATTTTATTCAACGATATGTTAAACTTCAACACCCATAAACGTGGTTTATTTGGTAAACGATTAACTCAAGATGATCTGTTGTCTTGGTCGAAAGAGCCGATCACTAAACCTCTTCTCCGTACGATGGATAAGATCTTGAAAAAAGAAGCACCAGAGATTTTCAAACTCATCCAAACCTACATGGGCGATAAGAAATCGAAACAGATTGCCTCGTTGAATACTTGTTTAGAATTGACTACTAAAGGCTGGAGTTTATCATCTATTCGCGATGAATTGTATCTTCAATTAATAAAACAGACAAGTTATAACATGAACGCCGAAAGTTTACAACGCGGATGGGAATTAATGGGTTAGTTAGATGATTATTTTACTTCTATATTCACGAGAATTTCTTTTCTTCTAGCGGTTTGTTTATCGTTCTTTCCACCGTCGAGTAAATTTCAATCTCTATTGGAAAAATACATCCTATTGCAAACTAACGGAGATGCGGATACTCCCGAAGTACCCATATCGATATATGCCAAAGTTTGTCAAAAACGTTTGGATAAAATCCTTCAAACTGGTCCCAAGAAAGGTTTGAAGAAGCCGACATTCGAAGAAATCGAACTATCTAAGGTAATTTCCTTTCCGTCTCGACATTCGGAATATAAATTATCCCTAATTTGCATTTGAGATATTTTCCTCTGTTGATTGAATTAATGAAAACAATTGAATTATTTTAGCATACAATTCATTTCCCATCGATGTTTGGCGCTACGCTCGAAGAAGTTATGGCTATGCAAAGAACAAGATTTCCTGAACGACGTTTACCATGGATTCAAACCATCTTATCTGAAGAAGTTTTACGACTGAATGGTTCGCAAACAGAAGGCATATTTCGGTAGAGTTTCTTGCTTGTCTTTTCTCATCTTGACAAACTCATTTTCAATTGAATAGTGTCCCGGGAGATTTGGATGGTGTCAATGCATTGAAAGTCAAATGTGATCAATGGCAATTACCATCTCTCGAAGATGCTCATCTACCCGCATCTCTATTAAAACTTTGGTATCGTGAATTAGCTGAACCTTTAATTCCATCGGTATTCTATGAACAATGCATACTCAACTGTGATATACCAGAAACATGCATTCGTCTTGTTAATTCTCTGCCAGATATCAATCGAGCTGTTCTCACCTATCTTGTTCGTTTTCTTCAGGTCTTTGCTGCATCGGAGAATGTTGTTATTACGAAAATGGATGTGAATAATCTATCGATGGTGTTCGCACCAAATATCCTTCGTTGTGATTCCGAAGATGCAAAAGTTATCTTTGAAAATGCTCGTAAAGAAATGCTATTTATCAAAGTTCTGATATTAAACTTAGACACAAGTTCAATCGAAGGTGTGATTTAAGATTCAATCGTTTCTAGGCAATGCGAATTCGTTTGTGTATTGAATATCTTTCTCTCTCTCTCTCTTTCTCTTTATCATATACATATAAATGCTCATGTTCATCGTTTGTTTGCTTTGTTTTCTTCTTCTTTTACATTTGTGTTTATATATTTGTCTTCAATTGACCAGTGTAGCATTTAAAGACATTTTGTCGCTAGAATCTCGCACATCTGTACATGCGCCTTGGCTTTCTCTCTCTCTCTCTCTCTCTCTCTCTCTCTCAGGAACTTGTGTGTGTTTGTAAACAGAACAGTTTTTACCAGCTTTATACAAACGAAAATAGAACGGCAAATGAAAAAACCTATTCAATCCGACGCTAGTCAGAAAATCTCAATAGTTGAATTACATCGGATTCACAAAATGTCATTTTTCATGTTAAAATAAAAATGCAGATGTTTTGATAAATAAACAAATAAATCAATGTGTTTTTTTTAAAGAACATTCTTTGTTTAATTAACCATCGATTTTGGGTATTTTACCGTGATAAATCGACTTGTTGACGGCGAGTACACAGTTCGAGATTCGATGCAGCAGAAAATTGCAGCTCTAATGAAATCTTTTCTAGATAAACGAATGTCGTCAACAGTGAGCAACTCCACGGCTGATATTCCAACTGACGGAATTCAAGTAACACAATTTTCACGTCGTATTGCAGATCAAATCATTCTGTATCAAATCATTCGCTATCCCGATCGATGTCTTTTCATTTGGATTGGAACAAGTGCGTGTGATATGTCAAATCTAGCTATGACAATGCCGATGTCGTTGTCAACCACGAATGAATTACTTGGTACTACTCTCTATGGTACCGACTTTTACGAACAATCGTTGGCTTTGAGTAAAAAGTTAGCTCGTCGTCTCGGTGGCAAAAAACAAGTTTATGTTAGTCTTAATCTCGTTAATGATGCTGATAATGAAATGTTGTTAAGTGAAGTGGAACAAGCACTTTTCGAACATGTACGACAAAACGAACAAGTTTATTAGAAAGAACAAAACTGACGAACATTCAAGTTGTTTTCTGTTCATGTTGATTCGTTGATAAATAACATGACGTTTAAAAAGCAAGTCGCTTTTTTTTTCTCTGATAATGATGAATATTCTTAATCAGATAATTTTGTGACCGGTTTAGTTAATTAATAATAAGAAAAACAAAAGACTTTAGTAGAAGGAAAAGAATTAATTCATTACGTTTTTTACTCCATGTGAATCATTGAGTAGATCTTTGTAAAAAATTTTTAATCTCCTTGCCTTTTCTCGAAGACTATGAGAAAATAATTTCCTTTTCAATGTACCAGACAATAATTATCATGTATTATAACAAAAAAAAAAAAGAATTTGACATTTCCGTCGTTTTCTTTGCCGACTAACGTCTAATACATAAATCTTCATTGCACCGAATATCTGCGACATTTTTCACACCTATTATTATTCCTCAGGGAAATTTCCAATGTTTTCTTCATCGTAACGCGAAACATCTATATCTAAGACCGATAAAAAACTTCTGTATGCCATGATTAATCTGATGTTCACGGAATTTTAATTAAGGAAAACAAGAAACATTGGTGGATAATCTTGACTTTGACAATATCTATTAGGTACAATCGACATAAGACGCAATATGATCTTCATCAGAGCAAGACATTCCTTTTCTTTCACTATCTTCTCAGTTAACATAAAAGCTTGGACATAAAATATGGGAAGTATCAACCTATCTAATCATCTGTCATTCATTTTCAGCCAACTTGTTAACCTTGAACAGAATAAACATCTGCGACTTCTAGTCGTCATCAAATAAGCGTAGACAAGACAAGATTCGCTTCGTGATTCACTTGATTGTTACAGATATTTCAATCGTCTATTGTCAAGAGTTCAATCTCTTTTCTTTTCTGACGAGATTTATCGTCTGTAAATAGTCTCGAGAAGAAAGAATAAAATCTGCATATATTCACATCATAAAGCATTATTTCCATCTGATTTCTTGGTCAAAATACGTCTGAGATGTCTCCAACGGAAATCGTATAGCTCATTTTCGAACTTGAATTCTATTCGAAAAGTGATTTATTTTCATCAGAAAACAAACATCGTCTTTAATTTGGATGAGCAGAAAAGAAACACACGACGCAGAGAAATTGATATAATAAATAACGATTAGGCATAGCATTAGCAAACAGAGAAGAGAAAAAAAAGAACTCGAATTCAAGTTGTTCTCTTTCATTAATTAGATATTCTCGAAAATGAATATCGACATCGTAATTGTTCGTTTACACAAGACGAGAAAAAGTATATGAAGCAAAATAACTCGACAGAAGATCAAATTGATACACACATCTGACAACATATACAAAAGAAAAGAGAGAACGAGCGAAGAGAAAAACAAACTATGGAATAGTGCATGAGTTCGAAATCGATCTTTTGAATTTCACTGTCCGTTCGTTCGATCTGCGTCGACAGGTCGCGAGAAAAAGAAAAGGCGTCACTGGAGCTTTTCAAGAAAAATAAGCCGTACAGGGAAAAGTCAGGAGAGAACACCAGTTCAAATATATATTTATATTTATACATTTATTTATTTATATAACGAAAGTCTCAGGTGTATTTTATAGAATTTTGAGCATCAATTTTTAATACAGGCCACAACCACGAAGATTCAATGTGATAATCACCTAATGAAAAACAAAGATTGCAGGTTTCAAGGAGACAAACACAAAGCCGAAGTGCTTACATCTGTAACAGCATCGAATACAAATTGAACATTTTGGGTATCTGTCGCACATGTATGATGACAATAAACTTCTTTCTGTGTTGATTTGTTTTTTGCCACAAATTGCGCTTGAATGTATTCAGCAGCTGGATCGTACTCATTCGGACCTGTGTAATCATGAAAACAAATTGTCAAGGGCGAACGTTTGATCTTCTCTTCGAATAAATCTTTTTTATTCAAAAATAAAATTATGCCCGTATAAACAAACCTAGAACAAAAGAAAAACAATTCGATTTTGTCGTACGACTGAATATCCACATTTACCATTTGTTGTTACAAATACTATCAAATAAACGTAAGGATTCGTGCATGCGATTCGTTGATTCATCTTCATAGAGTACTTGATCGTATTCGGAGAGTGCAACACAGAAGATAATTGCAGTTACATCTTCGAAACAATGAATCCTGAGGAAAAAAAGAAAGATGAGATGTTGATGAGAAGGAGTTCATGAACAAACCATTTCTTTCGTTCAGATCTTTGTCCACCGACGTCAAATAAACGAAAGTTGAGATTTTTAAATGAAAAGTTTATCTCCACGATTCCAGTGGTTTTAACACGCGTTCGTAGAATATCCTGTTCATTCGGAAGAAAGTCTGATGAACCAATTCGATACAATTGGTCGAGAAAGTATTGCGCAGAATCATTCAATTGATATTCATTACTTCGTAGAAAACATTGTTGAACACCTGCATCAGCCCACAGACGTTCCATCGATGATAGTAACTCACTATTGAATGGTTCCGTATCTTTCATACGCTGAATCACTTCCAGAACACGATGAGCGTCAGTTTCACGTTCTGCTGATGCGAATTGAATATTCAGCATATTCATTGCACGTATTATCGCTCCCAATGATTGAATTGTATTTGAATATACAACTGGACGATACTGCTCGAACTCTTCTTTGGTGTAGCCGTGTTGATGAATAATACGCATTTGTTTGACGATAGTTGATTTGCCTGATTCACCCGCGCCTGAGATTTTCAAAATAGAATCGTTTTTGAGACAAAAAAAAAGATGTTTACCGAGTAATAGCAGTTTGACGTCTTTCGCTGCTCGCTCAGCATCTTCTTTTATCAACCGATCGAGCGCTTTGCTATACTAAATACAAAAAGAAATCTTTTCTTAACGAATTCCTGAAATCTGTTTTGTTTTTCCCAGAGCAAAGCGTTTTTAGTATTATTAGAAAAAGAAAACGTGAGAGAATGTTATCAGTATCAAAGGCAGAATCGCATAGCTATCTTACATATTAGAATGTTCTGCAAAAAATAAAAATTCTTGATATTGATAGATGAAAGTTGCTCTGACAAACAAACATACTTCTTTTTGCCGTTTTTCATCTTGACTTGTCGCACAGCCCATGATGATATGATTCGGAATCAAATCTGCTTTTTCTTTCGAGAAATCTTAGGTTTTAATATAAATAATCATTTGCAGGTTTGTAATCAATACAAGACACAAATAATAATCAGGACGAAGAAAAGAGAAAAAGAGAAGATGATGAAGAGCAGAATCGACGACGCCATATTTTTTTCCTTCCTTATCGAGATGGAATAATAATGATTCAATATACAACTAGTGACAATGAATAAATGAGTTGAATAAATGCATTAGTATAGAAGGGAATCTATCTGGAATTCATTTCAAAAACAAATTCTCAAATCGACTTGAAATTTCTTCATCGGTTATTCGTAGTTTGTCTAACCAATTGACTTCGTTTCGAAAAAGATCAAATGACGATCGAAAATCTTCTCTTAGCTATGGTCAATGAACGTCGAAAGACTAAAACTGACGAAGGTAATTCGTCGATAAACAAGACCATTGCTCTAATTTCCCCCTTCGTGTTTTCCAGATGATGATTATGTACATATTCAACAATTGGACTCTCAATGGCCAAGATTATTTCAATTATACTTTCTATCACCAACGACTCGTCTCTCGCAAACAACAACTAACACAACAAGTGATGATGATCTGGTTTTCTATGTTACACGTCAAGTAGACAATGATTTTCACCATCCATTAGTAAATATTCGTTGACAGATTGCTCTTAATTCTCGAGTTTTTTTTCTTCTCTTCAGCATCTGGTGGAAGTGTTTCGTCATCATGATACTAAACGACAACCGAGATTAGTAAGAGATTCATATTTGTCTTCTCGTTCTCAATGCTGATTTTCATAGGGTACACCGGAATACGATTGGGAAGAAACAACGAATCTGAATCTTGTTCTTCATCAATTCGAATATACGGTCACAACAGCGGTTTGCACAAAAACAAGTAATAAACATCTTCAAATTCTCAAACGGTTATCAACCGTAAGAAACTCGACGTTGATTTCTAAATAGAACAGTCTGTATTTGCGTTCTGATTTCGTGTAGAAAGTTTATGCGAGTCCGTCACGTCGTGATATGGAAAGCAAAGGAACGGAAGAGAAAATGACTTATCCAAATATTTATTTTACAGTCGACAATTTTGAAGATGTAATACAAAGAATTAATCGAGATTGAACAATCAAATTTGCCTGTTTTTCTTCTCTAGACATTTTGTGAGATGGTTGTGAACGAAGGTCAGATGGTGTGCGTGGAACTAGTTGCAAAAAATTCGCGTTTAAACGAACCACGAGTCCTGTTTCTTGGCTCGATCAAATACGAAGCTTTGAAGAAAGTTTACGAAACTCGAGTATAAACTCAAATGTCTTAATCTTTCAATCAATTTTTGCTATTTTCCAGGCGACAACAAGTACTCGAGTCGCTCAGCGTATGTCATTAGGAATGTACACAAAGCGCCGTGTGGAATTCGTTCGAATGCGTGGTCCAAATGTAAGTCGCTCAACGTTTGTTTTTCCGTGATGAAAAACAGTCAATCATCGTTCGTAATTGACAATGAATAGAAAGAAAATAAGACCTCTCGATTATGTCTGTTATTATAGATTTGTTAATCATTCACACAAAAACGCTTTTTCTCTACCGGGACAACTAATATCTTGCGTACTTAGCTGAATGAGACGACGGAACAATAGCTATATTAAAATGGAATTTGACGGATTAACTAATAAATATGATGACTAGTGCAGAATTATTCAAGGAAAATAATCAGCAAAGTCGTTGTAGAGACGTGTGAAAAGCAGTCAAATAGGAAATAGATGAGTTTTTCTAATCGAGGATCGGAATATGAGTTAGAAGAAGGTTATACGGTCTATTTGCGATATTTCAGGGTAAAGGTCACGCAGAAATGGCAGTAAGTCGCTGTCGAATGATTCAATCTGGTATTACAACTCCGGAATCGATTCCAACGACACCCATGTCAAGTAGTTTTGATGAAGAAAGTGTATGTCAAATCATGTTATCATCAAATGAATTTCTCCTGACAAATTGTTTTTCTTGATATTGTGTAGTGGAATAAACGTCGAGCTCTTGATAGCATCTCCATCGGCAGATGGATCCCACCTACATCTCGACAGCAACAAGTCGTCTCGAACATCACCACACCTGAGGTGGAATCGACTGATATTCAGCAAGGTATTTGTCATTGGTTTTTTAAAGTCAAAAAAAAGTAATCCGAACATATCTTGTAGAACTAGCTGATGATACAAGTGGCTTTTTCGGTCGTACGCTTAGTCAAGCAATGAGTTGGATGCGTGGTTCGAGTTCTCGTTTGAATCAACCTATGCAAACTTTACCATTGCAAACATGTCTCACTTATTTAACATTACCATGTCAATTTATTGTGAAAGATATACTCGAATCAAATCAAATTCCCATTCTTACATTCTAATACCTAATTTAATCATAATGAGAACATTTGTTCGAAATGTGAACACAGGATATTCTCTCATTTAGTCATATGTTTCTGATCGTTTTTCTCTCTGTCGTCTTAATGTTAGATATTTGTGCAATATTTCTCTCTTGTTTTTAATTTATTAAAAATTCAAACAGTGATTCTATTTCTTTCTTATTTGTCGACATTTCATGTTCTTTGTTTTTCTTAATCTTGACATCTTAGACGCATATGTTGCTGTTGAAATTTGTTCATCATCCATTAAAAACCTTCGTTCATCCGCGACTCTTTATTTGTCGTCATCAATCACAAAAGCTCGTTGATTTGATAAATAAAAAGACACCTGTCGAACTTGAAACGAATGATGAATTAGAAAATCATCCATGTGAAAACACCATCGAATGGAATAAAAAGCTAAAAGCATATCGCATGCGTGGCGAAGGTAACAAAGCATTAAAATTCTTTGAAATTGGCCTACGAAAATATGCTTTTCAACCTGATTACATTACGTACATTAGCATGCTCGAATTATGCAAAGAAATCAAAGATCTTGACAACGGAAGATTTATCCATCGACGGATCTGGAATTCATCTGTCCGAGAAAATAGTCGAATACAAACTCTTCTCATGGTATGGACAATCGATTTGATTTTCCACTCGAAAATTTCTTGATGAATTATGTTTAGGAGCTGTATATGAAATGCGGAGATATGGACAGTGCACGAGAAATGTTTGATTCATTGAAACATCGAACAGTTGTTGAATACAACACATTGATGACGTAAGTTTTTCTTTTCAATCATCAATGTAAATTGGTTTGCCGTCTTTCAAATTAGAGCTTACAATAATAATCAACTTCCTGATCAAGTAATTCATTTGTTCCATACAATGTCGGAGAAGGATAAAGTCAAACCGAATAGCACATCGTATATGATATACATTCAAGCCTGCATTAAGCTAAAAGCTTTTGACAAAGGCAAAGCGATACACGAAGAACTCATGGAAAAGTCATCAGTGTATACAAAGAATAAGGTAAATTTTCTATCAGGCAACACAGCAGGATGACAATTTGTATCGACATAGGAATTGATGAATCAAATTGTGACACTGTATACAGCAGCAGGTGATTATTCGACAGCCGAAGAATACTTCAGAAAAATAAAAGAACCAACGGTGCCGAATTACGTAGCATTGATGAATTATTACAATCAATCGGAGAAATATGAAGAAACATGGAAATTATACGAGCAAATGAAAGCACAACGGAAAATTCAACCGGATGTACCAACATATCTAGCCGTTCTATCAGCTGTTAAACAATTGAAGGATTCTGCGAAGGCTAAACAGATACAAGAAGATATTACCAAGCAAAATCTCTGGCAAAACCATGCGGAGATAGAAAAACTATTTGCAGAAATTGTGAAAACATCAAATGAATAGTCAGTTTTTGTTTTAGGACAAATCTAAAAACAAAACTCAGTTTCGTTCAATGAAAAAATCGATTTATCTTCATTTTTTCTAGATTATGACTTCTACACAAGTCGACAATGATCAACAGTATTTTCAGTCATACGATCAGTTCGAAATTCATGAATTGATGTTACGCGACCGACCACGTGTGTCAGCATATTACGATGCAATGATGAATAACAAGCATTTGTTCGAAAACAAAGTACTTTCTCTTTGAGAAAACGTTCTTAGTCGAACTGTTTTCTGCTTTTGATTAGGTTGTGCTGGATGTAGGATCAGGAACAGGAATATTGAGTATGTTTGCTGCTAAAGCTGGTGCTAAATTCGTCTATGCTGTTGACGCTTGTTCGAAAATCTGTCAGTTGGCTGAAAAGTTAATTCAATGCAACGGTTTACAAGATCGCGTCAAAGTATTGAACAAACGAGTAGAAGAAATCGAGAAATTTGAGCACAATATTGATATCATCATCAGCGAATGGATGGGTAAGTATTGAACAGATCTCGAATGAAATTAATTCTTCACGTTTAGGTTTTTATCTTTTCCATGAAAGTATGCTGGAATCGGTGATCTATGCTCGTGATCATTTTCTTCAGAAATTATCCTCGAATGAAGACAATACCCCCGAACCCATTGAATCCATCATGATGTTCCCATCCCATGCTTATTTAGTTAGTTGAACATATTTTCAGTACTAATGCTCTCAAGTAATATCTTTCGTTTACAGTACTGTGCTCCATTTGTCGATCAACATATTCGCATTGAATCCAATACGATGTGGAATGATTATTTTGGTTTGAATATGTCACCTTTGGTATCTCATATAAAAAATTCTGATCTAAGTGAATGTGTGATCGATACCATTGAACCATCTCAACTTGTTCATGATGCACAATTAATTCAATCGATCGATCTTCGCACCGTTCGTATCGATGACCTTCGATCCATGCGTTCATTTTGTGAATTTGAAATCGATAACACATGTATTATCTCAGGTTTTTGTTTCTGGTTCGATTGCTATTTTTCCTCAACGAACAATTCGTCCATTTTACGATCAGTACGTTTGACTACTAGTCCACACGCATCGAAGACCCATTGGAAACAGACGTTAGTCTTCCTTCCAGAAGATATCTATCCCTTAAAAGGTGATATCGTACCAGTGAACATCAAATTGAAACAATCAGCAGAGAACCGACGGCATTACAACCTAACGATTGCATTGAAGAAGATCAAAGAAGGTGCAAGTGCAGCCACAGGTGATGATGAGAATTTTCTGACAGTGAAAAAACGACAACGAAGACGATCGTCGACGATATCATCCGATAAACACGCCATGGATACATCGAGTGATAGTTCAAGCAGCGAGAATGACGATGATGATGGAGATGATAATGATTCGCAATCGGATGAACATCCGATTCCATGTTCATGTGATCGTCCCAAATGCAAACTAATTCGTACGATTATGGAAAAATACGATGAAGAAAATATGTTAGAATAAAATTCCGTTTTGTTTTCATTTCTTGTCAAGCACAAAGAAAAGAACAGTGTTCACATAGGAAAAAAAACTTTTTTTGTTTTTTTTTTTCAAGATAATATGGACAATCAGTCCAAACGAATACGTCATACTAAAGGGTCGAAACAAGTGCGTAAACAACGACCGAATCCTCTCCGACCGATCATTTCCGGCGAAGTCGCTTCCCAATTTTTCCGTCATGCTGATTCGCTAGCAACTCGCTCCTCGGGCAGTGGTGATCTCGACCGCTTGAATGATATTATCGATGACATCACATCCGAAGGCGATGATACACGAGCGGCTTCATCGTCGAAATATTCTGGCAAGTCAACATCAAACGTTGTCGAACCACCTTCACCTCCTGTCAATGATAATCATTCATCGTTGTTCACGTTACCACAATTGAATGATTATTCAACTCGGACTCCTCGTTCGAAAAAAGCCATGTTTAAAGATGCGAAATTGAAGAAATTCGGCGAGAAAAACCATTATTCTCCCAGTCGCGCGAATGACAGTGATGATAGAATAGATACAAGTACTCGCCGCAAATCCATCGGCGACGTCCGCCGTCAGCAATTAACTGAATTCATGGAATATTATCGACATTGCTTGGAATCAGCACAAAATTCGAACGCACCCGGCATGCGTGATGATCCAACAAATAACGATCGACGAAAACAATACACAACTACGCTCTGGTACGAATTAAAACGATATTTCAATGGAATTAATCCTTCCGATGAGAATGGTATTGAATTAGAACAGCGTTCGATTGATAACCAACGAAAGCAATATCTTGACAACTTTTATCTTCAATTTACTCAATGCAATTTCGAATCTACACATTATCCGTACGATGCGATGCCTATTCAACGTCGTCATCTACACGAATTTCATATAAATGATTGTAAGGAGGTCGAGAAGATCATGGAAGAATTGTTCCATAAATGGGATCAGATTTTATCATTATTTCCATCCTATGCAGCTTTGGAACAGTACGATAAACGTTTTGATTCGCGTACTGATGCAGGAAGGAAGTTTTACGAACGATTATCCGTTTTTCAAGCATGGTTTAATCTAAATTCTGAAATCAACCGGCTGATCACTGTCCTCGGTCGAATCATGGGCTGTACGCAATCTCATTCCTGGCCAAATGTTTCCTGCCCGGTCACATCAAAACCACACGATACGGCGACGATCAATATCTCTCGTCCACCAACGCCGTCATCGACATCAAGTAATGAGCAAAAAGATATTCCTGCTGGTTCACCATCAAACTCATCTTATCTACTCTATCACACACCTCTGAAACAACAACATTCAACTGTATCTAATTCATCGCGTATGTCAACATCGTCTTCGTATTCGACAACACCTGACCTTCCTTCAAAACGACAACATACGATAACATCAATGCCTAGTATGGATAATATTCATCAATCATTAACAATGACATCACCATTACCCGAATATTATTACAGGTAATACTCTCTTCTTCAGTAGAATGCATTTGTTCTGTTGATTTGTCTAGATATATTGATGATCAGTTAACTCATGCTCGTATTGAGTTGATTGCAACGATATTCCGTTCGAAACATGGTCCGTTGTTACAACGTTTGCGATATATCTTTCGGAAAGAGCAAGGTACAAGTGGGAATATGTTACCAACAACATTCGATTCCGTGTATAAAAATCATTTGCTATTACCAGCCAATTTAGTTCCAAATGATTATCTGATAGATGCGGGACCTGACAAATTAGTCGATGAATTTTTAACGCTAAACAAACAATTACAACAGCAAAAAAATCCTAATCTGGGTAAGTGAATTTGTTATGAAAAAATTTCGACTGAATTTCTCAATTTTCTTAGCGAATAAGAAGAAAAAGAAGAATCGAAATACATATCCAGATCAAGTCATTAATATTCTCAATCGATTTGATCAAAATCCAACATTGACATCGAGCACATTTCCACCTGCCTCTGCACCAACTCTAGTTCTAAAAATTTTATCCCACGATCGAAGTATCATCAAACGTCAATCGTATTTTCTTGATTACCTTGATTCAACCCTCTTTCCCCATCTCCCTGGTTCTACTCTCTTTCCCGATCCATGTACATTTCTCGATAATTTATCATTGAACTCTCTTTCCCAGCTGACAACCGATGAAAGCATTCTGATCGCGAAAATGTTAACAATATGCTATCGTCTCTATGATAAACACGTTTGGAGTGATACCGCCAAATTCCTGGATATGTTCGAGTTATTTCATTTACCTTCACTGTATCCGCAATATGTTTTTCTTGTGCAAATTCCATTAGATCTAATGTTAGCTTGGCAAAAATATCATCAAGACCGAAGAATGGATCATACGACAGCACCAGGTATTGAACAATTGAGAAAATTGAATGATGACGACTTGCTTTCGTTTAGGTGCTCTGTTGTTGTTGATCGATGAATGTAAAATCTTAATTCACAGTGCAACATTGATTCGTCAGTATATGAAAACGATGATCACGGATGTATTTGGTAAGATCAGATTTGACAATGAACACGAATGAAGGAGAGTTTCCTTTAGAAAAATCTGAAATTCACTTGGTTGAAGATGAAATGACCCAATTCGATAAGAATATCATCGAAACTCTCCATGAAATGTTGACTTACATCGAACGTTACATTGAAATCTCTTTACGTTCGAATCTCTTTCATAATTGTATCATTTTGCTCAAAGAACAATGGAAATCGCTGAAAACTTACGCAACGATGATGAATATTGAAGAACTTCTCGGTGAAAAATTTCTCAATATGTATTCGACAATTATCAAACATTTCCATGATTACATCGACGTGTTTCATTCTGTCACACCATCGAAAGAAACCATCAATATCGAACATATAAAAAAGAAAATGCATAAGAAATATCAAAAGAAACTAACTGTCGACATTCTACGTGAAGCAAAAGCGATTTACGATGATTGCGCATTGACGATCAATATCTATTTACAAAAATCGGTTTGTCGACGATTTCTTCTAATACTCAAAAGAGCTGGTTTCGAGCGTATTAAATTCGGTAAGTGGAAATGTCACCTTTGATTTACAACTCGTTTTTCTCATTTAGCTACGGAATCTCACCATTCGCACTCGAAAAACCACAGAGACTCATCATCAACATCTCAGTGTCTTCTCTTCGCTCCTGCCGAATATTTTGAAGACAACGCCACAAAACTTCAATTAGCTCGAACGTTGTCATCGTCATTCCGTATCAATGCTAGCAATACATCTTCCGGAGAGTCAACTGATGAAGCAAATTCACAATCTCAGACTCAGCAACAACAGCAATCATCGCCGACTTCTCTACAACAACAAGCAAATTCACCAGTCGAAACATTACCACCGTTAGTTTATGTTCTCTGCGTTCCCATGTCAAAGGAAGTCGAATCAGAATGGCGTGGAGTGACACATACGATCCAAGCGCATAAAACCTTAACACCCGTTTCACCTTTGCATACCAATTGGAAAACAACAACAATTTTCTTGCTGACACAACAAACGAATAATATGGAAAAATTTGAAGAGTCATTCCGAGAACGTCTGTCGAAAACCAATGTTCAACAAGATGATCTGTATAATTTCGATACGAAAAAAGAACAAATCCTACAGAAACGATCTTGTTTCGAAAAAGTCGATCGAGCGATGAGTGACTTGGCCCATGCAATCTTAAGTTTAAGTAATTGTGTAGCGAAAAATGTCGAAGACTTTGAAAACATCATCGAAACCATCAATAAACAAGCAGGTACTGGTCAAGATGCTGAACGTAACAAGAAAATTGACACTCGTACCTATGTTGTAAGTCATTCGACATATTTCAAGTTCTTATCTTCATTATTTTTCTTCATTTTCAGCATACTGAAGAGCGTGCATTCGCGTTCGCCATGGATATTATTCGAGAAACGAGTTATTATGCTACACAATTGGAAACCAATACATTAAAAATTCAAGCCGAGCGACAACTTTTGTTCGGAAATACTTGGATGAACTTTGTTCGAAAGAAAAAAGCAGCAACTAGTGTAGTGAAATATCCCGGAACATTACCAATGTGGTTACTCCCTGGAATACACTTTCTTCGACATATTTGTTTGTTACATTTCACTACGCATATCAGCGATGAGGTTTTTAACAAGTTTTGTGATAATATGCAGTCAACAATTCATTATTCGAATAATACGAACATCACTAGTGGACAAAAACAGGTGAATCCGCATATTCGTTGGAAGAAATCATTGAAGCCATTTCCGATCTTATCGACGGCAACATCACGAGAGTCGGAGAGATCAAAACGAAGGGAAAGTCATTTGACACGAATTCAAAAACTCGAACGTATGGATAAACTGATCGATCGGCGACGTTACAAAGATGACCTAATCGGAAAAATCACTCAGCGCGATGAACGTTCGATTAAAATGCCATCGATATCAAAACGAATGGAACAAGACTTGGCATATTTAAAAATACGAAATTTCCATAAATTAAATCTTCTTTCCCGTGGTCAATACGCAACGAGTAAGCCTCGAATTTCATGCAAACATCATCCATAAATTCTCCGTTAAATTTCTCTTTGCAGCATACAAATGTACCGTGGAATCCAATGAAGTTCTCTGCTATAAACAATACAAAATTCAGCACAATGACGCTGCTGCGCTTGCTAAAGTTCTTGAACAACTAGTACCATTGATGCACATCAATCATGAAAATTTAATCAAATATCGCGGCATCGCTCTTGAATATGATCATATCTTATTCTTTATGGAGTACTGCAGTCATGGTACCATCGCTCAACTCCTACTTGGCTCATCTACGTCATTATCATTGTCAGCAACTCAAGTCGATGCACGTCGGACATCCTCATCACTTGTTTGCTCGCTAAACGATACGTCATCCGTGGATAAGGGCATCATTCAAACAACAGCAGGCTTTGCCTTTTTCGAAGAGTGTCTCGTTCGACGCTATTTAAGACAATTATTATCTGCGTTGACATGTTTGCACGAAAAAGACATTATTCATCGAGATATACGCAATGTGAATATCTTTTTAACCGATTCGACGAAGCAATCCATTAAATTAGGCGACGTCAATTTCGTTTATGATTTCAAATTTATGAAGAAACAATCATCTCTATTAGACATGGAAGCAATCGCCAATATTCGTGAATCAATTATCTTCTATGCACCGGAAACAATCACCCAAAACGAAACAACCACTAAATCTGATATTTGGTCTCTAGGCTGCACACTTGTTCATATGTTAACAGGTCGCATACCATGGAGCAGTCCATCGATAGCATCAAGTGCTTATTACTGGAAAGTTGTCAACTGGGTAGCGAATGGTGTTCAACCAATAATTCCGACTGATTTGAGTTTGTCACATGATTGTATTAATTTCCTTGAGCAATGCTTCCGACACGATCCAAATCTACGGCCATCATCCCATGAACTTCTCGAACATCCGTTTGTCATAGAGCATTAATTGATTGTTTTTACTTTGATTTGTATATTATTAGATTTTATTTTCGTTTAGTATTAACAATAAAGAAGGAGAGAATCTTTTATTCTACTACGATTATACATACCGAAGAGATAGTATAGTCTTCGACTGAAATCATATCTTTAACTTATCAATCATTACGAAGTGCTACACACACTAGTTCATCGCTACATAAAACGGGTATTATTATTTTCGACATAATACAATACATAGAGGAAACAAAAAACTGGTCTTCTTTTAAGTCATAAGCAGGAGGATTCGTACGGGCATGGCCATCCGTGTTTTACTTGAATGTGGATCATCGATTAAAAGTATGGCTTCGCTAACACCAGCGTAACTGCTCCAATCAAGTTGCCAACAACTGCAGCAATGGCGATAATTGCTGCATCACCTATTTCTAGGTTTGGAACACTTGATATACCCATCGTACCGGCAATACCTAGTGCAACGCCAATCATTCCAGTAACAAGACTTGCCAAAGCAAGGATTTTCTGTGTTAAAATTAATTTTCGAAGTTTCTTGTCGCCTGACATGGCACAGTATACAATGCATAATAGTCCACAAATACCAGAAAATACGCAAGTTATCGCGATAAAGACACCGGCAGCTCGAATTTTAGCGCAAGTGCTGCTGCTTAAGTGTTCAGAAGGACATAATATATTAAAACATGGAGTTTCATTCTCATCGCCCGTGAATTCACATACCCGCCAGAGTCCAAACGTTGTCTCTCCCGATTCGGTCTTTGTTTGACTCCTGAAAGTAGTCAAGCAGAGAAATTCATTTCTTTTTCTTATCGACATTCAAAACTTCGCACATACCATGTAGCAAGTCCATTCGACAAAAGAAAAAGTATAAAAGCCGATGCCACAAATGCGCCACCAATAATAATTATCAATTTAAAACTATTTGCCATATTCTATACGATATAAGTCTCGGATTCTTGTCTGCTGTTTTCACGTTATTGAAGCAATATATTAATAATGATGATCGGGGATCTACTTCTCCCGATAAGAAACTATTTTATAATAAGGTAGCAAGTTATAAAATGCAGTTATCAAGTGTTTTATTATTCCAGTGGATCTCTGGCAACTGAAGAGAATGTTGAAAAACATTTTTATACTGACAGGAAAGGTTCTTTGCCATAAAAGCTTAATTGATAGCTATCAAATCAGTTATATGTACTTTTTTCATGAAAAATATCTTACGCACTTATCGTTACATTATTTTACAAGAAGAAACAATTTGACCGCATTGTTCCTTCGACATTTGTGAAGATCAATGTTTGATTATTCAGCATCTGAATTTTTATTTTAGTCGTGAACTGATGTGTTCGAACGCGATGGATTCAAAACAAAAAAAAAAGTCTACTGTCTTGCTCGCTGGTATTGAGGTGGCCAAGACATTTCATTTACTCCTAGTTCTCTCGCTGCTCTCAATGGAAAATGTGGATCTCGTAGAAACTCTCGAGCGATTAACACTAAATCACCGTGTCCTCGCTCGATAATATCATTCGCTTGCTTTGCTTGAGTTATCAGCCCGACAGGTGCTGTCATTATTCTAGCACCATAGTTCGATTTCTTAATTGCTTCGCTGAATGGCACTTGATAACCAGGTTCTAATGGCACTGGAAGTTGTTGGCATGAAGAGTTTCCACCCGAACTTGTGTCGATAATATCGACACCTAGTTCGACTAGTTGAGGAATAAGTCGAAGAGTGTCAGTGATTGTCCAACCATCTTCACCAATCCATTCTTCACAAGATAGACGAATTGAGAGCGGTCGGGTGGACGGCCAGGCTTGACGAACGAGTGATGTGAGTTCGAGCAAGAGACGTATTCGATTTTCAAATGAACCGCCTATGTTAGAGAAGGAGTAGTAGTTGAAGATAAAACAGAATTATTGAACAGAGGTTACCGTAATCATCTGTCCTTTTGTTTGATGATGGACTTAGAAATTCACTTAGGAGGTAACCATGTGCAGCATGAATTTCTAGAAAGTCAAAACCGCATTTCTTTGCTCTTTCAACACTTTTGACGAAATTCTGTTTGAACTGGTCAATTTCTTCAAGACTTATTTCCTTTGGAATACAGTAAGTTTCCGCAAATGGCAGAGCACTGGGACCGACAACGTTATCTGACCATCCGCCATCTTTGTTAGTTACATAAACAGGTTCAGTACGATTTCCTGGTTGCTGATGAAAAGGAGCTTTAGTCGATGCTTTACGTCCAGCATGAGCTAGTTGAATACCAGCAGCACAGTTTTGAGAATGAATGAATTGAACAATACTAGAATTCGAATTGCATGATTCGAAATACTGAGAACAAATCATACCGTTCTGTCATTTCCATTTGCTCATCCATCCACAATCCAGCATCGTATGGTGTAATTCGTCCGTTTGGCTGTACAGCAGTTGCTTCTTGTATGACAAGAGCAGCACCTCCTATCGCAAACTGACCCAAATGAACAAGATGCCAATCATTGAGGAAGCCATTTTCCGATGAATATGTACACATGGGAGATACCACAATACGATTTTTTAATACAAGCGAACGAATATGTAACGGACGAAATAGTGCCGGTAAACTATCATTATTCATCTGTGGGAGAGTGCCGACAGATGGAGTTTTTGCTGTATAAGGCCATGGTAACACACTATTTTTTGCAATTGCTTGTCTAAGAACAGTTAAATGCACAGAAAGGAACGTTTTACAAAAATTGTGTACTTACTTCGAAAGTTTCATGCTTAATACTGATTGTGACTGACGCAAGATTTTGTTAGCTATCATGATAAATCGCGTCTCACTTTCGTCTGCGATATATCCTATGCGCGTACATTACTAAAGTATTTTTTCTCTAACGTTCTATGAAAACATAAGTCACGTTGTGACAGAGTGGAGTCATTTTTTATCGTTCTTTGTCATTAAACTTCTGTTCTTGACTTTACACAGTAATTCATCAAAAGAGAAACAATCGTAAGCATATTTCTCAAGTTCAACTGTTTTTGAGATGAAGTAATTCTTCCGGACACACACGGCAGCAATTTCTGCTTCGCAAGAGATGTCAAATCCAATTCGTGCACACATATTCCGAGAAAAAATCGCTCTACTTGTTATGTTAAAGTTTAGAAACGAGAATTATGCTGTGTTTCTTTATTGAAGAGTAAATAAATACATACATATCAAGTAAAAAAGTACACACAGTGATGATCAACGATTGATTTATATTCAGTAAGAAAGTGAGAACTATTTCTACACAGATTCAAATTCTTTCTGCCATTGTGTATATTTATCTTTAAATGCACGCGCTGATGGTTTTGTTGTTGATAAGACCTTTTCCACATCCTTTGTTGTTATTGAATCAAGATCAATGCATGCACCTAGCTCTGCACCTAGAATAAGAAACAAGAAGAAAAACAGAGTTCTCTCAGACCTGATCGAATCCGAACGAAAAATTACCTTCATCAAGTGTCTCCAATATATCGAATACTTTTCTCAGTGGATTCATTGCTGCTTCTTTACATACAAGTTTAATATCTGCACCTGAATAACCTTCCGTTAGCTAAAATACGTTCGCATACAAAAACAATCAAATCAATCGAAAAGACTATTACATTGCCTAATTGTGTATAATCAAGATCGGAATATAAAACGAGACCATTATTTTCGCGAATGACAGTAGGCGGAAGAAATTGTTGAAACATCGCCTGACGTGCCTCTTTCGTCGGTAGATCGACTAGTACACGTTTTTCTAATCGTCTCAACATAGCATGATCGAGTTCCCTAGAAACAAAAAGAAACTTTTTCGTTAAACTCAAATACGCCATAGACACGAAATCGTACCAAGGTAAATTTGAGGCAGCAAGTAGGAAGACTAAATCATCGGTTTTGGCTAATCCATCCAATTGGACAAGTAATTCCGTTTTCATTCTTCGACTACCTTCATGTTCTCTAGAAGGAGGAAAAAAACGGTGCACATGAAAGTATTTTTTGTAAAATAAAATGAATCGAATGTTTCAAATACGTACGATCCGGAATGGCCTCCGCTTCCACGTTGACTCATGATGGCATCGAGTTCATCCAGAAAGATAGTGGATGGTGCATGAAAACGTGCTAGTTCAAATAAGACACGCACCAACTTTTCTGAGTCACCGCGCCATTTACTAACGATTGTAGATGCCGAGATATTAAAAAATGTTGTCTTACATTCCGTTGCGACAGCTTTAGCTAATAGTGTTTTTCCTGTGCCAGGCGGACCGTATAAAAGCAAAGCTTTCCACGGCGAGAGAATACCCGTGAATAATTGCGGATACTAATAAAGATTACACGAATCAATATTGTATCTCCAGAATGAAATTCATACTCTTATTGGATAAACAACTGCTTCTTTAATTGTTCGTTTAGCTGCATCAAGTCCGATGATGGAATCCCATCGTACACTTGGATCATGAAGATAGATATCCTTGAAAGACAGAAAGATAGACTTGTTTTTCTCTTTCTTTCATTTCCCATGGATTATTCACAAATTTCGACTAACTTCTCGATGATTGATCCGCAGTCAATTTTCATTCGTCAATTTCTTCTAGTTTCTTCCATTCTTTCTTTTCTGTATAGATTTTTATTAGGGTATTGCGTTAATTCTCTGGTATTTCTCTTGAGAAAACTTTTTCTTAATACATTTTTTGTTCCTCTAATTACATTCTCTTGAATTGTGAATAATGAAACACGCAGAACATGCTCCGAATCTAGTTGAGTTTGATCCCAATAATCGATGTGTTTTCTCATTTTATCTCGACAAATGATAAATCACATATAAACGTCATCCTTCACTGCACTTGATATAAAAAAAGCAAACGCTTTGCCGCTAGGTGTGAGCAACTACCAAAAAATATATAAAACTGCCTCTTGATTTTCTTCGTTCTCTATATTTATATTTATATGCGTCATTCTCCTTCAAGTATAGCAGGTGAAGAAGGAGAGGAAGAGGAAGAAAAAAAAGGGAGAAAGAAAGAACTGACAAATACGCTCGTTCGTTGAATGCAAACACAAAAAAAAAATAAGAGAAGAAGGAGAAAAAGAGAGAAAAAAAATAGACATCCCATTCGAAGCTAGCATTCATTCATTCTGTTCTCTTCTTCTTTTCTCGTCCGTCGAAAGCGCACATATCCCAACCAACCCGACGCGGCATGTTTGCCCATTAGTTTACGTTCTTGTATATCATACGACAACAACAACAATAACAACAACCGCAAAATCATCAGAAAAAAGAAAACAGAAAGAAAAGAAGTAAGCAAGCAGCATGCGTTAGTTATCAAAGATTTTTCATCATTCCTCTCGAAACATATGTCGAGCAAATTGTTAGTTGAAAAACAAAGACTTAGCGAAAAAAAAAAAGAAAAGAATAGCTATCTATCTGTTTAGATTCTCTCATTCTGTGTATGTATTCTAGTTGAAACATGACAAGTAAACGTGATACATTTGTTAAAACAATAGCGACACGTCGTAGTGTCTATTCTCAAGATCGTTTGGAACAAATTCTAAGTGAATCAATTCAAGCGAAAGAAAAAGAGCCTGGTGATCGAACAGCAAAAGATTATCGTCGTATAAAACGCTTTGATATCGTTGATGTTCAAGGAAAACAACGACTTGTTGCTGCACGAACAGATAATGACGATAAAGATATCAGATTTTTTGTCTCCATTGAAGAAATGTATGATATTATTGATTATACGCATAAGAAAATGAATCATGGAGGCCGAGATCGCTTATGGCCGATTTTATCGAAGCAATACGCCAATATTCCACGTGAAGTCATTCAAACTTACTTGAAAATGTGTGATTACTGTTGTAAAAGACGTAAACGTATTAACACAGATCCAAATAACGAAAATGGAATAACAACTTTACACAATGAAACTAATGATTTGATGGATACGAGTTTAACTAATATTATTCATGATGTTCCAGCATTACATCAACAAACTAACATAATCAAACATGAACAACAACAACAACAGCAACATCTGATTCCACAATCATCGCCGATTATATTGCATAATAGTACCAATCCTAGTCTACATCAACAACAACCGGTGGAGAATATTTTCGATGGAGGTAAACAATGGTGCTAAGTTTTGGTGAGCCAGTTTTAATGTTTTGTTTGATTTGTAGCCAATTCGCATGTAATGAATCGTCTGTGTGAATACGATTTGATCGATTTGCAAAATGCTCATGATGGTGATCACGGTTTCGTTCTTGTCTATCAAGATTATCTAACAAAATTCACACAATTACGTCCGTTGAAAAGTAAATCGTCTATTGAATTGGGTACAACGTTAATGGATATCTTCTGTATATTTGGTCCACCACTTGTTCTACAATCCAGTGCTGATCTTCATGTCGAAAATTCGTCTATTCAACAAACACTCGAAGCTGTCTGGCCCGGTAAGCAAACAATTTCTTACGCTACATCTTAGAAAACCTCTTGTTTTTCTCTTTTGTTCTTACAGGTATTCGTCTATATCAAGATGATTCACTGCAATGGCGTGAGACAGCGAAAATACGTAATGAACAAATTCGCTCGATGATCGCAGCATGGATGTTTGTGAACAATAATCCTCGGTGGTCGTATGGATTAAAATTCGTTCAATTGACGCTAAATTCCAATATTAACAATGAACTGAAACGTTCACCATACGAAGCCTTATTCAAAATGTTACCAGTTCTTCGACCAGCAACAGTTACACTATCATCTTCGACTACCGATATATCATTACAACAGCAACAACAGCAACAACAGGTACAACAACAACTTCAACAACAACAACAACAGCATCATCATCATCTTCATCATTCCCAATTACTTCAGCCGACAGCAGCAGTTGTCCCACCATCATCACATTCCCCATCGGGTAGTGCTAATGAAGGTGATTTTGTTACACCAAATGTTAATATACTTCCTTCGACAATCTCGACATCAGATCGGATTAAAGCCGAAATGTAACAAAAATAATAATAATAATAAGCCCAGACTTCTGTATAGTAAAATTTGAAAAAGAAAGGAAATATTTGATGATTATGATTATTATTTTTGTTTTTTTTTTGTTGTTATTTTTCTTCTTTTTCTTTGTGTTGTCTCTAAGAGTTTTGAAGAATGAGGATGAGAACGAAACAAAGGAGAGAAAACGAAACGCGATCTATCTATCTATATTTTTTGTTTTTGCGCAATCTCTTCTGGATTTTCTTTCTTACGCAGTGGTGTTTTCTTTTCTTAGACTTCGTGTACGCGATATGTATGTATAAAAAAAAAACGTCGCCGTTTTCTTTTCTCGTTTTCGTTTTGTTAAAATTATTTTTCTTTGTTTCGTACTTGTAATTAGACTACTTCATTGGACAGAAAATGATGAGTACGAGAGAAATGTGATGTAATGTGAGACAAAGATGAAAAAGAAAGTTTTTATAAAAAAAAGAAACGAGTAATTAAATATTAAATGTGTATTTTTTTTTCTACTATTATTTACCCGACTGATTACTTCTGCTAATTCACGCCATTCAGATGTATAACCAACGTAACCACCTAATGGTTTTAAAAGACGATCCTATGACGAGATGACAAGAGGTGATTGAAACATGTTCGACTAATTATATTTACACTTGGATCGACATTGTCTAACAGATTCAAACCGGGACGAGTATCATTCATTGAGTTTGAAGACTAGAAACAGAAATGAAAGTTCGTGTTAGTGTTTTCCAATCCCAGGCAGACAAGACTTTCAAAAATACACGTAAAAACGCTTGAAAATGTGCGCTTTTTGCGAATTTATTTTCGTTAGAATTTAACGCGGTTCTACGCGTTTTATTCTTGTAAAAAACGTGTAAAAACGCGTATTTTAATAGAAAAAACTGTAAAAGACATGGTACAGTTTTAACGCGAATAAACTCGTAAAAGTTTTACTACGCCTTTTAGAGTTTTTTCTATTAAAATACGCGTTTTTACACGTTTTTTACAAGAATAAAACGCGTAGAACCGCGTTAAATTCTAACGAAAGTAAATTCACAAAAAGCGCACATTTTCAAGCGTTTTTACGCGTATTTTTGAAAGTCTTGTCTGTCTGGGATTTAGTTCGTTTTGAATGATTTAAACATATTTGCGTCTTATTTTCTTGGCAGTTTTTCATGAAAAGACAAATGTCCTTGCGAGAAGAGGAAAGGAACTGTTATCAAGTTATATGACGGAAATAAGTAGACACTCATTTGTTGTATTTTTCAGAATAGGAAAGAACATATAGGTAGACTTCATCTCATTCTTGTAAATCACACAGCGATAGTTGAGAATGAAATACGCTCATATATATATATGTGAAGATTTACCTTTTTCTTCAGACCATTCTGTTGTTGTTGTTGTTCAGCAGCTGTTGCTGCGGATTTGACTGATGAGACTTTCATAAACGATAGATTCATATCTTCAACTGAATTCGTCGAATAATTGCTATTGTTACTAACTGTTGAAGGTTGCTGTAAACCAAAATCTAGTTCTGATTTCGAGTGGCGAACAGGTACACTTACATTTGATGTTTGTCGCTGGATACCTAGGAGTAATGAAGAGTTCGCAGTTAATTTCTCCGAATTCAATAGATTAAGTTTAGTATTACTTGGATTACGACGAAGAGCATCGCCTGCCGATGTAACACGATTTGACGGACTACTGGAATTCTCCATACTATTACTGGAAACACGAGGTAATGGTGGAATTTGAGGACGACGATTTAATGTTGGAGCACTAGAAATCTTCTTTTTTTGATGAATCATGAGTGGAATGAAAAGATTCTACCTGGACATTTTTGCTTGTGTTTTACTCATAAATGCTGCAGCTAAACGAAATCATGCATGTATAGCAACAAATTATCTGAGATGACTTCACTTACTCGATGGTCCATTTTTCTTAGTTAATTTTGGATATCGATTGAATTTGACATGAAAATAAGATCTATAAACAAAAATCAATTACAGTTCGTTTCGAAATCATTTTCCACTGACTCGTATTCTTGCAGAATTGTACTAAGATCAACGTTATCACAGACATCGTATTTATTAACATCAAGATTCGTTTCATGTTCTAATTGTCGAGCTGATTCAATATATCTACGAAAAAATTCTTCGTCAAATCATTTTCGGATGAATATCCAAATGTTTTACCCTTCATCGGCGAGCCAATGAAGAACTAAAATGATCAAATTCTTCTTTCGATTTTCATTTCTTTGATCGTCCTAAACAAAACGTACAGAACTCGAACGAATTAAAACATCGAAATCTTACAGCTTCACGTGCTGCATGCGTCGTTTTGATTGTCTGATAATTCAAATTCGCTTCAGCCATGAAACATTTATTTCAATTTTTCGTCTTGTCACAATTCATCTCGAACTAGACATCATCGACGTTGATCACCGTCTATTGGTTGCTAAGGAATAAACATGTTTATTTCGAATAGGTGTCGCTCTGCTGGTTGTCTTCTATGTGTATATATATGGCAACATATTCATCCATTTGGGTCAAATTTGGATTCCATAGGAACTGTTATTCTTCTTATTCTTTTTTTCTAGATATTCGTTCGTAAAGAAAAAAACATCAACAAAGATGCGTGGCGACTTAAGTGTAAGAAAAATCGACATTCGTGGTTTATTTTAATTAATTAATTTCTTTGAATTTTTAGACAGCACTCAATCCAATTCCACTTTATAAACAAGGTGTCGAAGAAGAAAAATCCGAACTTGCTCGATTAGTTAGTTAATGAAATTTCATCGAAGTTCAGAAGAGCATTTCTGTTTTATTTCAGTCATCATTTGCTGGAGCAATGGCTGTTGGTGATCTAATCAAAACAACACTCGGTCCGAAAGGCATGGTATGACTCATGACTTGGCCAGATTTTCTTCTTGACTACCTTCTTTTGTTGTGTCCATAGGATAAAATCCTCCAATGCAGCATGAGTGGCGGTCCTGATGCCGGTAAATTGTTAGTTACAAACGATGGTGCAACAATCTTATCGAAAATTGGTATTGACAATCCGGTTGCTAAAGTTCTCGTTGGTATGTACGACACAATCATTCGAGAACATTCTTCTATTCGAATATGTTTTCACTAGATATTTCAAAAGTACAGGACGATGAAGTTGGTGATGGTACAACATCAGTTGTTGTTTTGGCTAGCGAACTTCTCCGAGTATGATTTGGATCGAAATGATATTTTGGTAGATTAGGGTGTTTCTAGGAAACGGAAAATTTACTCGCCCAAAAGATTCATCCTCAAACAATCATCGCGGGATGGCGTAAGGCAACAAACGAAGCACTTCGAGTGTTGGAAGGCATTGCAAAAAACAACAGGTACGGTGAAGAAAAATGATTTGATACCTGTTGGATTCTTTTTTTGTTGATTAGTTCGAATATAGAACAGTTCCGAAGTGATCTTATGAACATTGCGCGTACAACGCTCAGTTCGAAGATTCTTCAAGGAAAAAAAGAACATTTCGCTAAACTATGTGTTGATGCCGTGTTAAAATTAAAAGTGGGTTTGAGCCATTTTCAAACGCATTCGAATTGCTTTCGTTTCTCATAGGGTAAAACCGATTTACAAGGCATTCAAATCATCAAACGTTTGGGAAATAACATGAGCGATTCTTATCTTGAAGAAGGTAGTTCACTCGATAGATGAATAACGAAGAAATCGTATTTTGGCCATTGTAGGATTCTTGTTGGAAAAAAAGATTGGTATCAATATGCCAAAACGTTTAGAAAACGCTCGCATCCTTATTGCTAACACACCGATGGATACTGATAAAATCAAAGTTTTCGGTTCACGTGTCCGTGTCGATTCAGTAGCTAAAGTTGCTGAATTAGAATTGGCTGAAAAGGAAAAGATGAAAGATAAAGTGAACAAAATTCTTCAGCATAATTGCAATGTTTTTATTAACCGGTAAGATAACAGAGCGTTAAAACTTGGAAATTTTCCATTGGATTGCCTTTTAGTCAATTGATTTATGACTATCCTGAACAATTATTTGCTGAAAAGGGTGTGATGGCCATTGAACATGCTGATTTTGAAGGTGTTGAACGTTTAGCTCAAGTTCTTGGTAAGGAATACATTTGAAAATGTGCTCGATGAAATGACTTGAGAGTGTTTATTCCAGGTGGAGAAATCGTTTCGACATTCGATACACCAGATAAAGTCCGATTAGGAAAATGCGATTTAATCGAAGAAATCATCATTGGTGAAGACAAGTTGATCAAGTTTTCAGGTTGGATATTTAAACATACGATCAAAGAAATGAATACGAAGTTGTTTGCTCTTGAAATACAGGTGTAGCTGAAGGTCGCGCTTGCACGATTGTCCTACGTGGAGCAACTCAACAAATTCTTGATGAAGCTGAACGATCAATTCATGACGCTCTTTGTGTTTTATCACAAACCGTTAAAGAACCACGCATTTGTTATGGAGGAGGTTCGTTTCACCTTCTATAAGATGACCATTTCGAACTTCTCTCGTATAAAATAGGTGCTGCTGAAATGTTAATGGCTACTGCTGTTTCTCAATTGGCTGAAAAAACACCAGGCAAAGAATCGGTCGCCATTGAGTCATTCGCCCGCGCACTTCGTCAAGTAATTAAATCAATGTTCCATCGAAATGATCCGTATGATTTCTTTCGCCATTCTTTAGTTACCAACCATCATTGCTGATAACGCTGGTTACGATAGTGCAGAATTAGTAGCTAATCTTCGTGCTGCACACACTGCCGGAAAATCAACTCATGGTCTCGGTACGCGCTACTTTCCCTCTAGTGAATCTTTTTGCTAAAAATATTAATGTTTGCGATTCTAGATATGGAAAAGGGTGCAGTTGCTGATATGGTTGAACTTGGTATTCTCGAATCGTACCATCTTAAACGACAAGTCGTTAGCAGTGCTGCTGAAGCTGCTGAAATGGTACTACGTATTGATAATATCATTCGTGCGCCACCACGCCCACGTCAACGTGACATGCGTCATCATTAAATGAATCAAAATACAGAAGAAGAACTTATCAAAGAGCACTTCGAACATTTTCCTTTGGTTTTTATATCATTTCGTAGACAACGTTTCGTTTTTCTTTTAATGCCATCGTCAATTGCAGTGTGAGAGAAAACGTTTGAAAAGCCTTTGTTGTGCCCGTGTGTTTGTTACGTTGTTTGACTTCTGTTGATGTTTTTCTTGTTATTAAAAACGAAAAAAAAGAAAAATTAAAACTAATCAAACATATACATTGTACAACTCGGTATGGCGTGGGCATGACTAGTTAATATTTGAAGTGCTATTGTTGAACGTAAGCAAGTTGCCATGCATTTCTTCAAAACCATTGATGTTTCTCACATTACGTTGATGAGTATGACGCATTTTTCCAAATTTTTTGCTGAACAAAAAATAGAAACTGACTGTAAGTTTATTCCGCCGTTGAAGTTCGAAGAATAAAGTTTTCATAGCTCGAGTTTTGCCGAAGCAACCCGTCTGATCTTCTCTCGTGCGCTTTATGAAGAGTTTTCCATCGCTACAAAACATTTTATGAGATAATTATGAATAAGTCGGAATCTATAGACAATAGAAGAGTATAGAATTCCAAATATCCTGCCATTTGACTTTCTAAGAATTAATGCCATCTATGAAAGCCACTGTATATTTATCGGATATAAAATTCATTGCTTCTTCCAAAGTGCTTCTTATCATATTTCGATAGATATATATCATGGCGAGTTGGATAGACCTAGGTGTTTTGTCGTTCAACGGTGACATCGATCGGGTTAATGCAAAACAAAACGCAGTAAGTACGCTATGAAAACACTGGAGACCATGAGAGATTAGTCTACCTTTGTTTCTGAAAGAAAATATAGACGGAAATTTAAAAATCCAATTGACATACAAAATGTCACGCGACGTTTCTCAATTTGTTCGAAGCGTAGTTCCGGCAAATGCCGACAGAATGTGACCGAATCTATTCTTATTCTCAACCTATGGTTACCTTATATTCAACTATTTGATCTGTTTGATTTATTATTAAAAAGGTTTGTTAGGCACTCCAGAAAGAGATGAGATCACTGATTAAATAAATATTTTATTTCTTCATTTTATCATTCTGTATGGTTCATTGTAACTTATTGTGCAAATCACTACTGACATATAGAAATAGATTTCGAAAGCGTTCATATTACTCATTAAGGTAATGAACACACCAATTACCTTGAGTACCATACAAATTACTTTTCGTGTTTGGCAGCGCAACAATGAACAAATGCATTGCCTTATTGGTCAAGTTTATTACTCTCGTTCTTTATACGTAAGCATAAAAATTTCCGATATTCACTATGTTAGCTCTCTGCCAGGATACACAATCATTTTCAATGTTTTGTACGCTTAGTTTCGATACTCAGACTGCGATGATATCTATGGCAATTACTCGAAGTACCAAATCCGAGCTTGAATTTCAATGGACAGCTGAGAAATAAATAATTGATTATCTCTTGTATTATAGATCATCATTTTAGCAAAGCACATTGTCATTTATTTATGTATATATATATTCTCAAAAAAACCTAATTAATCTAAATAGCAAAAATAGTTCACAATTGTTCGATTTGCTCTCTCTCTTGGGAGTTTTTCTACCTTGTCTATTATCGGCAATTCCGAATATTATTTCTGTTACTCCATTCATCTAATACCAAAGAACCGACAACGCCACACACTAATATAATCAACATGACAAAGTCTTTACCATTTATATTCCTTGTTTTCACCTCTTTTTTGGCAGTTATTTTTCAAGTCTCATCAAATGATCATCAAAGTCATTCTTCGTTGGAAAGATTTCGATCATGGCCTGATACGTCTCGCCATCATAGAAATGATCTATTGCGCAAATGGACTGAACATAAACGAACGAATAGTTATAGTGAAAATCGTCGTTCGTCATTACCCTTCGATCTTTTGACTTCTACTCAACAATTTAAAGGTTTGTTCCTATCATATTCAGAGAACGAATGAATTTCCAATTGCTTTGAATGTTTTCAGGATGCATTGATCCATCAGAACCATTCCAGTGTCCTCAAAGTGAACATTGTATTGCTCTTCAATTCATTTGTGATGGTCACCCGGGTGATTGTCCTAATAATCTTGATGAGAACGAAGAAACATGTATTGCAGGTAGGAATATATTGATGTTTGATGAGCTGATCAGTCGACCTTTTTCTTTAGCTAAACGACCAGCAAAAGAAAATATCGAGAAATTTCTTCATGCTGAATATACTCTACATGGATCGAAACTATTCACATTTTTATTCGGCGAAAAACTTGCAAAAAGTATCGACGAGAATAACGCTTTCTGGTTCGACACATTAGCATCAGCATTTTCCGGTAAACACTCACTTTTGTACATCAAAAGTTCACGAAAAAGATTTTATTCTAGTGGCAAAGACGATCCGTCGCTTTGCTGAAAAGACGCGCATGTCATCCAGTGACCTTGCGCACTTTCAAAGCGTTCTCCAATTAATTCATGATGGTCGATTGGAAGAAGTTCCACTGTACGTACAAGAAGCTGTCAATCAAGGTCTAGCGTCATTGGTGGAAAAACTTTACGACTCTGGATTCATGGATCAATAAAATTATATCGGAAAAGCCAAATGAATTTCACTTGAATACTGATTTTTGTTTTAAATTCAATAAATCAGCGAGAGCAGAAATGAAAGTGAAAATCTTTATTTAAATTCAACATAGCATACTTCTAATTACACTATCAAATAAATAGTCAAACGACTTGATAGATAATGATTGTTTCTCTCGTTTTCTGATAGCTAATTCAATATCTGATTAGCAATCTTCATCATATTGATTATATTTGGTATCTCTTTTTGTTATTCTTTCTCTCTGCTTCTTCTTATCATATCTCGTTCTTTGTAAATCTCGATGATTAACTTCGACATGACAGGTCACACTTAGTAATTCAGCCAATCGTTCAACAACAGCCACTGATCGATGTTGACCTTCTTCACATCCAACTGCTACTGATATCGATGAACTTTTACGATTCGAGACAAAGTTCATCAATTGATCCATAATGGATTTGATCATGTTTTCATATTCCGGCATAGATAATAGTTCGTTTTGGATACGTTTATGACGTCCATCATACCGTTGATAGTTTTCAACATTTGTCATTGGTAAATGACGAATAGAATACAATAAATCCATATCTTGAGAAACACCAAAAGAGTATCCGAATGAACACAGTTTGATGGTAAACTCATTAATCTGAGCCATGATAAAGAATACAATGATAGGATGATAGTTGTGTTCGATCCGAATTTGAATCGCATATTTATAAATAAATTCGTCGTACTATTTCTACGAATATTGACGAAAGAAAGACACAAATTGCGCAAGTACGGTGATACACTGACTCATACAAGTGTCATGACTGCTGCAATGTGCCACAACCAGTCAGAACGAAATGTGTTAAAATCAATCAATCATAGGAGAGCACAATCTCGATCTTAAGTCAACTTATTTTGCTCCTGTTTATATTCATAATAATCACATTCGTTCAATATTTAAGAACGATTTTCAACGGAAAACTGAATATGAAAATAATCGTGTCTGAGTGTATTACAAATAAGATTTCATAAATAATACGATTTTTCTCGTTTACTTCTAATTCTTCAGTGACGTCAGAGTATTTCCGCGGGCGAATGTTGTTCAATCGAGTAGAAGAATTCAAAGAAGTTTTTTTTTATCGTGCTCAATAAACCAAGGCGGCTAGGTACTTGTGGTTTTTATTTTTCCCGAACGATTTTCAAATCAACTTCGCTTTTTATAAACTACGTCATTTTATCAAAAACTTCTACTGAGTAACTCGTACAAGATCAGAAGGTGGCGGAAGTGTTTATTCTAAAACTTTTCTTCGTCTTACAAGAATATCAAGGCTAACGATAAAACTCCCAATAGTAAAAGTTCGCCAGCTGACGACACTCATTTTTCTTCTTTCCTATTCATATATATACATGAGTTCTTGATCGAGTTTAGATGATTTGTAGCAACAGGAGACGGAAAAAGAAGTATGTAGGAAAAGTAGCACACATCTGATTACATATATGCCCAGCAAGCATACTCTATTCTACGTGTGTGTTTGACGAGAGATTACAAGTAACTTAGTCGTATGAAGAATATAACATATCTGATGAATTGCAGTGAGTAAGAAGGCAGTTTTCCTCTTCATCAAACTTCGAATAATCTCCGCCAATTATTTTATCCTTCGACATCAGTCCATCTTTCCATTAATCTCATCAAATTCTCATCATATCAATCATATTCGCTTTCGTTTGACATTTATTTGCACTAAATATCTATAAACCATTCAGTATTACTTTTTCTACATGATGAATATTTTCCACTGCAAGGAACAACATACCCAAAGATCCTCAGTTCAATGGGTAATCTTTTTCTTCTTTCACAAGTATATGTCATCGAGTCTGCAAATCTGGAACACGTTAGATATGTAAGTTCTTATCTAATTTTCTGAAGGTAAGGAACTCATCATATTAATGATGATCGTTGATAAAAATACTCTCTCGACAACTTCTCTATACCGAAAGGGAATATGACATTTTCCTCTGTAGTATACCTCTAACACGTTGGTTCGTTTCAACTCTATTAGATATCTACGTAACACAGTCGAGTAAGTAGGACAATGTGTGAAGGCATCTTTAGAAAATCATCAATGACCTTTGTCGGGAGCGATTAGTTTAGTCGAACTATCCTTTAGTATTTTCGACATTTATGTAATTAAATGTCTTTTCTGTTTCGAATAATAACTACCGATGTCAGAGAATAGACAAACTGACAGAGTACTTCTGTTCAATTTGTCTCATTTGCATATTGTTGCAGACCGATTGTTGTGTGCAATTGAACGTACCAAACAACATTTAGTACGACATATATATATGAGGAAATCTCTCGAGTGAGTTGCAACGATCAAGGCAATGTTAATAGAGAATAAGATTAACTAAACTTGTCTAATATTCCTCGCTTTTTTTTTCTTCCGATTTGCCAACTTTATGGCTTGTCATTTGATTATATGTGATCGACCTTTTTACCCTGGTGGAGATCTGTTGTGACTATGTAAAAAAAAAAGAAATATTTTGCTTGCATAGAAGTGCGTTTATATTTATGACAATTGATGACGACGGGAAAAGTTTGGAAGGAGAGAAAAAAAGGAGGAAAAGAGAGAAAAACCAAGTACGTATAATGACGACTAGAACTATAACTAAACAGAGAATGAACCGGCGGTGACGTCGTCAAAGAATAATGAACGAGAGAAGAAGAGACATTGTTTTTTCTGAAGACTGACTAAAAATGGTGTTTCTGTTTGTGTGCAATAAATAATTGCTTTTTTTCAAAATATATTTGACGAGAAAAGGGAGAAAAGCAGTATATTGTCAATTTCATGATAATAGTTGTGTGCCTCTCTGAACAGGTAAGTCTCTGCTGACAATTCTCGTCGAAGTCAAGATCAGCAATGTGTAAGCGAACATGTTTTGCTCTTCTGACTGGTATTAATTGTTAATATGAGCAAAGAGAAAAATTTTAACAATATTTTTTCTTGCCGTATACATTAGCTTTCTCATTTCCATACAAGAAAATCTTTTCTTTTCTCTCGCCGAGTCCTAACGCCTTGTCTTCTTTCTTCTAGATTACAAATCGAAGCACATGCGCATAGTTTTTCTCAATAGGATATTTTCTAATCACTCTATCGATCAAAATCAACTGTGAATGAGCTAAAGTAAGTGACGAAATGCCTCACAGTCGAAGTAAATCATTTGCCGATTTAGATATTCATCATGCTTTTCTTTCGTCGCCGTGATACATTCAGTCAATCGAACTTGACAGATCAAGAACGATGCATCCATGCTTGTCTATTCTTCGCCTTTTTATTGCTGACAATAACCATTGTTTTATTCTATTTTGCAGCAACGTACAAAGGTACTGATGATCAACGATTGTACTATTATCTTGGCGCTGGTATCAGTCTGACTTTTCTTCTCTTAATTACGTTATGTACAGTGATGTATATTCGTCGATTCTATGGCTCAGTAATGTCGCCATCACAACGTCAAGGAATTATATTGGAATCGGATCATGAAAGTTCCAAATATTCAAGTCAACATCCGTGATTTTCGACGAAACTTTCCAAATAGTTTGAAATTGAACTTCTATTTCTTGAAATAAACAAAACTAGTTACGCATTCTACTTGAAAATCAACATCAAAGTTTCCCATGCACGGATCGGATACATTGATAGAATTATCTATGTCTTAGTAGTCAATGATTTTGTCCGAGAAAAGTAAATAACTCAATTCAGAAAACTTGACTTGCTTCTATTGTTTAAGTGTTTTCCTAATGTTTCTGTTGCTAGCAGCTATAATTAATGGTGACGAAATCGATGTAATTGTGTAAAAATCGTCTGAGAGATTGTAGAGGAAAAAAAACGACTTTTCTTTGTTCCATTAGTGCGTTGCGTGATTGTGATGAACTTAAATCGCTCGTAGGCATATGTCATTTGCTTTTCTAATCAATAAAATATTTAAATTGTGACTCAACAAGCTAATCTTCGATTTTTCTGATCTACGATAGAAAAGCAGTCGTAGGAGTCGAGCGACTGGTTGTTCTGACTCTGACAATCAGATTATTTGTTCATCTTTATGATCAATATTTTCGTCTCGAAAGTCAATATTTGGATGTGAGAATGATAAATTACAAAAAACATTCGTTATTCTGCTAATTGTTCGCTACTCGGTTATCATCATTGCATTGAATTTCTTTCTCAATTCTGCGATGTACTCCATTGAAATCCATAATACTTTCTTTTCAGCGAGTTACGCAAAAAATGAAAAGTGACTATTTCTCTTTGTTCATTAACTCTCTGTCGACGCTGAAGAATGATTAATGAAGTCATAAACGTAAGTAGTTTTTTAGGGCAAGTTTAGTTCTGTTTTGTTGACGATCAAGGACGCGAACGACCTCTTTCGAAAAGTTTTCGATTCGAGTAGACTTTTGATCGACAATAATTTACCAAGTTTACCTGCTTTGGATCTTTCACAATTTATTTTATTTATTCTTGTTAGCTAAGTGAGTAGATTTCAAATACGATTTTGGTTATCATCTGTATATGTACACGCGTGTTTTTTTTTATTAAGAGAAAAAAAAAACGATTTTTCACTAGGGCAAAAAAGAGAAGAAAAAGATTTGTGCCAAACCTTTTTCTTCTCTCGGGGTGTTAAGTAAAGTGGTCTAAAAGTTCTGATGTAGAATAGAAGAAATCACTTTCTTATCACGTTCATTCGAAGCGAAATTTTTCATAAAGGCATTTTCGTTCGTATTGCTTTTCGTCTCTGACTTCGTCACGTTCCAATTCTTAGTCCACACGTTGTGAAAGATCGACATCAACTGAGATATTTCACCCGTTTTACTCGTCAATTGTGAACAAAATGCTTTCCATCGTTGATCCGGTTCGATCGGTGTTTGTACTCGATCGAGCTTCTTCAATCGATCAATAATACGATAATCATTCGATTTCGTATAATTATCTTTATTGCCTTGTGTTGCCGGAGTTTTCAAGCGCGTTTCAAACAATTGCCAATGTCGACTATCCACTTCCTGCCGGATTTGCGCACTGGATTTTGTGACGAATGATCGAGATGGTGAAGTCATACTTGACATTGTTATACTAGAAAGAAATCAGTTCATATTTATGTAACAAAGGATTGCATGTATAAAAATCTAGATTAGATTTCTCCTTCTCTCGCTCCTCTACCCTTGAATGTAAAAGTTTCTTTTTTTTTCTTAAAGAAAAAAAAGATACAAAGCACTTTTATCGAGTGAGACATACGAAACCGAGGAAGTCACTTTTGTGCAGAAGAAATGAATATGATGCTGTATATTGTCGTTGTTTTGTTCTCTTTCTATCTTATTTTGTTGTGTACGACTCGAAAAGTTGTCGAAACGAAAAAAAAACACATCATGGTAGTGAATATTTTATTATCTTGCATACTAATGTGATGTGCCTCGACGGATGAGAGGAGAACAAGGGACGGACAATTTGATAAATGTTAAATTTTAAAAAAATTGAATAAATAGTTTAAACTAACCTTGAACGCGTCAATTTTGCAGTTGTTAATGCCGTCACTACTGAATTCGCCACGATTGGCACACCTTTTTCCTTTTTTCCTTCCCCTTTCCTTCTTTTATGTATGCAATTGACTCAAAGAAGAAGAAAAAAAACCGTGTAATGTGTATAAAATCAAACAAGCCGTAGAAAAGAACGAAAGAAATAACATTTTATAGGTGTGCTATCTGACTTTTATCTAATCGATCAAGCATACAATAACTGATTCATGAAAATACAATGATCAATAACAGGCGAAGTTTTTTTCTAGATGAATATCATGCGCGTAGCGTTTATTCTGATTGTCTATTGTTCTTTGGTCTGTGGAGATTGTAATTTCCATGCGGATACACATATGCAACCAATCCAAGAGACAATGAAGAAATGGAAAATCTATGGAACGGAGTAAATTGTTAATAAACATGTTATGTTTCGGTCATTGAGATGATTTCAATTTAGAATGACAGTATCGAGCAATGAAGTGACTTATTCGATTGGAATTTGTAGATCACCTAGCAATGCGGCAAACGACACCGCTATTGTTCAAAAAGGAGCGAATTTTAGTTTTGTTATTGGCCGGTTGGATCCTGTCAATCTTGTTTCAGGAGGTGTTAAAAGCATATTTATAAAAATGAAATTTCATTTTCGAAAATTTTAGACGGTTGGATACAATTAACATATGAGAAAGGTGATCCTTATAACAATATATGTGATAATGTGACTCGGCAAGCGTCGATTATGTTTATATGTGGAACGAACATGGTAAGAGAAGTTTAATTAGTTTAAACTTGGAGTTTATTTTGAAATCTTTCCAGACTACTATTACAATTCGTCAGCAGAATACATACGCTGATATACATTGTAACTATATGTTTCAATTACAAGTTCCTGAAATGTGTCCACCTGTTGTTATTGTCGAAGAATCAAAGAAACTAAGTGGCGGTGCCATTTTTCTTATTATGTAATGTAAAACACTCATCTTTTTTTCTTTACTAAAGCGGGCCTTTCTTCTTTTTTTTTCTAGAGTTTTCAGCATTGCAGCTGCCTATTTAATCCTCGGTGGAATTTATATGCACGTCAAACGTGGTGCTCGTGGTCTGGATCGTATTCCTCATTTAAATATGTGGCGTACATTCGGTGGTTTAGCAGCGGATGGCTGTGATTTTTGCTGTCGTTGTGATCGGCCATCGCCGCGTGCTGGTTACTTTCTCGACGAATCAGGACCAGACTTTCGTGGTGATGATGACATTCTTTCTCCATAATAATCTATGATCTTCAAACGCAAAAGAAAATTCTCGCTTCAAACTTGACAACAAAATTCTGCATCAAATCATTCGGATCTGTTCTCTTTGTTTTTAGTTTAAATTTTGTCTTTCATAATTTATTTCATTTTATGTTCAGTGTTTGTTCTTCTTATATATATGTATCTTCTCGTATACTCACATATATAACGTGAATTACATAACAAAATAAATCTCAAGCGTGAAAAGAACGATTTTTGTGTTGTGAAATATCTCTTCTTTTTCAGTTTTAGTTATGACTGAAGATAAAACATTAAAAGCTATTCAATATCAACGTGGATCATTACAAATCTTAGATCAATTGAAATTACCTGATATATCGGTCTATATTCCAATTCAAACAGTAGCCGACGCATGGAAAGCAATTCATACAATGTCAATTCGAGGTACAATGAGAAAGACACGAACAAAGAGAAGTCTTCTATGAGTATCATTACTTGAATTGCGTTTCTTTTTCAGGTGCACCAGCTATTGCAGTATGCGGAGTGTTGAGTCTTGCTGTCGATCTTCATCATTCACGATCAAAGTTCGAGTCAATTGCATCTGTTCAGCAGTATGTCATTGATGAATTGAATTATTTGGTCACTGCGCGGCCGACTGCAGTCAATATGACCGATGCAGCTAAGACAATCATTGATTATTTAATTCCATTGAGTGCCAAACATCAAAGTATCCCAGAATACATTGATGAATTGATTGCCTTTATTGAACAGTTTCTTGAACGTGATCTCGCTGATAATCGTGCAATAGGTCGACATGGCGCTGAACAGATTCGACTAACAACTGCAAATCCAAAAAAATTAACGATATTAACACATTGCAATACAGGCTCATTGGCAACCGTTGGTTTTGGCACTGCACTGGGCGTTATTCGACAACTGGCCGCGAACGGCGACCTTCAAACAGCTTATTTTACTGAAACTCGACCGTACAATCAAGGTTCAAGATTAACTGCATACGAATTAGTGCATGATCATATTCCTCATACAATGATTTGCGATTCGATGGCCGGACTTCTAATGCGAACACAACCCGTTCATGGTGTCGTTGTCGGAGCGGATCGAGTAACAGCTAATGGCGATACTGCCAACAAAATTGGTACTTATCAATTAGCTATTCTCGCTAAGTACCATGAAATCCCGTTTTACGTTGCTGCGCCAACAACCTCTATTGATTTAACTAAAAGAACCGGTGACGAAATTGTTATTGAACAACGGCCTTCGAAAGAGATGACAAGTATTAAAGGAGTGAATATCGCTGCTGAAGGTATTGCTATCGATTGATGGAGTTAAGTTTTCTATTTGTTCAGTTATTTAGGTGTACAAGTCTGGAATCCGGCATTTGATGTGACACCAGCTCAACTGATAACCGGCATCATTACTGAGCATGGCGTGTTTAAACCCGATGAGCTTGAAGAGAGATTATTAGCTTTAAAAAATAATAAAAGCTCTTGAGTCGCATTTTATTTACAAATTTCGATGTTGTACGAATAGTTTCAAACAATTGAGGATTGAAATTTGTTTCAGATAACACTGAGCAAAAGGATAATGACGAATTTAATTCAAGAAGGTTCGAAAGTTATTCTTTACCTTGGCTATAATAATCTGCATGTGATCAAAGTTAAAATAAATGAAGTTTATCAAACGAAATTCGGCGCATTGAAACATAATGATTTGATCGGCAAAGAATTCGGCAGTAAAATCATATGTGCAAAAGGTTATGTGCATGCATTACCTATAGTTCCCGGTAAAGAAGATGAAAAAGTTGTATGAGAGCAACAATACGATATGACTGTTTCTAGAATTATGGACATTGGCATTGCCACATCGTACACAGATTCTTTACATGGCTGATATTAGTTTGATTTTACTTGAATTAGATATTAAACCAGGCTCAATTGTCATTGAAGCAGGTAAACATATGGCTACCTATGGCAAAGCCAAACATTTGTTTTGACTATTTCTCTTTATCAGGAACCGGTAGTGGATCTTTGTCCCACTCCATTATTCGAGCTATACGTCCAACTGGTCATCTACACACATTTGAATTTCATGAGCTCCGTTCGAAGTTAGCACGCAGTGAATTTGAGGTAAATCTATTCGGGTAAGCCGAAGACGACATTATGAAATAAAATCATTTATATTCCATAATCTAGGAACATGGCCTTTCTCCATACGTAACTGCAAAACACCGTGATGTACTTGCGAATGGTTTTGAACATGAAAATATCGCCGATGCAGTCTTTTTGGACTTACCAGCTCCCTGGGATGCGGTAGAACATGTGATAAAAGTTCTGAAAAAATCTGGTATAGAGAAAAGAAACGAAAACAGATATTATTCATGACAGTTTGTTTCTAGGTGGCCGCTTGTGCACGTTTTCACCATGTATTGAACAAGTCCAACGAACATGTCAACGATTACGTGCAAATGGTTTTGAGCAAATCAGTACTGTCGAATGTTTACGTCGTGTACATGAATTCCGTTATCAACATCGAAGTAAAATTCGTTTTACTGCTGATCAAAACCAAGACCAACCGCAGCAGCAGCAAGACGAGGAAGAAGTGAATAATATCAAATCACCTAAACGAGAATCGATGGAGGATGGCGAAGAAGAGGAAGAAATTAGCACCAATAAGAAACAAAAGAAGAATTCGGAATCAACGAAAAGACAAACGCCAGAAACAGTATCAATGTTGGTAGCAAATGGTCCTCTGATCATGCCTGGTCACACCGGTTATTTGACTTTTGCTTATCTCAAACAAGAATAAATTTCTGTGTTATGCTTTTCTCTTTTCTTTCTGATAACAATAAACATCAGAATACGTGTTGCTCGACCCTTTGTTACGAGAATATCAATCTTTGATTGAATGATGTCAACTGACGTTGTATATTATATTTAATAAACAAACAAACAAACAAACAGAGAGAGAGAGAGACATAAGAAAACTAACAGATATGATGTTTTGAGTTGAATATATACACGCAATTGATCATAACTAGAGATATTAAGGTCGGCTATTGCGATCACATTCAAGTTGACATTCTCGAACTAGAACACGAGCTGATGCAATAGCGCGTCTTAAACGTTCAGCCGAGTTTTTGCTTCCAGCATAGGTAGGCTTGATATCTTTACCCATTTCTTCGATAACGTTGAGTAATTGAACGTATTTGGTTTGTTGCATAATTCGTTGCTGATGTTGCTGCGCTTGAGTGAGCTGTTGTTGAACAGCTGGAGGAATTGGGACATATTGGTGGGATTGTTGCTTAATTTGTTGGTGATGAACAGGATTGTGCGATACAACAGGCGCTGCTGCTGCTGCTGCTGCTACTGTCGCTGAGGATGGTGGAGGTAAGAGTGGCGAATTTCGACCAGCTGAACCTTGTAACATACTCGAAGGTCCGGCTGGATTGAGAATGGGTCGTGATGGAGCGACTGGAGATTGTTGTTGAGGTTGTTTACGAATTGATAAATCCATTGTTAAATCCATTTAAAATGTATTGAATATAAAAGTCTTTCCTAGATGATTTCCAAAACGAATACTCTGATGATTATTAGAAATTTATACAGGTGCGTGTGACTTCTTCGTTCGATGATAGTCACAACCGAAAGAGAAAAAAAGAAATAAATAAATTAATCAAACAAGAAAGAACATGAACGGAAATCAATTCGGACGCGATCATTGGTCGAGATTTTCTTTCCTTAGTTGTGTACGTTAAAGTCACCGATAGTTGTCGTTAATAATCATAAATAATGACCGAAAGTTTTGTACTCAAAAGGAAATCTTCTTACACTATATTTTTTTTCAAAAGCAAAACAAACGATATTCATTACAAAAACACAAGATAATAAACTATACAATTCACTCATGCTCTGGTTGTTAATTCTTCACCGAGAGCTGCTGTTCGATTTACACTCGGATCTTTCTCTTCATTTGTTGATCGTTGACATAATTCTTCCAGTAAAGCAATAACTCGATTCGTTTGTTTTTCCAGTCCAGCTAACTTCGTTTCTAATCGTTGCACTTTCGCATTCAGCGTCAACTGTTCGCGTTCTTTATCCGATAGAACGATCGGATAGGATTTGGGTAAACCTAATGTTTGATCTAAACGACGTTGGATATCAGCGAGAGTATACATCACTTTCAAATTGCCTTGAGCATTTTCGTCCATGATATCTTTGAAATTGTAGGGTTTATGTGCTTGACGAAATTTTCTTTTCGCAACATGGTATTTGATAATTCTTATCATTCGAATTGCCACACGTTGACTTGTATCTAGATCTTCCGCTTTTTGCACTTTGCGCCAAGAGATTTTGTCTAATTGTACTCCGCTCGTTGATGAATTATATGGTTGAGGACCGTTCCGTAAACGTAGTGGGCTTTGTATATTGTCAGTAACACTGACTGCGAATGTCGAACCAGCATGACGATTGTATTTATTCATTCGTTTGGTTTCGATACGATAGATACGCCAGGTCGAAACTAAATTCGGGCGACGCGCAGCGACCATACGCCACCAGTTCTGAATGAGAGTTGCGGCAGCGGGCACCAGCCGATTGAACTGTTTCTCACGTTTCTTCTGTTCGACTTTTAGAGCAAATCCCGAACCAATAATACCCGATGGTAACGTCCAAAATGCGACGCCACAAATACATAAACATGATGTGATCATTTTACCGATATAAGTTCGAGGATATTTGTCGCCATAACCGATCGTTGCCTAAAATTTCCGAAATACTTTTCAAAGATTTTCAATCTCTTCCGTGGAAGTTCTTACCATTGTGACAATCGCCCACCAAAGGGTATCGGCAAAACTATGAAACATATCTTCACTAGGTGGTTTTGTTTCATCCTTTTCGACTAACCAAATTAAATAAGCCACAACAATTAAAAATATGAAACAAAAGTAGAGTGTAGCAATCAACTCATAACGATGATCATAAACAACTGAACCAAGTAGACGCCACGATGTCAAACGTCGATCGACGTGCAAAAAACGAAGAATTTGAAGAATACGAACATATCTCACCAGTTGAATACTGAATTGTGTGTTATTCATCCCCATGCATAGCAGAATTGCATAACCACTGATGACAAATAGATCAACAATGCACATGGCTTTACGCATAAATAACAATCGACCATGTCGACCACGGTATTTACTCCGACAACCAGATGACCAAACACGTATGATATATTCGATAACAAAGAGAATAAAAAGTACGAATTCGATCCAGAATAAAATCGAATATGATTGTTCGACATAGACAGTTAAGATTGAACTGTATACTAGACAACCAATGACAACAACAAAGACGGAAAAGTGATAAAGAAAGCAGAGAATTCCACATGGTCGTTCGAGGAAATTATAAACACGAGCTTGAAATGGATTGTGTAAACGTTTCAATGAAACATGGTGACTTAATGGTGAACCATAATCTGTTTCTTCATCACAACCATTCGTCTGCAAAGATGCACCACTAATCTCTCGTCGAAGTTTTGTTGGCGATGAAAACGAATTTTCATCAGTTGGTACTGGCATAAAACGATGCGTGGTATCATTCATGTTTATCTTACATAACTACATCAAACAAAAACAGAGCTTCTCACATGTAAAGACATGGAATTTACTTGTTAGAGATGTAGATAATACCGATGCGTTATTGTTTCTATGCAGTACTATATTGAAGAATGATGATGTTGCATCCATGAATATATGTTATATGTGTGTGTGTGTGTCGGCACCGCACATTCGAAACCTTCACTATCGAAATACAAATCTCTCTCCCCCTTTTTTCAATTCTTTTTCTTCTCGTTCGTACGACGCGTGTCGACGGTACTCAATGTTGTAGCATGTATACTTGAGCAAGATTTTTCGCTAGCAAGAAGAGAAGAAATGAGACTTATATATCGCATTTCTCTGTTCGATTCTCTTCTCGAATGTATATGAAAATGAGAGAACAACAAAATAAGAAACATTTTTCATAGGTTATAGTCCGACTATAGTTCTAATACTCGATGCATTTTAGATTCGTTTCGCTCTGTGACATTTATTCGCTAGGCTGACGTTGAAGAAAAATGTATCTGTGTTATTTTAATAGTTTCGAAACAGCAACAAACAAATCAGTTTTAAGTACTTGCAAGAAGAATCACTGATTTATTCGATGATAAGGCGAAAACATACAGCTGCAAGAATTCAACTCATATTAAAAGTATTTTATTACGCTTTGACGATAAATTGCCTCGATTAAATATCCATTCAAAAGTCATTTATGACTTTTAAACAGCTTCACGAATAAACTAATTGATTCTTGATATCATAGAAATCCTACATAAGCAAAAATGCACTTTCTATATATAGTAAATCGAACCGCTATGATTGCCTGTTGAAGTCGCGAAAATGATAGAAATTCAGATGTGTAATTTTCGTTCGGTGAATGTTATTGAAATGAAACATGAATATTCCCAAGATCATAACAAAACTATGATCATTGTCGAAAAACAGAAAACTTTAACAATAACGTTAATACAAAGATAACAAAAACAAATTGAAACGATTCAATTTGGTCGTTTTCATTTATTCATCGTCGTCGAACTTGATTTTCTTTCTGTTCGTTTCATTTGCACCAAAGCCATTTTCGTTATTACCGGTGAAGCTACGCTTCATACCACGACCGTCGAAACCGTTGGATGATGGCCGACCCTTTTTCGGTTCCGGACAATCAAATGATTTGTGACCAGTTTTACCACAATTGAAACAACCACCGCCACCTAATAGACATACTGGTTGTGCTTAGAGGATAGACTTGTATTATTAGAAGGACTTACCGGATCTGCGTTGAGATTGTTCACCATTGGCATCGGGACATTCGAATGACTTGTGACCTTCTTTATGACCTAAATCAAATTATTTAGCATGAAACTTAAGAGAATGAAATATTTACATTTGAAACAAGCATCTAAAAGTAAAGAAGATATGAGTAAGATGAGGATTTCAATTTAATTTTTGTCGTACTCGATCGATCGCCATTGCGATTACCAGCATAACTTCCACCACGTGATGGTCCGCTGCCATTACGTGAAAATCCTCGATAACCACCGGTTCTCGACGAATCATCAAGTGGTGGCAGTTTTTCAATGGCTTTCATTTGAATTCTCGGACTGTCTTTCCAATAACTTTGCAATTGTTCGTCCAATTCACTTGGAATATCGAATACTGCGCTCTAATCAAAGCAAATTATTTGTTTTCCCATCGAATCTTCTCTCCAAATTCGATGTTTACATACTCGATAATCTGGTGTAAATGCAACTTGCGAACATTTACCTTTTGCATCAAAATCTTCACCAAAGCATTTACGTAACATTACAAATACCAAACCTGGACCTTTTAACTCATCGGTAACTGTTAGCATATATGTGGTGTAATTCTAAATAATCAAATTAATGTTAACAAGTGAAAGGAAACGAAATATTTCGTTTACTTCTTTCTTGGTGAGAAGAGATCGAGGAACGATGTGGGTTGTACCGGATATGCACGCCAATGCAGCTGATAGAGCGTCGAGTGCATCACGTGTCTCGAGGATTTTCTCGGCTGCTTCACGAAAATGAGCTTTTGCGGCATCAGTTACACTATCGAGTGCTCTGGAAAATATTAATGAATAGATAAGACACAATGGCGAAGAAAGATTACTTTGCTGCATCAGCGGACGATGCACTGAGAAGATCTGCTGTTCCTGGTGGTTCAATACGTGTGAATTTAATTCCCTAAATATAGCAAAGAACTGTAAAACTGAGTTAAGAATGACTGCGTTCATACTGCTTCGATTTCGACACGTTTAAGGTCACGTGTTTGATTCGATTTGTATAAACAAATACATTTTCCTTGTGCACCAGCTCGACCTGTTCGACCTGAGCGATGTATATATGATTCTACATCCTACAATTTAAAAAGAACTATAGGCATCGTTCAATGTAATGATGCTCTTACTTTAGGAGGAGCTGTAACAAGTACAAGGTCAACTTCCGGAATGTCCAGACCACGTGCAGCGACATCAGTTGTTATCAGTAAACGGTATTTACCTTCACGAAATTTCTAAACATCATTACATAGTGTATTTGCTCAACTAAACAAATTCTACTGAACCTTAAGTACTAATTCACGTTTGTCTTGAGGAATATCACCATGTAAGACATGTGCTTCAGCTTTGATGTCATGGCTGACTGACAGTTCGTCCGCTTCCTTTTTGGTTTCGCAAAAGACGATCGCACGACCATCGAGTGTACTGCTTGAATAGATTTGCACGAGAGAATTGATCACACCAGCTCGATCTTGATATGTGCAAGACACTGCCAGATGCTAAGTGAGCGACACACACACACACAGATAAGAAATAAAATTTCATGAAATATAAATTTACTTCAACATTTGCTGATGTTCGTTGTGCTCCTTTGACTAAATCAATTGTAACAAAATCCTTCGACATGTATTTCTTTGTGGTTTTATGCACCCAGTCTGGCATTGTTGCCGAAAACACAATGAATTGTGGTTTCTTTTCCTGTTCTAAACAATCCCAAATCAAATTTTAACATACGAATTTCCATTTTTCGGAATTTTCATTACTTGCTGTAAACATGTAACCAAGAATTTCTTCAACATCGTCAATAAAACCCATATCGAGCATTCGATCGACTTCATCCAGAACAACATGTTTTACTTTGCTTAAATCCAGTCTCTTCTTTTCGACAATATCTTTCAAACGGCCTGGTGTAGCAACAAGGATATCGCATCCGTTTCGAATACTATTCTCTTGATCTTCGTATTTCTTTCCACCATAGATCGTTACGACGGATAAATCACTAACAATCGATTGAAAATCATCAGAGATTTGCTTAGCTAAAACATCAAACATTCCGCGTTAAATTTTTGTTTCTCCATCCTACTTACTCAATTCTCTTGTTGGTGCTAAAACAAGAGCACGTGGAGCTCTTCCACGGACTAATTTGACTGATGTGTCATTTTGGAGAATTTCAACAACCGGTATGGCAAATCCCAAGGTTTTACCAGTACCTGTATATGCCTGAACTAAACAATCTTTTTGCTCATAGACGTGTTTGTAGCTTTCTGCTTGAACGGGAAACAGAAAGCTAATATTTCGATCTAGAAAAACACAGAAGAATTCATTTGGTGTTTGAAATGTTTTCAGAATTACCTTTCAGTTTTTTAATAGTTTTCTTCGAAATATTAAAATGTTTGAAATTTCCTTTTTCCTTGTCTTCATCCTTTAAATGCATATGTGTTGTTGATGAATTGTCTCCATTGGTTGTCATCTCATCATCGCCATTCTCTTGTTCATTGTTAACGACGATTTTATCTTGATTTCTGAGTTTCATTTCGATTTATTTTCTTCTTCTTATGTAAATGATGAGATCTAAAATTGAAACCAAACGAATTCTAACCCTAGGTAAGATAAAAAACAGATTCACCAAAGTTTATTCTTCGAATACTACAAACGAGAGAAGAGAAAAAAAATAGAAATTCTTTGCCTATATTCATCTTGAAACATGCAATCAAATAGAAATTCGAACGAAAGACTATCGGACGGAGAGATGCAACGAATAAGTAAAAATAGAAAATAGAGGGATTTTAAAGGAATTATAAATATTTGCGAATATATTCAAACACACGTTCTTCCATATAAATACGCTCATCAAGTTTTCTCGGCATGTGTCGTTCATCAGGAAATAGAATTAATTCGTATGGTTTATTCGCTCGTATCAATGCGTTGACAAGACGAGCTGTATGACGAAAATGAACATTTTCATCGATTAGACCATGTATAAGCATCAAATGTCCTTTCAAATTATTTACATGGTACATGACACTTGAAACTTCGTATCCATTTGGATTTTCTTCAGGTGTACCCATATATCTTTCGGTATAATGAGTATCATACCTACAAAAGAATACGCTTATATGAAATTTTGCTACAAATATCTTACCCATCCCAGTGTGTCACTGGTGCACCGGCAATACCCAATTTGAAAACGTCACTTGCACGAACTAAGGCCATCGCAGACATGTAGCCGCCGTAGGACCATCCGTATATGCCAACACGATTCTCATCGGTGATACCTTGTTTGATAAGATGGCGAACACCATCGATTTGATCTTCAAGCTCCAAATGGCCCATGTCATATTTTATTACACTTTCGAAAGCGACACCACGATTCAAACTACCACGATTATCGAGTCGTAAAACAACGTAACCCGATTGCACTAAACGTTGACAACGCATATCACTTCGAAGTGACCAAGAATTAACAACACTAAAAGAAGAGAATGATGCTTTCCTAACATAGACAGATCGTCAGATTTACCGCTGGAGATGTGGCCCTCCATAAACGGATACCAATGTAGGATAAGGTGTTTGATATTTGCCTGGTTCATCATCTGGCTTATATAATGCACAGTAAAGTGTATTGTTATTTCGATTTTGTATAGAAAATAAAGTTGGTTTAATAAAATGAAATTGGTCTATGGTTGGATGTTGTTTTTGTATGAAATGATCGAATATTTTGACAATCTCTTTCTTGTTAACATCCAATAATCTAATAATTGGCTGTTGGTCGATAGAATTCCACTGTGTTACGCAATATTGATATGTTTGATTAAAACAATAGACTATATGGCAACCGGATTCTTGTGTAATTCGTTCGACTTGTGGTATTTCATCCTTATAATTGACACTATATAGATGAACTTCAAGTGGAGTTTCTCGATTAGCTAAAAAGTAAACAATGGAGTTCGTTTCATCGATGTCAACAATTTGCTGCACGACCCAGTTTCCACTGGTTAACAGTTTGATTAGTTTTCCCGTCTGTAAATCGCGCAACTCTAAATGCATAAAACCGGTTCGTTCACTAGCCCATATGAATTGTTCAGGTGTGTTCTTCAGTGTATAAAATAGATCATGCAGATTAATCCATGATTGACTTGTTTCTTCGAGTAATCGCTTCAGTTTAGATGGATTTCGAAGATCATATTGATATAACTCTAATCTTGTTTGCTGACGATTTTCTATCTGTAAAGCGAGTGAGTTATCAGGAAAGAATTGTACACGCGGTATGTAATAGTCATCGAATGAGCTCAAGTCCACCCAATGTACATTTGGCCCATGTTTTTGATCGTTACTGGTGAGATCGATGATACCGACAGTTACTCGAACATTTTCTTTGCCAGTAAATGGATAACGATGTTCTTCCACCTAAAGTATTCAAAAATAATAGTGGAATCAGATTTGAAGAAAGATCCTCAAACATACATATTCAGGATCATCAGAACCTGAATGTGATATGCGAAAAACAGGTACGTTTGATTCATCAACTTGAGTGAATGCAATCAAGCTCGAATCATCCGACCACCAGAACCCATCATTTCGATCCATTTCTTCCTGGGCGATAAATTCCGCAAGGCCATTGGTTTTATTTGGACAATTGCGTGCATCAAATGTCAATTGTCTTGGTTGAGCACGCGGATTCGATGGTAACGTCGATATACAATAAAGTTCACAATCTTGAACATATGCAACGAATTTTCCATCAGGTGATAATTTAGGATCAAGTATGGGAGTCTGGTACGTTCCACTAACCAGCAATCGAAGTTCTTTTTTGTCATGAATATACAAATCACTGGCAATAGGGATGAGCATTATCCATTGTGTTTTATCTTTTGTCCATTGATAACGTGTTATGCCAGTTATTAATTGACGTTGACGCTAAAAATGAAAGATGCACAATATACTCGAATGTTTTCATTTTATATACACGTAAAAGTTTAGAATTAGTTCTGTTTGCTTTGAAAGTTCGTTATGGATTTAACTCTCTCTCTCGAAGATGAGAAAAAACACACCTACTTCACGTCGAAATTTTTCTTCCATTGAAAAATTATCTTCCATCACTTGATCAGCATCATCATCGGGCGCAGCATAGATAAATTCTCTATTAGTTCGTAGATTAAATGCATACAATTGCCTAATTAATGATTGATTCAGTGAACGAAGATAAGTGATAATATTATCATCCGGACTGAAGTGGATTGATTCGGCTAGATCATAACCAGGTTGAGGAATTAATGCTACATCTCTACTGGTTATTCGTTTATAAGGCATCTGAAATATATGTATATAGAGAGAGAAAAAATATCATTGCACGACGATAAAAGAATAATTCGTGATTAGAGTGCAAATGCTGGATTTTTAAGTACTTAAATTCAGAAGGAAGAGAAAAACTATCGAACGTTAAAATATAGTGAGAAGAAACAAATGAAATATACATGTAAAGTCGTTCAATTCTCTTTAGTCACGTTTTTTCTGTTCCATGTTGCTTTGCGATTGTTCGTAGGAGGGCGGCATTTGTGGAACGTACATTTGACCGCCATAGGCATTGTTTTGATAAGCTGGTTGAGGTGGATACTGTACCGGTGCTGATGGTACTTCCGGATATTGTGGAATGAATTCTGCCCGTGGAAGACCGGTGGGTTGGCGTTGGTAAACACCTTCATAAGGTGCTTGGGCTGGCGAAACATACATCGTTGTCTCTACAAACAGAAGTAGATCGTATCAAATCATATTCAGCAATTTTTAATCTCACCTGCAAAATGATTATTTGATGATTGTGCTGCCTGATATGACGGTGGTGGAGGTTCATACAGATTTTCTGCTGCCATGCTGTAAGATCTAAAATAATTCGAAAGAATGCTTAACCAACGAATCGTGGAGAAAAGTCGATGGTCATTTACGGTGGTGCTTGGTTTTGTCGATGAACTACAAAGAAAAAGAGTACAATAATTTATGAAGCGTCTCATTTGACATTAAAGATGACTCACAAATTGAATTAACCTCACGTAATGCTTTACTAGCATCAATAGCACCACCAGATGAATAGGTTAATTGAAATTTAACTTCACCTTGAAATCCACCTGTAAGAAACGAAAGAAAAATGAGAGAAATGTCAATCATAACGATTGTTCTTATCAGTTAATTGCTCCAATGGAATATAAAGATAAAACGAATCGAGAAGAAAGAGGAATCGAGTACTCAACGATGATGGCGATTAAACAACAAACGTGGAGTTTTATTGCGTTCATCTGTATTCTTAATATCCGAATAACATTTGAAATAGAAGCTGAAATTGATTACTATCGATATTTACAACAATTTGGTTATACGCCAAACGTTGAAGGTCGACGGTTATTCAGTATTTTGGCTAAATCATCTTATACAGAAGGAATTCTTAAATTACAACGTCTTTACAAATTGCCAGTGAGCTCTTTTTTCGGAATTAAGTTATTTTTCTCGAAATAGCAAATATAGGAAACTGGTCAATTCGATGAAATAACGACAAATTTTATGCGAAAATCGCGCTGTGGTAATCCTGATCTCGGCACCTATGACTCAATCGGGCGTCCTGTGAACATCGATGTACCTGAACAAATATCCGCCAACAATGTTCAAAGTCGATCAGGTAACGCAAAAAGTCCGGTACATTCGTCAGCGCAAACATCTATTTGGCCAAAAAAACACTTAAGATGGTACGTAGAAGAATATCCTACAAAACAACAGTTTATCCCATCTAATGAACAAATTCGTCGTATATTTCACCAATCGTTTGCTGATTGGCAAAAATATTCCGGATTAACCTTTGAAATGACCACATTAAAAGATATGGCCGACATCAAAATCCAATTTCGTTCTTTAAATCACTCAGATGGTTATCCATTCGATGGACCGGGAAAAACCTTAGCACATGCATTCTATCCTACAAGTGGCGACATACATTTTGATGATGATGAATCTTTCACCGACAAGTATACGAATAATCACGAAGAATATACGCTAAGACTGATCGCCGCACATGAAATCGGACATGCGCTAGGCTTATCACATTCATTCGATCAAGATTCATTAATGTATCCTATCTATCAACAGTTTAATGCAAGCTATGAATTGTCTATTGATGACCAACAAAGTATTCAAGCTCTATACGGCGCACCACAAATTCAGCTGAAGCCAACATTACCAACGTTCGTCACATCAAAGCACTCATCTGATATTATACCTAGTGACAATTGGTGCTCAGGTCAATTCCAAACGGGTTGCGAAGGACCAGATGGAGAACTCTACCTCTTTCGAGAGAATCAAGTATGGCGATATCAGGCAAAGAAAAGACGATCATGGGATCCTCAGCCACGGTTAATCAGCGAACGTTTTCCATTGTTAACTGACGCAACGATTACCGCGTGCGTAAAATCATCCCTTGGCTACACATATTTATTTCGAAACTATCGAATGTGGAAAGTGAAAACGCATTGGGCTATCGATGGACCTCATATCCTATACGGCAAACACTATCCACAAAATCCACGTATTGCTCTCCTACATCAAAATTCGATTTATTTGATACGGAATCGTCTGATCTATCGATTGAACGAATACGATCATAATCGAGAATTAGAAATTCGTACAATCGATTCAATACTCTATCCACCACCGGAAGAATTTATTCGATCGGGCTTCACGTATTCAAAACATCATTATATCTTCACAAAAAGATTAGTTTATGTCTATGACTCTACATATGGAAATCTTCTACCAGGTTATCCGAAATCTATTACAAATGGTTGGTTTGCATGCGAAGGCGCGTCTGAATCACCAAATTGGAAGAAAAAAATGACTTCAACGATGCGGACATCACCATCAAATTCGTATCGAAAACACGATCATGAAGACGATGAGTACGCTCATCCTTTTCACCATCATCACCACCATTCACGCCACTATCACCATCATAATCGATTTCGTCGACCATGGTTCGAACATCGACCACCTTCTCCTCCTCCTGAGTATCGCCGTCGATGGCAAGATTGAAATATATACTTAAAAATCTCTTTCTATTTTCTGTAAGCACTCAATCAGGCTCTTAATATCACATTCAATCGAAAATAACTAGAGAAAAGTTTCAAGCACACTCACCGTTCGGATGTGCTGCAGCAATGCCAGAAATATAATTAGCACCAAAAATCGGTTGTTCAACACGTAAGTTTTTCATGTACATAAAAGCCACGGCAAACGAGAGTAAATTATCTCGTTGATCATCGCTGAGGAAGATCATTCGATGAGTTGTAACGAAAACCTTGCCCTTATGTTTACCACGGAAAACTTCACTATATTGACGACTAGCATCATCGAATGCTAATGTCACATTCTTCGAATGATTAACAATTCTAAAAGTGATATTGATGATTTAGGAAAAGGATTTTTGGTGATTTACTGTTCGCCTTGGTAGAGCAAAAGACCACCTTGATAATGTGCTTGGTTGATCGACATTTTGATGTTTATATGGAAACAATTATGAAATAACTTTGACTTTTGAGATCAAAATCGAATCGTTATCGTTGTAGTGCAAATAAATTTCGACGTGAGTAAATAATCCAGATTTTATTTTGTGTAGAAGAACGAAATTTCCTACAGGTCGAACAAACCACCAATGTTATTCAGCCTCTGTTTTCACTAAATTTTTTGTTCGAAAAACGGAAATAACTGTCGAATCACTTTTTCGCCTCGTCATATCTGGTCTTGTTATGAAAAAAAAAACAATAAATTAAGTTGTGAACAATCGGCGACATCTGTCCTGTGAGAAACTCGCCGATAGTCGCAAATGAAAAACTCAGAATAGTTCCGAGAGAAACCAATTTAATAGTTCAATACATAACAAATTTATAAAAAATAGATGATCGTTTATTTAATAAAATGAAGAGGACATATTGCTTTCTCTTTTATTAATTAATCACCACAACAACTCGACTTCTTTCGCGTTTGCTTATCCAAATCTATTCCTGCCGTACGAAAACGCTCTAGATCTTCGTTGCATTGCATATCTCTACAGTAAGAAAAGATTTATTTTTACCCTCTTGAAAAGAAATTTTCTATCGTTACATACCGTGCTAATTCATACAATGTTTCACTGGAGTTAGTTCCATCTTTCGCACTGGTTTCGATAAATAATGCTTTATACATCTAGAAAACGTGATGCCATTCATCGAATATATTGAATATTTATACAGTTGCGAAACAAACCCTGGCTAATTTTTCACCTTCAGCTTTTTCAATGACACGTTTGCCTTCAGCTCGCATTTGATCTCGAAGATCGATTTTATTAGCAACGATCATCACAGATACCTTCTTCGGTGTAGAATCGGTGATTGTGTCGATCCATTCACGAACATTCAAGAATGACCGTTCATATGTCGAATCGTAGACGAGAATTACACCATCACATCGGCGAAAGTATGACTTAGCAATACTACGAAATCTGTAGTAAATCAATCGTTTATTAGCAGTGAAATTTATCTCGCAAATATCTTAACCTTTCTTGTCCAGCTGTGTCCCATAATTGAAGTGCGACGCGTTTACCATCGACTTCAATTTCCTTGTTTTGAAAATCGACACCTAGTGTAGTACTTGCGCTGGTTTCGAATTTTTCTTTACATAGACGCATAATTAGTGCGGTTTTGCCGACAGCAGCATCACCGCAAAATACTACTTTGAACATACGACTAGATTAAAAATAAATAAGATACGACAAGCAAAAAGGATGACAAGACGTTACTCAAATGGAAGATCTCGTATGGTATCCGGTGTAGCTGATCTATCACTTTGTACTCCTGTAGATGCTTGTGCAATCGGATTTGCTCGTTTTAGCGCTCGGTGTTGTGACATTCGTTTTGGATGGCTTCGATCAAGTGGAAATTGCTAAAGATCCAGGAGTCTAGAAATTAACTAGGGTGAGGAAAATGTATTTGCTCTACCTGTACAAAAACATCATCTGAATCTGAATAATCATTAATGCGTTTGGTCAGCAATGGTCGAAATTGTTTATTGTTAAGCGATGTTTGTCGATTGAGTTTCGAATCTCGTTCTGATTCTGCTTCAGTCGCATCTCGACCTGTTGTCAATGACAATCCACTATCTATATTAAATAAAACCACATTCATGAATATTTCCTTTCAAAAGAATGTTTTGTAATTCAAGCATAAATATGTTTCGATTAATCGCATTGGATGGAGGAAAAGAAATTTGTTAAAAACAACATTGATTGATTTCTGTTATATGCACATGCAAACAAACCGTTCATCGTACTATTGCCATCGGCAGATGAGTTCGCCTTATCGATAGTTGCTAATGATGAAAATTTGTTTGAGGATATATCCGTCGCCAAGTTTTTCAATGTCCCAGCTCTATTGTTAATTATACCTATTTCATCAGTCGAATCTAGATCAAATGAATCGAATCTTCGTGCATTGTTGCCCGGTGTGTATGACGGTGATGGACTATCGCAAAGGAAAATGAATAATGTTTATCATTCATCTTTATTAGAGCAATCATACCTGTCTAACTTATTATTATTCCAATAGTTGCCTAATGTTGATCCAGCTGTAGATACTAGTCGTCCTGCCGGAAGAGAATTCTGTAGAAACGAAGAGAGGCATGTGTTGTTAAACTGACTAAATTAATCTTACGGTTTTCAGAATGGTCGAATTTGTTTTATTCGCTTCAATATGTGCACGTAAAGAGTCATTTTCATCACGAAGTTGTTTATTAACTTCCCTAAGAACAAAAATAGGTACATAATTTCCGATGAGTGAATTATTTTCCACTCAAAGTACATACACTAAGTGTCGAACGTTCGTTTGTAATGACTCTTTCTCTCGATGATTACCCGATGATGATTGTTTCTCTCTGAAAAAAAATCATCGATTAAAACATATTCTGGTCTACATATCAGTTTCGATATTTACTGTAAGAGCAAACTCTGCCGTTCATTGAGTTGTGCTTTCAATGATTGAATATCACTTTTAAGGATCGCATTGGTAGTCAATGTATCGTTTAAAGATGCGTTCAGAGTTTGATTTTCTCCGGTCAATTTTGCAATTTCTTCACGTAATGAAATAGTCGAAGAATCATCTTCGCTTTTTTGTGCAGAATAACGCTTTTCGATCTACTCAAATAAAAATGTAGATTCATCGTTGACCTTTTGTCTTCAAGTGAAATTTTACCGTTTGTAATCGTTGAATTGTCAGTTTTAAATCGCTGATTTCACTTTGAGCACGTTGTTGAATCAATTCGCGTTCTTGTTCGAATTTTTTTCGTTCCTGATCAAAAGAAAAGTTCGGTGTTTCTGCAGAATTACATCAAATATCATTTACAGTATCTCGTATCTTCTCCTCAATCTCCCGCATGTCTTGTTCTTGTTCCATTTCGATATTTCTCAAATATCTTTCATGTGTTTCTTTTTCACTAGATTGAAAAGCAAAGTCAACACACATCGTTGAGATTCGATTTCGACTTTCGAACATTACCGCTTATAAGAATCTTCTAATCGTTTGATTTCCTTGCGATATTTGAGCATATCACAGACAAACACTTCAAGAATCGATTGAAATTGTTGAGTTGCATCACTTGAACCATTACGAAGTGTTTCATAAAACTCGAATATTTGCTCTTGACTAGAAAACAAAAAAAACAAATCTCTGTATGAATCATCTTCTGGTGATTGTATATTGAAAGAAACCCGAAAAAGAGATGATCAACATTTGCTGATTGTTCAACCGTTTTAAACGAAGCACTATAAACTGTTTACACTCGTCTACATACTTCGAGAAAATATCGTCGTTCGACATTTTGTGATTAGCTACGTCCATTGAATACTAGTAACAAATAACGAAATGGCTAATTTGTCTATCTGCACACGTTGTTATTATGAAAAAAAATAATCAAAATCGTTTCGTCTGCGACATCATCGATATAGTCATTTATAATACTCTATTTTTTTTCTTGCCGCTTTCGTTCTCGTTCTCTTTTCATCTTCAACGATATGCACAATTTCGTATACATACGTGTTTACTAAAAAACAACACAACCTGGTTAGACATACGCAAAAGTAATGCGACTTTTTTTACTAACGTACATTAGAAGTGTGGGTGATTGTCAACTTAAACGCGAAGGAAAAACGTTACAGTTACTAATAAATGCATGGGTGGTAATATGCACGAAACGACTTATAATAATTACACACATAATGATATGAGAGGTAAACTTTGCGCCAACTCATGTACAACTGTCATAAGCAATACGAGGTGTATATCTGATTTCTTTATGATAGGCATACCACGCAAGATCGTTGAAGATTTCGTTGAGTTGAGCATGGGTCACGATGTCTTTCGTCTTAGTCTGCCGTGAGTGATCATTGAGGCCAAGGAGTTCTTGTAAAGATATTCGATTGTCACGGTCTATATCGTATTCATCGAATATTGTGTCGATTTCTAACGGCGTCAGGTTAGGACACGCTTGTTGAAGTTTGTTCCTATCGATATAACCAGTTCCATCTGTATTCAACATTTGAAAAATCGTATTCATATCATCGGTATTACCCATCATGTTATATACAGATCACATTTATTCGCGGAGAAAGTTTTCGAGAATGTTTTTGTGACAATGAATGTCGACAACCCATTGCACCAGATGGATTTTTATATTCTACAACGAAAAAAAGGAATCTATCGACAACAAGGGCACAAATAAATATCAATTATAGGCATTTATAATTTACGAGTCGCATATGAATAAAGGCAACACATTTCTCTACTTCGATAGTGCCATAATCGAGGTAGACCATGAGTAGAATCAACCTATTTATCGATAGTTTATTATATACGCAAACGAAAGCAAAACACTGCAACAATCCATTGTACTATATAAGTCATATAGACTGTCGAAAGTTAAAGTATATTAACACTCCGAACACATAGTTTATTAGAATAGAATTTAAAGGATGAGCTTACGAATGGTATACAAACATTTGCTTTGGTTAATTTTTGAAATGAATTGACATCTGCTATCAACTAGAGAGAAAATATTGTTCTTTATTTATTATTTATTATATGTTTTTGTTTTAGATAGGAATGAGAAAAACGTTGACAGTATAAGTCTGCTTTATTCTGTATAGACGATAAATGCTGTGGCAACAGCAATCATGTCACGACCGAAATTCGTTCGAACAGTAAGTGATCCATCCGTGTCTCGATCCCATAAACATCTTGATGCAATTGTTATCTCTTGATGTATCTGTCGATTCGGTGCTGCTTGCACAATTGATACAACGACAATAATTTTATATCGTGGAGTACTCAAGTACTCCGGTTTGAGAACGCGTCGTAATTGATGAGCCAAATCTCGTGCAAGATCGACACATAATTTCGGTTCATATCGAATACTTTTTGGTACTCGATTACAGCGCCGATTCAGTTCTAATTGCAGAATTTTTTGTGCACGACAAAAATCGAACTTTTTCTGTGGACCAAGAGCATACGTTGGCATTAGAAGTATCGGAACAGTTGAAGTAACATCCGAATATGTTGTACTAATTTCTCGTTGCCAATTTTTGCCATACAAAGGAACAGTTAGATTAGTTGATGTTTGCTGATCATTTGTTTGTTTTGTAACTGTAAAAACTCGTTGCAGTAACGTACGAGGTGTTATACGTTTCGCTGCCATACAAAGCTATGTTTATTTCTATTTGTTGCTGTTTTTTCCCGAAGTTTGTCTTTAAATATTGATCGTTAGTCATAATCACTCTTTTATTCAATTGAACATGCAAGAAATTCAATGATTAAACATCTGCGTTTGTCAATCACTCATTTTCTTCTTAGTACTGCTTTACTACACAATAAATCTGGCGAAGCGGCTGCTTTTTTTCTCTTCTCTCGTTCTTTTTGATGCTATTGTCGTTACGCAAAATTCTCTCAACAACAGAAAAGAAAGAAAGAAAGATAGAGCTGAACATGCACAGGTAAACGAGAAGAAAGAAAAAAAATGACGAGGTTGCGGTCGATAGAAAGTGAATGACTGACTAGTAGGACAAGAACGTCTGCATCCCAACGAACACGGATATAGAAGAAAAAGAATCTGATAAAAAAAAGCTACTCCCGACAGTAATACGTCTCACAGAATATCTTAACAACGGAAGTTTTTTTTTTCAGAACAACTTCCACTCATATGGCTTCAATTCAACAGCAGCAAGTTCCACAGATACAATCCACTACTATCACCATGACTAATTCGCCCCAGATTGATTGGAAAAAGCGTTGTGAACAACTACAAATCGAATATCAACTTGAGCTTAAACGTATTCACCATCATTATGATCGAGAACTTCGAGAAAAAGTCAATGGTAAACTTTTCCAGAATCAAAACGAACAGAAACTTGTAAATTTAATCTATTTTTTAAGAAGTTCGTCTTCGATTAAAACATGAATACGACCAACAAATTGCCGAGCTTCGTGCACGTCTATCCGAGCAGCACGATTTACCAAATATGAGCTTAAACCTGGATCAAAGTTTTGGTGATCAAATACGAGAACAAGTTCGTCTTGCCGAAGAACACGATCGTTATGAAGATGAGCAACATCGGCGGTTGCTATCACAACAATCAAATGATAACGAACCGTTCAAACGACTTATCAATAAATTACATTCCGAAGGTAAATAAATCGTATAAACACATATACGTCGTCAATGATTTTTCATGATTCTCAAGTGTCAATAGAGTTCGAATAATTATTAAACTGCACACATTCTGATTTCTTTAGGTGTTCAAGTATTGTCATTAACCGAGCTTCTTGACTTGCAAATCCAAGGAACAAATGTCAATTTAACAAATTCGATGCAAAAACTACATGAAGAAAACGCCTCTCTTCGCTCGTTGATTGCTAGTGTGAATGCAAATGGAAGTAGTCAGACGTTAATCGAATGTCTTGCAGATATATTTCGATGTGAACAAGAACGTCGTTTGAGTGAAATTCAGGAACAAGAAAAAAGTAAAGACTTAGAAGAAGAAATTCATCAAATGTGTGAGTATCAACGTCAAGCATTAGGTAAATTATTATCACAAAACCGTCTTTCCATTATCAATGAACTCGAACAAACCAAGAAAGAATTTAACTATCTAAAGGAACACTTCGAGCAGATCAAACAGAGCCAAAATCAATCGATTCATATCAACTCCCATCGTTTAAATAAGTTTTATTTGAAATATTTACGTTGTGAAGCTTATCGAAAGGCATTGATCTATCAAAAACACTATTTACTCGTCTTGTTGACTGGCTATGAAGATACGGAAACATATGCGCTGAATGAAATACGCCGTTTAACCGGAGATCCCAAAAGCGACGTATTCAAATACGATAAAATGGGATTCATGCCCAAACAACCCTTTCCTCAACGTGCTATGAATTATCGTTTTCGTTTTCGGTGCTATGTTACCGTTGTTATCGGAATTATACGAATGCGTTGGCTTGTGAAGAAATGGACACGAAAGATAGCGGCAATTCGATGAAGAGATTTGGTTTTCGTATTTTTTTATCGATGTAAATCAATAGATGTTAGTTGTAGGAAAGATAACAATAAAAACAAAATCTTTTTCATCAAACCGTAAAAAACCTAAATCATGCGATGCTATTTCAGTTGACCATGGAACTCAATGTCAGCAAGTCTGGCAGTTATTGCTACTATGATGCTCTGTCATTTTGTCTAACTATTCTTTTGACAATCGAAGGCTAAGCTCTGGAGAGAATTTGTTACTAAGATTCTTCAGATAATGACGATAGCGTACGTGCTGAGGGATATCTCGCATACACACGTCAATACTCTATCATTTCGAAAAGAAATATAAATGAGTTAGATAAGATAGGATTTGATCTTTTGTTTTCGATACTTGATATTCTTCACTTGACTATTTAGATCCAAAGCATACTGGGGAATTTGCTTTACATTTCGAATTCTCGATTATGGCTCGATTTGTTTTTCACTTGTTAGCTTTACAATTGGTGTTTATTGCCGGTGCATTAAGCCTTTTTTCATCAAAGAAGGTCGATGATGCAGTAAAATATCAACTTCAACAAAAGGTTCTTACACTTGGATCATCGTATACGATCAAGGATGATAAAGATAAACCAGTTTATAAGGTAAAATTTCAGATAAAAACTGTTTTGTTATAAACAGAAGGTCAATTCCTTTTAGGTTGGATTCAAACAATTAGGTTTAGGTAAACATCTTCAATTAACTGACGTTAGTGGCCAACAAGAGTTCTATTCAAGTAAGAAGTTTAGAAAAGCCGTTATTTATACTTCCGATTATTTTAGTTAAACACATTCTCAATCCGCTTGGCTTAGCTAAGTATGAAATTCGTCAGAACGATAAGGTCATTGCTGATATAAGGTAAACAATTGAATGAATCCTTGAACTAAAATTTTCAAGTGTAATTCTAGTCGAAAATTTAATTTCATTGGCGGCAAAAAGTTCTCCGTTAAATCGAAACATGGTACATTCAAAATCGAGGGCAATTTCCGTTCTCGTGAATTTAAAATTAAAAAAGACCATGTTCTTGTGGCAACCATTTCAAAGAAATTCTTCTCCGTTGGTGACAAATATGGTGTTAAAATTAACCGAGGTCAAGATGCTCCATTCATTTTAGCTTTGGCTATTGTCGTTGATGAAGTAGCTCATGATTAAAGCATTTTTATATGAACTAGACGTTGGTTTTCTATTATACCCTTTTTTTGTCATGCAGTGCACCCTTTTTTCCTGATTAATTGTCCATATCATGAATAAATACCATTGGTTTCATTTAAGTAGCCTGAAAAACTTTCTTACGTTTTCACGAAGTCTGTGGTTGCCGACAAGTCGATTTACGTAGATCTTGTCTAAGATTTTCTTGAGGTTTTTTCTAAATCAACAGTTACAAAAAAAAATATTTCGATTTCATACAAAGTGATCACCATCTGACGATAATAATAACAAGAAAAAGGGAAAAGAACAGGAATAAGCTTAATACACAAAAGATACACAAATTAAGTTTTAGCAGCTGGTAATGGATCTGCTCGAATTCTTGACAAGTCCATGTTTCGATCCATGTCTTCGTCTATCTCACCAATTAAAGCGACATTATCACCACGAATTATATAAAGACCAAGCAGAACTTGTTCGACGCCGCTAGCTGAAGAAAATACACGTTCATGACTATCGTCTAAGATTATATTAATCGCTTGATCAAAGCCACGTAATGTTCCAATAATGATTCGACCATCTCCTGTGACGATATTCACCAATTTATTGACGTAAGCATCGAGCACCTGTGCCATTTTTCTTGTTTTATTATCGTTTGTTTGATTGCTTTCAAACTAAAAATGAAATTTCAATTTCCAGTGAATAAACTAACCAACCACGCACTATAAACTCTGGCTAACCAATAGCTAGTTTCTTTCTGTACAGTGTTCTGTGACTAAAAAATTTTTCAAAGATATTCTTCCCGTGCTCGATATTCGATGTTGGTCGTTTCTTTTTTTTCAGCAAGTATTTTGAGAAAGTTCGCAGCTCAGTGAGAGAGGTCGCTAATAGCAGCAAGTGCACTTGCAACATACACAGATTTTGACGAATATATTGTAGTAATTATGTTCGGTATAAACATTAGTTCAAGAAAATACCTGAGGTATATTTTTGAGAATATGTTAAGATTTGTATCCTTTTCGTTTCCACAAATCGAAACATCCACGACGATTTTTTACATTATTTCTTTTGCCCATTTTAATGCAGAGCTGACCCCATACGTCAGTAGTGGTTTTACAATTATCCAAGAGAATAATTTGATCGATTGAAAGTGAATACAATGTGCTGTTTTGAACTCGTCATCATCAAATCGAGGTTGACGTGGCATCGTTGAAAAGATCTAAATTTCCTTGGCTTTTTACAATTCACATAATAAAAGGTATAGATTTACTTACTGGAAACTATTTGCTAATACTCTAACTACTTTTAAGCTTTACTCGCGTCTTTTATTAGTTATGCAGGTAAGATAAAGGTATATGTATACTTAACTACGGAGAGTTCGTCTAGTGAGTTCGTTTTCTTCATATGTTCAGGTATATTTGTACTTGCTCTGCATTTAAAAGTAGATATCATTTTATTATTCGTGTTTTGTTTAATGTCATTTAAGTGTTCTTTTCTACATCAACTTATCATGTTTCTTTTGGTAATTGAACAGAAAATATATTATTCCATCCGACACGTTTACATCAACATCATTTAGATGAACCGAAATTTTTTTAATTTTACAAATAACAACCAGCGCAATAAATCAAACTCTTCAAGCTAAAATAGATATGCCACACAAGATTGATCCTTATTCATTTCTATAGTTAATTGTTATCGAGCACGTGCTGCTTTTACTATATCGACTTTCACCAACAATTGATCAATGTACTTGTAAAGTCAATCAAGTCATTTCACTGATCTTTACACTGTGCAGATATTGAATATATATCTCAATTTTATGAACATCGTCTGTTTATCGTAGACATCAACAAAGTAACGCGAGTTCACATTCGTATATCATTCAAAAAAGTTCAGCTATTCATACATTCATTATCATAAATTAATATACTCCAGGTCGATCATTCCGGCGACTGGATCCGTTGAAATCTGGGTCGGTTCTGGTACAGCTCTTCTCGATTCCGGCACAGTTTTCGCCGATTCCAGCAAGTTCCGGCAGGTTCCTTGCCCCCGGATTCCGGCCAGAATTGCACAGAAAATATCCAATCAGTTCCTGACCGTTTCCAGCTCGAAGTTTGCAGGAAACGGTCGGAAAACGAACCTAACCGGCCAGAACCGACCGTGCCATAATAACCTGGGTTAAACTCCTCGTTTATCATACTACAAATTGCTCTTCGACTTCGAAAAGTGAAATTTATATGAAGAGAATGTTTTCATCCATATTACTGATTATATTTGTTACTAATACATTGATCATTTTAACAAATGTCACAGCAACTAATGTTATTATTGAAACTCAAAAAAAGAATAGCTTTGCACAATATTGGTATGTATTTTGAGCAACTTGAGAAATTTATCGTCCATATACTTATACCTTTCAATGATTTATGTCTTACTTCACCAACTTTAGATGTCTGTGAGTATGTACAATCAAATGGTCCTAGCATCTTAGAAATTGGAACTGCTCGGTCATATTCGAAGCCTGTATCTTCAATATACGATATGAATAATATTTCCCTTATAATGCTAGACATGAAGTTGATAAAATTGTTCAAAAAGCAAAATCTATTTTATACTTTAAGAATGACAAGTTTTACCTACCCAGTTATGCAAAAAAAAACACCAGTCGACACTTCCATCATCTCCACCAATGATAACCGTCAACAAATAATTTATCGCTCGAAAAATATTGCAACATTAGTTCTAGAGCAAATGCTCAATAGTAAAAAAAGTATTCGACGTTTTAAATGATGAACGAATAGCAGAACTTTTACCATTAGTCGATTTAGCACATAACATTAAGCTTGATATTACAAATATTGAAGAAAGCAAACAGAATTTTATAAATATGATTTTCGGACAAACCGTCTACGCGTTGAATCATGTTCTACAAAAATGAATCATAATCTTCATAACGGGCCGCAATGTTTTGTTGTCTCGGCTATTTTTCGTGAAATTTCTAATGATAGCTCATCTATTTATCAAGTTTATCGTTTAACACCATTACCTATACTTTTAAATGGAAATCAATATATATATATATATATATATATATAATATTCTAGCCTGCCGAAAGTATTTGGAATTAATACAAACGAAAGGAATGTTATATTATGGAACAATGACGAACTATCGACCAATTGCATATTGTCCTCAGTCAGATAATGCCGTAAATATCCAATAACGATTCTTTTATCATCTATACCTTGTCTGAATGAATTGATTGATACTGAATTTGATATGAAAAGCAGCAGCTGTGATGTTGTTGAATCAAAACATAGTCAAATCGGTATACTTAATATTGTAAACAATATATGGTACATCAATTCACTTGATCAATTATCTAATTGTAATATGCATTCATTTTTATCGTCATCAACAGATAAACAATTCACTACATACCCATTATCTGTACAATTACTTTGCTTGCGTCCGATTCAATGCTCGACTATTCGGTTACCACCAAAAAAAAATGTATTGATATTAATATCATATTGAAGCCTAAACAAAATCGACACACAAGACAACGAATCATCTTTACCATTCCACTTTCTGAAATTACTACTAGACTTGTTTCTATATACAAAACTGCATGTAAACTTACTTTTGCAAATATTAAACATGATATAGATTCGGAACGATCATCTATCCAAAAATTACGGGAAGAATTCGGTAATCTATTCAAATTGATACTCTTTCTGCTGTTATCTACTGTTATATTGTCAATCTTGAAGGTTTACAAACGTAATGAAGCTTAGCAAAACGGCGATATGCAAAAGCTACTGAATCGATTAAAGAGAGATTTCATACACGTTTGACACCACATTATAATGATTTTTAGGCACATAATGTAGAGATATGCTTTTATGTAGTAATACATAGATTCACTTCGTCAGTAGCATCCGGTCCTTATAAGGGTGTATGTATTCGATATCCTAAAACGCACACATAACATTTTCCCATATCATTGTATTTCTCTTTCGAGATTTTTCAATAAAATAACATGTTCGTTTATCTACACATATATTCTGACGAAAACAAAGTCGTCTAGTCAAACTCAGCAAAAGAAATGATACTCGTACACAAATTCATGTCAGTTAAAAGCAGATAATTGACATAACTGTCATGCATTGAACTTCGAAATAATCTTTCTTTTCCCGTTAATTCATTGATCAAGTCAACAAATGAACCAATTCAACTTTACAAATAATTTATTAATTTAGAAAAACAACGAAAAGCTATTTACGGAAAAAATAGCTAACTCTTTCATTCTTGCTGTTGTCCAAAGCCCATTTTAATTTCAAATGTTCGTTCTAAAAAAGTGATCTTCTCAATATTCATGTACCAGTAACAAAATCTTACTTTTTGCCTCTTTTCGACAACGATACTCCTTCATCGACTTTGGAGTAAACCACACTCTCTAAACAAAAAAAAATCGAATTCTAACAACATAAAATAGCAAACAAACATACTTTACAACTACAGCCATTTCGTATACATTTAATTCCACACCGGAACAAAATATACTAACCACCACCATTACCACCTTGAACACCCACTCTCCGTTTGATGATCACCAGTTACCTTGACACCACTACCCGCACCACCACTCACCCCGAATCTATCCACAACAGTCACCGGCTAAAAAGAAAACTCTTTTTTTTTCCTGAAACAAACAAACACTCACTCTTCCAAAAACATCCATAACCACCATCACATAAATCAAAACGACGACACCAAACTTCAGCATATTGAAAGCGAAAGAGATTGATTTTCGAAGAATGTGACAAATAATCGCTCAGACGGCAATTTATATCTTCGTTCCATCGTCTATGTTCATTGATCTATCACCCGCTTACAACAACGTCAACACAGAACAATCAATAATGACCTTCGTTCAGTGATCATCTTTTTTTAACAGTTACGTCCGACTGTCGGTATATGGTCCATTGCATACAAGTAGAACGCAACTCAATAAACAAAATTCTACCATGCAAAAACAACTCAAACAATACACGATAACCACCCAATTGACAACCACAAATTCTCGCTCTTTCCCTCGATGACGAGAAAAAAATAGACATAACCATCTGTACATACATCCACTAATCACTCTATTCACAAATATCAACTAGGAGAGTGTGTCTCTGTCCAGAGCGTTTTCCTGTCTTTCGGGCCAACTGTGTGTGATTCAGAATTCAATTCTGCAATCGAACAGACTTTTTTTTAAAAGAATTCACTTCGAGAAAATTTTCAATCGCAGTGTGGTAGCTAATTGGTGCTAGCTTGTCATCCAGAAAAATAATTTTTTGGTCACTAAGGAATCCAATGTCCAATCTATGACCACAATTATGGTGTTTTTCGTATTGGTGAATTTTGCTTAGTGTATTTTGAAACCAATCGGTTTCAGTCCTAAATGGTGGTAACTTCACACCGATACAAAGTTTGTTTTCTGTTAACTCTAACCTGCGTCACAGTGTCTTATTTGCTTTTCAAAGGGTTTCAATGTGCTCAGCACTGGGAGAATTCCTCCAAAAAAAAGGGCCAGCTAGTCTAACGGATAGACGTTACCTGTAAAATAATTGCTTCAAAAATTCCAAAACCTTCCAATATGTCGAAATGCTTGAGAATTAAATTAGTTTGAATATTGAACCAACTCATACACTTCATTTCATGTTTATAAATCAGAAAACCTTGTACGGTCTTTTCTTCCCTTTGCTTAGTCAACAATTTTATTTGATAACAAAACAGATAAACTATGCTAAACCTTTTTGCTCTCTCCATTTATTTATAACATCCTTGATCAACGTTTCTAATAGATCTGGCTTATGAAACACGAAATATTTATCAGTAGTATCTACTATTCGATGTTGAGCTTGGTTACGGAATAGCTGTGTGCGAAGATATTCTTGAGAATCATCCCATATCTATAAATGATGAAAAGCTTAATTTTGAAATCTTTTTCTCCAAGCCATGCTTACTTTATTTAAATCGTTCGGCAGGCTTTTATCATACTGACGTCGATTAATGATTGTCACTGAAACATTCGATGGAAAAGTTTTCATTCGCCAAGCTAATCTAGAATCAATGACTATCAAACGCCTTGAATTCGCACTTCATGCTAATATCATACTTCATTTGTGAGAATGTTTCATTCATGTGAAAATGCTCTCGAATTGCTGAACTAATATGAGCAGCATTGCAGAGTAAATGTTTCTGAAATAAACAAAGTAATAGCTATTAGAACTCAATGTTAGTATAGTTACTTGTCGATGATTGATATTGATATTATCATCTTCGATTTCATTAGATGTTCTTAGTGTTAATGGGATGTCAATCATATGTGTTAAAACAAGCATACGATTGACACCAATGGCTGCTGAAAGTTGCATAGCATGTAAACGTGGAATTATCCTATCATACCTAGAAAACATTATTGAGTTGAAATGGTTATGTTCGAAGAAGACAAAGCATACCAATAATCTTTCCATTGTTGATTATCAAATAAGGTTTCAACTAACGGATCAATTAAAAACAAGTGACTGACATCACTAAATCGACGAGACAATACTTATAGTGTATATTCGAGGAAATCCGTAGAATTTGCTTACAATTCGTACATTTGAGTATAAAAACGAGCTACAATGGCCCCAAGATCACTACCGACAAGAATAAATGGCTTTGGCTGTTGACTTGTAGCTGTTACAAGACGATTGAGGTCTTCAGACATTCTATTGAGACAAGCATTGATCATTATTCTCTGCTTTTATTTAAAATGCTAACTGTTTACTTTTCGACGGTGTGATCCATTCCACGATGTTTTGATATTTTCGCATCTTTCTCGTCTGATTCTATAGTAAATTTAACTGTTGTTTCAGTTTCACTATTTGAAATCAAAATCTTACGTTCTTTGACCGTTTTCGATGGCGGTGAATCACTCATTCCTAATCCAGTGCGATCATAAATACATACCTCAAAATATTAAGTTTTGTATTCATATCAGAGAAAATCGACTTAACTCACTGTAGTTTTTGCCTTGAGTTTTTCTTGCAAAGGAATCCAGACATCAGAATTCATACCCGTTGGTGCGTCGAGAATAACTACCGAAAACAAGATCTTTTACTCTATTTTGTATGTACATGTTGATCGGTCCTACCTGTCGGTGCACCTTGCCCTCGACAACGTAAAAACAACTTTTGACCATATCCAATATCATATGGTAAACCTGAAATGATCTTTAAGAAGAATGACCTTAACCGTACATTATTTTCTTACCATGTTGTGCTAATAAAGGTGCTTCACGTTTTAATGAGGCATAATTGATCAACGGTGGCACAATGATTATAAACAGCAGTAATTGCCCTAATTTCCATACTGTCTGAACACATGTTTTCGATAAACTTCGAACAGAAATAACAACCATGAGGTAATCTATAGTGTTAATGTAAAACAACAGAGAGATTTAATGATTTTCATCTAAATGCTATTAGTCAGTGATGATTTTGATTGAATCGCCTTCTTTCCATACATATTTCAACTTTTTTTTCAGATATCAACTAATGAAACATGTGCGCCACCAGATGTTTCAATGGGGTTTTCTTTGTCGACATTCTCCCGTTTCAGTTAATGTGATGATCCATCGTTGTCTTCAATTTTTCATAATATGATAAACAACAAAAGGCAAGCAAACAGATTATTTAGACGTGTTTATATATCTGTCTGACATTATCTTATAAAAAAGACAGACGAAAACAGCAGAAGACAATGTTATATGTCATGAAATAAGAAAAATAAGACAATACATACAAGCTAAGTGTTTGTTTTCTTTTCGATATACATCAAACGCGTCACAGTACGAACAAATACAAAATGAAAACAATCAAATCCAAAGCCCACATACACAGATATGTACACTAATCAAATGGAATTAAAAGAAAAGAAAAAAAACAAAAAACTTTGATTTTTTTATTTATCACTCTCGGATTCAGGATGATTAATATTATCTTCGTGATGTTTTAAATGATTGGTATTGACCGATGTTAATGTTTGATATGTTGCCTACAAAAAGATCGATGAGAAATCTTCTTTTCCAATGTTTTCATTTTACCTGGTGTGGTTGAACATGATGTTGCGGCTGTAAAGTTTGATATTGTTGCATTTGCACCTAGAAAACATGAGTATCTCTATAAAATCGAATCAGTTCTATTCGAATAGCTTAGCACACGTATACACACACATATAGACATCGGAAACAGAGCGGGAAATCAATACTTACCTTTGAGAAAAGGAGCAAGACTGGGTAGAATTCAGTACACTTTCACGTATGTATATCATGTTTTTCTATCTTTGTGGTATATTATATGTATATACGAAACAAGAATAACAAACAAAAATTTATTGACAACACAATTATTTTTTCAAAGAAATGAAAAAAACGAAAACCGGAAGAAATCAAATGTCGACTTGCATGGTTCCTTCTTCTCCTTCTTATTGTTGGCAACTTTATCGCAAGATTGATTATCTATTTACAGAGTTCTTTTGAGAGCCTGAGAGGGAGAAAGATTTGATGATTTTATGTATAGACGCAATGTTTTCTACTCGAAATTGAAGACAGAAATCGAATGTATATATGTGTGTATTTATGCGCAATCTAGTTCTACTGTTCATTTATATCCTACATTGTTATGTGACATTGGCAATGAATAACCATTGTAATGACGAAAGAGAGGTGGTGTTAATCCATTATCTTGAAAGTTGTTCATTTGAGTAAAAGTCTAAATTGGAAAAATCTATCATTGGAATCAATTATCTTTCGAACGATTTTACCTGCGGTTGAAACGTTTGCATCGAAGCAAATGTCGGTAGTTGATAGGAGGAAGATGAATACTGTTGTTGTTGCTAAAAAGAAGTTGAATTATCTATCAAGGAATGACTTTAAAAAAAAAGTAATCTACATCTTGATGGATTCGAATCTGTTGTTCGGAATGATGCTGTTGTTGTTGTTGTAGTGGTGGTGGTGGTAATACCTGAGTAGTTGAATTTGATTTCGCTTTTTTATTTGCTAATTTGAATTCATTCATTTCCTATCAGGAACAAACAATTCATCAAAGAAGAATGAAGTTTATCTTAACGAACTTTTTCATATCGTTCTTTATCTTTCTGTGCTGCTTCTTCGTACGTTTGCTTTCCATCAGGTAATGTATGATTCCATCTGTCACCTAATTCCTTTGCAATTTCACCCACTGATAAACTCGGATTTAATGCTTTCAATTTCGGTCGTTCTTCTTTACAATAGTGAAAGAATGCCGATCTGAATGTTAAAATGAAAATCAATCGTGTGATTCAAGAGAAAAACAGAGAATCCTCGCTTACAGGGGTCGTTTGGGTGCTAATGGATCCTTTTTCTTTTTCTTCGTTCGCTTTTCACCAGGTTGATAGACAGCCATTTCACGTTCGAATCTTTGTTTATCAGCTTCAGCTTGTGCAGCAAATTTTGTTTTATCATTTTCTGACATTGTCTAAATCGAAATAACAATATCAAATAAGTAAATAAAGTGCATGAACTATTCAAATCAAATCCTCGACTTAATCCGATTTTATTCTCGTCTGTCCTTCATCAAAAGAGTATGAAAACGGTCGTTTGTAGTTTCAATTTAACTTAATCGAGGAAGATTGTCAAGATCAAAGATCTATGATAACTTACCTTCCATTTTTCCGCACATTTCTTTGAAAATTCACTAAAATTGGCGTTTTCATTGGGATACGCTTTTCGATGTTCATCTCGACATTTCTGCACGAAAAATGTATAGGCACTCATTCGACCTTTCGGTTTCTGAATTTCTTTTGGCGGATGATGTTGTTCACGATTCTGTACTGGTGTGGATGCAAGCATATGATGAGTCGGATGTTGTATCAATTGTGATTGATGTTGTTGCGGATGATAGCTAGACAAGAAAAGAATTTAGAAGAAAAACATCTCTTTTCCATTTCATCGACTTACTACATCGACATTTGGGGCGGAAGCTGCTGCTGCTGTTGTTGTTGCTGCTGCTGCTGCTGCTGTTGCTGCTGTGGAGGTGCTATCATTGATTGATAGTATAATGCCGAAGTCATGTTTTAACATATAATTATACGGAATTACATGTAGGAGGAATCGATCTGTAATCGAAATAATTTTTAAAACTATTATCATTAATAATAGTCTCATCATCATCGATGCGTAAATAGGAAAGAAAACCTTCGGGAAATTGAACAGATTTTTCTCTTTTTTTTTTCTTTCATTCGTTGTTTGTAGAACGATGATGATGATGAGACTCACGTGATACACACATATGTTCGGCAAGCGAGAGAAAACAAATCGTATCGAAGAACACGCGGAAAGTTGAATATATATTTTCGAAAAAAAAATAGATAGTTTCGAAAGGAAAAGGAAAACGGCATCTTGAGTGATGGCATGGTAATGTATGTAAACGAAAGGTCTCCTTTTCTTTCTCCCCTTTTCTAATCGCTCTTCTTTCTCTCTTTCTCTATGCTAGTCTCGGACACATCAACGCATATTATTATTTCTTGTTTCGTTCGTAAAAGAAAAATAGAAGAGAAAGAGAGAGAGAGAAGGGAAAAGAGGATTGTTCTGTTCTAGGCAATCGAAGAACATGCCCTCTTCTTCCTCGTTCGTTTTTTTTTTGGTGTGGCTCGTACGAGAACAGAACAGAGAAAGAAAAAACTCAATTAATCGGGAGGCATTGATAGGTTTGAATAGTTTGCCGGACATGTTCGCCAAGGGTCAAGTAAAGAGAGAAAAGAGAGAAGAGAAGAGAAGAGCAAATAAATGAATGACCATGATGATTTATCGCCTATTGATTTTGGGTCAACTATGAAATATTTCTTTTGGAATCGACAATTAAACAAATAGAATTCCCTTTAATCATCTCAAATATTTTAATGAAAAGAACAAATGTCATTAATAACTAGTAAAGGTTATGTGAAATGTAAACAAAGCAGAAAACTTCAGCAAAGATGTCAATGAATAAATATCTCTCTATGTATTTTTTTGTTGGTCCAACTGATAATGACAACTACTTGACAAATCATTATCGAGTCTTTCATCGTACGTATGTTCGCTCATTCAAAATCAATTAGTAAAAGACAATTTATATGCGAACATCATACATTCAAGTGTTCGACACGAGCAATTATGCATTGACAAAAGAATGTCAAGTGATTCGATGAATAGATAGATAAAAAAAGGGAGAAATACAAGAAAAAAGAACAAGATACTGATACAAAACACAATTGTTCTAACTATTAAACAATAGAAGAAGAGAAAAAATGCGCTTTTACTATTCGATCAATATTTACCTGTCCTCGAAATATTTTTTATTTAAATAATGAAGAAAAAATTTTTTTGAAAATTGAAACATGAGAGAAAAAAGTTCGATCAATCGATGCTGATTGATTTCTTTCCGTTCGTTCGGATTTCATTGGCTGCAGTCGAATACCAATCAGCGAAAGGATACAATGCATTACTATGATATCGATTTCGATAAAACAGATTGTTTAGGATTTCTCTCAGACCAAAGTGATTGGTTTTGTCACAGATTTCGTCGATCCGAAACCGATCCTGAGAAAGAAATTCGTTTGCAAAGTCGATAAAACTAGATGTTTTTTTGTTTTTCTTTAGATATCGATAGAAAATGCGTCGATTTTCCATTTCTTCGATCATTTACAACGCGTGAAAAAATCATCCATCAAATTAAGAGAAACATAATTGCATTGCGTAACTGATTTACTTGATTCATCGAATATTTTTCTACAATGCACCATTAGGTCAAAAACATTTCCTTTTGGAGAAACGATGCTCATCAATTACGAGTAAATCTCTTGATTTTTTGCTCTCATTAAATATCAAATTTGCCGGTTAAATGTTAAAAACATTCATTGTTAGATTTTAATGAATCGAAGAAATGTCACGAGATTATCGTTATTTACAATGTTCATTGTTTAACAGATGAAAACATCACATATGATTGAAAAGACAAAAAGTTATGATCTAATTCATAGGATGAATTTGTTTTTTTTTCTTCTAATAAATAAATCTGTTCAACATAAATCCGATCGTGTTTGAAATCTTTATAGATCTGATATTGAATCATGAGTGATACGGCAGCCATCGAATTATTGAAACGAGCCGTACAACTCGATAGTGAACAAAAATATCCTGATGCACTGACTTGCTATTCCGAAGGCGTTCGGATGTTATTAACTGCTGTGAAAGGTAATGAAACCTACTTGGTTGTCGGGTTATTTCAAGATTAGATCGAGGTTTTACGTAGATATTCCATCCAGTGAAGAACGAAAACGAAATGCATATCGACAAAAGATCACCGAATGTATTGATCGTGCTGAGAAACTCAAAGATCTGGTTGAGCAACAGAAAGGTATTGTAACATTGCTTTTTCGATTATTCTGCGTGTAAGAAAAGAGTAGGTGTAAGAAAATACACAGAAGTCGGGAGATAACATAACGTTTTATCAGATTCATTGTCATTTCGTTTTAAACTGACGTTATTCGTCATACACGATAAAGTTCTTTTGAAGAAGATTATGTTTGAAGTAATCTCGATTGCTCTGTACATATTATCGAATGTTGTTATTCTTAACGGACAATATGTTCAAACGATGTTAATGCAAGAAACATGCGTTCCGGTGACGGTGACTCTTCGTTGTTCAAACAATTATGTCGCTGTTGTCCGAAGTGCGTTGCACGGCGTGGCGCAAGTCGCCGGTTCATGTTCGTATCAGCCTGGAGACTGTATTGTTGATTCGATGAGTAGTGTAGCATGTTTAACCGATTCTATTCAATGTTCAATCTATGCTACTCGAAAGAAACTTCCTCAATGTAATGATCAATACAGTAGTTACTTTCGTGTTGTCTATGATTGTGTACCAATATCGATGGATGATTCATTGAAAGAATATCATGTATGTCAGAATGGTACTGAGATAACTACGGATCATGGGATTCTTCGAAGTCCTGGTTATCCATCACAGTTTCAATTGACACCGGTCGAATGCGTTCGTACAATACACATTCCACAAAATAAAAGTTTACGTTTATGGTTAACTGATCTTGCTATTGACTCAACGAGCACAAACTGTGCGAATGATTACGTCTACGTTGTTGATAACGTTCAAACATACAAACAATGTGGTACAAAACGATATGCGTATCCGTATCTCTGCTCCTCAGCAGTCGTCATTCAATATTTTGTTCAACATGATTTTGATAGTTATCGAGGAATGCGAATGTACTTCGAAATTATCGATCGACCCGCACATGATAGTTGCCCGGCAGTAACTGTCACACCAGTGCCAAGCATAACAACACCGATTTCAACTTTCGAACCAGGAACCACAACGAATACACCAGTCTACGTTCTACTTGGTATTGCATCACCAATACGTAGTTTTCAAATCTGTCCAAGTGAATTTTACACGATTAAATGTCCAAATGATTATCGCATCGCGGTGACAACAAATCTGTTTGGTGTCACTCCGTCTGATCAGTGTGAACCACATGATGCAAATCGTCATTGTGTTGTTACCACTGGTCCAACATTTCTATGTCGACAAACTTGTGTTTATATGTATCCTGGTAATGAAATTCTTTCATCATGTAATAACAAAACTGCTGCTTATCAATATGTTGAATACCAATGTGTTCCAGCAAAAACTGCTCTCGTCTCTTCGAATGTTCCATGTTCCGATAGTGAATCGAAGTACAGCATTCAAATCGACCGCAATGGTCGTTTTCAAAGTTATAACTATCCTCAGCTAACGCACATGACCTGCACATATCGTCTCAAAGCCAAACCCGGTCATATTATGCATATTTATGCATTAGATATAAGTTTGAACAATTACAATCCGAATTGTCGATCAAATACAGTCACATTTGTCGAAGATGATGATACTCAAGTTGTCAGTTTTTGTGAAGAACGAAGTAGTAGCTTGATCTATTCCAGTTGTTCCAATGAACTTGATCTACGCTATGTTGTTACCGATGATTTGCAACCGTTTTCCTATGGTATTGAACTCTATATCGAAAGTCAAGCACGACCATTCGATTGGACTTGTGGTGGCGCTTCGTCCACGTCAACTCAGTCAACAACAACTCGAACAACACCCGCACGACCTAATGCAACATCAATCACTAGTCTTTCATTGATGACTGCACTGGATCCGGTTGAATACGATATATGTTTCAATGAAACATTAGTTGGCATATGTCCATACGGATTCACATTTCTCATTGTGAATGCTTATTATGGTGTTAAAAAACAAATCTCGAACAAATGCGGTTTTGTACAAGATGATTGTCTTCAAGAAGCTACGTCAACCGTTACGCAGTGCCATACTGACTCGCCGAATTGTTATTTATCGTATTTGAATAAGCGCCGACTAGCTCATTGTTCAGATAATTATGCAGATTATTTGCATATTACTTATCAATGCGTGCCGAGTTTCCCCACAAGTCCCACATCCAGTTTGATTATTTATGGTATTTGTAATACAACGGATCGGATAACAGATACAAATGGAATATTAATAAGTCCAAATTTTCCTAATTATCAACAGACTAATAAAGAATGTAAACGAGAAATAGTAGGAATACACGACAGAGCATTGAAAATTTGGATTAATGAAATGGCTATTGCCAGTGATAATCAACGTGATACAGGTAATGTGTAATCTTCCGTGTATTTCAGGTAAAATGATCGAGTCTCTATTGTTTAGGACATTCGGATGCGCCAGATTTGACACTTCATAAAACAAGCAATCTTGGACTAGATTATTATTCAACTATTCGCGATGCATGCATAGATAACTATCTAATTATTGATACTGCACACATTGTCTATGTCTACTGTGGCATACGAAAGCTAGTTCTTGAACCTCTTTGTACAACAAGTGTCATTATTCAATACAAAACAAGTGCACTATCGAATCTCTCGTACAAAGGTTTCAAACTATATTTCGAATGGATCGAAAAACCAATGGATATATTTTGTCAAGGTACGCCTTCAACTTACAATCCATCTCTATCAACTACAACCTCTGTGTCAGAGTCCTTACCGACATGGGCACAAAATCTCGATGTTTCTTATCCTCTCAATAAACATGTCTGTCTTGGCACGATGGAAACCTTACAATGTCCACGTGGCAATGATTATGCGCTAGCAATTCGAAATTCAAATTATGGGGTCACCGGAACGGGTTTATGCGAATTCCCATCATTCTCTCATTGCCGTCAAGAAGCATCCTTAGGTTTAACTTGTCAACATACCTGCTCGGTGGAATATCTCATACCTAAACCATTATCTCAATGTAATAATCAAAACGGTGATTATCTGAAAATAGAATACGAATGCATACCAACACGTTTACCAAATCATGAAAGCCCACTTGACATCTGTGCATCTATACCAACTGAAACTGTTGCTATTGACAAAGGTATGATGGTAAGTCCACAGTATCCAGCGCTGAGTAGCGGCCACAGCTGTTCGAAAAGAATCGAAACTCTACCAAGTAAATTATGGATGGTCTATCTTGTTGATTTGTTTTTGGAAAGTGAAGACGATTTTGGTGGTTGTATGGATACATCGTTAACAATTTATGATGGAAAAGATAAGATTGTTCTGTGTGGTTTGCAACAGCCCGGACTAGTTCTCTTCAGTTGCTCTAATATCGTTCAATTTGACTTTATCTCAAGTCACCAAGCACTTGGCTATCGGGGTTTCAAAGTTTATTTTAAAACGATCGACATACCTATCGGGTGGTCATGCGTACCGAGTGGATTTAGTACAACTACGAAACGAACAACAACTTCATCGTTATTTCCCTTGACGACTCTCATTCCGCCAAGTTTTCAAAGTAAGTTAACGATATTACAAAACTTGAAACAAATTCTTATTTTTCTATCGAATCAGTTGTTGCCTACGGTGGATTGACTACTCCTGGAGTCCGACAATATTGCCATTTTCCATTTATTTATCAAGACGTTCAACATACGAGCTGTGTTTCTAGTATACCACCATTTCCAACACCAGAACAAACGGTATATGATCCATGGTGTTCAGTAACTGGCAATCTTGACACTGATGAAAAATGGGGATTCTGTGATATCGGTGTGACAGATTCTACATTTTATGACTTATGTCGAGGCCAATTACGAAGTCTTAAATGTCCATCTGGTTATGTGATTGACATTATTACAGCGGATTATGCAGCAAAAACTGATGAAGCAACAGATGCTAACGCATGCTTTTACGATGAAAACGATTGTTTTCAAAGTGGTTCATCCATTATAGAAAATGCATGTGCCGGTCGAACATCTTGCACAGCGTATCATTATTCGAAAACGTTAGCAGCATGTCAAAATCGACCATCTGCTTATTTACATCTTGGTTACACTTGTGTTCCAAATACTGTTGAAAATATTACTACTTATGACATATGTAATAATCAAATAAAGCCGACCGGCGATATTCGTCGTGGATATCTAACTTCACCGAACTTTCCCAATTCGAAAACGAATATCAATTGTACATATGATTTGCATATTTTAAAACCTCATCGCGACATTTATCTTTACATTATTGATATGGATTTGAACATGCCGAATTTAGTTGAACAGAATTGCAACAAAGATCGATTGATTGTCAATGCTGATGGTAGTGTTACTGAATGGTGCGGTCGATCACCCACGAATCTTCTTCTACGAACATGCCATGCATCTTTATCTTTACAATTAATCCGATCAACGGATGCCAAAGGACGTGGAATAAAATTATATTTCGAATTTCGACAACGAGCACCAACTGAAATCTGCGAAGAAGTTATTACACCCAGTCCTCGACCAACCTTGTCCCCGCCATTACCAACTGTTCCATCGCGTCCGAATTATTTTCCCGATCCATCCCCTCGAATGATCAAAACTCTCTGCTATCCAGATGTTTCCGCATTGCTGGGTGCAAATAACGTTCAGTGTCCATCCGACTACATCATCGTTATCCATCGAGCATTCTATGGCAAGGGTAATCAGTGTGCTTATACGCCAGGTGATTGTACAAGCGAAGCTGGCAATGTCCATCGACTATGTTCAGGAAATCAAGCATGTTCAGTATCATTTCTAAGCATATTCAACTTAGCGGAATGCGATGAAGCTATTGCAAACTATCTTTCTATCCAATATCAATGTTTACCAACAGCAACAATTGTTCCAACGATTGCTGATGCTTGCAGCAATCCGAATGATCAGCTAACACCAATAAGTGGACTGTTACAAAGCACGTCCTACCCGAATTACACTCAGACTCAGTGCGCTAATACAACGTTAAGCGCACCAGAAGGTTCTAATCTTGTTATTTACATCTATTTGATTGATCTTGACATCGATGTACCTGACACTCAAACCGGTCAATGTAACAATGATTATCTTCTAATGTCGTATCAATGCAACAATGACTGGTACAATATTAGACTCTGTGGTACACATTATACAGAAGTTTTATTTGATACATGTTCACCAACGGATGCAATATTAATTTCATATAATTTAACAAGTTCCAAGCCACAATCGCGACGTGGTTTCTCCTTTCTCTATCATCTTCTACCAGCATCGATTCGAACAACACCACTAATTACGTCAAAAGCAAGTACATCAATTACAACTACAGAAATGATCATTGGGCCTGGTCCAGTCAGCACAGCTATATCTCAATCGACTGCATGTGTGCAACAAAACATGCAATTAAAATGCAATCCAAACTATGGCCTTGTTCTACATAAGATTGATCTTGCTGTTAGTCGTACTGGTAGTTGCAATTATTCAACAGATGATTGTTTCGAAGAACGAACGTACTTGCATGGTACTTGTGGCGGTCAATCATCATGCTTTATATTTGTTCCGTTGCTCAGTCTAACGAAATGTAATAACTCAAAGTCGAATTATTTCTATGCAGAATACCAATGCATCCCATTAAAACCCAAACTTATGGTTGACATTTGTTTATCAACAACTGAACTGCAAAGTGTCAAAGGCGGTGCGATTATTCAAACGAAAGGTTATACATCGGAAAACAGGAGATGTCATGTTCAATTACAATCGGAAAAATCTTTAGCCAATCCTTCTCATAAAGCATTTGCTGTTTACGTTCTTATGCTTGATTTACCATTTCGAGCATTTCGTGAACAAGGGACACAATGTTATGACAACGATCCGTATATCGAAATCATTGATACACAAATAGGTACAACACGTCTTTGTGGAAACATGCATACACGTCAATTATTTGACACTTGTTCTGATACAATTGAAATTCGCTATAATAATTTCAATATTGGACTAGCTGATCGATATAAAGGTTTTCAATTATATGTTGAGTCAATCGAGAAGAAAGAATGCTCGCAATTTGTTACAACAACTCCAGTGAAACAGCGAGAACCATTTGTTATCCACCAAGAAACTGTTTGTGAAACAGCTAGTCAAATTAGTTTTTCGTGTACAGTAAATCATGGTCTTGTCTTTCTTCAGTCGTATGAATATGTGACGAGTGATCCACAAGCATGTAATATCAGTCAACAAACTTGCCACTATTTGTCTGAACAACCACAGGCACTCTGTTCTGGTCAGCAAATTTGTTCTTATGTTCATACAATTCCAATCGGCCCCCATTTGAACACATGCCAAGGAATTAAAGGCGATTTACTTCAATTTTCGTATCAATGTATTCCAATGAGACCAACAGAAGTGTATCCAAAAGCAACGTTTTGTGACGATCAAATCATTACGTTCAGTCGAGGTTTTATCGATACACCGAAATATCCAAATACATATGGAAATGGTCAACAACAGTGTAGTCTACGTATCGTGCCAGCAAATGCTTCTGAAAGTGAACAACTTTCAATCTTTCTTTACATTATCAACTTATCAATTCGTGATTCATCAACAACGAATTCAACGTCATCAGCAATTGAGTGCTATGATTCGATTACATACCGCGATGGACAGACGAGCGAAACATTATGTGGCCTTATCGATCAACCTGTACTAAAACATCAGACAAATCAAAACTATTTGGAATTAACCTTGAATATAACCGAGTCTCACTCAAATATATCATCCCAATGGTATGGTGCACGATTGTTTTTTTTCGTTGCAAACCATTCCCGTCCTTTTGAAACAACAACTTTTGTCTCAACTGCGTTCACATCTACACAAACAGTAACAACAAAGCCAATCGTAGATATGACTACAAAACCGACATTGAAAGGTCCTAAATACGGGCCCATGATTGCTGGAATCGTCACCGGACTGGTCGTTCTATTGATAGTAGCCGCACTTGCTTTTGTATATTATCGCCGTCGTTCGTTTAAGCCGCCCATTGAAACTCCATTAGTTGAATATCGGAAAAAACCTAATTTGACTGATGAGAATACAACTGATGAGTCGTCAGAAAAACGTTGCAGTAGTATTCCGACATCATCGTTAAGAGGTTCAGCTATCCCATCGTTTACTAGTCCATTTCGTATACGAAAGATCACCGATGATTGATATTAACACTTCTTGTTGAATAAATTTTTCCTCTTTGACTTTCGAAAATAAAGAAAAAAATAGATTCATTGATTAGTTTTATTCGTTTTAGCTAAAACCTATCATGAACAAATCCAAATAAAAGACGGTTCAATCGGCAATAGTTATGAGAAAATTTTCAGTCGTTTTCTCAACGACAGCGTAACGCAGATTACTGTTCAAGATCCATACATACGAGCTTACCATCAGGTCTTGCTTCGATTTTCATATTCATTTAATATAATCTTGTTTAGATAAGCAATTTCGTACGTTTCTGCGAAGCTGCGATCAAATCATCAGCGAATGTCAAACAAATTGAATTGATAACAAGTGCGGAAACGGTAGATTCCATGCAAAGTTTCGTTTTGTAACCTTGTCTTGTCGCTTTTCATTAGAATGACCAAGCGAAAAGAACTCAAATTGAACAGCTAAATGAATTCAAAGAACATCTCATGAAAAGGCATTCAATAGACTTGACAATCAATTATGTCACTGGATTGCATGATCGAGAAATCAGGTAATATCCAAGGAAACTATTTCCAACTATTTATCTAGTGTTGGTTTTAGGTTAAACGACGGCTGGATAATCAAGATCGGTCGCGGACTTGATTTTTACAAACCGCCTGAATGTCAGTAGAATGAATCTCGTTTTTTTTACAATATTGATTTGTTTTGTTTTATTGTAGGTAAACTTTCCATTGGATACTATGATCTCGATCTACGTCCATGTCACCAAACTACCATTGATATTTTTCATATTGAACGATTGCAAGCATCGTCGTAGAAAGCTCATGTATTGTCTTGTAAATTCTCATTTTTTTTGTAATTCTTTATTCGACTGACAAGAGTTTGATATTTATTTCACTCAATAAACATCTAGTATATTGTTTTCTTATATATTTTTGATCAAATTTAGATGGAAAATTTCCGCATAGGTTTTATTGGTGGTGGTCGTATCGTTCAAGCGTTACTCGAAGGACTTGAACAAGCAAACTATTTGCAAAATATGAGCATTTGGATCAGTTGTCCATCAGCAGACAATGAAAATTCATCATTAAAATGTTACGGCAATCGTATACGAATGACAACATCGAATACAGTCTTATGTACCAATTGTGATATTGTTGTCTTCGGTGTTAAAGCTAAACTAATCAAATCGATTTGTAGCGAACTTGTAAAAACAGTGGACAACGCCAGTTTGGCGCAGGTATTATTTGTCTCAGTCATTCCTGGTTTAACTATATCAACAATAGCACAATGGCTACATACACAAGAAAATATCATTCGGATTATGTACAATGTTAACGTTGCGAAATGTAATGGATCCTATGCTCTGTCATCATCGAAAACCAATGAGAATGATTCACGTCAAATCTATTTAAAATCGGTTTTTGATAAAGTTGCGTACTTTGCTGGAAATGTTACCGAATCCGAATTGGATATCATGTGCGCACTGATCGGCAGTGGTCCGGCTTTCTTCTGTACAGCCGTGGAAGGTTTAGCTGATGGCGCGGTGAAAGCTGGTCTATCACGCCAATTAGCAAATACGCTAGCTGCTCGGACAATGCTCGGTTGCGCTGATATTCTTGTCACGTCGTCAAAGCATCCAGCAGAACTTAAGAACGATATATCCACACCCGCTGGTACGACAATATATGGTTTGCATGAACTGGAGAATCGAGGTGTGCGAGGTGCATATATGGATGCACTGATGTCTGCATTCAATCGTGCACAAACGATGGCTGATCAATTAGCTCGAGACTTGAAATAAAGTTTTAACACATTGTTTGCTTTTTCTTTTAGATGATGTTATCGATTCTTCGAAATCTCACTCTTTCTCAGTCGGCGAGTTCTGTTCGGTTCACATGTTTGGTTCGTCTAGCTGGTTCCTTCTCACAGAAGCAGCAAAAAGATGATTCATTGAAAACCAAGGACATCTTCATCGATCCAAATCTGACAAAATCGTTTGAGAAACTGAGAAAAGGTGATTTCACTCCTGAACCAATCAGCACAGATACATTAAAACATCTTCGTGGCTATCCACCAATCGGTGCCACGCATGACACTGAAGCACCAAAACGTGAAATTGTTCGTCAAGAATTCCTTGGTAAACTCGTCTATATTGGCAAATTAGACAAACCATTTCGTGCAGCAAAATCTCTATCCCTAGCATCCAGTGTTGGCGGTGCTATATGCTATCCGATCATGATATCAAAGATTCTCGAAGACACATCCATAATCATGGCAATCGCTTACACGGTTGTCTCTGCAACATTTGTTTTATTAACGCCATCGCTGATACAGATGATTTGCAAACGATATTTAACATCGTTATATTATCATGAACAAACACAACAATTTACGGGATTTTACAAGAATTTCTTTATGATGGAAAGACAAATTAAATTTCGTGCAGAAGATGTTCAAGTACCGCCGATAACGGGCATGTTTACATCAATGCTGATCAATAACCAACCATTCTTCATCAATCATGATGATTTCCTTGATAAACCCATCCTAATGAAAATGTTGGGTTATGATAAAGAATTTGATTTCAGTAAATACACAAAGGATCTTTCCGAAGAGAAAAAAAACTGAAGTTCGGTTTTTTATTCATAATAAATGAAAACTTAGTGAATAATTTTTCTTTTGTCTTGTTCACAAGATTGCAAATGAATGCTCATTTATTTCCTATAGCAATTCTCTTAAGTGTGCATGCGTCAAATCGTCATGAACTGTTCGATTTCACTTGTATTATCTAATTGATACCTTCTTCTTGCATAAAAAATAAGACACTCTTTTTAATTGAAGACTTGCTCCTTGCTTCATCAAACAATTGCTGCAAATTCATGCAAGAAAAGACTGTCAATACGATAACAGCCTAGTTCATATAGTTTTAAAAGTTACAATCAACACTGATAAATGGATAAGACACAATTGTTACGTCTCATCCAATCTATCAATTCATAGGCTTCAAGGAAAACATAGAAAAGGTCCAATGAAAATTTTCGTTTGGTTATTACATACGTAGAGACGGGAAAAGTGCCATTGTGTGAGTTGTCATTTATGCCAGGTCAATACAGGTTTTGACGACAACGAACAAATAAATATCTCGATGTCCGAATCATCAGCAAAACCTGCACTTACAGCCCATGAGGTAGCTTCGTTTTTTCTCTATCGATTAATGTAGATGGCCGTCAGCTTGTCTCCAGAACACACTGTTTGTTTAGATGTCATTTGCCGAGTACTTGTGCTATTCAGCTGGTGAAATTTTTTCTTCAAGTGAATCTTGTCGATGCGGTTGGTGATGGTGACGAGTGAAGAAAAGTTGTAACTTTCCTTTTGTTCCATTTTAAAAGACAAATGGTTAACGTTTCTAGATAACTTGACAAAAGAATAAAAATTTAGAATGAGGAGAAGAAAAAATGAAGAAAAGAATAACAGAGAGAGAGAGAGGAAGGCAAAGAAGAAGAAAAGAAGGCGAGAAACAAGAGACAAAGGAAAAGAAATGATTGTTTAAAACACTTGATATTTGATATAATAGAGTATTTTGTTTATTTATCTGTTTGTTTCTCTCATTCATGAGTGATGTACGAAGCAAAACTTTCCTTTTTTCTCAGTTTCAAACACATCTTACCACAAGCGAAAGAAATCATTCTTCTTCGTCATCTTTTCTGATCATCAACTAGTCGAAGCGACAAAAACCCATAAAACTGTCGTGTACGTCAACACACAACATATCTAATAGCCGGCACAAGTCTAATTTCTCTAGGGCTGCTTGGTCGACATGCATGTCTAACTATATGAGTATGTGTTCTTCAGTACCGCTTCCAGTTGTAGCTGGCAAGGTGATAGGTAGTCTAATAGAATAGAGTGAGAGCAAGTCTTTAGAGAATTGTCGTCGTTGTTGTCGCTCGTCTCGAAACATAAAAATGAGTTTCCGTTTCTTCTTCCTTTCATTTTTTTTTCTCTTCTCCTTCTTACAATGTCTTATATATATGTATGTATGCTCGTCGCGCATTCTCAGTGAAGTTTTAACACTTTAAGATAGTAATGACAAAAAAAAAGAAACTTTCTGCATGATAGACTCACTTCGTTTTCTTTTACATCACTGATTGTTGCACTAGTTGAATGAGTAGCAAACTTTTTCTTGACAAATTTTAACGCACAGTCTCTTCCTTATATAGATGAGTGCTTGAAATACTCATTACAGAGAATAAACTTCAATTTTCTTTTCTTTTCTTTCCCTTTTGAACAAATCCAATCAATTCGAAATACGTTTCATATCATTAAAATATTGACATTCGACAAATACAACTGATAGTTTGTTCCTTGTTCCGTTTGAAAAGATATTTGCCGTTCGAAAACAAAAAAAAATTATCATCAGACAATATTGACACTCTTCATAATAGAGATCGCATTCAATTGACCTATTGTTATTTTAAAGAATAATGGTTGTCTTCGTTTTATTGATTCTCTCTTACATCTGTATTACAACAAATTTGTTGCACACGCACACATACACACAAATGGAGAAATAAAGGGTTTACAAGAAGATAGTCTATACAAAATATGATATTCTGTTTTCTTTATTAACATAGAATTTGTTCAATCAAAAATATTTATCTTTTTTTCTTTTTGCTATTGGTTGGCGGTGGTGAATGTGCAGGTCTCTTTTTCGATTGTACTGGAGAACGTTTCTTTGATGCACTTGCACCTTTCTTCTTATTTCGACCGCCGTTGTCGGAATCATACTCAAGCTTTTCGGCATCAGCTGAAATAAAACCATCAAGATAAGTTTGTCGTCACAAAAATCTATATAATTTACCTTTTCGTGCCTCTTCTTCGAGTTCACTCCAGCTTTTACCTGATTCTTCATCACTTCCCAAGTTATCCGATTCATCTAAATGCAATTTCAAGCTTACGATCGGTTATTTCATCATAAGTTGATACATACTTGAATCACTGTCATCTTCTGCGAAGTCTTCATCATCGTCTTCTTCGCCTGAATATTCACTTTCTGAACCTGATGGAAAGAAAAAGAATAAAGAAACCATGGCAAACTTCATTTCTACCTTCTTCTTCGCTGTCGTCTTCATCAGGATCGTAATCATCTTCTTCGACATCGGAATCCTCATCATGACCACCTCCACCTTCAGTGCTGGAATCAGATTCCAAGAATGTCCAACCGCCCTGAGCAAAAAATCCGCTCAGATCATCCGTAATTGTTTTCATGATCTTTGCCCAGTTCAACGATTGTGGACCTTCAGTATAGCAAATGTCGCATGAACTACATGAGAAGACCAAAACATAGTATTGACACCGAATCAGGGTACAATGTCGTTTTTACTTTAGCCAGTTCTTAATCGGATCAAGTTCAGCCATGGGTATTGCTTGGATAGCCTGTGTTTTTTTCGTGTAATCTTTCATAATAAAGACCATATCGAAGTTTTTCAATTGAAAGTGTACACGTTCGAAATGAACGAGCTCAACTTCGTCGAGAACCACAACAAATGGAGGCTACAAGAAAAGAAGTGTTTCGAGATGAGTCATCATTCGAATTTAAGTTCCCTGTACCCATTCGGTTAATTGCACAACGCACGAGGTTGTCGGTAAAATTAAAACCATCGATCGATGAGGTGTACCATGAAAACCCAGTGGTCGAAATGGTATTTCAAATTCAAAGGGAAAATTCTTCTGTTGAGTTACTTTATCAATAAAACTTTGAAAAGCTCCTTTTAATTTATTACGTAAGTCACGTTCAGCCTGAAAAGAAGAAATAGTGATCAAGTTCCAACTGAAATCTTTTGTTAAATCGAGTATTTACCTGTTCAGCAAGAATATCATCTTTATCGTGCATATTTCGATGTTTACCAAGATCCGTTGTCAATTCTCCGACTTCAGTATAGAATTGCACATCAGTTTGCTTACGTTTTCCGAAGACAATCGCATGTTTCAAGTGAAAATGAATAAGGACAATCATTTCATTATCGCATGGTTGATAAAATGCATGTGCAACGTTGGAATAAAGGATATCGATCTTATCTCCTCGAACCGATGTGTAACGAAAACCGTTCGTATGTGCTTCGAGTGTACCATTGATTTTCTTATTAGCCAAACTCGGTCGAATGAAAAGATCTTTTAATTTTGGATTGGTTTTACTTGGATTGAGTGCTAAGGCATCTTGTTTTACCACACCCTATTCGAGAATTGAAATAGTGAAGAAGAAAATTAATGCGATAGTTTTTCAGTTACATACTTCCATTTGTTTTCGTTCTAATTCTTGGTCTTTGTATTTTTTCTGTATTTCGAGAATTAGTTTATGGACATGTGAGAGATTATTCGATGCTGGTACTACATCATCTTTCTTTTCATTCGATGCCCGATATGTTCTAGAATGGATTTCAATCAGAAGTTGTAAGAGATATGAATGTTTGTTTTTGTTAACTTACAATTCTTTGATATAAACATTTTCTTTGTCGATAGTATCAGCTTGTTTACCAATACCGCCGGGATGAAAAAAGTTTATACGAAGATAGATATATTCGCCTTCAACAGCCAATGACACATTCTAAATAGATTTTCACGTCGAACTTTTCATCATTCAATCAGAGGATCGTTTACTTTTATGGTAGAAATATGGAATGGTGTCGGTGTGCCGTTTATAGGTAAAATAAGTGTTTCATATCGTTTGTCTAAACGATGAAGCATGATTCTCTTATTGTATATTTTCATTTCTTACCCATATAAAGTTTTAAATCTTGAATATCCGGATCTTGTGGTAATTGACCTTCGGACTTGTATGAATTATTTACTTTTCGAGCTCTGAATCAAAGTTTAGAGAACAGATTGAAAATAATCTTGGTGTGCCTTACTTCTCTGAGGAGACTTTATCGCCTTGAGATGTTAAACGGACTTCGGCGCGTTCGTTCAATCGACGTAATAGCATCTTTTGATATTCTTGACGCGACTCTTCCGGTACATTGGGATCAGTCTAGAACAAATCGATCAAAATACGGGAAAAGATTCTCCAATTAATCGTTAACATACTCGATTCTTTTCCGCAGCTGCACGTCGTGGAACTATCGGTGGTGTTTCATCAACATCACCATCTTGTGTTCCATCATCTTTTAATATAATTGCAATATGATTGATATCTTTCTTCGATGATGTTAATATACTGCATGGTTCATTCTAAAACATACATTTGCTTCCACTTTTAACGACAGACTTTTGTCATATTTACTTCATTGACAACAACTGTATCACCAATGAACAAGGCGTAGATTTTCGATTGTTCATCTTTACCATCGATATTATCCAAAGCAGAAAAGCCAATACTAACTTGAAATGTCATCCCTATTGAAAGGAAGAAATTTAGTATTGTATCAGTCTTTCAGATCGATAGATTACCCTTCTTAGCTCGTGCTGTGCATTTACTAGTAATTGCAATGGTACTTTCACGAAATTCAATGCCCAACGCCGTTCTATAGGAAATAATTAAATGCACGGAAACATGTTTTTCTATCAGTTTTACACTTACCCTAAGTTGCTGGTCATCTTATTCACCAGGTCGGGCTGTTCTTTTTCAACTTTTTCACGAACTGTTTTATACACATCGCATAATGGAACATCTGCAATACATACATAAAACCTAATTTCTTATACTCGAATAAGAATTTTCATACTGACCATCTTTTAACTCTCGTATAATCAGTTCTTCGCATTCCAAGAGAAAACTGTATGTTTTTTTCATCTGTTCCGATGGATTCACCAACAATGTGCGAACAAGATTCGAACAGTACGATTTATACCGAGTACCAAATGCGCACACGATTGATGAGCCGCCATAATGAAGTGGATTTTTATCTCTACATTAAATATATATGTATACAAACATTTCAAACTTCGTTGTCTTACACAGAAGCACTGAATTTCAAGTTGTAATTGCCTCCACTTTGTACAATAGCTGGATAACACATTTCTACGTAATTGGCGTCATTACTTGACACATATTTTTCATCGCTCAATGCGGATTCAAGACCTTCGGATAATTTTGAATGTTTGACTTTCTACAAAAAAATCCGGCAATTACCATGAAACGATAGTCTCTCAATTCATACTCGTTCCGAATCGACGATATTGATAATTTGATCCTTCAAATGTTTACTGTAAAGTTTACCAGTTATTTCGCATGCTTTACGAATTAAACCAAGTTCTTCATTATCTTTCACAGCAAGTAAATAACCAATCGAACTGCTAATATCCACCTGAAATAAGACAATTTGGAAATAAATGAAATCTTGAATAACAAAAATGATTTACTCTTGTAAATGAATGCTGGCTTAGACAATTTTCCCATTGCTCACAGAATGGACCTTCCATTTTGTCTTTAGAAAAGATGCCTAAGGTTTTTCCTTGATGGCTCTGCTTGATTTGTTCGATGATTTCATCGAAATTTTTCTCATCATTATCTTTACGGGTTATGAAATTAAAGTTTCGTGGCGCATTTTCTTTGTTATTGTGTTCACTTTCGATCTAAACCAGATTTTAAAATATAACGAAATCATTCCACAGAACACTTACTTGCTTAAGATAATTAATTTTCTTCGAACCTGCAAAGATAATCACTGCATCCTGACAAAAGACAACGAGAACGTCATGCATTTCATAACCGAATAACCATGTCTACAATCGAAAGCAAATATATGCAGGGAAAAAAAGCTAGAATTCTAGAACAAACCTGCATAGCAGCACTTTTACTGTACGCAAAATCATCTTCTTTCTGTCCTCGTATAATTACAATAGCATCAGCTGAATGTAATGCATCATTGTCACTGGCTGCAGCGTCATCCCCTTCGTTGTTCTGAAGATAAAGTAATACATAGAATCTATGTCTTTCTTGTTATGCAAGCGATGAATTACCCGCCATATTGAATAAAGTCTTCGAATTCGTTCGAGACAACGAGCACCGTCGATAACGACGTCCGAAGGCATCTAGAAAATCCATGTTTAAAAATCGACCGTATGGGTATGAGAAAAAATGAAAATGTCTTGAATGCCCAAATATATTCGATGGCAAAAGCACCTACCTCGTACTAGTTAATATGGTAAAATGAAATGAAACAGCTATAAATGAGCATACGCAACAACAATGACAGACACACAAAAGGACAATTTCGTCATTGGCTGAAATACATATTAGTGTTCGTCCAATACGATGACACACTGCAAGCGAAGAAGTTTTAAGTTATTAGTATTATTGTTTAAGTATAAAATGAATTGGGTTTTTTTATATCGTAATAAACAATTTTTCGATTATTATCGAAAAGATCATCAGCTGAGGACATCTGTCGCCAGTTGCTACGGATCGTGCATATACCTACTATTACAATCCAGTGGCAATCTAGCTCGTATCGAAATCTCGGTGAGGCATAGACACTATTTTAAGTAACGTGAGTCATCTAATCATCGCATTTCGCTAGTCGTTTTTATAAGCGACGGAGAAATATTCGTTTGAATTGACTTTTGTTGTAGGACGAAAGGGTAAAGACAAATGGATATGATTTAAATGAGTTTATTTCAAAGAAATAATGTCACAACAAATGTATTCTGTTAGGAACATCGGTATTGAAGTGATTAGTTAGCTGATGGTAAAACATTTTGAATACCATTAAGAATATTTTGAAGTGTTTCTTGAAGGACAGCTGGAATTTGATGAAGATCAGTGTTGAGAGCATTGACATTGTTCAATAAATTCAACAAGGAAAGAACTGTTGAAATTGATGTACCTTGGGGTAAAAGATGTGAGATGGTTGAGAGTAAGTTAGCATTCTGACCAAGAGCGCCCAAAATGTTATTGCGGCTTGTTGCTAAAGAAAGATGTAGTATTTGACAAAAGAGTTCGACTAACTAAAGACAACAGTAATCAACATACGTTGAACATGTGGTGTGACGAGACCGATCAATTGATCGACAATGATTTGTGTGGCTTGACCAGCTCCACCAACAAGGGTTGTTAAAGTTTGGTTGAGTAAAACTGGAATTTGGTGAATGTCATTGTTAAGTTGGTTGACGTTGTTCAACAAGCTGAGGATGGAAAGAATGCTGGAGATTGAAGTACCTTGTGGTAAAAGGTGACTAATGGTTGAGAGTAAACCGGCGTTTTGACCAAGGGCACCCAAAAGGTTGTTACGGCTGTTGGTAGCTACAAAAAAATCAATATTTTTTAAAATATTGTCTGAACTGTCAAGGGAAGAAATTTACCATGTGGTGTGACGAGACCAATCAATTGATCGACAATGATTTGTGTGGCTTGACCAGCTCCACCAACAAGGGTTGTTAAAGTTTGGTTGAGTAAAACTGGAATTTGGTGAATGTCGTTGTTGAGTTGGTTAACGTTGTTCAACAAGCTGAGGATGGAAAGAATACTGGAGATTGAAGTACCTTGTGGTAAAAGGTGACTAATGGTTGAGAGTAAACCGGCATTTTGACCAAGGGCACCCAAGAGGTTGTTACGGCCTACAGCATAGATCATTTTCAATGAGAAGAAAGCGTTTTCTCTCACGAAATAACTTACTTTGGTGAGCTGTTCCAGAAACAGCACCAATTAATTGATCAACAACGATTTGACTAACTTGACCTGTTGAATTGAGGATGCTGGCAAGTGTTTGGTTGATCAAATGAGGAATTTGATGAATCTAAATGAACAGATTTCTTTCGATCAATGTAATAGAATCCGTGCATACATCATTTGATAATTGATGAACGTTGTTGAGTAAATTTACGATTGATAAAACTGTTCCCAAATCAGTACCATGTGTAGCTGAGGTCAATGATTGTAAAAGGTTGCTACCAGAAAGAAGGGAGCCAAGTGAGCCCAATGGGTTGCTTCGGCTTGCAACACCTACTCATACAAACAGTGATTATCTGTCGCCTATGCATCTCGAAAGATATACCAGTGTTTTTGCAAGCTGAAAGACTTGGACAACATCCACCAACTGGAACTGGAGCTGGTGTACCATCTGGACAGACTAAAAAGACCATTGTGCACATAGTGAAAGCGCAGTTTGAGATGGCTATAACGAAACACAAACACATTTAATGCAAAGAATATTGAATCAAGCTTTGAATAACACACGTTTGATTGGTTTGATTGGTTTGATTGCATTATTGTTACTGTCTTTGCAAGCGCTTAATGATGGACAACATCCACCGGCTGGAACTGGGGCAGGTGTGCCATCTCGACAGACTTTAAGATCCATGGTGCAAAGAACATTAGCACAGTTTGGTTGAAATGCTTTAAGAAAGGAAAGAACGATGCTTTAAATCTATCTTACTCTAACTGAGTAACTTACCAATGGAAGTACCATATGCAACACCAAGAGTAACAAGTAAACAGATGAGAGCTCTCATTGTAGAAGGTTTCGACTGCAAAGAAAAAACACAACATCAAATCGAATATTTTCAACTATACTGCTATCTCACCTTCGATAAATCAGGTTAGGGGATAAAAGCTATAATCAGCAAATATATATATGTGTGTTTACTGCTCTTTATAGTCGTCTTCATGGTCTTTATCTCCAACTGACATGATTCTCAGATCAATTGCTGATATTTGTTGCTGTTTTTCTCTCGAGTTACTCTGGTTAACTCATCGAATATATGTTTGTCTTTAGAACGCCTACGTTTCATTTCTGTACTCTGAATAAATATTTGCTCAGTAGACTATCCAACGCGAGAAACGCGCGCCCGGTAACCTAATCTATTTTGTCCATAGATCCAAAGATTTTTCATATCAGAACAAATTCAATAAAACTTCGAATAACAAACATTGTTTAAGGAAAACTATGCAAGTTGAAAGGACAATTCTTTGACGTCTTATTCCTGCTCGGAATATAGCGACATCAATACTCAACCCTCCTTTCTCGACGGATAGACATATCACATTAACCAATGTCAGAAAACGTCGGACGATGAGGACGTTTTCTGAAAAAAGAACACATACAACAAGAAAAATGACCTCACATCGATATTCTCTTATGTGTAGAACATTCGTTGATCTTGGTTTTTTTTATTTATATCAGTCTACTATTGTAGATTATTTCAAGCTTTTGATCACAGATCAAAATGGCTGACCAATGGCCCGATGAGATTCCGCCAAACGCTCAAGTAAACGACGATGAAGATGTTGCTGACGACTGGGAAACAGCATTAGACGAAAAAGTTTGTTCATTCGGAAATCAACTTCCGTATTTTCATTTGTTTATTCTTTAGCCTAAACAATCTGATGTTGAAGAAAAACCAAAAACAACAACAGTAGCTAAATCAAGTAAAAAGAAATCCGAAGAGTCTCAAAAACCGAATAAACAAGCCGGTAGAAATACTCCACAGGAAGAATTAGATCAAAACAAGCAAAACGACGAAGATGAAAAATCAGAATCAGCTGATAAAGCTGGAATAGTTCGATCACTCAATGATATAGACCTATATAAAAGAGAGGAGTTTCTTGATTACAGTCATCGTTTGTATACTCGTTTAAAACCCATATCTACTTCCGAATTCTATCCCGAATTCATCGACCAATTTCTTCGTGGTATTACAGAACCGATGTCAATCGACGATGTCAAACGTTTAGCTGCGTCATTGCAAGCGATAACTATACGTAAACAAGGTGACGAACGTGAAAAGAAATCAAAAGCCAAAGCAAAAAAACAAACGAAACCACAATTGAGAACTGGTCGTCAATCGGATTACGGAGCGTTCGGCAATGGTGATAACGATTACGACCAAGATAATGACTACGATGATGAGGATTTTATGTAAAGAATTCAGTTATGTTTGTTTCTATTTTTAAAAGAAAGAATAAATTGCATAACAAACACATTTCGTTCGATTTATACTGAACATGTCAGGCATAGCATTGCCAGCAGCCTATATCCTTGCTCTGTTCTAATGTGACGACGCGTCATTGTTGAGGCACATCAAATAAAAAAGGAAAATGGCGACTAAAACGATAACGATTATTGATGAATGTATATAATTTATTCCATCGTATTATATCTTCATACATTGAAATCTGTGGATCGGAATGAAAGATTTCATTGTGTGTTACTCGAGTGTTCGAAAAAACTTCTCTCTGTCCGAATGTTTACATTTCGAGTGAGCTACAGATACATCCGTCACATTGCACTTTTCATTGTTCAGTAGCGCATGTGTGCGTTGTTGCATGAATGAGAGAAAGATGTTTTTCCTAGGCTTGTATGTCAGATTTTTCGTTGATTTTGTTATTCCTTACGTTCCGGACGCATGCGCACTCATGTGATCAATTGAAAACAATGCGGATGATTTTGTCTTGACCGTCTGTGAATATTCGCATTCGAAATATAATTTCTGAGTTTCGTCTCAGTTGTGTTTTATATTGAAACCTTGATTTATTTTTTTCCTTCGTGTGTTTTTTTTTCTTCTTCTTTTGGCTACATCTGATGAGATGAGGTCGACGGCAGATGTCGTATTCTGATTTAAGGCAAAAACAAAAATACGAGTTGTATTCTTCTCCGAAAGTCTTTAATCCTTTGCTGACATTTATCTCGAAAACTTTTTTTCTTAGATCAGCTTTTTCCCAATGATTGATAATCGTGAATATTCTTATCGTCATGAATTTGCCGTCATCGTCTATCACTAGAGATGATCATAACGAAAAATTAAATAGAAGAGAAAAACTTTCATTCAATCGATTCCTCTCATTTCATGAAAATACGTTATCGTCAGTGGAAAATTATCGCCGGTCACTAAACGAGGTAAGTTCATTAACGACAAAATCGATCTACCGATGATTTTTCTCAAACCTGTTTTTTGTTTACTTATTTATTTACTTTCTTTTCCTAGTCTATATCAAATTTGAGTGAAAACAATAAAGATCATCTCGACGAGATATTCTCTTTTGAATGCACTCATTGCTGGAAAATCTTCGCCAGTGAATACGGTTTCAATTATCATATGAACATGTATCATCCAAGTCAATCGGTCGTGTGTTCTGATTGTAACGTTACATTTCGTTCACATCGGGCGTTGAAGAATCATCAACAACGCTTTCATTTCAATTATTCGCAAAATCTTCCCGATTATCATCATCTTTCCTCCTACTTATTTTTGGCTTTTTCAACTCAGCAATTCTCCTTTGTAGCCAAACATGCTTGTGAACAAGGACGTTTGCCGTTAGGACAATTCACATCCAAAATTTTTCTATGTCAGTCCTGCCATGTCTCATTTCCCTGTTCCAATGCATTGCAATATCATTTATTAAACAAACACGACCAATATGAATCTGAAGTCTGTCGAATTACTCTACATGATATCATTGTACAAGTCGAAGAGAATATCAAAACAGTTGATCTTAATAATAATGATGACAATGATAATATTGAATCAATGAAATATTTATTAGCTAAACAAGCATCAATCTTCGGACTGAGGGATAAGAAATTAGCTGAAGAGATTCGTTGTATACGACACGAACATCAGCAATTGATTTTTCCTTCGTGTCAACATCCAAGTCGAACATGTGCAAATTTATGTTTGAAGTATCTTTCGTCTTACAATAAACTCGTCGAAAATTATTCCTATCAGATACCAACCGTACCGAAAGGGAATCCGTTTGCTCAAGGTTCAATTGTTTCTCGACCAATATCTAAATCATTAGTTAGCTTAGCCACACCATCGAAAGATGGATCAAGTCCAAATCCGAAGCGAACATCCTTGAAACGTGTTCAATCAGCAATGTCGGAACGTTCGTTATCTCCCCAATCGAAAAAGAGAACAAATGAACAACAATTTAAAGTAAATCAATGAAGAAATCTCGAGTATTTCTAGATGACTTTTTGTTTTAGATAAATGGATCTAAATTCATGTCGTCTGAATCGATTTCACTTTCACCAAGAAAAAATCAGATTTATCGTATGTTTTTCGACTTTGCATTCTCTCTGAATCTAAAATTTACCTTTCAGCACGTTCGATGTCTTCAAAAAATGCCAGACATTCCGTAGCGTGCAAACGTAGTGTCTCGCCAACTATCACACTGGCAGTTGAACGTTCATCGGAGAAACGTCGTCGACAGCGTGAAGAAAAAAAAACCAAAACTCCTCCATCATTCTCGAGTAAAGCGCATAGTACCGAACAAGAAAGCGATGACGACGATGATGATGATGATGATGATATCATTCCTTCGAAATTCGATACACACAAGAGACAACGCGAAGCATCCGACAGTTCCGTTGAATATGTTCAAGTAATAAATAACGAGCCACAAACAGTTTCCTCGTTGAATAATATCGAAAATTTAAAATTGAAATCGAAAGGTGATGATAAGGACATTATTATTTGTGATTCATCTTCAACCGTTAGAAAACTTCCTTCATCACCAAGCAAAAATCTTTCCAATGGTCATCAGGTAATAAAATGAACACCACGAAATCAATCTATTTCCGATTGTTTTAGACGGCTGATTATGATGAACATGTTCGTGTCCGTTGTAAAATATGTGGTGACATTCTCGAAGGACGAAGTCGATTTTCTAAACATGTATTAGCCATGCATTCACATCTGATTAAAAGCAATGCATCAAATATAAAACAGCAGCAACAGACTACCAGTGTTCGATGAAAAATCTCCTATATTCTATTCTGTATAGATTAGTATATGTGCTTGATTTCTTTTTACAGATTTTTCATTTGAGAACAAAGCACGATAGGTGTGTTTTTTTTTCTCTCTCGATGTTAATATGTATCACTAACAAAAGAAGAATGCTTGGAATTATTATTTTTTTTTGTCTCATTTGTATTTGTTCGATTTCGTTTGTGTTCTTTTCTTTTTGGTGCATATGTAAAGTTTGAATAAAGTACCTCGGTACGCACAAATTAATTCCGTTAGTGAATATTAGATGAGAGAAATAATCTCCTACGGTTTTGAATATCTGCACGTGACTGAAATTAAACCCCTAAACACACCCTCAAGATAAATCAACCAAAAGATCACGCTCAGATTGATTGATTCGAGACAATTCATCTCAGGTTGAAGATTTACGGCATAACTATCTGATGCTGGAACTAAAGGACACGTCGCTGTTCGACTTACTTCGAACAATCGAGAATCTCAGAAAAGTTCATAAATACATGCTTATTGTACTCTACAACATTGGTATGTATGGTTCGTGTTTAAATATGATCACATTTCTTCAAAAGAAACTTCGAATCAATCCATGCGGTGTTTATCTACTGTCCACATCGGTTATTGACTTCAGTATAATGAATGTAATACTTCTTATGGATATTATCGTCGAATTCAATCCATCTCTTTCGACGATTATTGAAGGAACGAGAATCTGGTGTAAATTGGGATCTTACCTTAACTTTATTCTTCCCTGTTTGTCATCAACATATCTCACACTTGCATCAATTGACCGATTTTGCATCAGTTCAGCAAGCCCGACACTTCGACAGTGGAGTTCGCTAAAAATCAGTCGGATCGTTGTCGTTAGCGCCTTTGCCATTTGGGCTCTAATCGGATTGCATATACCAGTTATTTATGATATCATTTACAAACCAATGTTTAGGATCTACACATGCAACGTAGCTAGGGGCTCGCGTACCGCCGTCTTATTGATTGATGGATTTTTATTTTCATTATTTAACGGATTGATCATTCCGTTTATTTCATGCATATTCGGTCTATTGATCTATTTTAATATGAAGAAAAGTCGGGCTCGAATTCTACCTCAACAAAATACGGAAACAACGGGCATTATAACAGTGCCTGCTCACAGGAAAAGGATTGCTCTTAATCGGCGAAGTTCCCATATGCTATTTATGTTATTGGTACAAGTGCTTGCGACATTCTTTTTGAATATACCATTCATAGTCATCTATCTTCTAAGATATGTTGATAGAGGGCAAAAAACCGTATACGAAACGACGATTTTCTTGATATTCCGCTATATTGGCCAATGGTTATATTATCTGAACTATTGCAAAACATTTTACATCAATACGTTGACAAGTCGTCTATTTCGACGAACTCTTTGTGGACAGTTTTGTTCGCATTTAAATAGATAGATGAGACCAAAACAAATCATTATTTAATCTCTCATTCGTTCATGTACATAAATAATACAGAAAATAACAATGTTACAAAGAAAAGATGTGTTTTACTCGATAAAAATATATCATTTGTACCAAACTAACGTAGACAACAATGATCGCATTATTCTCGATAGCTTCGAGTCATCAATGATTTATCACTACTACGCGATCGATAATCTTCTGGCAAAGACAAGATTGACTCAGTCAGCGTCTTTTTAACATGATCATATTTTGGTTTTTCTGCAAGCAGAAAACCACTATCACTGTTGATATCTACACGACACAATGGACACGTTTGAGAGGATGTTGCAGTCACTTGAGATGACCTAAGTATATAGAATAGATCGAATGAAAATATCTCTCTGATATGTGATAGAACTGACCATTGCTGAAAGCATTCATCGCAAAATTTATGGGTACAAGGTAAAACTAAGTTCGGCTGTCGATCCATACAAATACAACATTCGTTGTCATTTGGTAAATTGAACGATCTGGAAGAAGAAGAAAAAACACTCAATAAGGTTAAGAAAGATTTGGTTTTTCTCTACGAACAATTTGGCTGTGGAAAATGAAGAAGAATTTTGTTTCGTCGGTTCAGAATTATACAATGCTGTTGATGGACATTTTTGTAAAGTTAAAATTTGCTGACATAGAGATCGATGTACAGACAAGAACTGATGTAAATTCAAAACAATATCATTCGATTTGCTTTGATCTGCTCGTGATATCTACGAGAAAAGAGTTCTTCTACTCCAAAATGCAGCTGACGTTTCTCTTACTTTCGAACATGTTATACGAATTAATGCTTTCCAAAGTATTGTCGAGTCCGACTGTGGTACAACGGTAAAATTTAAATAATACGGTTCATCTCTTGTAAACGATTCCAGTGTTTTATTGAATTCATTAACTAAACGAATAAATTCGCTGTGTCGAAGGAAGATAATTTCTTTGATCTTCAGAATCGTTGGAACAAATTCCAAACCATCCGACGATCCACGCGCTTCTATGTGATTTCGATTGGTAACTTCGTCATCGTCACTTCTAGAATTTTCTTCCGACTGTTGTCGTTGCATACTCGTTTGTTTGCTTTTGCAATTGCGAATGACTATCTGCAGCTATATGAATAGATGAAAGCGACCTCACATCGTGACTCATTATTCAATTAGATAGCTCGGAGCCATTCAGCCAACCAGAAATGAAGATTGTTGGAATATTTTTTCCTCAATTATCAGCCGTCGAATTCGGTTTCAAACTATTGATTGAATTTGCTCAATAGAAATCAAATCAGTTTCTTTCTTCACAAAAATTCGTTTTGTATAGAGGCAGAACATTGTACAGATCCAAAATGGCAACGAACGCAAATGTATATAGTCATCGTACTTCTTTGTTTCGAAACATATCCTCCATCGATGCGTGTTGATTTCTTCTCTTTTGGCACTACCGTTTGAAATTCCTAAACCATGTGGCAGTTTGTTTGTTTTTTCCCTCAACTGTTCATCGTCCTGAGTTGTTCTGACAAGTATGAAAATTTGTAAAAACGATTAGGAAACTAAAGTGAACAAGACTGCATAGCATGCAAGTGCATAATCCGCTCATTGCGGGAATGTGCGTCGGCCGCGAAAAGAAAACGAAATACAGCCGAGCTGCTTTACACTTCTTGTGACCTTATTTGATTGAAGTGCTTAAATGCTTTCAAACTGCTATACTCACTGTTGATATCCAGTTGAAAAAACAACAGCCAATGTACCGTACAAAAAAAGTGAAGTTTTTAGATTAGCATCAGTCCATCATCAGCAACTACAATGGCCGATACAGACAAACTTTCGCTTGGTCTCGACGACATCATTCGTAAAGATCGTTCTTCGAATCGACGTGGTGGCAAACAAGGATTTCGTGGACGTGTTGGTGCTCGTCCTACCCGGGGTATTGGTCAGACGAGTGGATTTCGCACCCGTGGAGGCGGTGGATTGGTAATTGAGACGCTCTTTGTCATACGTGTATCTATATTCGAATTCTATTTAGCCTCGAACATCAAATGCGCCAGCAGGACGTTGGAAACATGATCTGTTCGAAGATAATTCAAATCGCGGTCGTGGTGGACAACGTAGTAGTGGTGTGAATAGTACAACGAAACTATTGATTTCTAATCTCGATTATGGTGTGACCACCAATGATGTTCAAGTAAGAATGAAAGATTTTCTTTCGTATGAATATGAAATATACATGTGTATGCGTGTTTGAAGGAATTATTCGAAGATATTGGAGCTGTTCGTATAGCACGCGTACATTACGATGAAAGTGGTCGCTCTTTAGGCACAGCTGAAGTTGTTTTTGAACGTCGTGTTGATGCAACAGCTGCTCTTCAAAAATACAACGGATTGAATCTTGATGGTAAACAACGAGTGCTGCTCTAGATCGCGCTGACAGTTTTTCCTCTTAGGTCGACCTATGGATATCAAATTAGTCGGCGGTGTTGATGATGGATCGCAACAATCGATGAACCATGGTTCGTATTCAAATGGAGTCGGTGCTGGTAATCAAAGATCAGGTTTTCGCAATAATAATCAACAAAATGGCAACCGTGGTGGAATGAATCGATCACGTGGCGGTGGCAGACAACAACAACAACAACAGCAACAACAGAATGGTAATGCCAAGAAAAGCAATGTAACTGCTGAAGATCTTGACGCCGAACTCGACGCTTATCGTGCTGGAGGTGCACCGAAGAAATGATGCTATTTACTGCTCACCATTCGCTGTTTTTCTTCATTATGCCAAGAAAACTTCAATAAGATTTGTTTTTGTTTTGTGCTTTTGTTCGAAAAAGTATAAATGTATCTCTCTATGAAACATTTGAATTTACACACAAGTACACAATACGTTTTCAAACACAAAATCCTGATCTTTGTTGTTTCTCTGCTCTTTATGTATTCTTCTTCTTTTTTTCGATTTGAATATGCTTGTGTGTGTACTATAGACTCTTGTATAAATACTGTGTTAGAAAAACCGGTTGTTGATTTCGATCAGAAAGAAAAAAAATATATGTATACAGTCAACCGATCTCAAATCGTTCTATTTGCTCTTCAAAAAACAAGAATTAGAGATATAGAAAGTTCAAAAACGAGACTTTTCTTCTTCCTACTCGACTTCCTTTTTTCCAACATGAGCTTAAGACGCCCTCTAGAGGGTTACTCTCCTTTGAAAACAACTAAGTCATCCGATTGGCAAAATCTTGTCTGTACAAGGTAAAACAATGACATTTTAAGCAAGTCACTTCGCACGAATTCCATGACACAACAAATGTCCGCGCATTGATGACATCAGCAAAAAAAATGATAAATAAGACGCTTACATTTTTCTTCTAGAATTAATAGGTAAATCGACGTTCCATTCGAACATAAACGAAGCTACTCGCATGGTTGAAGGTATCAATCATTTCGTTTTTTATTCAATAAGCTTAATTTCGGAAGATTTGTTTAGGCACGATCAAAGGTTATTTCAAACAATTAAAAGACGGCTGTGGTACGTGATCATAACTGGTCATATTTTTCATGAAATCAGTTTGTTTGATTTCGCAGGCGATGAGCAATGTCCAAATGTGTATTGTTCATCGAATCCAGCATTCAAATTCGATCGACAATCACTGCAAAATCCAAATACAGCAGCTGCCCAAGCGATACACCTTGCAACAGAATTCGGTTCGGTTTATCTGGATGAATTTATCAATTCCAATTTGTTCCTGGTCCAAGACAATCTAGAGCACATTCTAACTAAATCAAAACAAACGAATAATTATGACCTACTTAAGAAATTAATCTGTTCAGTTTTTTCGAATCGACAAAATCTGTCGTCAAGCTTTCTCCAGAAAGGTTTCCCTTTAAACATTTCACAAGATACGGATCAAGCGTCAATAACAACAAGTGCCACACCCAAAAGTAGAATTTTGCAATTTTTGAAATTCTTACTGAACAAATTCGATTCCTTTTAGGTACTTTCATACAAGATAAACGTATTACATTGGAGAACGATCAGATTACATTAGATGTCGAGATGATGAAACGCATGATGAAGGGATTACTAGTATTTGAAGATGAAATATCTCTAACGATGATCTATGCATTAGGTACATTATTTAAACAGATCTATAACGAATTAACGTCAGGAAGAAAACAAGAGTTAGAAAACGATGCAAATTTTTTAAACATTTTCTTAATTATCTTTCAACTGCCTTTTCTTTCCGATCCAACATTCATATTTGAGTCTGCATATTCATTCTATTCATTATTTACAAGAATATCAATCGATTTGCAAGCCAAGTTCGTAAGAGTTCTAGCCAAGTATCCCAATGATTTGAAATTCTATGTGGCACATTTACAACAGTACATTACAATGCGTACGGTAAGATGGTGTGATCACAAATCTATGTCTAATGTCAACGAAGCGATTCTATCAGCTGAACATGGTGAATAACTATAAATATATTCAAAAACCATTGATGAGTGTCTTCTTTCTAGGAATGTATGAGGGATTAAATATTTTGCGTATAATATTTTATGCCAATCTTCTTGCTGGAGAACGCGATAAGATAGAAATCATTGAAAAAGAACGTGAAAACGATCAGAAAATGGAAGTTGAGTTAGTCAGTCGTCGCCAACGACACAATGACGATGATGACAATAATGGTGAGCAAGAACAAGAAGACGAACAACGATCACAGCAACAAACACAAGGACGATCTGAACAACAAAATGAGAGTCAACAGGCGGCGTCGTCCCGAGTACGACAGCGGTCAACACACTTTTCTATTCGCGCAAGTACAAGTGACCAAGATGAAATCGAATCGATCTATGAGAATCCATTACAAATTAAACTTGATCTTGAGCCCAATGAATACCGTCACGGTTATTTGCCATTCGATGATTTTATTAATGAATATACAAATGAAAACATCGAAATTAACACAGAATATTTGGATTTTGTTCGACGAGGACCTGATGTCGTTGGCTTTTCATTTATTCTCTATCCGTTTTTCTTATCAACTATCAATAAAATTGGTAATTTCATCTTTGAAAAACAACAGACAATTCTCCATGGCACACTTTCTATCTTTAGCACTTCTCAATATCGAAAATAAAGTACAGATGTATCAACATCGGCATACGTCATATGTTCACAGTATCGTCAGCGGTATTCGACTGGATCCATTCTTTAAATTGAATGTTCGACGAGATCACCTGATCGAAGATGCTCTAATTGCTGTATGTTATCGTCGCTAAGCTTTCATCAAGCACGTTTTCTTTCTATAGAACACAATTTATTTTGTCTAGCTCGAATATCAAGGTATCGAACGGCCAGCTGACTTGAAAAAACAATTGTTTGTCGAATTCTACGGTGAACAGGGACATGACGAAGGTATATAAACAATCTTTTCTCATTGCTTATTGATAAATATCGATTTTTCAGGTGGTCTATCTAAAGAGTTCTTTCAGTTAATCACAGAACAAATTTTCAATCCTGAATATGGTGAATAAATCATTGAAATATCATATAAGATCATATCGTTTGTTTTTTAGGTATGTTTATGGCAGATGAAGAAACACGCTCTTTATGGTTCAATCCTTCGGCACCGGAGGATCTGGATCGGGAATATACATTGATCGGCATGTTGTTAGGTTTAGCTATTTACAATTCTGTTATTCTTGACATTAAATTTCCACCTGTTCTCTATCGTAAACTCATGGGTAAAGTGGGCACTTTCGAAGACCTTGAAACATCACATCCAGTAAGAGTTGAAGAAGAGCGTATCCTCCAGATTTTGTACACGTTTTTCGTTTAGTCAATATATAAGAGTTTAAAAAATCTCCTATCATTTGATGAATTACAAGAGAACATGACCGTCGAAGAGGCATTTGGTTTAACATATCAAATTGGTATTACTGATGCCACAGGATCACGAGTAACATTTGATTTAAAAGAAAATGGCGATAGTATTCCAGTGACGAATGCTAATCGGGAAGTAAGTTCATTCAGGACAAAATTTCATCTAAGAATTTCAATTGATTTTTAGGAATTCGTACGTCTCTACACTGATCTTATATTGAACAAAAGCGTTGAAAAACAGTTTCATCCATTCTTTCATGGATTTCTATTAGTAACACGTGACAGTTCATTGAGAAAACTCTTTCGACCCGATGAAATCGAATTGCTCGTTGCTGGCAGTCAAGTACTCGATTTTAGTCAGCTTGCATCCGCCGCTGAATATGATGGCGGTTATACCCAAGACCATCCAACAATAAAGTATATTTTTCTTTCGATTGTTCTCGCCAATATAGTTTGTGTTGGGTTTAGAAATTTTTGGAATGTTCTTATGAGTTTTAATGATGAACAAAAACGAAAATTTCTTCGATTCACAACGGGCAGTGATCGGGCACCGTAAGTATTCTTTGATTGACAATACTTAACGACAGACGGATCTTTCGTTGCGTCTAGAATCGGCGGTTTGGCACGATTGAAACTAATTATATCTCGAAATGGTCCTGATACTGACCGTTTACCAACAGCACATACATGTTTCAATGTTATCCTTCTTCCTGATTATTCATCTCTGGATAAATTAAGCGAAAAGCTCTTGATCGCCATCAATAATACACAAGGATTTGGCTTACTTTAGATGGAAAAGTCGTTCTTGATTCAACGGCCATATACTTCAACATAATTACCTTTGTGTGTGTATATATATATAGACATCCTTTCATGAGGTATTTTCACAATCACTGTGATATAACTCGACTTTTTAAAAAAATTAACTCAGAGTGTGCGTGAAACAAAATTCAAGCCATACTAAAAATAATTGCAAAGCTTTTCTTTTCATACCGACAAGTGGCATCCATTGGGCTGAGAGTAGTGTAGAAATCGTCAATTTGGTTCGATTATTAAAAGTTTCATTCGACTTGTAAATCTTAGACAGTTACAATTCAGGTATTGGAGCATTGAACTATTAAGATTGTTAAGGGGCCATTTGAAAGTTTGGGAACCAAAGGTTGCGAGCCTATGGTTTATTCGCCCAGATATCAGATATTTCGTCGTATCTCTGTGATCTAGACTCTTTAACACTCTCTCCTTCATCATAACTTTGCTCTGTTGCCTACAACACGCTTACCCTCAAGATGTATAAGTTTAAAACTCGAGTTTAAAAGTTTAATATTCAAATTGAGTTTTCGACTTATACATGTATGATATATTCAGAAGAAAATAACAAATAAATCAAACATATTTCAGTTTATTCTAACGTTGAAATATATCTTCTCCGATCACTTTGATATCTGAGTTGACATTTTCGATTTGTTGATTGATTAAATTTTCTATACGTTTTTCCAACATCGGATGAGTAAAATAACCTTTAATTCAAAAAGAACGTTCATAAGAAGAAGTCCTTCGACGAAAGAAATGCAAAGCATACCAGCTGCAAACTGACGAATATCGGTAGGTTTTTGTAAGCAAGCTTGTCGCATGAAATCTCGTAACAGAATATTTAATTCAGGATGTTGCTGAAGATAACGTTCATTTTCGATGCGTTTCTTGATCTAAGTAATACGACATCGAATATCGGAAAGTACTGCTAATCAATATTTTACCTTCAGTTCATTGATTTTAATTTGTTGCTCGGGCTTTAATGCGCCTTCATCATATTTTTCAGTGGAATGAGGAGGATCATCAACTGGCTTCGCGTCCATTTTTGTATGATTACGAATACAAATACTTTGCAGCCATATATCAACGATGAACTTATCACTGTTGCCTAGCAACAGTAAACATGGTGTTTTAATAGACATAAACTTCGGTACGATCAATCGTATGTTCTAATAATCACAAATAGATTCGAACCTGTAGAAAGTATTAAATAAGTTTTTGAGAGTTATCATGAAAACGCGACATCTCACGGTAACCCATATTTCTGTGCATTTCAGGCAGGAAATTTCACAGAATGTAGCTGGATCGATTTTAACAAAAAGAAAAAGTCACTCCCATGGAAATGAATGCACATATAAATTCTAAATTTGATCCACGTTAGAAATGTGACCTTCACACAATTCAGACGACATCATCGACAGAACTTTGCGATGATTCCACAAATTGAAATCATAGTTTTGATATGAACATCGTCGAAAGATAAGATGCTCTTCACATATGACAACAACGGAAATCAAACAGAAACATGAAAACATATCCAAGAATGCCATTAACGCTGCATTAAAATTATATGCAGCTAAAATTGCCATCACTGCATAGAAAATTCTTGGAATCTGTTCCAATGTTAATGAAATTGTTCGAGAAGCCAACGAGAAAGAATAAATATGTCGAATATTACTCGCAATTGCAGATAATGCAAATATGATGAGAAGAAAATGAGGGGAAACGCCGAGAGCTGCACCTAGTAAACCAACAACATTATTCATCTCAAGGAAAATTCCAAGAAAAGTATAAGCAAATATTTCGATTTGACTCATATTTTCTGATAGATATGTGCTGAAGTCAGCTGCTGCCACACACCGGGTTACCACATACGTAGCACCGAAACTAAGTAGAGGACCAAGATTCCAGGAATTCTTCTTTGTTGTTTGGATGTCAAATATTTGAAAACGAGGATATCTATGTAAAGTTTCTGTAAGCTGAAAAAACCAACACTTTTCTATCCATAAATACTTGTCAGTGTTTCAGAACGTTTGTTCTGATAACAAAAAATGTCAAAAGATACAGCATCGAATAGCCAGTCATTATTACAGTTGTAACGACGAGTGCATCACTTATTAAGTCGGATCTATTCATCTCGTCTTGGTGACTTGTTTCGAACGATTCCTCCGTTTTCAGCTGTGTGCTTTGGAATTTGCTCTTCGACATCTTGTATTGCTAATGTTGATAGAATCGATTGTAACTTGAGAAAAATGTAATCGATCTGCTTTTTCAGTCAACAGTACAAATGATACATCCATTTTGAAAATGACTGGAAAATACCATTTTCTTTTCTTTCAAAAATAATTTGTCCTTCTCAGTTATCTTTCTTCCAACTTTAAATGTAAAAAAAATAAGCATAGTGTCTTATCGCTAAAAGAAATATCACACTATATCAAAACGGTATAAACCGTGCGCGAGCGACATTTTCCAATTACTATTGTTACTCGTAACAAACCATGTCGATTCAGCGCGCACTGAATTCCAACAAAACACCATCGAAAACACGAATAGAAGATTTACCAACTGAATTAATCTTCGGTGTTTTCGATTATTTATATTGTCATGAAATCATCAACGCATTTCAACAACTCAATTCTTATTTTCAATCGTTATTACAAACATACCAGCAATACCATGTGAACTTATCTGCTCTTAGACGAATATGGCATTCTAATGTGATTCATCAATTGTCAAAATATACTCAACAAATCCAATGTTTAAAACTATCTTGTAAAAAAGATCTGCTGATTGACTTAAACGAATATTTGATCTTATATCCACTCAATTTATATTATTCAACGCTTCAATCGCTCTCGTTGTCAGGTACTGATATCAATCAACTAAAATCATTTGTTTTCGAATTGCAATACTTCCAGCAATTGAAGCATCTGTCGTTAACTCTCTGTCAAAAGTTTCATGATCCATATAGTATGCCTGATTCACGTTTCAAGTTGATTTGTTTCATTTTGTTGTTCAAAATCAAGACATTGAAGTTTTTATCATGGAATGTTGATTTGAACTTTTTTAGTGGAAAAGATTCGATATTGTCAGGTGAAAAATCCACAATTGAACATTATGAATTTTCTGGAATGACTTTTAATGACTTAAACTGGTTGCAATTGTACACAAAAAATATGAAATCACTCAGTGTACATAATTTTACTGGCAGTTTTGATAAAATTCACAGATTATCAATCGAAACATTGATCACTCTTAAACTTTATGATATTCCCCAGTCGGTCAACATTCAACTTCTGTTTGAGCAGTTTCTATATCTACCTCAATTGATTCATTTAGAATTCCAAAGTGAATTGTATAAAGAATCGGACATCGATGGTAATCACTGGAAATATCTTATTGAAAATTATATACCTCATATAAAACGCTTTCGATTCTTTTTCTTTGTCAACAGTAGAATCGTTTCTCAACCTTATGATAACATTATCGAATCATTCAAGACTGATTTTTGGCTCCGGGACAAAAAATGGTTTATCAATTGCGAATTCTTAGAAGGTTATCGATTGTTTGTCTATACTTTACCATGTATCAAAACAGAATTGAACTATCTTGTACCATACCAAAGAAAATCAACAAGTTCATCTCCAACGATTAGTATTCCACTCCTATATTTGGATTTGGTTAGTGCACGTGATCATCGGTCCAATTTAGACTTTGATCGTGTTCGATCGTTGTCTATATTTGGATTTGGTTATAACATGAATTATAACCAAATTTGTGGACTGATAAATATTTCATTCGTTAAACAGTTAACAGTTCTTGAAGACATAAATCCAGAGTTATTCTTTGATATATTGGAACATCATCCGACTCAACTATCGATTCGAATGTTTGAACACGACTTTTCGATGATTGTACGCGCAAGAAGCGGGGTTGACAAGAAGAAGATAAATGCAGATCGGATGGCTCCTTTGAAAAAAATCAAATCGTTAAAATTGATGTATAGTGTTGGAAGCTTTGAAGAAGCTTTCCAGATCTTAACGCATTGTTCGAAATTAGAAGAATTAGAGATTACTGGAACAATGCCAGTGGAAATAGTGAAGGATATAATAGATAATCTTGAAAAATTATCATTTTTGAAAATACATCTTGTTAACTGGAGACATAATGTCGTGAACAAATTACTGGAAAGTAATGGACAACAGAGAAGATTTGTTTATAAACATTTGGATAAAAGTGTTCTGATCTGGATTGATTGATTTCGAAATTTTTCTTTTCTTGTTTTCAAATAATCCTGAATAATAAAGTGAATTGTTGATTATCGATCATTCGAAACTATTTTAAAGAGAATAGTGAAGTCGATGGAAATAACTATTCATACCATTTGAATTATTCGTTGTATATCTACATCGTCAGAGTGTTTGTAATGTGAATGATGATTTTTATTTTGTTCAAAAGTTTGATCAACCATCGGAGTCAATTCAAGAAGAGTAAAAACTTCACAAGAAAATATGATTACATTCACGGTATTCTCTGGCCAACAGATGTCGACTTCAGAATATTATTTCTTTAAAAAAAAAGGAAGAGTACTCTCGACATGGAAAAAGTTATTACTCATTTCACTGTAGATAACAGCTGTTATGTTTACATACTGACTCATGCATTACTTCTGTTAGGTTATTGCATCGTCTTCAAAGGACACACCAATGCTAATACATTTCTTTTCCTTTCTCAAGTCATTTGTATTCTTTATGATTCTCTTCACGCGTGTTCACGCACACAATACATTTGAGTTTCATAGCATCGATAAAATGTTTTTTTTTTCCTGCTTCATATTTTTACTTCGCTTCGATCAGTCTGACGAAATTGACGTAGTTAAGCAAAAATAAGACGCACAGCGATGAATAACATACACATGATGTATTAAGTTTTACCTTGTTCTGTCGTTGTTTGAAAAAAAAACACAACACCGTCATACGCTACTTTACCTGCACATATTTCATGGATTCATCGACACCTGAATTACTTCGTCTCTCATCTCAACTCTTGTCACCATTCGAATATTTTACTGACTCATCTGATACAATTAATACTAAAACTGATGTCGTTTTAGTTGTCGGTAAAGAAAGGTTTTATTGTCATAGTTTGTTGTTATCGATGGTATCACCCGTTTTCTCTCGAATGTTTGACGGGCAATTCAAAGAACATAGCGAACGAGAGATCGTTCTCGAGGGAAAATCAAGTGAAGCAATACTGGAATTATTAAAATGTATTTATCCACAATTTAACGGTCAGATTACTGATGAGAACGTTGAACATTTTCTTCTACTTGCCGATGAATACATGATTGAGCATTTAAAACAACCATGTAAAGAACTTCTAATGAATCAACTTCGACAATTGAAATACATTTCACTTCCAACAAAAGAAAATATCGTACAAGTAACGATCGTCATCTTTGAAAGATTTTTCTAACTCCGTGCAAATATTTTCTTTCAGGCATCATCGAAGTCAAGAAGTACAAACACGAGTGATTCAGCAATGAATTTACAAGAAAACAACGATGGTCATTCATCAGGACATGAGAATTCCAGTCGTCTGCAAGCACCACGGCGGCCTGTTGCAAGTCCTCGACACACACCAAACAAACCGTCATCACTATCAAGTAGACATGGCGATCGGGCAGGATCTGCATCAAATACAACTCCACGCTATTTTCTTTCGCTTGACAGAACTCAAATACCTACATTTTACAATGAAAGCAAGGCAAAAGTTCCTTTTACTGTCAATGAAGTAAACGCATGGCTCCGTCGTCTACGTATCCTTTATCAAATAGATAAAGGTCGAAATTACAGTGAAGTTATGGATTCTATTCTAAGTATTTTACAATTTATACCTACAAGTATTCTTTTGCCATTCGTACAACCCACAACGGATACTTACTCAGCATTAGAAATCATGCTGAATGATATATCTCGTGCACGAATGTGTCTTCTCGAAGATTGGGCATCGGACGGCAATTTCAATCGTCCAGTAGCTCTATCAGAGTCTTATCGAACAATGTTTCTTAGTGCTACAGCACCTGTAGAACAAGCTGCTACAGTTTCTACAAAACCTGTTGAGAACGAAGAAACTGCTTTTCAATCAGTAATTACTATCACATCTGATCCAGAAGAATTAATTTCACCTTCCGATACAGATACAGAGTGATTTATTATTATCAAATTAACTCACGTTTTTCTGTCTTTGATATTATTTCTCATCGATTTGCACAAATATGTCTTTTCTTTTTGTTATATTTTTGAAAAGGATTATCAAAAATATCAACGGAAAAATCACAAACTAAAGTTGATGTGTAGAAATCTATAAGAATTTAATTCAAACTCGGTTTTTCGTCCTTGTTCATTGTTCAATGGTTTATACTTTCTATTTATTGGAAAATATTCGTGTGACAATACCTTGGATCGACTGATCAGATGTCTTTTCTATCCGTGGTCAACTTGTTGTACATCCACAATTTCTTGTCAAAAGCAACTGGTCGCAATCCGAATGAAGAACATAAACTACAAAACAGGAGGTGTTGTTGTCGGGCATAAAACTAGGGAAGAACAACATCGCTAGCCGCGTATGACGTTATCAGTAAGACACAGTGAGATTTGAGAAACACATAATTGTACTACAACTGTATTTAATGCAATTGTCAGCCTTATTATTCCCTTTTCCGATGAATAAGCTTTGTAGATAACGATAATACAGTATTGTTCTGTGTAATATACAATGAAGATGCACGAACAACTAACACATGACTGATTCATACGTAAGCAGGATTTCAGCGACCTCTGTCGTCGACGTTTACAACATTGTTTCATAAGGTACGAATGGAAATTCTTCTTACCATTTTCTTGCTTCATCCTTTCTCTCACTTGATACTTGATTGCAATTTTTCTTCTTCAGTTCAATTTCAATTTCAAAAACATTTGCCTCTCCATTGTCAATCTTTCCCCATGTCGTTGATTAATTTCAAAAAGATTCTTTCATGTTCCGACGAAGATCAAGTACGTTTCAGTTCAATACATTATAACTGCATTATCTACCATTTTCTTCGGTTAAGGTACACTCTGCTAAAAACCTACTCAAAGCAGATCCAGCTAAAAAATGGCTTTCATCGAAAAAACCTGAAGAACGCATCACGTGCACTATTGAATTCGATAAACTCAGCTGTATCTCGTCTATTGACATTGGAAACAATGGATGTGCATTCATTGAATTATTAGTTTCTCGTTTATCATCGAAAACAGATGACTGGACTGTTCTTTTACCTTCAACTCTACTGATGACACCGAAAGAATCACGCACAAATACAAATAATCAACAAGCCAGATCTTTCAAAGCTTTGCATCTGAATCCAAAGAGTGTAAATGAAAAATGGGTTCGATTGAAAATTATTTGTGAACAAAAATTCGCTCGTAATCGTCCATTTGGTTTAAATTATATAAAACTATACTCTAATGACAGTGAGCAGATTGATATCGACGATGAAGATGAAACCGAAACTGAACAGAAGAAGATTGGTTCGTTCTTTGCAAAAAAGCAATCAGAAAAGAAAACAAAATTAATTTCAAACGATACCGTTCAATCGAAAGATGAACAGGTAGCCCAAAAAAAAGCATCTCTTTCTTAAATCATACATATCCTTCTAGGGTGATAAATCACACATTATGAAAAACATCGTTTTCACTCTCAGTGGCTTTCAGAATCCTCTGAGATCTGAATTACGCAACAAAGCCACCGCTATGGGCGCTATGTATCATGACGACTGGACTGACAAATGTACACATCTTATGTAAAATCCAACATTTCGACAATTGTGCGATCAAATTCATACTTTTGTTTTAATTGCAGTTCAGCATTTCCCAACACACCGAAATTTACCCAAGTTCAAAAGGCAGGAAATGGTTTTATCGTTAACAAACAATGGATACTTGATTGTTATGATCAAAATCGATTACTACCGGAGAAATCTTATACATTCAGTCAAGCGCCTGAAACAAAGAAGCGAAAACTAAAAGACGAAGGAGAATTTTCGGAAAAAACTCCTGCAAAGAAGAAATCAATTAGTAAAAAAGAACTAAATATTGGTGAAATACCTGATTTCTTTCATGATAAACATTTCTATGTATCATATGGAGATTATGATGATAACACTCTCCTCGACATAACACGAGTCATTCTCGCTTACGATGGTATTTTAGACAGGCAAATCACCAGTGATGTTATGTATGTAATTACTAATCGAATGTGGAACCAAGATTTTGAAAAAGTAATATGAAATTTGGGAAATCTTTGACAAATTTTCTCTTGTTTTGTAGATTTCGAAGTCAAATCCAGATATCAATTTTGTAAATCTCGATTGGTTGCAGGATTGTCATGACACCAATCAGTTCGTTCCACTTCAATCGTATCTAATTGTTCCTTAGAGTGAACGCATTGTTCTTTTTAGTTTAAATTCGAATTTTGATCAATCGATCAATTGTTTTCTTTTAATGAATTTTCTGTGATGTACAAAGTAATTGCATTGTTTTTCGTTTTAGATATAAAAAATGACTGAAACGATGAACGTCGATCAACAACTAAGTACAACGATGCCAGGTGAGTGTAATCGAGTTTTATTCTTTTGGAGAACTTTCGTTTGCTTGTCGAAGCACATGTCTTTTTCGAATTGGTTTATTGAAATAACAAACAAACTCGGTTTTGTTTTTCTCTTTTCCTTTCCATGTTGCAGAGGAACATTTATATCAATTGTGTGAGTTTCGTCCATCTACATTCAATCATCGACGACAAAAAGAAATCTTTTGATTTGTTCTTTGTGTTTTTTGTTCTCTCCCTATTTTAGGTATTCACCAAGAATCCACTTACCATTCAGAAAAACGGATCTTTTCTTCTTTTTCTTTTTTCAAACATAATCGCTTGTTTTGTCTTTCTCTCTATCCCTGTTTCAGCTACAAGAATCGAACAGCTCATTCGTATACCAGATCGTCTTGAACACTTCATTCTAAAAGTCTGTAGGATAAAATGTTTCTTTATATTTTATAGAAGCTATTCATGAATCCCAACCAACGAATGGTGTGGAAAAACGAAAATATTCCAAAGAAGATGTTCCACGTCTACCACGTGAACTCACACCATTTGCTCAGTTTACGCTGGCAATCGAACTCGATCAACGTGGCCCGTTGTTCAAGGGACCTGGATCGAAACGCGATACAGGACGGTATAAAGTTCGAACTACTGATGACGATAATGTCAAGCGCGCAAAGAAATTTGCTATGGAGCAGAGTGTGAAGTATGTTTTGATGAAACAACAACAGCATCAACAACGAACACAATTAGATATTCTGAAAAAGCAACAAGCGCTGTTGTTGATGTGCCGGTAAGAGATATTTTGGCAAATTTTACAGATCGATCTGAGAGAGCGTGATTTAGAATCTACATTGGAAGTATTAATTTTGAGTTAAATGAAGCTATGCTGAAACAAGCCTTTCAACCATTCGGTCCAGTGAAAGCTGTTTCATTAACATTTGATCCAGTGACAAATCGTCATAAGGGTTTCGCGTTTCTTGAATATGAAATACCCGAAGCAGCACAACTATCAATCGAGCAAATGAACGGAGTTATTCTCGGCGGGCGAAATATAAAGGTAAATAAATGAAATTATGTGTCATGAATTATTCACTTTGTTTCTTCTAGGTCGGTAGACCATCAAATATGCCACAAGCACAACCGATTATTGACCAATTGACCGAAGAAGCGAAAAACTACAATCGAATTTATATTGCTTCAATTCATCCAGACTTGACCGAAACGGATATTCAAAGTGTTTTTGAAGCTTTTGGTAAGATTTGAAAATGAGTTATCATAGTATGACATATTTTGTTGCTGTTTTTCTTTTAGGTGAAATAAAGAGTTGTGTTTTGTCTAAAGATACAGCGACCAGTAAACACAAGTAAGATAAAGGGCATCATTCATCAGGAAAAGAAAAGAATCCATATGTATTTATTCAGAGGTTATGGCTTTATCGAATACGGTACAGTTCAAGCGGCACAAGATGCAATCAGTGCGATGAATTTATTCGATCTTGGTGGTACGTTTCTTTTTCATGTTCAAAATAAAGCTTCTCATGTGGTTTTCATCTCATGTAGGTCAACACCTTCGTGTAGGAAAAGCAATTACACCACCCGAGGGATTGTTTGCATCAGCACAGCCAATAGCAAGTCCAATGCCGACGGCTACGGCATTAGCTGTAGCAACTATCACAGCTCAGTTACAAGCGAAAGATGTTGAAACAAATCCACAGCCGACAGTGGTATACAATACAGCTTCATTTATCTCGTCAGGAAAGAATATCTTTAAAATATTTCTTTTAGGCTGCTTCGCAACTAATCAATAATCCATTGGCTCAAGTTAGTTTTGCTGCTGGACCGATTGCACCAACAACGGTTGCTGCAGCACTTTCAGCTGCTTCATATTCTGGTGCAACAGCTGTTACATCAAGTAAGATAATCTTTCTATATAGACATGCACTCATTCTTTCTTCAATTATATTTTAGTGATTTCTAATATTCTTAATCCTACGGCAGCCATGCCAAGTCCGATTCCCCAGGCTGCTGTTGCAGGTTCACCGACAATTCGTCCTAAGTAAATCGTTAAGATGATGACAAAAGAAATTATGTCTTGAATTTTATTTTTTAGTTTCATCGCACCATCTGTACCAGCGGTTCCCGTTACTCCACCAGCAACACAACAAATACCCATTCCTCCTCCTCAAAGTAAGATATCTTGACAAATTGAGCGTAGTTGATCGAAGATATTGATTTTCAGTAATTATTCCACCACCACCAACATCGATCCCTCAACCCACCATCCTCGAAGAACCACCCATACCAGTCGGATTAAAAGCGGCGTTAGAGCCAGTATCTCAACAGCAACAATACGCATCAATTGCTCTTGTATTACCAACCGATAAAACAGACGCAAATACGAATAAAAAATCAGCGTTAGAATTAAGTAATGCTGATGACCCTTCGACAACTCTATCTCAACAAGAAGAACTCAGCGTTAAAGGTAAATATTGTCGATCGAGCGTACTACGTACCGAAATGAACAATCTTGGCTGATTTTAGGTCGTGAACAAAGACATTTATTAATGCAAAAATTAAACCAACGTCGACTCGATTCACGTGTGTGTGTTTTGAAGAATATGGTCGGTCCAGATGAAATTGATGATGATCTGCAGCAAGACGTGACAGGTCAGTTTGGGTTTGTACAGTATCTGAGGAAACTTTTCTGTTTTGTATTTTGTAGAAGAATGTTCGAAGTATGGCGAGGTTGTTAAAGTTGTGATTTACACTGAACAACAAGGAGAGGACGATAATGCTGAACATATCGTAAAGATTTTTGTCGAATTTCAAACTAGTAAACGTAAGTTATATTAACTAAATTTGCATGAAACCGTTAGGAAAATCTCTGTTACTTTACAGAAGCAGAAAAAACGGTCGAATCACTCAACGGTCGATATTTCGGTGGTCGGATAATCAAAGCTGAGTTGTATGACCAAACAGCCTATCAAGCTGATGATCTTTCTGGTTAAACGAACATTTGCCTTTGTTTTTGTATAGTCTATTTGTTCTTGTGTCATGTATAACAAATAAAAAATGCGAAACACGCTACATGTTCAAGTGAAATTTGTTCGTCACCTTTTTCAGATTGGAATTGTACACAGAACAGTAATGAGATTATCTCCGGTAGTTCGTTTTCTCTCATCAAATGGATTTTACGTTCATATAAAAAATACAACACCGAATTGGCAACCATTGTTGAGCGAAGGAGAGAAAATCATTGGTTATCCATCATCCTTACGTTCATTAGTCAATCTCAAGTATCTTTTCAATGAAGAAGTATCAACATTAATTGGATATTTGAGGAAATTAGTGGGTACGCAGCATCCTTTACTGAAACTTGCAACGAATATGTTAGAAAGTCCGCCAAAAGCAGCACATTCAAGATCTGTTTTGTTGTTATTGATCTCGAAAGCAGCGGGAATTCCGCAGAAGAATTACCAAGAAGATATGATTAAGCATGGAATTCACGAACATCAGAGACAACTAGCTGAATTAATTGAAATGAGTGAGAAGTAATTTAATATGATCTATGGGTGTTGATATGTCGTTCATTTTTAGTTCATTTGGGAATTCTTGGACATCGAGGTAGGAAGAACGATCTCCATTCATGTGTATACAAGCTTCTTATTTTGTAGGTATTGTAGACTTAAAAGAAAATCAATCGGATTTAGAACAAGGAAACAAAATCGCTGTATTGGGTGGCGATTATCTTTTGTCTCAAGCTTGTGGTAAGCTAGCTGAATTTCGAAAACCAAAGGTATGAAATGAAGAAGTAAAGATTTTGACTATTGGCATGTTTCTTTCAGGTCGTTGAGACGATTGGTAATGCAATTGCTGAATTATGCAAAGCAGATTTTTATTTAAAAGAGAAACAATCACTTTCATCAATAACAGAATGGTATCAACTAACTGCATTGTAATCACTGTTATTCAATTGATTTCAATATTCAAACATTGTACATGCATTTTGTTCTAGATCCGTAGCAAATCTCGTCGCATCCGGTTGCCGTGCTTCTCTTCAATTAGTCGACCACGCGCCTTCTTTTCAAGATCAAGCCTATTATTTGTGCCGTCATATCATATTCTCTTGTATTATGTATAACGAGATCTCGCAATACTCATCGGTGTTTTCGAAAGATGCACCGTCGTTAACATTGTACGGGACTGTACCAATCAATCGTTCGTTTCCGTATTCTCTGATGACGAAATCGAATGATGAAACAGTTACTTTCGAACAATTGAACAACGACAAATTACTCGATGATTGTCGTGAGCAGTGTTTCAAAGAAAGCAGCAAAGCATTGACACTACTCGAAGCAAATTTCGATCAGAAATCTTCAGCTACCGCTCTTCTACGCTCGATCATTCAACGTATACAAGAGGGTCTTTCTTCAAAAACAGTCATTTAATTTTGTGTGTTTTGAATTATTTAGTTTACAACGAAAATACATGAGTTTCTCACGAGGAAATACCAGAACGTGCACAACTTTTAAACAGTTGATGACATGTCTTTGTGTTCTGTTGCGCATAGGGACTATTCATCGCGAAATCTCATTATTGCAATTGTCGAAGCTAAAATTTGCTCCTCGGGAATGTTAATTTGATTTTTAATTCGAAGACAATTTCGATTTGAATACACAATGTCGATTTCCTTGTGCAAATGAAATTATCTACTGAAATGAGCTATTGTTTTTCGGCAAATCTATTTTTAAACATGAGAAAACAGTCTAATATTGCTTGAACAACTGTGTTCGTCTTTCAAGGTCAAAATTGATTAATAACGAAACAATCCGGCGTATTAAATTTCTTGTTACAATCTTTTTTTTTCACGAAGAGAAGAAAATCGAAAATGATACTTCTGATATGTTCGGTACTCAATCACACTGAACAGGTGAAAAAAGAAATGTGGTTATGTCATCCGGTAATCGAAAGAAGAAAAGGAAGGAGAGAATGTAAGCAAAAAGAAAACAAATGAATAACATCTCGTTCTCCTTTTTCATCTGTTATCGGACACAAGCCAATTTTCAAGAATAAAGGAGTATTGAATGCTAATCGACAAGAACAAGAGAACATTCGATTTCTTTTTCTTTTTTCAACATTGTATTTATGATAAAAGACATGAGATGGAAGCGATATTAAGTCTTTGAAAATGATTGTTTTTTAAGAACATATGAAAAGGTATCATAAATCATTCTTCTGATTCGATTACTTTCGTTTATGCAATCGTTTATTTAATATATCAAAATTGCTTTTTTTTCTTCTTCTTCTTCTTCTTTTCGCTCTTTGTACTCATAGACCTGGATAGTTCATTATCAACAAAATGCTGGAAATAAGCCGGATTTATCTCTCAACTGGGGTATTATTAGCTGTTTTAACATTAATTTTTCATATGATCGCGGTGGGATATCCACGATGGAAGTAAGTTGTCTTGTAAGAAGTCAAGTGCGTGAATGTAAATACAAACGGAGGGATGATAGACAAGTAGTTGTTTGTTTTGATTTGGATCACTCTAAAGTAAAAAGAAAGTTTCAAGGATTTCAGACACCTTGGAGGAGATTTTGTTTGATAGAAAGACAAACATGTTGAAAATTGTTCTTTAGAATTTATGAACATCGTCGAAATCCAAGTGAAACTCTGTTTGTCGGTTTATTTCATCGTTGTGAAAATCAACTGCTTACGGTCGTGTCTGATACAAATAAAATCTATTCGATATGCGATGAGAACAAATATTTACCATCGAAGAAAAACATGTCAACAATAATTAATAAACTGAAACCTAACGAAGTTCAACGTTTATGTAACATCGCTGGAAATCCCTATCGATGCGATTACTCGTCGGTCAATAAAGGTCTTATCTCGAGTACAATCATCACAGCGTGTTCGATTAGTTTCGCAATTATTTTAATCTATTCACATTTACTTCTTAATCAGTTTAAATACAAGACGCATTTGGTGATTGCGATGACTACGATTCTTTTCTTATTTCTTGCATTTATTTTTCTTCTAATAACATTGATTTTACTCGGTTCAACAATGTCTTATGATTTGTTTGAATATCGTTATAATCTAAACTATCGTTTAGCTGAACGAAGTAAATATTCTTTGGTTTTAGAAGATTTTTTATTTCTTTGATTATCTTCAGAACAACGAAATCTCACCAATGGATTGGAACAAACCATTCGACAAACAGTAGCGAGTGATTACGATATCCGTTTAGACTGGTCAGCAGGTTTAGAAATCATTTCATTGGTTCTATCAAGTTTTACCTTAGTTACTCAAATACTTTATGTCTTTTCGACATACCGAAATCGAATCGGCTGAAGACAATGATTTTTTTTAAAATTTTTTAAACTTTTATTTGTATTCTTTCACATTAGTCTCTCTCTTTTTCTCAATAGAATATATATATATATAGATTCGTTATATTTAATTTCCTTGAAGACGATGAAGTACGGCTGCATCGGGTTTCCATACGCCTGCATATGATTTCGCTGATCGATTATCTAAATGAGATGGTGTGTTTGTTGAGAGTCCGAGATATTTTTTATTGTTACCATCTTTTGTCTTGCTCATAGTGGATGATTTTTGTGAATTGTTATCTTGGCGACGCTCGTTTTCCTTCTGGGAATCCACATTCGAGATCGAACCATCCGAAGTTTCTTTTCAAAATGAAAAAAAGATCATTCGTTCAATGAAGATAAGAACAATGAGTGTATTTACTGTTGTTGTTGTTGTCGTCATTTGTTTGTTGCGAACGTTTACCATACGATGTTTGTTTGACGATTAATTTTAAGGCATTTTCTAAGCGGGATTGTTTGGTTTGTAATTCCTCGATTTGTTTCTTGGATTCTTCTTCTTGACGTGTTAATTTATTCTGTAAATCTCGAATTCGTCGTGCTTTCGCATCGTCATCATCTTCGTTCATTGAAAGATAGTTTGTTTCTTTGCGTCGATTGTCTGCGCGATCGTAATCGTCATCGTTGATTTGGATTGAATCGAAATGTGGAGGCGTTCGTCCGACCGGCGCTGTTTTCGAAGCTTTCTTCATATCATTCTGCGACGGTGTCTGAGGTCGCGGAGAATCTTCATCGAGGTGAATCGTTTCGATTTGCTCTTCATGATCGTCTTTATGTTGGAGGTCGTTGGAGAAATCATTTCGGTTTTGTGAGGTAATGGCTTCTAATGATTCACGTGGACTTTGACTATAATTTGGATAGGAGAGTTGGTAGGTTGTTGCATTGACCAATGGTAAAGTTGATTGTTTTTTCAAGGCAGACGCGATTAATGCATCATCTTGGGATTCCTCGTGAATGGGTTGTAAAGAACGATTGAGAGTATCTTTAATATACTTTTTCGATGCTTGTTTTTCTTCTTTCTTTTGCCTAGAATGAAGAGGATTGATAAGTAGAGCGATGTTCAGTTCAATTTACTTTTCAACAAAATTAGTCAAAGAATCGAGATCAACCGGTTGTTGAGAATTATTCGATATACGTTCAGATTCTTTCAAACCTCGAAGTGCAGAATTAATCATCGTACGTGCTTGTTCTTTTTCTATATAAATGCAACCAAAACACTTCAAATCAATCATGAACAACAAGACATGCCGATTTACCGGTTGGAGTAGCTGATATAAGCCATGATTGTACATCTTCTAGATTACTTGTGCCAAGTAGTTGACAAAGAACTTGTAACATCTAGTTTGTAACAAGAATGTTCTTGTAAAATTGAATATCAACAAAGGAATGAACATGTGCCTTACCCACATTTCTCTTTCATTTTCCGGTACATGAAATAGCATATCGGAATATGCGGTAGAATGTTTGGAGCCTGTTCGTCCTCGTGATTTGGCAGTTCCTTCGTTGAATCGGCCGGTTCGAGTTGAATAGTGTGCACCAGAACGTGAAGCGTGTTGAGAATTAGCGGTCGCTGTTTGTTTAGCATGATGTTTTCGATCATCTTTTTCTAATCCAAGTCCACTTGCACTGGCTAGCGAAGCCAATTCTCGTTTCCAGTTATCAGTATCATGAACTGTTAGAGATTTTCATATCGAAAAAAGAAGTTCAAGTATATCAATCGACTTTACCGATGCCTTGTGTGTGCCAAAAGCCCATTGGAGGAACGACTCGTTCTACGCGACGTGATGAATCCAGAGTCGGTAGATTTGCTCGATTGAAACTAAGCGAACTAGTAGATGCAGAACGGATCAGAGCTGGATCATCATTTACATTACAAATCAATGCGCCATTAAGACCTAAGATAAGAATTCTTGTAGAACAAATGTTTTTTTTTCTCGAAACCTATCCCAATACCTTCAATATGTCGAACACGCTTCGGATTCGCCGTGTTGCGTGCAAAGAACATATTGGACGAAAGTTGTCCAAAACGCGAACCACTACGCGATTGTGTTTCGTCGAAGAGTGCCATATCTGCCACAAAGCAGTCAATAATCAAATGACAAATCAATCTTTATGTACGTACGATTAAAGCTGATTGAAAAAGGAGAGAGTAGATTCTTTCAAATGTTCTACTTGCTGTTGTAGACGATGTAAACGAAATGCCAGATAGACGACGTAACGATTCTTTTTTTTTTCAAAAGAAAAATTGTGTATGTCAACAAAACAAATCTAGAAAAGAAATCGAAACAATTATCAAAAGAACATAACAACGCACACATTAGCATGCTTCTATCACTTAAACCTTTCGCATTGAAATTCAACAGAGAAAACTCATTGATAAAGACCTGACATGACGTCTTTTTTCATGCACCTATCTCAACATTCAATTAAACTCTTCCACATGGAAAGCAGAAAACATTGAACTAAAGATATTCAGTCATTCACACGCATTCTCTCCCTCACTTTTTTAACGACAGAGCAAATGCACTCGATACAGGAGAGCATTTGAAAGTTTGTTGTTATTTTTTTAAATTGTTCGACGTCTATTTACCTACCAACATCTCATAGCAACATTACCAGCGTTCTGTCTCTTTTACAAATTCTACCATTTTTTGAAAACTTAAAAAAAATAGAAAAACAAGTCTTTTGAAACTATGTATATATCTATATAGACAAACATGTTTCTTTTTCTATTGGAAATGATTGATAAAAGTTCACGTCAGAATTGATTGATTTAGCTTGAATGAATGTATTATACACGTGTCCAGGATGTCTTCCGGGAGAAAAGTATCTTAATGGCAAGAGAGGAAACTGATTTCGCTGCTAGGAATTTTCAATTGGACGTCTCCAGGTATTTGAAATCAGTTGATAAGATATGCATTTCGTCTCCAGATGCAAGATATAATTACTGAAGGAGAAGAGATGTTTTCAATCTGTCATCTTTTTCTTCTTCTTTTATATTTTACTTGAAGCTAGTCTCGACTGGATTAACAAGTAGTGCGTAATAATAGAGTTTTGTCGATTGGAAAAAGCAGAAGAGAGAAGAAAAGAGGAAGAAGAGAGCATTTACTACAGGAACGAGCAAATCATCAACGACCGTGCTTGTCAATTTCGGTATGCGACCGATTTACATACGGAAAAGATAAATCCTTAGAGATTTTCTCAGTTTTTCTCTCTTCTCGAACATTTGTTCTTTTTGCTGTCTTTTGTTCAGTCTAAATCAGACTAATATTATGACTTATTCAGCTGCTTTATTCAATGTTTTTCAAGCATTTGTCATTATCATCGTAAATTTTTCGATCCTAATCTCCTATGTAAATACCAATGAAGTGGAACTTCGAACGCTATTATTTAAAGAACGAGCATATGATACCAAAGTGTGTCCGGAAAAAGGCATTACCAAAGTTCATACGAATCTAATCTTTCTTCAAATTGAAAGTGTCGATGAGAAAGCACAGGTTTGCTCTGTTTATTTCGCTTTTCTATCGAGCTCTTCTCTTTGTGCAGGTAGTCACGAGCAACATTCAATTAACTTGCGCTTGGTGCGATCCGTATATGACATGGAATGTCAGTCGTTTCAATATCTCGGAATTATCTGTTGGATCCGATCAGTTATGGACGCCGGATGTTGTTGTTGTCAATTCTGCTGATGAGAAGTATTCACGAAATCGAGAACATTATGCTTTACTTCTGCGACATGATGGTAAGCGATCCTTTCAAGTATGAGCTCTTCAACTACTTGAAAAAAGAAAGTTTTCTTTTAGTTTCATGATATTTCTATCTGATTTTTTTTATCTAGGCTATGTTCGATTTATGTTTCAAGATTTATGGAAGACGATATGTAAAGTTCGTGCAACTTATTTCCCATTTGATCGGCAAGTGTGTACAATAATTATTCGGAGTGGCTCTCATGATAGTCATACAATAAAATTTATTCAACGACGTCCAATTGAAACTCATTCATTTATCCGAGGCGAATGGGAGTTGGAAGCATCGTACACAGAAATCAGCGACGAACGCGTCTCAGACTTCGATCACGTCGATTACAGTCTCGTACGGTTTACGTTAGTCTTAAAACGCAACCATGTCTATTATCTAATTAAAATCATTCTCCCGTTTACACTCGTTTCCTTCGTCACACTGTTCACATTTTTACTACCACCACAGACAGGTGAAAAGCTAACATTGAATGTAACAATTCTCTTATCGCTGGTGATTTATCTTCAACTATTAACCGAATATATTCCGAAATCAGATGACGAAACACCGATATTAACATTATTTTGTAATGCAAATTTCTTCCTCGTCTTTCTCTCTTGTATTATGACGGTTTATGTACTTTATCTATATCATCAACCATCGACATCGAATATCGCCTGTGTGCCATCACATATGAAAATAGTCTTGTTGGATTATCTAAGCCCGTTAGTTTACTGTAATGCGAATAAGCAATCGAACCAATGTCAAACTGTTGAAGACAATGTGGAAGAAGCACGACCAAGACGTTTGAGTAGTATTGAAAAACGTATGTGCCATTTATTCACTCTCACAACACCAGTTCGAACAGTTAATCAACAAGTAAGGAAGAATTCGATCGTCTCTCGTTTCCCTGGAACATTTGTGCTTTTTTTAGGCAATCGAATTATTGAAATTACTACATCAAATCAAGTTTCATATACGTACACAATGGCTAATCCCATTAAACATTCTTGATGAATGTGAAACAAGCACTGATCTATCAAAATTCGATAATCAACGTCGTTTAGACGAATGGCAGCATGTGGCATTAGTACTTGATCGAATGTTCTTTATCTTATTTAGTATAGCGATGCCGTGTACAGCACTGATTTTTATCTCTGCACATACAGCAACAAGAAATAACTTTCATGGAAACTTTAGTAACTTCAAAATGGACGCTAAATGTGATCATTATCCACCAAAACTACCATAAGAAACGCAAAAAGATACTTTTTCGATAAGCTATTTTGAAATTAGTCTTAATAAATATTTCATCTCAAAGAATCGTGGTTAGTCAAGTAAAGACTCCAATGCCATTGGCATTTCTCCCTGTGAACGTCTTAACAAAAGGAGAGAGAGAGAGAGAGAGAGAAGCAAAAAATTCAAATGCGATATCAAATTTCCTCATCAAACTAACCTTCTGTTGCTTTTTCATCAATAGTGAGTGAATTTCTCAATCATACCGAACAATTCGCCATTGTTGATAATTATCAATGGTCTATATACACACGCATCTATTTGTAGCCATGCAGAAAATGATAGAAACAGAAATATCAATGAATGCAAAGAAAGAAAATGCATTTCTTGATTAACACTATGTTTACATAATTGCAATTGAATTCGATTTCTATTTTCTCCACAGTCGAATTTCGGAATGTGTCTGATAAACACGGTAAGTGTTTTCATCACTCGTTCTCATTCACGAGACTTTTAGGACATTGAGTAGAAGTCGAACTTTGAATGAAGTTCTGGTTCGTATGACGGATCAAAAGCGAGATTTGTTGATATTAACTTGATTTTTTTCTCTTGTTACTAACATTTCTCAGTCAATTATCTGCATTATCGTTAAGATATACAAAGACGAAGAAAGAAGTCTAATCTGGATTTGATTGTTGCATGCATATCTAAGGTCATTGTTTCTCTCGGAGTCGCATCTCTATGACGTATATTTAGTATGAATAATATATTCTAATAAAAAAACGACATTCGACAACAACCAGATGTTTGTTGATTTATCCGACTGGTATTATTCTTAGCCAAAATAGAACAAAATCGATGAATGATGATTAAATAACTAACGTTTTAACAGTGCGTCTCTATTTCTCGGCTGTATAGATATCTTCGAGATGTTAACATGAGTACTCTTCTGTCTTCAGAGATGCAGATATCAGTCCGCTTCGCGACAAGACGATTCGTTGTAAAGTAAATCAGTTCATAGTGGATAGAATTTCTCTTTTGATTCTTGTTGATCCCCAGAGCGTAAGCAAATGGCTATTTTTATTCATGTTTTCAAATCTTTTGTTTCTTTCTACATTCGAAGACAAATCATTTGCTCCATCAGTAGTGACAGCTTAAAGAAAAGATGATTAGATTTTCTTGCATTTATTACTATTTCCATTTAATGAAATAAAGAGAAGTAAGTTTTGATGAATTGTTTCTTCCAAGCACGTAATCAGTTGCAGTGGACGAGCTCGCATCCTGTGTATCAATGAGGAGGAACCAAAGTGCTGAAAATGATATCTATATCAACCGGCGTGAGAGGAGAAATTCTCTAGAGAACATCTCTGCTTGAATAATGATTTGAGAGAAAAAATTTTACTCGAACGAATGATTCCGGTCGATGTTCATTCATTTGCTAAACAATCCACAGAGTGATTTCACATCCGCCATCGATCCTACGCATTTCTTGTTCTTTTATTATATATGAATTAGTTACTATTATATTCGATATTTTCCGTCAATGACATTTGTTAGTACTAATCTTCACATTTCTAGATTGACCTGACTCCTTTCGTACATCATGAATATTACAAGTATTCACTCGGTTTCTGTTCTGGGAAGCAAATACGGCAGTATCAATCAGTCGTCTATCCAAATGTTCGATGATCGCGCAATGCGAATCGAAATCACGGAGTTCATTCGGCAAGTTAATTATTGGCTAATGATCATCGAAATGATCATGGTCATCTGTGGCATATTCGGAAATGGTATGGCATTAATCGTCATCAATCGTCGTTCGTTACGTGACACATCATCCAGTGTTTTCATAACCTATTTAGCGATATTCGATTCATCTGTTCTAATTGTCCATATTACAAGTTTAATCACATTGCATTCGATTCAGTCGTATATTCTACACTGTTTCTTCACGTTTCTCACCGATTTCGTGACATTTTCGAGCGTTTGGATTATGGTAGTAATGACAATCGAGCGTTGCATCGCTGTCCATTCACCATTTTTAGCTAAACGTTTTTGTACAGTACAACGTGCGCGGTACTCGATCTATCTTCTTCTTGTTTTCGCATTGGTTGTCTTTTCGATAACTTATCCAGTGATTTATACAATCGATGAAGTACAGAATAAATGCGGCGTTCGAGAACAGTATCAAACGATCATTCGGATTATTAAACCAACAGTATTTTATTTTATACCTGATCTGATCTTGCTGGTCAATTTATTTATTATCTATGAATTATTCATCGCTCGACGACATCGAACGCAAACATTGATCAACCCAGAAAATGCCATACACCAAATCAATGCAGCTTCATTTAATCGCAAACAACAGCAGCTGACAATTATGTTAGTAACAGTGTCATTAAGTTTCTATCTATTCACCACACCAGCTATAATCGATTATATTCGACAACGGAATCCTCCTAATTATCGTGACGTTAAACGATTGAAAATGAGATTCTTACGAACAAATTTGACTGTTCTTTGGCTGCAGATGAGCTCAGCGGTAAGTTCACATTCGATTCTTTCACCGACTATCTCATTCGTGTACTATATTCTAGACAAACTTCCTATTCTACTGTTTGTCAGGTTCGAAATTTCGTGCCACGTGCGTTGAGACACTCGACGACGTCTATTATTACATTCGTACAAAATTTGATGAAGATTATCAACGAAAACGCCCACCGAACCGTATGCGTACGAGTTCGAATTTCGGTTTGGAGATGCGGAATGGGATTTATTATGATCGTCGAGACACACGCCGGTCAACATCGATTCAACAGACTTTTACCTATCCGTTGAGCGCTTCATCAAAACGAGCTAGTTGCGATACGATGGCCGGTTCGCAATTGAACAGTCGACGCACGTCGAAATGTGTGATTAATGTGCAAGAAACATAATATTGAAATTTATTGTAAATATACGAAATACGAATGAGAGTGGAAAAGCTTGCTCTCAAATCTACCAAAGATTAATAAAACTAGTGTATAAAAAAAGAACGAAAACAAAGCGTGAGTTTGCACAAGAGAAAAAGAACAAAATGGAATAATCATTATTTAAAAAAAACCGAAAATCTATACAAAAAAAAACAGATGAAGAGTATCTCAGATCTATCTGTACATGGAATGTAGTGAATAATCTGTGCTTTGATTATTTTTGTTCCTAAACAACATAACTATTTCCTTGCTTGTTTGCACCATTTGCACGTCGAATAAAAGCTTCTTCACCGTCCGATGCATTATCAGCTCGACGAATGAACGCTTCTTCTGGGATTGAATCATCGGCACGACGGATAAATGCGTGTTCGTTATCATCGTCAGTTTTACGAATAAACGGTTGTTCACCATTGGTCGTCTTACGTGTGAATGCAGGCTCATCTTTTTCACCATGTCGAACGAATGGTTGATTAGGATTTCCCACATGACGAATGAATGTCTTTTCATTATTGTTTCTCTTCGCTTCGGTGATGAAATAGATTTCAAAGAGAACAAAACCAACTAGAATGAAAAAGAAAAGATTATCCTATTGAGTCGATTCTGGAATTAAAGATATTTTACCAGTGAAGAACGATGAGATCATCGCAGCCAACGTACAAATATACGACCATGATAAAAATGTATAATCAGCTCGTGGCATCCATTTACCCGGAAGAGCATCAGCATAGATACCAAAGATTAATACGGTAAGAAAGTTGAAAAACCCTTAAAAGTAACAATATGAAACCTTTTCACGAAATTCATCCAGTGATCTCGACTTACAAGCACATGCACCTAGAATAGCACCGACAAGCATCGATCGGCGCGATAAACGGTATCGTGTTATAGCAACAACAATCAATGCAACACAGCAAAGAATGTTAAATATTAAACCGAAACATGCGAATGTTTGTACAGCAATAAACCATGCTGAACAAAAAAAAACCCAATCAAACAAATTTCTCCTTACATGACAATCGACATACGTGGTGTTAAGATTCCATCATTTCGTAAGCCGTTATATTCACGTGCAAATAACCACCAACATCCATAATAAACTTTTCCCCAATAGTTCTTTGGATTACGAAAGCCAGCAATACAAACTTGCCAAAGTCCCAATTTACGGAATGTCGTATCGCCAACACTGAAAATGAATCATCCAATCAAAATAAGACGTTTGAATGAATGTTTACCGTGGCCAAATCTGAATCCAATACGGTGTTGAAAAGCCGAGAAAATTGCAAACTAAGGAAAAGATGGTGAAGAACAACGCACTTCCCATCCATAGTTTCTCGGAACGTTTTAACATCTCGATCTAAAACAATGATATTTTCAATTAGATTCTCTTTTAAGATGCTTCGCATAAATAACTAATAAACAACAATCACCGTATACAAAGACAACAAGAAAACAGGCTAAGAATGAGAAAGAAATCATGTTCTATTGAGCTTTTTTCGACGATTTCTCTTTGGTCACAAGTGCTTCATATTTGCTTTTACTTTTAAACCAAAGAAAGAATGGAAACACAATGCAAGGACTAGCCATAGCGGTGAAAAGTAACCAATCAATCTAAATCAAAACCAAACAATGCCTGGCGTCTTGACCAACATCGATAAACTCTTACAATATGTGACGAGAAACGTCGGTCATATTCTCGACTGGTCATGATATAAACATCGCCGAATTCCGACGAATAAGTTTTCTATAATTAAAGAAAAATCTTTCTTTTCCTCGAAATGCAAGCTATCGTCTTACTTGAACATCAGTATTCTTTTCACTTTTTTGGTAAGTTACAATTGCATATGTACTATTGCTAATTCCACTTTGTTTGGGTTTGAGAACAACAATATGAGTTAGGTTTGTTCCTCTAAGCAAAACATAATTCGAATAGTTCAGATAAAATGAATTCATGATCTTTTACGCGTTGAGTCGTTCCCATTTTGCACTCAATGTGCCAACAAGTAACTCATATTGATCTGCAGGAAAACTGTGCGCATCATTGAGATGAATGTTGTAAACCGTTCTAAACATACCAAAGAAAAATCGGTTTTCATAGTTCGGCTCTTTTCACTTACGTCGGTCCTGAATTGTATAAGCCATATTTAATAGTGAATTCTTTATTTTGTACTAGAAATCGGTTGATCGTTTGTTTTGTTACAAACAAAAATGATTCTTCATCGTCCGTTTGACCCAACGCCACTGACAGAATTGCCAAGAAAACTACTGATCTTTCAAAGAACATTGTTAAGTCGAAGAGGTGTTAAATATTGAAGGACAAAGTGATTGTTGAAAAGTTTATTTCAACCACGTAAACAAAATGTCTATCGATAATCGGTCAATAGAAATGCAATTAATTTATAGATAAAAATATCGAAATAAATCAATCAAACATTGTTTTTCTATTCAGAAAAATCATTCCAGATAAGTTTTATACTTATAGATGTCGCTGCAGAGTTAATTACCTGTAATCGTTGCTCTCGACGTCGTTTTATTATCGGACTGTACCGTCTGTCAAATCAAGTTTTCAATGATTCTAATTCCAAATACACAAATACTTCATATCTTAAACAAGAGAACGTATGGACGTAGATATTCTGAGTTCAGAAAACGCGAAGTGTTTAATTAACAAAAGTATCAAATCATCCGGTTTAACATGTTTAGTATGCGGTAGTCCAGCCACCGGTTTTAACTTTTCGGTGATCACCTGCATGTGTTGCAAAGCTTTTTTTCGCCGCAACGCTTTGTATGGTTTACATTCGTATCAATGTCGTTACTCAACGGGAGAATGCACAATCAATATGCTGACACGTCGTGATTGTTCGTATTGTCGATTGAAAAAATGCTTTCAAGTCGGGATGAAAAAGGAGCTGATTCTTACAGATGACGTCAAACGATTGAAACGTGAAAAGATTCTCGCCAATAGAAAATTAACTATATCCAATGGTCTTGACCTATGTGCATACAAGAATTTTCTAAGTGGAGATGATTCCATTCTCTTACGAAATATCTCGAATGTTTATGAAGAACATTGTCGCTTGCCGATTATGTCGTACGAAAAACGTGAATATGAACTTACTTGTCAACAGCCTCTGAAGACTCGGATCAAATCTCAACATTACCTTGAGTCATTTCAAAAACATTGTTCTTCGTTGAACAACTTCTTTCAACATTTACCTGATCTACAAGAATTTTCTCCTGACGAACAAAAAAGACTACTTTCACATAATTCGCGATTTCTAATGCGACTAAATTCAGTCGAAACTCTCGACGATTCGTTTCCGCTATGGGGTGCAGCGCGTCTTCTAATCGAAATTATGTACGGCAAATCAATCATGGACAATGTCGATCAGTGTCTACATCAGGTTCGCTTTTACCTCAACGACTCACGATGTACACAACTAATGTTAATCGTTTTACTCTTTTCAACATCGATCAATTATCAGGGAAATCTAAATACGCTAGTTCTGTACAAGCTTCAGGAGAAGTATGTGCATTTATTATGGTCGTATTTGGAACGACGATATGGATCGGTGGGTGCCTGTGAAAAGTTCTCTTTAATCATCCGCTATTGCCTTCGTTTGCAAGCGATTGGTCATTTAATGGAAGTGAAAATTCATGATGTTCAATGGCAAGACATTCTCCTCTCCACACAAAAAATAAATATTGAGTGACACAAAAATAAATTCTTTTCTTTTTCAAACGAATTTTATTTTTATATTATGATTAAAGTCATCTTTTTTGTTTTCAGATACGAATAAAAGCGTTTGCAAATGTTTTCTTGTTGAAATACTGAACAGAATGGCTCGTTTAGCTTTTAGATGAATGCTGTGTTCGATATAGTCATCTCGGTTTAATTTTTCTATGTTTTTATGAATGCTTTATGTGCACTACATCATTTCTGTGATCTACATGGACCGCAAACGCTATTATGTACTGAAGGAAGGACTTATATTCAGGACTACAATGACAATGACAATGAAGAATTAAAAACCTACTATTCACAATTTATGAACGCAAAAAGTCCGCAAGAAAAGACTCAATGTCAAGTAACTATAAAAATATTTAAGTTTCTATTCATTATGAATAAACTTCTGCTTTTTCCATAGTCGTGTACATTGTCAAGTGAAGGTGTGGTGATCACTACGACCGATTATTCGCATCACATGCAATATGTCTCGTCCTCGTCAACACCGAATGCTGAATTATTCAAAACTATTCGTCATGCTTGCGTTCGAAGTTTGACTATTGAAGTAAATCTCATTCGAATTCATCAATCGATTTGTATTCATGTACTTGTTGCGTTCATCATTAGAAACCGACCGACAGCGAACATCCAATAGTGTTTGGTGATGATCAAGGTGGTTATTGTTTATCGTTTAGTTTTGTTTGTAAAGACTTCTACGCACGTGGAAGTCAACGTCGTTACTCATTGTGTTACTTATGTCCTGATAAATACCATCTTTTATCTGTTATGTGTTTTATCGAGAAATGTATGAAGCAAATTATCTTTTGGTTACAGTATGATGCTAGTCAAACCTACAGCCATGAAGAGCAGATTCAGGTGAGCGCGAAACGTCATGGAATTATTACCGCAACTTCGGTACGTCGTGTGTTACCTTGTCAACCGGTACAGCGTATGCTTAGTGATATTGTTTGCGATTCGAAATTAATCTATCGGGCTCATGCGTTGTTCGTCTGGATACTTCGAACGACAAATTCAGCTATTCAAGAGTCACTGTTCGAAGCTTTACCTGTACAAGAACGAATAGGTAGATGAAAACGTTAAGTGTGATCATATCGTCCTCATTCCGATTCTAGGCGGTGTTCACAACCAACAAATAGTAAAATATCGATCGGAAACAACCGACGATTCGACTGATGTTGACAATGATACTTACAATAATAGTAATTCGGATGTTGATGACGATGATGATGATGACTACGATTCATTAGAATATCATTTCGCATCTTATGGATTTCAAGCGCTACGACTATTTCGAAAATTTATTATGAAACTGGATAATCTAAAGTATCTACATTATATACTATTCAATTGGCTAACTGGTAATCAACTCATCATAAAGTATCAGAATAGAACTGAAGATAAAGATTTTATTCGAGCTTTCATCAGTGTTTTTCGAGTAAGGATGATCAAAACGAACAAACGATTTGACTAAGACTAGAATTTTCTAGTTACTTTTACCCGACAATTGTTGTCATTTGATGGAAACAACTAGTCAAATAGCGTCGTGCACAGCAAATCTTATCCTACTCGATATGGATGCATTAGTAACGACAGCTGATGATTGTCAACAGTATACCGATAAATATTCAATAGCAATTCGGATTATTTTCGATTCCTCTGATGAACAAATACACCTTGTCGAATTGGAAACACAGCCATCAGAAAAATTCGATCGGATCAGTAAGTTTGATTAAATATTCCGTGAAGTCGTCTTTACTTCCTACTTTAACAGATATATTCCCAACGTATGTGAAAGTACTCGTGGACTTATTAACTGACAGTCATTTAGATGATGATACTTTAGAAGCAATTATCATACAACAAAAGAACAAATACTTGAAGTGAGATATGGAAATAACTGTCGACAGTATAGTGTATGGACGTTTGTTTTAGTAAAGCAAAACTCTATTTTCAACTTGGTCGGTGTCCAATTGCGTCGTTTTTATCGATGAATGAACATCAACAAATGAATATATTGAAAATTACTAATCCAAACGATTTGTTGATTATTCGATTTTGGCAACGCGGACTTTCATCTGCATATAAAAATCAAATTCGTATGATGAAACAAGATGACAATCAACAACGAAGTGTCCAGTATCAAAAGCAGTGATAAAAGAGAATCTCTTTCAGTATTATCTGCGCATTTAACTCACCTTTTCTCATGTTTCTACTCAAATCTAGAACTTCTTTTTTATGTCTCGAATTCTTTTGAAATTAGATCTGTCTTTCGTTTCGCTATGCTTCTTATTGTTCGAACGAACAAAATCCTTTGTGTATACTATAGATTTGATCGAAATAAACGTACATCAATTCATGTAAACAGAGCACAATGATGTACCTCTTTTAAAACTACTTCGAACAACAAGTAATCTAAAGGTTAACAAGGTCTCGAATACCTATTAATCACTTGTTTTTGTTTTCTACCTACGCGATGAGGGTATATATATATGTGTATGTTATGCTAGCCATCGCACAGGTATCACCTGGAGATGTCTTCAATAGACGAAAATAATTGTAAAGCAATGAATGGTTGGTTTCAAGTTCTACAAGAGAAAGTAGTTTTTATTGTTGGCGCTGCCGGTGGGATTGGCTCGGCTATTTGTCAAGTATGTGTGTCACAAGGTGCTCGAGTAGTTATAGCTGATGTCGATAAAGTAGCTGCCGATCAACTTTTGATGAAACTTCGAGGTGATAATGAGCAAATCGCTGATCGATTGATCAGTTTACAACTAGATGTTACTGATGAGCAAGCTATTGAAAAAGCAGTACAAGCTGTTGTAGACAAATGGAATACCATTAGTGTTCTGATTAATTTGTAGGTATTCAAAATTGAATTTGAAAAGACAACGCGTGATAGATAAGATACTGTATTTATAATAGAGCTGCTGTCTTTGTTTTTGGTGAGGTTGAAAACATTTCCGCTGCTGATTGGTCACGAAATTTCGATGTTAATGTTCGTGGCTATGCTCTCTTGGTTAAATACATTGCTCCTATCATGAAAAAACAAAGATCAGGTTCGATTATTCAGTTTGGTAGTATTAGTGGCGTAGTCGCTCAAATTCCTTTTCTTCCCTATGGTGCTGACAAAGCCGCTGTTATACAAATGACTAAAAATCTAGCAGCAGATCTCGGTGCATTCAATATTCGATGTAACTCAATATCTCCCGGTTTAGTTGGTAAGTCATCCGAAACGTCGTCTTCATCAGACAACCTTATTCGTGTTTTAGTTACACCACCAGTAGTTACTTTAGCAACGGCAAATGGACTTTCTATCGAGAATTTTACTCACAATATCGTCAAAGATCAATGTCTAAAACGAGCAGCTTTGCCAGAAGAGATAGCTAATTTAGTTGTCTTTCTTGCCTCAGATCTGTGTCCGTTTATCACCGGTGCGAATATCGTTGCAGACGGAGGCTACACAATCGTATAGACAAAGCATGCTCTAACGCAATTTTTATCAATGTTTTTTTTTTAAATAAAATTATAAGGATAAAGAAATCATCATGAGTTTCATGTAATGTGTAGTTGTCATTATTGGATTAGACTACTGAAGTATTGGAAATTGAAGGTTCGAGAATGTTTTTTACAATGGTAATTCTTGCAGTGAAATGTTCTACGGCTAAACGTTTGACATCTTCACTTTTCTTGTTCCGATCGATTTCGCATCTTGATAGTTGTTCTTTGACAACGATCGAAGTGTCCATAATCAGTGTATCGGCACGTGAGAGTCGCTGCAAGGCTTCACCAATCCTGAATCTCATATTCAAATCCGTCCAAATATTGTCGAACATAAGATTGAAAACCAGATTATCTTGTCGTATACGTAAATCAGCAATATGTCTGATGTTGGGAGACACACGTTTGGCTTCATCGATTAGATCTTGTGCGCGAATCGTCGCATTTCTAGCTCGAGCCAAGTTTGAATTAGCAGCCATATCAGCAAACGAAGATTTGGCAGCTAAGTCGAACGTGTTCATTTTGATCGCATCATGCAGTGCATGACGGGCGATGATGATCGACTGATGCGCGCTGTGTAATAATTGAAAAACATTTGTTAAAAGTCGGTGTTGAGTTTGTAAACTTGTTAATTGTTCCTGTTGTTTCTTGAGATTTTGTTCCATGAAATCTTCATCGGGATAGGAGGGCGTTTCACCGGAAAAGAAATGTTCTAACATTTCGTCTAACATGCGCTTAGTTTTGACAAATTCATCATGAGTTATTTGACATTCATGTAAATATTTGGCAGCAGAATGAATTTCCTTCTTCAGCTCGATCAGATGTTCTTCTTCTTGCTTACATTTTTCGAATTCTTTCAGCCAGACCTTTTCTTGTTCGCCTAATCGTTCTTCTAGTTTACCTTGTACTTTGTACCATACATGTCGAAGTCCATGTCCTTTGATAGCCAGTAAACGCTTGTGTTCTCTCTCAGCCGCTGTATTGAATTCGGTGATTTTATCCTGTGTGATTCGAGCATAATTTTGGCAATCGGCTAAGTAGGTTTTAGCTTCGACAATTCCGGTGTCACTCCATTGAGTATCAGACAAACGATTGAATAAAGCTTGAAATCGTTCGCTTTCTCTCTTTATTGCTTGTTCAAGCGCCATGTTCAAATGGAAGTTTGTTTTTTCGAATATGCTCGGAATAGGACGAGAATTCGGCTAAAAATACCTTTGTTTTCCTTTCGTGACACTCTCAACAGTCTCGTTTCTACTTTCCTACGATTTGTAATAATTATACAATAATTATCTTTAGGAAGAGATAATTTCATTTTGAGAAACTGCACGAATATATCTTTAGAATAAGCGAATAACAGGAAACCATTTTATCATCGTAGGCGATGAATGATTCAGAGAGCACGACGTCGAAGCGTACATAAACAGACGTTGATCGAGCTAATTAGGTTATACTCATTGGTAATTACACCCTCCGTTCACTGTAGGAAGGCTTTCATAGAGCTAGCATCAAGATTCAGCTGACTTCTTGCAGTTTTTTTATGCTGACATGAACTTCATAAATTTCTTATGCGAATATCAATTTTTGAAGAATGACGTCTTCCTCGAGTAACAGTCGGGTACCATCCTTGAATTTTCTTGCCATTGAAATTCAGCAAATTTTAATATAATATTCTTTTGTTAACAATCTGCTTATTGAATTATTATCATTTGAGACCCTGTTGTACCCGGGTGATTCTCATAGAGGAAAACAAGTGTCAATATATTCACTTGATGTCAATGACACAAAAGAAGGCTCTTCTTATTCCTTCAAGCGGCAGTACAAAGTAAAAGGAGAAAACTTATAATGAAAATACGGTGTTACTCGAGTTCCCATCAATTATTTAAGATTTTGTCATTCATTAATGTCGAACAGACTGATTTATGAGAAGACTAATCGACCAGGCATTCCTTTGACAGAATTTATTCGAGTCAAAAGTATTTATACAAGAATCATCAGGTGAAGACGGCTTTTAAAGTCACTTGTTTGCTTGTGCCGCTTTCTCGAAGATAAGTTTCTCGAAAACAATTCCGAAACATATTAGATGATGCGTAATAGAAAACAAAATTTACTGAATGTGTGATAAGTAAAGGTACGAGTGAGAAATAGTTCATTGCCTGCCAAAACTTTCTCACTTGATCGTTATCCTTGTAGGATTCGATCATAATTGTTGACATGCAGTTCGGCAACGTACAGAATATGAAACTGATCGAGATTGTAATTAGACTAATAGTGATTTGCAACTGCATACCGAGTCTCGGAGGATAAGCTTGGGATGATGAGGTGGATCGACTCAGAAACCAACGTTTGTGCTCAACAGACGAGATTGATTGCTGGATTGTTACTGGTCGGAGCTCAATTGGATTGAGCGTTTCTTCTTGGTCCGGCATGAGACTTTCAGATGGAACGTTATCACATTCATCTACTGAGATAAAAAGAATGAATGAATAAATGCAAATGAGTTTTCTTTCGAGATCATAACAAGAACTCACGATCTGACTGAAGAATTTTATTTTCAACTTGACTTGTATTATTTGTGACAGACACCTGATGTCTCATTTCATTCAATTGTGAATCTCGCTTCTTTTCATATACTGTTGCTTGATAACATGAAGGTAAATTAGTGAGCGTTTGTTCCATCGGGTTATTTATAATCATCGACGGCTTTTTTACATAATATTTCTTCTTCATAGCCGATTTATTTTGACAGACACTGATAACGATAAATAAATTACAAATTGTTATAATTGTAAATGGTATTATCGAATACGATAACAAATAAACGACATTCAACTGTGGATAGATCTTTTCATACCACGGGTACGCTTTCGCTGTACAAAATCCATTCTTATCGATCGTATAACCGATTAGATAGTGACTGTTGATCAATGATAACATCAAAATAACAAGTAAACATACATATTTCGAAACATTAGCTGTGCAATTGTAACGATAGAGAAATAAGCAGGTTGTTGCTAGCAGACGATCGATAGACAGACATGCTAAAAGTCCCGCTGATATTTGACATGATAGATAATTGACGAAAAGAATTATTTTACAGCAGATAATACTCCAGTTTAAAATGTAGATTTCCAATGTTAATAAAAAAATCAATGGAGCTGTGACAAGGACATAGATCGTATCAAAAATAGCGATGAAGATGAAATACCATTTCGATGATGAACGACTATAGATCGACGATTGAAATATCGACACACAGATCCAGTTGGCCACAGGACAGAGAACGACTAGAAGAGGACAGAAGAGTCGCAAAGGCCATAAGGAAAATTGTAGAAGCCAAGTCGTCGAATCGATTGTAGAATTTGTGGAAACATTCGTCAACAAAGTCATGATCTAGAACAACATTTCAGCACACAACATAAAAAAAAGAAAAATCGATGGGTTTTTTTATCGCATGACGGAAATAATGCCTACTAAAATATAGATATGTCGACTTAGTACTTCTGGGGTCGCTTTGTTATTCAAATACACAAATGACGTACGGTCTCTTCATGTTGTCAGTACTCTACATCATTTCACAATGACATGAGTACCTCTCTGTCGATTCGGACTCCTTACAAGTAATTATTGTCAACAGAATTGCTGCTAGATCTATGTAGTCGTTTACTTGAAATACATCTGATCGAAATATGTAATCAATGTGCATAGATTGACATTTAAAAAGTAAATTTCTAGATCTTTCTATGCAGACGATGCATAGCAAAAAGAAACGTCGAATTTAAATTCTTGCATGGAATGTTCATCTAACTGGAACAATGAAAATAAAAGAATAAGAATATTAAAGGCGTAAATTATTTTCTTGAAGGGAAGCGAGAAACGTTTGCAGTTGCGTATCTCTTCCTCTTCTCTCGCGTGCTCGTTAAATGACTTTCTAAAGTGTGAAGAAAACGTAATGATACGTTGCACTTTTCTTTACTAGCGAGACGACAATGAAACATCATATATACAAATTTATTTGCATATCTATACGATTGATGCTATTCTTAGCCACAGTTCTCGTCGTTTTCGATAGTATTGCATTGAACGGAAGAACGGAGTTAATTATGAGTTCCAAGCTTCCGGGTAGAAACAGAAAATGTTATATTTGCTTCGAAAATGATCAGCAGAAAAGAGACGAACTCCAATGAATGATATATCAAACTAATTTTTCAAGGGAATTTACTTGAATCACGCACACATTTGCTGATTTGACATTTCTCCCTGAATGACGACGATAGGGCGATGAAAAACAAATTTCCGACATACATATGCAATATCAGAAGAGTGTACACAACAAGACAAGATTTCGAATCTTCTCTGTGACGGATACGAAAGAAAATTACTTGCAAGCTGTATCTGACAAGGAGGTGAGACGTATACTTTGTCTATTATACGTTCAATGATCATACTTATTTGTTCTCGAGGAGCATGAAAAGGAAATGGATACTATTGCTACTGATTGACAAGATAAATGACATGTTCAGATTGTTTTTCGGAAGAAGACGTTACAATTAGGTGAGAGCTCTTCGAAATGAACTCCTGATTTCAGCGACAGACGATCGTCAAAAACAAAAATAAAAACAAAGCTGACAAATATTTAGCCATCTTATGGAAGACGGCTGATTAGATAACATATGTGACTTACTTTAAAATTTCATTCCATTTAGCAAGGACAGACTGACGTGTTAGTCAATAATTATCGAATGAGAGAAACGTGTTAATATGTACGCCAGCTGTTTTCATGTTTCTCCATCTTTATCGACGAAATCAAATTCATAAGAATGACATACGGTTGGGGTAGAGCAACACATGACAGGAGAGGAACTGCGTAGTTATATTTATTAAGACAAGCAGAGCATATGGTAACCGCTCGTCATATCAAGTTGTTTTTCTAAAGATGATGAAATGGTCAAAACTCCAAACCGAAGAACATGTACATGTCTTGTACTCAACTAATCTCGAAGTTATTTTCTGAAGAAAAAAATATTGCAAAAAATCGACTGGGAAAGCCTCGACAACACAGAGAAATAACTCGTAGACATTTCTTTACCTGGTTTGCTTTTCATATCCGAATTAATAATTTACTAATATCATAATAGAACAGAATTTTTCTTCATATCCCAAAGAATATTGTTAGAAATATTCTACCTTTCCTCTTCATGAATATCATGTGCGTTGTTGCACCCACTAACATTCACCGTAGAGAACCTTCCGGGCCGTTGAACTTATTCGGGCAAAATGTCGTAATAATTCTGTTTCAATGAATAAGATATTATGACATCAAGGTTTTCATTGTCGAATCGTGAATGAAATCAGTATTGTGTGAGTGAACGATATTTATGGCTGAGGAATCATTTTCTTGGCAGAAGCTCACAAATGGATAAATGTTTCTTTCAATCAAATAGACTTGCATTTTCAAACGAAGAAAAACAAATTTCCTTAGTATATTTATTGTAGAATGACGATGCAGATGTTATTAGAAATGTTTGGTAACACATGTCAAGTTTATTGAAGTGTTCTGAAATCTATTCCATAATGAAGACAAATCGCTTGTCAAAATCGGGTCATTATCTTTCGAGCAACGAAGCATGAAAATGTCTTTCAGAAGTGCAAACAGATGTTGACACATTCCGAGAATTTACATGAGATTCCTTTGTTGTTTGATTTCTTTTATTTTTTGAAAAAAAAATTATGCATAACTTTAAACTGTTCATTTTTTTCAACTTAATCATCATCATCTTCATCATCGTCTTCACTTTCCGCGTTTTGTAACCATTCGACGAACTGCTTCAGTTTATCGTAATAGATCTTTTCATCAGATTTGATCAAAATTTCATTCTTTTCGATTTGACTCTGTTTCAATTGATACCACTTAATGATCGATTCTTCGACGATGACATCTTGATCGTATAGATAATTCAAAATATTGACAACACGTTCACCGATAGGATGAACATGTTTCAAGCAAATTGATTCTAATTCAGTTAATAAGGTCATCTGAGATTCTTCGTTGGTGGTTTTCATGTAGTTCTTTAAAATAAATTGCGTGGTTTGGTCTAATGTGGATTTCAATGCATTCCAATAATTTCCATTGAATAAGTTAGCGATTTTCTTCTCGAATGGTAATAAAAACACAGCCCGAGTGACTGACTTGTCGAATTCAGTTGGCGAGACATCGTAAGTTGGTTTTAACATATTCAATTCGACCACGATATTCTCGATATTCAACTTTTGCTTATAAGCACGTTCCAATGTTCGAGTGACTTCCTCTTGAAATTCATCGACATTCCCGTATTCCTCGTCGTCAGAATGCGTTGAACTGCCATCATCGCTAATTGTCGATTCCCCACTTTCGCCACTGGTCTCGTTGTTAGCTGCTGGTACCGTTGGCTGATTTAGATGAGAACTCGGTCTGGAAATTCTTCCAGTAGGTTCAGGTTCAACTTCACTCGTCGATGAATCTTGCGATTCAATACGTTTACCCCAAGCGTCATATGGATGTTTTTCTTGACTGTCACTATCATTATCATCATCGTCGTCATCGTCGTCGTCGTCGGTCGCTTTGGATTTGTTTGGTTGATTGTCATGCATATAACTAAAAATAAGTTCGCGACCAAAACCATCAACGCCAACTAAGTCACTATTGGACGCGACGGTTTCTTCAATGCTTGAACATATCGATTTATCTGAAAAGGATTTTTCCGATAAGCGTGTCGAACTACGTCGTTGTCGGGAATTTGTTCGTTTGAAATCTGTTGGAGGTAGTTGAATCTCGTCGTCAATTTCAACTTCATCTATCGAATTAGCCGACGACAGAGAAGTCGATCCGATGACTACAGAACGTTCCTTTAGTTCAACATTAGCACCTATGATGACACCTTTACAAAGAACACATTCCGGATTGATTTTCACTCCGTTACGAACGAGAACGCTGTCACAAATGATTGAGTTTCGTATAAAACAATTCTCTCCGATCTGGACATTACTCCAGATGATCGAATTTTCGATGCGAGTATCTTTTCCAATCGTGCAATTCTGGCCGATGAATGACGATCGTAAGCAAACGCCCGATGCAATTTGACTTTTATTGCCAATGAAGACATCCTGTTGAATATGTGACAATCGATCCAGTTGAATGTCACCTTGTTTGTATATATTGTGTTTGTCATAGACAACTGGATGGTTTGTGTTACAAAAAGATAAACATGGATCACTTAGTTTGATTTGAGGCGAACTTGGCGTTGTGGTTGTTGTTGCTAAATGTAGTTTTGGTACGGATGCCATGATTTCTGGAACGAGAGGATACGACCAACGACGAAGAATATCAAATGTTGCTTTCATATATAGACTTAGATTATGAACGGAAAGAAAATAGCCTTTCTCGTATATATAAGAGTAGATTGTATGATTCGCTATTTCTTCATCACGTAAAACACCTGAAATGCAAAGGAAAATGTTCGAAAAAGAAATACAGACAAGCTAGTTCATCTTACCTTTCACGAGATCATTTATTGTCGAACAATCGATATTGTCTTTGAATAAATGTAAAACATCTGGCGAGCAAATGGCTAGATGACAATCTAATGGACAGTACAATGTTTCAATAGTTACATTCGGTTTTTCTAATAGATCGAGCGGAATTTCGTACGAGTCAAGATATTCCTTGGAATAATCGTATAGACGATGTGTATTAGCGTCGCGTATAATGCATAAATGTTGATCATCGGTAAATGATGAATGTTCTAAGTGATTGGAATCTAATTGTCGGTAGACGAGTGTCATAATACAATTTTTGTCTTTTTTAATATTCTCCTTATGAACGTAGAATAACTCATTGAGTTGTGTGTTGGTCAACAATGTTCCATTACCATAGACTAGGAGAAAATGATTGCTGATAATATTTTCGCGTTCGAGATCTTTTAGGCAATCGCCAAGTGAACGAGCCTCTCGACATGGAATAGTACGAATCAATTTCGGATAGGTGCGTAACCAATGTGTAGACATTAGATACGAACGAATTTCGGCGGAATTTGTTGTAGCTAAGAGAATAATTTCTTGAATGCCAGATCTAATCAAGGCTTGAATTGTGTAATCGAGTAATGGTTGACCATCGACAGGCCATAAGCATAATGGAAGCGATGTATGAGAAACGATCTCATTAATGTAAGTATTAAATGAATCGAGAACGAGAACGCAAGTTAAACGTTCTTCTTCACGAAAATCAGCATTCGGATTCGTCGGTTTAGGCATATCTAGAGAGGAAATGTGTCCGTAGAAAACAACGTATTTATGTGATGAGGCGAATGATGAAAAAAATGATGCAATGCTTGGAGGAAAGATCTTACTTTCTGGAGAAAATAGTGGGATGTCATTTTTTCATGAAACTGATCCATATTTTACCAGTTTTTTATCGAAAAAATTGAGAGCTTTATCCGAAATAACACCATGAAATTTTACTGCGTAGTTAGATGTGCTAACAACCGAATGAACTTCGTTAAAAGAAGTACGATTATCGCGAAAACCATCGATCAACATCTTTTCATTTAACGCGTTGTTCTCTATGCGAATGAAAATATGCGTCAGTTGGTGTACAATCCTAAAAAAGACGAGTATTTCTGAATTAAACTATTGACTGATTTACCATAAACGCATGATTCTTACCCTAACCATCATGAAAACATTTGCATATCTTCATTTACTTGCTTTTGCAATTGGAGCAGTGCCATCCTAATGTCCAAAGTCGAAGTCAATCTTGTAAATTCGCTATTTCGTTTGATTTTCCGTCATTTGACCGAGATTTACTGCCAGCACCATAAACTTCCTCGTCAGTCAATATTGCCTTTATCTGTTTGATTGCTCACACTCTGACTTTTTTTGTTACATAAGATATTGGTATAAAGGAAAACGACGAAGACTAGCATAATATAACATATTCGTTTCCTCTCATGATGATGATATTTATCCGAGTCAATGTTTATTGGTTCTCTCAGATAGCCAATAAGAATCACAAGTGAAAAAACTAGAAACAGAATAAAGAATAATTTCAGAAGCTAGCGTATCTTTCGATGAATTGTATGAAATGTATTCATTAATTCGAAATCATGTGGCACGAGTGTTACAACAAGATCTAACCGCTGTCATCAGTCCATTATCTCGGTATGAACTAAAATTTGAATGAAAACTCCAGTATTTATGTTCTTTGTTTCAGTTCAATTACAGCAAATATTCCTCAAAGGAAAACGAATGACGATCGAACTGCGTCTAATTCACAACAGTCACCAAAGATAGAGAAAACATCGGAGAGTAAAGTTCCATGGAAAGCCAATGTGATTGAAATGCCAGTGGCGATGGGTCCCCAATATATTACTGATAATTATCGTGAACATCGTGAAGGCGGCTTTTACTATGATCATCGAATAATCATACCTGAAATGCCTGAACAATATACAGTAAAACCATTTCAAACACGAAAAACAGGTGGAAACCATCCAGACACTGGTAAATAACTTGAAAGAGTTGGATGAATAATGCACATGAGATGATGTGAATGTTTTGTTTTCAGGTCGAAAAGAATATCGTCGAGTGGGTGGTGGTTTGAAAAAGACTTGGCTGTGGATTGACTGGATGCGACAAGGGCCTACGGAGGGACCACCCTTAGTCGAACGTGTAATTCGTATAATGAATAGTGATTGTCATACCGCGAAAGTTGCTTTAATTGGCCATGGAAATACACTTCGATATATCCTAGCAACCGAAAATCTTAAAGTCGGCGATCTTGTTAAAACATCTGGAGAAATACCAAAAAATCCCGGTTTGTCCTACTTCTTTTGCCATCTTTCTCAACTTTTCCGTTCTTTTCAATACAGTAAAAGCAAGTGAAGGTGACGCCTATCCAGTCGGTGCATTACCTGTCGGTACGATCGTCAATTGCGTCGAAGGTTATCCAGGACAAGGTGCCAAATATGCCGTCAATGCTGGTACATTCGCAACACTGATGAAACGTGTAGATAATCGATGTATCTTACAACTACCAACAAAACATGAAATATCTATACTTGAACAATGTATGGTCACAGTTGGTCGATTATCCAATGTTGAACATAATGAATTCATATACGGTAAAGCTGGTGCTACACGTTTAATGGGTATCCGGCCAAAACTTGGTTTATTTCATCCGAAAACAGCTCGATTTGGACGAAGACCGTTTCGACCAAAACCTATACTTGTCATCACGGGGGAAAAACCAGACTATCCAAATGTGATCCGATTAGAACATCCTTCACTTGACCCTTATAGATAATTGCTTGTTTTGAAAATAAAGTTCTTTCCTGCTGTACGGATGGTCAAAACATGTTGTTATACTAACGAATCTATTCATGTGTTCGATCAGTCTCTCTTTCAGATATGGATGAATCAATGAATTCTGTGCATAGCATATCTGCTATGGATATTTCACCTGCATGTAGCCCAAAAAGTGCGCTCAGTCCAATCCCATCGAATCATTTGATTCTCAATGCATTCCAACAGCAGCAAGAATTACTTTCCAATATGTTATTCAGCGCACCAAGTCGACAGGACTTTTCCATATCGAATAAGAATCCAATTTCAGAGGAGCATGAGCTGAATTCCAATAGCATGTGTTTATTTTCAACTGTATTATCAGATAACCACGGCCAAGCATTTCCCGATGACACCACTTGCATTCGTCAACGCACTGTAACCAAAGTCGAATCCGTTCCGACAGTTGTCGATTCCATGCCGACAGCAAAAACCTGTGGATCGAAATCACCCCGACAAGGATTTAGTAAACTTCTCCTTTCAATTCCATTGTTGATATGTTTTATCTATCTCACTGTGCAATATTTTAATACACCACTTATTGTCTTACCACGCGCATCAAGTTGGCAAAACGCAAGCGAATATTTGACTCAAAACCTCATCGGACAAGATCAAGGTCTTAGAGAATTCAAAGATGCTATGGATAAACACAAGAATTTCTCCATCGTTCTCATCGAGGTAATAGTTCACTATGATAATCACTTGTAGTACTTTTTTTTGTTAGGGCCCGACGGGTACTGGCAAAACGTATTTAGCTTCATCACTTGGAAAATTCGTGTCTACTACGTTGTTATCTGCTAACACCCTTCTCGGCCTACCAAAACATCACTGGATTGAGTCAGATCGTCTCGCAACATATTTGTTATCATATTTATCTCCAGCATCCTTCCAATATTTAATTATTGACGATTTGGATTTGCTAATGACCGATGAAACCTATTGTCAAACATTAGCCACAGCTCTACATTCGATAAACGACGAAAAAAATCTCTTCATTCTTCTTCTTAAAACAACCACAACGAATAAGTTTTGCTCTGATACATTCAATTCAATCCTCACCAAATCAATTCAATTCCATATGTTGCAGCGTGAACATATCCGTACATGTATTCAAAACGAAGCTCGTACACAAAATGTTCAACCACCATTGAATAACCAACAAATCGACAAGATTCTTAGCTCACTGAAATATACACATCAAGAGGGACTGTCTTATGGTGTAACGGGCTGTAAACGTATCCCATCTCTTGTGATGTTAGCAACAAAAAAGAATGAAAATTGGTAGAATTAATGTGATTAGATATCTATTTTTTTCTCTTCTTATTCAAGATGTTCAATAAATGATAAATGACGAAATTATTTTTGGATTGATTTTTGCGGTTCAAAGACCTTTTTACTTGAAACGTTACAGAGGAACTGATGTTTACCGGTGGAGGAATCAATTCTATGCAGATGTTCTACTTCTTCAGTAGCTGCCATCAATGAACGACGTTGTTGATTCAATTGCTTTTCCCGCTCTTCCGCTGTTGCGGTCTCTTGATCGCGCTGTCGTTGATGTTCTGTTAGAGTAATTCGTACTTGACTGCGATTGATCATCGGTGCATTCGGAGGATCATTTCGTTGATGTGGCAAAGGTAAAGATATCCGTCGTGTGAATGAATTCTCATTCGCCATCGACTTCTAATAAATAGATCGAAAAGAAAACTAGATTTCGCGCTGAACATTTCTAGTTTTGTCAAAAATATTCCAGACTATGAATTTTGTATCGACCGATAGAATCGCGCGAATCTTGTCTACACCTAAAGCTTCATCTCACGGTTCCCACCGAACGCCTTTCGCTTAAGTCTGATCACTCGTATTTTAACCTAGATTCTTTATTTCGTTGTGCAGTTGTTTTTATTTTGTGTTCAAGAGCACAATGGTATTTGGACTCTTTCGTCACATCAAAGATGGTTAAAAATGACATGAACACACAAAAATGCACATAAATATGTACGGTTTTATATAAAAAAGTTGATATCATTCTTCCAGGACATTTTCTTTCCGTTGTTTTCTCGTTGTGCGAACATAACATAAACTTAACAAAAACAGTGAGAAAATAGGATAACAACAAAGAAGCAACAATGAATAATCAGACGATGACCAACAAAAAAATTCTGTTATTTCTCTTTTTCTTGCAGCTGCAGTGATCAGTTTTAGAAACATACGCACATATTCAAGTGAGAAAAAGACGAAGAAAGAGATTAAATTATAGGCTTTTTTGTTCTTTTTATTTTATATGACAGATGTTAAAAAAGTTCGGATAACATTGAACCTGTTTATTTTTTGCCACCTTTGGCAGCTGTAGCAGCTGATTTGGTGACTTTGCCAGATGCAGCAGCTTTCTTTTCGACTTCTTTGATGACACCGACAGCGACTGTTTGACGCATATCACGGACGGCGAATCGACCAAGTGGTGGATAGTCAGAGAATTTCTCAACGCACATTGGTTTTGATGGAATCATTTTGACCATAGCAGCTTCACCCGATTTCAAGAATTTTGGTGCTTCTTCGAGTGTTTTACCTGAACGACGATCGACTTTTTCGAGAAGTTCAGCGAATTTGCAAGCAATGTGAGCTGTGTGACAGTCAAGAACTGGAGCATATCCGGCACCGATTTGACCAGGGTGATTGAGAACGATGACTTGAGCTGTGAAGTTGGCTGTTTCTTGGGCTGGATCGTTCTTGATGTCTGAAGCAACGAAACCACGACGAAGTTCTTTCACACTGACGTTCTTCACGTTGAAACCAACGTTGTCACCTGGTACGGCTTCTGCAAATAGACAAAAAAAACAGTACGAGTTACTATTCTGTTCGAACAACAAACACCGAGACACACGTACCTTCGAGAGCTTCGTGGTGCATTTCGATTGATTTGACTTCAGTTTGTAAGTTAGATGGTGCGAAGCTGACAACCATGTTTGGTTTGAGGACACCAGTTTCGACTCGACCAACTGGCACTGTACCGATACCACCGATTTTGTAGACATCTTGTAAGGGTAATCGGAGTGGTTTGTCTGTTGGGCGCGATGGTGGAATAACAGCATCGAGAGCTTCCAAGAGTGTTTTACCACTGGCATTGCCTTCTTTGCGTTCGACGGACCATCCCTTGTACCATGGCATCTTTTCGGTTGGTTCGATCATGTTGTCACCGTGCCAGCCTGAGATGGGAACGAAAGCAACACCTTGTGAGGCATAACCGATCTTCTTGATGTAGTTGGAGACTTCAGTTTTGATTTCATCAAAACGTTTTTCTGAATATGGTGGTTCAGTTGTGTCCATCTTGTTGACGGCGACGATCATTTGTTTGACACCCAAAGTGTAGGCAAGAAGGGCGTGTTCACGGGTTTGACCGTTCTTCGAGATACCAGCTTCGAATTCACCAGTACCGGCAGCGACGACCAAGACGGCGCAATCAGCCTAAAGCAAAGAAAAGTCGGGAATGATGCGAGCGGCGAAGAAAACGATAACATACTTGTGATGTACCAGTAATCATGTTCTTGATGAAATCGCGGTGACCTGGAGCGTCGATGATGGTAACGTAGTATTTAGCAGTTTCGAACTTCCAGAGAGAGATATCGATGGTGATACCACGTTCACGTTCAGCTTTGAGTTTATCCAAAACCCAAGCGTATTTGAATGAACCTTTACCCATCTAAACAGTCAAATAGCACCCTATGAGACGACCAAGACCACAACCCAGCACTTACTTCAGCAGCTTCCTTTTCGAATTTTTCGATGGTACGTTTGTCAATACCGCCACATTTGTAGATCAAGTGACCAGTTGATGTTGATTTACCTGAATCGACATGACCAATGACGACAATGTTAATATGGATTTTTTCTTTTCCCATTGTAATGGATCACGAAGTGATGTGTTGAAATAGATGGAAGAGTGGTGATCTACAGGGAAAAGTGGTTGATATACAGAAGTTGCACTCTATGAAGGATGTTNTTTCGATGGTACGTTTGTCAATACCGCCACATTTGTAGATCAAGTGACCAGTTGATGTTGATTTACCTGAATCGACATGACCAATGACGACAATGTTAATATGGATTTTTTCTTTTCCCATTGTAATGGATCACGAAGTGATGTGTTGAAATAGATGGAAGAGTGGTGATCTACAGGGAAAAGTGGTTGATATACAGAAGTTGCACTCTATGAAGGATGTTTGCGGATTCAGTATGGGTTGGAATTTTCTAGATATTCTTGCGAAATCTCAATGAAATTCTGATAACGGTAGTAGAAGTGTGAGGTCGACACACTTCCTAAAGTAGAAAAGCGAATTTTAGCAGCAAATTCATAAAACTAAAGTGGAAGGGCGAAAACGGTTACAAGAGGAGAAATCTACTAATATCATGTGTTATTTTGTTGTTGTCGACTCTTGCTGCGCGTACACAATACATCCTCGCCACCATATTTTAACTGACTACTTCAGATTGTTCTCCGGCCTTCTCGTACGATGTTGTTTCTCCGACAGAATATAATATACGAAGAAGATTAAGTCTTTCCGTAGAGGTTTCTCCACGTATATCCCCATACTCAACTTGAGAGAAATATGAATAAAAAAAATTTTTACAACAAAAAACAAAATTATTTCGTGATAAAATGAGTAATTAAATCTTTTTTTTGCATTGTTTATTCATACAATATGGATTGAACAAAGCGATAGTAGCGCCATCGATATACGTCGAAAGATTTATTTTGTGCATCAATGAGTCATACAACAAAGTTTAAGTCCAAATAGGTCGAACTTCGTCACTGACTAAATATTCAAAGTCCTATCAGCTGGTCAACAATAGATCACGCAACCAAAAGAAATTGCATTAGTTTGTATCTGAAGAATAGAGCACTTGATTGACAAAAGATAAATCTAAATCTGCCACAGGAGGTATTGCATCTGCATCTGAACTTTCGTCATGTTTTGTTTTTCTTGTATGTTGATCTAAATGAATAATTCTTCTCGGTAATTTCTGCAGCATCATAAACAATCTTTCGTACTAACCGTGAATTAAAACCATACTATTCAAAGACGGTACCGAGAAACTGTTCACTAAACAATTGCCGAGAACAATTCCAATCAGAAGTGTTAGTACAAGAACAGCTATTGCTATTGACCAGTATCTATCCGAAAGAGTTTTGCGATCAAAAATTGACAACTGATTCTACGCGAATTACTTATGTGGGTAATACGTCAGACCAATTTTTTCAAACCAATCATTGGGTAAATATGCCCACAGTACATAAATACCTATATGTAGATTAAAATTTCTGAGCACAGTTAGATCAATTGACGGCCTACCAAATGCGAAGATTGAGGTCACATAGAGAAAAAAACCGATAACAGCTCGTTCATGATGAGGAGCCGGTGACGGAGTATCAGGCATCTACAACATATAAAATCATTAACAATCATCGTCTGACCTTCTGTTTCACATAATCAGCATGTTAAAACCGTGCAAATCAATAGCAAACGGTTGGATGTTGTTAACCAATGATCAAAAAGACAAAAAAAGTGTCTCGATATGAGATGGCAGTTTGTCTGTCCTAATAAACTCTTATCTTCGCACTCGCATTCACGACTTATTCAGCATTTTCACGAAGAATCGATAGTCGTTCTATCGAATAAAACTCTTAGATGGATTCGAGAAAAAAAAACACTTTATTCCATCTGATTCTGCCATTCGAAGTTCTCTCAAAAACAAAACAGACGAACACACACATACATCGATCTACACAAAAAAAGCAAAGTCAATTAAAACATCTGGTCGAACGAAGAAATATTTTCAGTAGTTTTATTCGTTTTTTCTTTTATTTCAGTTCATTCTATTTACATAGACATCGATCGAGACAATAGGAAAAGAAAAAGAAAAGTTTCACGCACGAAACATGAAGAAAATTATATTTTGATTGCATAAAGAAACAAAAACGGTACATAAATATATGAGAATTATTGAGAAGAACAGAAAAATAAATATCAAAACTATGAAATTTCAAGACTTTATGCAAAAGGACTCGCTTTCCAATAGATATTCGTCGACTCAACGCCATTACCCATTGCCGATTTCACTTCTAAAATGAAACACAAACATCAATCATCATTTTTCAACCGAATTCTTATTTTTACCGTCTAAACTCGGTGGTGGAGCATTTGTTCTCCTTAGTAACAATCGAACATACAGACCACCATCACGAATCAATGCAATTGCTTCACTATGCGTCATACCATATGTAGAACGACCATTGATTTCAATAATCTGATCTCCAGGCTAAGGAAAACACATAGAAACAATTCAATATTGCTCTTCACTTACTCTCATTTGACCATCACATGCTGCGGGACCGTTGTCAGCTAGTTTTAATATAAATATCGGAATCGAAAATTCTCGACCACCACGTATACTAAAACCAAAACTGGATGTTGGATAAGGTCGTTGTAGATCAGCAATGTAATAATCATCCGAAACCGAATACTAGAAGAAAAACATAGAAATCAACGATGAAGTTAACTCAATAGAACTAATCGATTTACGGATTTTAATATTCCGTTTGTACGAGACGATGATCGAATTGGCTGCCTAAAATTATACCGAATGAAGCGAATTGAAAGCAATGAATATTCAATTACCTCTCAGAACCGTTGATCGGATTGTGAGAGAAAGCATTCCTCAACGTCTGGTTGGTATCAGCCGAGATACCCATGGGTGATGAGGATGATGGCCGAATACCATTTTGTACATCCAGAATTCGATCATCTATTTGCAAAGAGAAGAGAAAGAGCTGATGCATTGATTTGTCAAAATCTAAATATATTACCATAGGAAATCGGTGGAGCAATCGTCAATGTGATCATTCGACCTGAGTCTTTGATTAAATTAACAACATCTGTATGTGCCATATGAGTGAGATCAACACCATTAACAGCTAGAATACGATCATTTACATGCAGTTGACCACATTGATCAGCAGGACTATTCGGAATAATTCTACCTGAAACAAACCAACAACGATTTGTACGAAATCTTCTGGACAACGAAGTATCTTACCAACTATAGCACCAGATTTGTTCTGTGAGGAGATAATAACGAATCCAAAACTTTGACACTCATCAGTCTTTTGTAACACTACATGACGTATTTCATGATTTCCTGATGATTTCATATAGGGCTCAGTGGTATTGTAATTTGGATATGAATCGCGAGTTGTTTGATAAAAAGAATTGCTTTTTTGATTATTATTATTGTTGTGTGGATGTTGATAACGACGGACAATGATACAAACATGTTGTTTTTCTTTAGCGCGTTGCATTAATTGAACAACTTTCTCATGGGCTGCACGTATCGTTGAATGGCCATCTATTTTGATTATTTCATCATCAACACGTAGACGACCATCGACATCGGCGGGCGAATTTGGAACAATATGACCAATGGACACTTGAGATTTCTCTTCTTCGCCACCAAGAATTCGCAGTCCGAAACCATCGCTGTCAAAACGAAAAACATCACTTGGCGTTTTCTATTCATTGAATACGAAACCATACCTCGGACGTAGGAGTGTCAAGTTAACGACTTGTTCGATATATTGTGGATGAATAGATTGCAATGATCGACTAAACAATACGTCATGTTTGCCAATCACCATTCATAGAAATTGAATTTCTCACCTATTTTGCATAGTACTTGATGAAATATCATAAGCTGTCGGAGTTTTACTTCTTGGTTTTATTGCATTTGCTCGATAAGCGGAGGAGGTACTCGCACCAAATTCAGGCCCGGGAGTCTTACTACGTACTAATGGAGCATTGGTTGGTCGAATATCACGTGCACTACGTGTCAAGGATGTTTGTCGATCAAAAGTATAGACAGAATCAGGAACAAAATCCGTTTTAACAAGTGGAATGGACGCTTGGACGCCATTGGAAGTGGTGAAAGTCGGAGTATTATTCACTGCAATTGGTGTTCGCGTACGGAAGGACTGTGTGTCAGTCATTGGAATAGTACCATATGATGTCGGTGTTCTACTACGCGGTCGCTCTGAATATTTTTTTTTCATAGAGAAAGAAAATTTAATGGAGAAATTTACATACCAGCTACTCTTGGTGAAAGATATTCTGTTTCGATTTCATCGTTCTCCTAAAAATTCCAAGAAATTATTCATTAACATCCATCTCAAGATCATTGTCCATTCATCACAACTCAATCTATCCTATGTCAAAGACAATCTTAATCCACCGAACACACCCGAATAACTACACACTAACTTTTATGTCTCATATTTCATTGTCACTAAAAGGCTACCTCTGTATTAATCTACGACAGATTTAATGATCCATAAAAATATTTCTAATGACAGTTATACTATTTCATCAATTATAACTCTAATCAATATGAATATCGTATCGTCATCATTTTCTCTCGATCTCAAACAACTAAGATGTAAAATAAACACATCCTATCGTTGCTAATGATATATTTCAAATGAAGCATATGAACAAGGTTATAATAACAAGCGCTCGTCCAAGGAAATTAGTAAAAGAAAAAGTTCATAGTTGTAATATTTTATGACAGTCAGTAAAATCAAGTACAGAACAACAGAAACTCATGCATAAACACATCAATCGAATACTTATGCGAATGTATATATATATCAATGAAAAGGGGTAGACATGCAGGAAGATAAAGATTCAATGATCATCACCTTATCCTCTTTATTGCTTGTAATGAATGAAACATGCTTTCCAACGAGATTTGATCGATTATTAGACTATAGAGAAAGTCGCTTATAATTATGTGTGTACAAGAGAAATAATCGTTGGTTTTTGATAAATAGGAAAATTTACCTGAGTAGCTCGATCATTATGACCATTGCCATTGGTGATGAATGGGTTGTTATTCACATCCGAGTCACCTTTAAAAGCAAAGAACAACAATTTACATTTATAATACAATTTACCGGATCAACTACCTCGAATTAACTCTCGTTTGACGCGAAATTTCAACATAACGATAACATTTACTGAGATGCAGTCGATAGTTTTATAGTATACCTCAGAGAAGAGAAAAATTCCATCTACTCTCAGACTAGAAAAAAAGCCGGCAAGACGGAAAGAAAGAAACAACGCAAATGCTATTAATGCCGTCATAATTTCTCACTTTTGATATTAAAACAAGTCTCGAGAGAGAGCACAAGATTTTCATCACAATCAACTTATCAATTATAAACATTCTCAATTCTATTGGGAATATGCAAACCGTTCATCGAAATCAAATTCTTACTCTCTTACCTCTTCGTATCACAAACGTTGTATCGATATCCGTGGGACATTTCATTAATATATCCACAATATCCGAATGTTGCTTTCCGTACAGATCATGTCCATTGATCGATAGCAAAAGATCGTTCTCATACAAATTTTGACAACGTTGCCGATCGACGATCGATTTAACACGTTGACCCGATGCGCTATCCGCCACGGTAAATCCAAATCCGTGGTCACCCTTACGAATTTTAATAACATGTGTACGCGGATGATTTTCTGGTTGATATTCCTTATAACCGCCATTAGGCAAGTGATTAACTCCATTCAGGGAGACAACGTCAATCCGTGGATCGTCAAAATTCACCGCAAGTGGGTAACCCCGGCAAACGGTGATATGTATCATATCACCGAGAGATAACGATTGAAAAATTTTCACGACTTCTGTATGACTATATCCCATGACGTTTGTTTCATTGATATAAACTAGAATGTCTCCACGTTGGAGTTTACCGTCTTTTGCAGCTGGGCCATCGGGTAAGATATCTTTGATTTGCAGAAAATGTTGCCCTCGTTCAACTGCGCCGATGATTGTAAAGCCAAAGCCTTGTGGACTTTTTCGTAATGAACATGTGATCGATTCTCCTGCCAATTGTGGCGGAAGTTTTTTATTCGAAATTTCAGGTGTAAACTGTTGAAACATTTCGTTTGCAGAATTGCTTCGACGCGTTAGATTATTATTTGTTGTAAATACACCTCTTGATGGACGCGGAGTTCCGTAATAGTGTCCTATTATAAAAAGAAAACAAAGTTTTGTCTTTTTCTTCTTCTTGATCAAACAGAACGAAAAGAATCAACACACTCACCTTTATACATTCCACTCTCGAGTAAATTGCCACTNTCGACAAGATCATATCTCGAATATAATCATAAAGCGAATTGATATGATCATTGATTACACAAGACGTGAGTATCTATTGTCTTCGATTTTCCGCTCACGGTCGATCGAGTCATTTGAGACAGAGAAAGTAACATATGTGTGTGTGTGTGCAGTTTGTCAGAACATTATTAATTCTATTCCCTTGTCAAGATTTACAATCACACAACTGTTCTTCGTTTGATATATTCAAGAAAAATAAACTGTCGTTATCTTGTCAATGATACTCTCTACGGATAATTGAAAAGGAATTATGAACACATGATGTCATTTCTCTTCATAATAAATAATAATCTAAACTATTGACCTTGTTTGTAACAAAGAACAGAAGAAATTTGACTATCGGAAGGAAAGATACATTGACAATGCAAATTTTTTAAGCATGTAGATATACAAGGTCAAGAAGTCTTCCTTCTTTGTCTAGAAAAAAGTCAATAAGACAAGAAGAAAGAAATTCTCTCTTTCCTGACGACTAATATTGTTAGAGTGCACACAAATCTAATCAACTAATCTTTCGATCGTTATGTAAATTCGTTGATATGAACATTAGAAAAGAAAACACTGATGTACACGTACCCGATTTGACAGTTTTCAATTTAATTTGTTTTCCATTAGCTGACAATGTTTCAATTAGTTGTTGAACGTCGGACAGTGTACAGCCCGCAATTTTGTGTTGATCGATCGTCAAAAGAATTTCGTCGACATCGATTTTACCACCTTTTATAATCTTCACTGTTGATTGGCTGTTCAATAATGAGATCGCTTCTATGAGATAAACAAATTGGCCATTTTCTGCTCCGCCTCCTAATGAAAGTGGAAGAGAGTATTGATTATCGTTTGATAACACGATCGTTTCATGACATGTTTGTGACCAATGTTTGGTCGGTAGTGGGGGAACAGATGATAGAGTGAATTGTACCGGTGAAAGACGTGTTTTCGTTGAATTAAATGTCGATGTCATGCTTATCTTCTCATATTCGTTTGACTTGAGTTGGAACGTTCGGTGACTGAGTCTTGTCAGTGTCACTACTAGTTAACATCTAAAAATGTTGATTGTTAGATCAATATTTATTCTGTTTTTTTTTTATATCGAAAAAAAAACGAAAGAAAACATACGATTGCATAATACAATAAAATCATGTTAAAAGAAAACGAAAGTCTATCAATAGGATTTCTACTAAAAAGGAAAAGAAAGAGTGACAGGATAGAAATGAATAGTGAGCAAAGCAGACAGTCATTTTTCTTCTAGCCTTGACATTGCCAATTGATGAAAATAGTTTGACAATGCGAAGATCGAATCTAGGAGTACTTCGAAAGAGAAAGAAGGAAGGAGAAGGAAGAATCGCTATAGTAAGAGATCAAATATTTGTAGTGATATGTTACCACAGAGCAAAACAAAGAACGACTGTGTTCAGTCTACTGCGATCGATTCGTTCTCTCTCTCTCTCTCTCGTCCCTTTCATTTCTTTTCTTTCAGACGCAAATCATCATCGAACAGCATCAATAATCCGATGATAAGCGTCTGAAAATCGACTTTCTACTAGTCACTATTGCTTTAAAATGAGACCAGTCTCCATTAGACTGGTGACGTATGTAAAAACAACTATATCTTTTTTCTCCACACTTTCTTTCGTCTTCGTCGTCATCTCTTATACATTCACTCATATTTATATAAATATATATAAACAAGTCTAATCATGTTAACACATCAGTACTAGATTCTCTGTCATGCTTGCTCATGCAATAACTTTTGATTTGTCTATTTTCACTCACATGTTTCTCAGAAGGGCGAGATAAGAAAACAAAGGCATACTTATGACGTCAATTCAGCAAATATCACGATGAATACAAGATTATTTTCAGTAATAAAACACTAAAATATGCATGTTATTTCTTTGTCAATTATCAATGTGGTTCGCATGACCTAAAAGAGAAGAAGAAGAAAAACGAGTTCGTCTGCCTCTCTGTCTCTTTCGTTCACAATGTGTCTATTCAATTGTTGTTCAATCGCTAGAACAAATAGAAGAGGATTTACTATCGATCAGTTTTGATAATCAACGAACAGAGAGATTAGGAAAGTTTCTCTTCTTCGCAAGAAATCGAACGGCGAAAACAAACAAATCAACCATTCGTTTTGCTCGCTTTTCTTGCATCTTCGAAAAATATCCAATAATCAACACATACGACAACGAGAGAGACACGAGAATGAACAAACGAAAGTACAGACAGTATTATATTCAATGCAGAAGAAAATAAATAAAATTTCACTGGAGTAAAAGAAGAACTTACAAAACAAATGTAATTCAATACAGAAGAGAAAGATCAAGAATCAAGCGCGATACTTAAGTCGATGTTAAATCATAGTATAAACCTGTTTCGGGATCACAAAATAATTTCAATGTGGCATCGTAACACAATTGAACTAATTCGCTGTCCGTCGTCGAACCGAGACTGTCTTCATTATCATTATTCGACGTGGTTTTCTTCATCGAATCGCTCGAATTGAGTTTGAAAGTAAATGTTGGACCAATGTCAAGACTGTTGCCGATTGTTACATTGTTCTCAGTTACGATTGATGCTAGTAAAGATGGTATCTTGGCATTCGCACTTGAGCGCATTTCGTGTTGATAGTATTGAGCGAAACGTTTGCGCGCTGCTAGTTCTTCATCGGGTTTTAATGTCCGTGGTGATAATCTGAATGTGGTGCCATCGGCTGGGTTTGAAACATCGTACTCGTATTTACTTGAGTCTAATACTAATTGTGGCTGCTGTTGTTGTTTTGATAATGTTTCATTGGGATTCCAGTCTTTTTCTAATTGAATTTCAGCGAGAATGGCTGCTAATTGCATTGAATCAGCCATTTCGGGTTCATTATTATCCACAAGATCCTCTGTTGATCGTGGTGTTAAAATAAGAGGAAGAATTGGATGTTCTTGAGACGATGACGATCGCGGTGATGTTTGATTGCTGTCTAAGACCAATGGAACTTGTTCTTGTTTCGATGGTGGACAGTGAAAAAGGAAGCGGATGCGTCGTTTTTGTACAGCTTTGGGCACTTTCGATTTGTTCTGTTCTTTGATGAGTGCATTCAGTGACCATTGTTGTTGTTCGTCTGGTTTAATATGACTTTGATTTGAGTATGAACGTAACATGGAGGAATCATTTGCAGATAAAACTTTTGGTTGAGTCAATCTCGACCGAGGAGAGTTTTCTTCAGGCGCCGATGCAACACGTTGCCGGCCAAGATTCTGATTCGAGAAGTGGCGAATTCGCTGAAGTTCACGCGGCGGATTACTAAATGTATAGATTTGCTTCGACGATTTCGCCGAAATACTTTTATCGGTATTGAAATGATGACGCGGTGTTGTTGGGCTCTGTGACGAAACTGAATGACGAATTCGATTTGGCTTCACTCGTAATGAATCACCAATCGGTGGAATTGGAAGGTGCAGATGATTTGTTTGAAGGGGAAGTCGGGAATGTTCGTTTGTCATCGCGTTGGGCGATGCTGATGCTGTTGTTGATGATGATCGAATATTCCTTCGAGTGAACGACGTTGGCGAGGTATTATTCGAGTAGGTTGTAACTGACATATTGTATAGTGGTTAGTTTAGCATCTAGCTATTGAAAATTTTCGCGGAGAAAACATGCTTTACTTGTCTAAATGATAAATGTTGAGAACAGATTGACGATGGTAAAATGTGAAGTATTACGAAGACTCTTTTTTTCTTCTTTCTTTTATTTTTCTTTCGTTCTTTTTTCAATTTCGTCCAAAAAATCGGCAACCAACAGAATTAAATGAATATTTCTCTTTCTAGTTTGTCGTCGCCCTCGATTTCGAATGATTGAAATCAGATTTCTCTCTCTTGGTGAAATTCTCACTCTTTTATTGGTTAAAACGACACGCCAGCTGTTCATACGTGACAAATCTGTTCAATTGTAAAATGAAATTGTGTTCGCACGTCTCGCGACATCTATTTCAAGCAAAAATGTCACTTGAAAGTTCTCATATGCAAATAGAAGAAGCACTAGTCAGTCAGCATTTTGGAATAAATTACGTCAATCAAAGAGCGGCTTTCTCTTGCAATTATACGAATTACAGAGATTTATCTTGAAACCTTGGAAAAGATTCATAAAAAGAAAAAGTTGGCCATCGTCGCCAATTCCTTAAAATGATGATAGGAATGTGAATCAGTGGATTACTTCGTAATGAATGAATAGGAAACGCGTTGATCGTAAGATCACTTAGAGAGAACTGTCATTTCCAAAGAATTCAGTCACATCGATCGAAAAAAAATAGTTGTGTATCTCGAGGCTATTCAGTAAAGTGCTCTTTTCATCAAAACAATTGCAATTCCGATTAACGATGCATAATCCAAATTTGTTCTGCATGGAACTGGAGTCGAAACGCTTCTGTCTCTACCAGTCAGATTCGATGAATCGCTCGTCGTTCCGAATTAATGGATTTTCACATTCCATGATAGATGTCGTTGCTTATTTAGGACTAGTGCACACAACGTCGATTTTTTTCCGGCAAAAAAATTGCGAGATTTCAATTCCGTGAAAAAAATTTTTTTTCGAACTATTCTGTCGAAAAGATTTAATTATTGAACCTAAATGATCTATTGAATATCTACTTGTCTTCTCTCTTCTCTGTTATACGCGATGACTCATATATAAATCAAACAGTTGAATGAAACCTTTTACCATACATTCGTAGTACTACTCTTTTTTTCAACAAACCGTCATATATTTTAGACAATGAGCCATTTTCAACGAACTTCAATGACAATATGAGTGGTATTAAACGAACTTACCTCGCTGAAGAATGTTCAGCAACAACGAATGATAATAATTCGCCAATATTAGATAATAATATTCAGCCATCAAGTCCAATTGACTCACCACAAGCAAAAAAACTTCGTCGATCGTCATCACATCATACAACTGAATCTGAAAACGACGAAGAAAACCACGAGGAACAATATGAACAAGAAAATGGCATAGCTAACGGTAAGCAGAAGTCTTCCAAACAGAAAGTTCGATTTTCTTTTCAACTTTCAATCAAAGGTCATTCGCCGGCCCAATCCGAACGATCGGACGAAGAAGACGACGACGACGACGAAGAAGAAGATGACGATGAAGACGAAGAAGCAACCGAAGCTGAGCCTGAAGGCTTTTCAGATGACTCAATTATCCATGTCAGTTTCGATAATGGCAAAGACGATAGTAAGCTTACCTTACAAATGAATCTCCTCATTCATCTGCCTTTCTAATTTGATAGTTTTTCGTTACGATGGTTCAATTCGTTTTCATATTGTTGCACCATCGCGACCACAATATGGTCAACTAACAAGCGATTCATCGATAATACGTACTTTTGTCTGGACTTTATTAGCATTTTCCAAGCCGAATTATGACAATTGTCATAATGATGGAGGAACGTTTAGTTTATTTCTTAAGTGTGAGCCAGAGAAACTTTCACCAGGATGGTCCATTTTCGCCAAAGCAGAATTAACTCTTCTACACGCGACTGATCCAAGTAAAAACTTCGTGAAAAGTGAGCCTAAACTTTTGCTAGATATGATTAGACAAGAGTTTTAATTGAATATCTTCTAGAAATCAACCATTTGTTTAACGCACGATCGATTGATTGGGGTTTTCATCAATTCAAATCACTAAAAGTATGTTTCGTCGAGTAATATTTCATAGAACGATTCGTGTGTTTTATAGGAAATCTATAGTGAATTCATTCATTGGCCTGATAACACAATTCGACTCGAAGCAAAAATTCATGCCGATGCTCCGCGGAATGTTGAGTACGTTGAAAAACTTTCCTTCCTTCAATAAGACCGCATTATTATGTCTATTCTAGATGGGATTCCAAAGGACAAACGGGTTTTGTTGGCTTGAGAAATATCGGTGCAACTTGTTATATGAACTCATTTTTACAAACAATCTATTTCACAAAAAAACTACGAAAAGTCAGCTGAATTATTCGACACTTCGTTAATAAGAATTTTTGTTCAGGCTGTCTATGCTTTGTCAACCGATAGTGATGATCAGTTACATAGCATTCCACTTGCTTTACAAAAGTTATTCTATGATTTACAGTTTACCGATCGGCCAGTCAGTACGAAGAAGTTGACACGTTCATTCGGGTAGGTTTTCTCAATCATGACTATGTTAAACAAAGTCTGAGTTTGTTATGATAGATGGGACAAACCAGACGAGTTTTGTCAACATGATATTCAAGAATTCTGTCGAGTGGTATGTTGAAAAACGACTTTGTTGTGTTCTTTGACCGCAAATCTTTTGTAGTTATTGGATAAACTAGAATCGAAAATGGAAGGCACAACAATGGAAGGCATCATTCCATCTCTATTTCAAGGGCAATACGTGGTAAAGTTTATTTCTTAAAATAGCTTCAGCTTTTCTGATGGATTTGTGTCTATTTAAGCAATACGTTCGATGTACGAAAGTCGATCATGAATCTCGAGTGAAACAGACATTTTACGATGTTCCATTACAAGTACGAAATAATGCCAACAGTAAGTCGTGAATCATCTGAATGTGAAAAACTATTTATTGATTCTTTTGATCAGTTACGGAGAGTTTCCGGGATTTTTGCAAGAGCGAAATTTTAGCTGGAGAAAATCTTTACGATGCAGGCACTGTTCACGGTTTACAGGTTTGTTTTGAAACATAAGAGAAATGAAGTCAGCTGTTTCATTTTGCTTGTCATTAGGAAGCGGAAAAGGGTGTAAAATTTCAAAAATTTCCACCTGTTTTATGTCTTCATTTGCTACGTTTCGAATATGATTATAATCTTTCTCAACACCGGAAGATCAACGATAGTTACTCATTCGATTATCATCTCGACCTAAGTGAATTTCTCGAGAATCCCGACTGTTCATCATCGTCCTACAAACTACTCTCCATATTAGTCCACAGTGGCGATAATTCCAGCGGACATTATGTTTCCTTCATTAATCCAGCCCTAGACGGACAAGTAAGACGCTGAGAAGTGCGGGATTTTTTCGATGAGCATTTTTTTTCTTTTAGTGGTTTAAATTCGATGATGATGTCGTGGCACGCGTTGCAGCCAGCGATGCCATGGAAAGAAACTTCGGTGGAACACAAGATGATGATGGTAGTATGTATAACACATCGGCATACATGCTTGTTTACATTCGTGAAGATTGTCAAAGTAATTCTAGGGAAGAAGATAGAAATAACACGATCGTTTTCTTTTATGTAGAAGATGTGCTATGTGATGTTAATCAAGAAGATATCCCTGAAAATCTAATCACCAGATTTGACTATGACAAGTAAGACAATGATGAGATGGCCTTGCGTTTGTGGCTACAAAAGATATTATAGGAAGTATCTGTTAAAACGTCGACAAGATATGATGGATAATGATGGATTTGTTGATGTACAGATCATCTTGACGGACGATTTTCATATTCAACAAACTGTCTGTCTAACGGAATTGATTTGTGAAAAGTAGGAAATGACGAATTTACCAGAGAAAATTCCGGAGCATGTTTCCTTCTTTCCTAGTCCGGTAGAGTTGCTACAGAATAAACGTTGTCTACGATATATTCAAGCTCAACATTCAGAATTATTTCGAGTATTTGCTAAACGATTAGCATATGCATTGGTAGGGGTGACATTTTTCATTATCAGTCGAACTGAAATTATCCGTTTAGGGAGTCAATCTTGATGAAGATATTCGTATATGGATTGTTCACACCCATGAAATCCACGTCAACCATCACCATTATCACTCACAACCCTTACTTACAACTGTGCTTGTTTATTGTGATGATTATGATAAAAAGGTTTGCTTTTGGGTATGCCGATTCTGATTAATGAATATCTCCTCTTAGATCATCGATCTGTTTGAATACGACATCTCCGATCGACGAACTCTATCCATATTTGTTGAACAAAAGATCTTTCTTAATAGTATTTATCAATTATTGCCATTTGATAAAGATGGTTAGACAAATATTTTCTTCTTTGAATCACACGTGATGTTTTATGTGTTATTAGATGATTTACTTGTCTTTGTTCGATTTTATAATTCTCGATACGAATCTCTTTTGTATATTGGCCATTTTCTTTTCTCTCAACAGCAGTCATTTCGTAAGATTTCCTTCTTTGATATGGTTTTAACTTATTCTTCCATTCAGAAAAATGTTTAAACGACATTGCTTTGCAAATCAACACTCCGATTTCACCAACGACAACTTTCATTGTTCATCAAGCTGTGCCAACACATAATCAAACACATCAATACGAATTAATCAAAGCTGCGAGTTATGATCTCGCGCTAAATCAAGTTCTTGATCCATGTCTATCAGGTGTATCGTTGATCGTTCAGATTATTGATATCAATCAAACCAATGATGATTATCCATTGACGACAGTGGAAGATTATTTTCGGTAATAGAGATTTTCCGCTAAACTTTTATTCAATGAATCATTCGTTTTTAGAAATATCGAAAATCGACAGGAGTTCGATGTTTGTAATCGAGATAGTCTACGAAATGAGTGCTTATTTAAACTTTATCTCCCGATGAAAACCACAATTAAAGAAGTTATTCGATTAATTGCAGAACGAATCGAATATTCACAAGAACAAATCATCTTACAGAAACCTTCCAAGTAACAACTCTGCCATTCGTAGATTTGATTATTTTGATATTTTTCTAGCTCCGCGTCAATATCAAATAACATATCTTCTGCTAGTTCATTGCATATATCAACTGATCAAACCCTACGTGATCTTTATTCGAACACACGTGGTTCAGTCAGCTCGCCACGAAAGATCTTTTTCCGACGAGTAAAATTCGCATTCGGATCTGTTGATTGATGCTATTTACTTGATGTTTAGTTACCCTTTGTCTATATGGAACTGGAACAGCGTCGGCCGCTTCGAATATTCGTCACAAATCCAATGAAAAAAGATGAACAACGCGAAGTTCAACTCTATGTAAAAAAATCGTCAACAGTAGAAGAATTTCTTAATGAAGTCAAACAGTGGTTACCAACTATCTGTTCCGAGAATGGTAGTCATCAATTGAGGTAAATCTATCGAAGCACATATTTAATAAGATAGTCATTGCAAGATCGTTGAATTGTAGATTGATTGAAGTAACATTATCCGGTCAAATGAATTCTCTTCCATTTCATCTTCATATATGGTCCGATCGATCATGCACAGATGAACTTGAGAATTGTTCCAATCGGTATTACCATTTGGAAGAAGTCTCTCCCGATGAGATCGATTTGGGTAAAGATACGGAACTGATACCTGTTGCACATTATACAAAAGTAAAGTCAAGAAAGTTGTTTTTATGAAAACGACTACATTTTCCTTCTAGGAGAATATCATTCAAATAAATCTTCAGAAATTTTTTCCATTTCTTCTCAAAGTAACGCATGTAAGTGCAATTCGATTGACATTACTGGTCCGAGTTAGCGTGCACTTGTTTAGAATGAATCCTTTGGTGATGTAAAACAACGCTTACAAACAAAAATGCGCCTTGTCAATCGAGAATTCGAAAAAGTAAACTACTTCTTTACTTCTATGCTCGCTAGACATCTTTCCTCGATTTCAGTATCGATTTTCGATATTTAATGGTAGCAAAGTGATATCACGATGTGATGATAATCTGGGGAAAATCAATGTCAATGAACTGAAACTAGTACAAAGTAAGTCGAGTAAAGTTTCTCTCTTTTGTCTCCAAAAGAATACTTTTAGGTACATGTTGGCTTGGTTTAGAACTTCCGTCGACATCGAATCCTCGCAAAACTCGAAAGTCACTCTTTTCAGAAAAGCCCATTCGAATCAATTAGTCGAATCCTTCTCTTTTTCGTTCGTTTTTAAGCACATCACTTCGCACTAATGTCTCTTTTCATTCATTGACAAAAACTTCTTTCTTCGTCGTTTTCTCTATTTATAAATCAACAAATGTGCTCATTACTTCTGTTTCCTTTTCGTGCATATCAATGTATAGTCGTATATCAGATGCAGACCTAGGAAAAGACGCTTCTGTTTTCTTCTTGACACATACTCTATCTTCTCATACGTTTCATGTTTGATTTTGTGATTCTTCGTTTTGTTTCCTCTGTCTCTTCTCTTCTCTNACAAAAACTTCTTTCTTCGTCGTTTTCTCTATTTATAAATCAACAAATGTGCTCATTACTTCTGTTTCCTTTTCGTGCATATCAATGTATAGCCGTATATCAGATGCAGACCTAGGAAAAGACGCTTCTGTTTTCTTCTTGACACATACTCTATCTTCTCATACGTTTCATGTTTGATTTTGTGATTCTTCGTTTTGTTTCCTCTGTCTCTTCTCTTCTCTTCTCTGTGTATATGTATGTGTATGTGTATGTGTGTGGTTCGATCATATTTTGTTGTCTATCAAAGTCTAATCGAAGGACCACCGTCCTGATAATAGAAGATGCAAAATGAATTTTTCAAACGTCTCGCTTTATTAAGACTGACTACACGGGCAAGATAGAATGTGATTGTCTCGACCATGGCTTGTTCGTGTCGAGAATGTGCGCCATGGACAGGAGAGCGTCGCATCGATCACCATAGATCTCATCGACATTCATTGTTGGTATTTGTTGGTTATCTATGCAATCGCTCTCCGTATCGTCGTTTTCGTCAAGGCCGAGAAGAAAATGCACATGATTTTTCGTAGGAGCTAAGCGAAGAAAAGGTTCTTTTTCATCTGAACTGTGACAAGACGGTGTCGATGGCTGAGTTAGGACGATCGCCGGCGAGGAGATAATGCGTTTTTTGAATTTGCTCTCATCGTGACTCGTATGTTGATAGAGACCGGCTGGTCCGTCCATCGAAGAGAATGATTGTCGAACAAGACTAATCGATGAGAGTGTCGAGCGCAGTCGTTGACTTTTGTTGATTAGGTGTTGGTGAACAATATGAGCTAAGCGACGCTTTCTCATGGAAAATAAGCCTTGCAAAACGACGAGAATTCCGATGATAACAGAGTATTGTGTTAAGATAAATAAAAGCCCGTGAACGGAATGCTTCAAATGATCATGCATAATCTCCTGACATATAAACAGATCGGGTATTTCAGTCGACACGTTGTCTCGGTAATAATAGATACAAACGGAATATTTCTCTTTTGGATTTAATCTTTTTAACAGTAGCGAATTGGCGAAGTGATCGAAATTTCTCTGTGCCGTTCGTTTGACGAATAACTGCTCCATGTCTAAGATTTTCTCCAGTTTTGTTTTGAATTGTCGAATCGTGAAACGATAATATTTGAGAATATCAATTGAATGATTCGATCGAACAGGAATGGAAACCATGCTTGGATAGACGTTCATTCTATTGAAACTTTCGGCAACGATTGACTTGCTTTCGTCGGAAAAATTGGCCAGAGAGAAAAGGGAGAAGTTCAATCGTACTGTTTCCTTATCAGTGAATGACGAGATGGTTTCATATTGTGGACCAGAGTGAAACTTTTGTGGCG